TAACCCTAACCCTAACCCTAACCCTAACCCTAACCCTAACCCTAACCCTAACCCTAACCCTAACCCTAACCCTAACCCTAACCCTAACCCTAACCCTAACGATTAGTATTCCACTATAATAAACATAGATCTAGAGGACCTATACTTAAAGAGGGGGATAAAGTTTACCTTCTCTAGAAAAACATCGAGACAATAAGGCTAAGCAAAAAATTGGACTACGTTAGGATAGGACCTTTTAAAATCGTTAAAAACATTAAGGACATAAGCTACGAATTGGACCTACTAGAGGGAATAAGAATACACCTAGTGTTCTATATTTCGCTATTAGAACCAGCCCCTATAGAAGTACTAGTATTAGCTAGGGTACCAGATAACTACCTAATGGAACAAGAAGGACGATATGAAGTATAAAGGATCCTAGACGACAGCACCGACTTCGAGGACGGGCTACAATAATACCTCGTAAAATGGAAAGGCTACCTAGACTTAGATAACACATAGGAGCTACGTACTAACCTCGATGGATGCGAACGAGCTATAAGGAAGTACTACAAGGACCTAAGACCTTATTAGAGGTAGGATCGAAGAATAAGGGAGGAAACCCATCTAGGGCGTTCTAAGTCGTAGGAGACATAGTAAGCACGTCTAAGAAGGCGATAGGCGCGGGATCGGGGAAGTCTATTAAGAACTTAGGAGGAGGGCTCGGCTAGCCCCGCTCTAGAGCCTCTACCTCCTTAATCGACGATAGTTCGCGCGACATAAGTTAGGAAGAACGGTTTTCCTACTCGGCTAGCTCGTCTTTAAGCTAGGTATAACGGAGGTTCGCCTCTATAATCGCTCTTTTAGCTTCACGAAGCTTTTTACGAATTTCTTTACCACGAGCACGGAGCTGCTCCTATTCTCTGCGGGTAACAACTAGGTCGCATTTTACGCCTAAAGAAATACACTCGGCATAATAGCCGGAACGGACGTCCACGCGATAGAATAGCGACTCGGAGTAATAGCGACTATATAGGGTAGGTATATTGGAACTAGAGGAATAAAGATAAGATACTAGGTTATTACAGCGTTTAGTGGAGGATCGTTTGAGACTAGCGGAGCCCTACTACTTTAACACGGATCTTGAGGATGTTAGCTTAGGTGCTTTCGGCATATTATAGAAAGAGGGCGAACATACCTTTTAGGACGAAAGCTGTTAGGGGAGGGAGATAGTGTCATAAACCGCGGTGGATAACGCGGAATAAAGGTGATTAGTGCTAAGCGTCACGTGAGGGACTAATCACTCAGGATACTAAGAGGTGCCTAATTAGTGTAATTAGTGTGATTAGGAACGAATCACTCTAATTAGGGGGATCACGGTGTGAGGTATCGTAGTATATAGGCCGCACTGTTCTCGTTTATTAGAATAGTGTGCTTAACTCAAATAAGAATTCAGCATTCTTTATAACTTGATCTAATCTCACTACGTGATATCAATCCTCACCCTGTTGACTATATCTTGGCACTGTTCCCTATCTCCTTAATCAGGACCCCAACTATTACAGTAACCTTTATTATCTCGTAATAGCACCTCGTTACAGTAGGTTGAGGTTAAGTAGCTCTTTAGCCCTCTTTTAGAGAATAATAATAGAGTCTAGGTAATTATAGAGAATAGCGTTTCTACTAGGAAGTACTAATAGTTATTAGTTTATATTAAGCGTAGTATAGTAAGCTAGTAGCTAGAGGTAACCTAGAATAATAGGGAAGTAATTAAAGTAAGTAATAAAGAGGGTATCTATTTAAATAATTCTACTAGAAACTTAACTTAGATGAAATAGGTAATATCACTAGTAGTAGTAGGGTATCTATTAACAACTTTAAGAGTAATAGGGGAACTAAAGGGAAGGAAATAAAGGCTGAGATTTTATATATAGAATTAGTTAATAAAAGTAGTACTAGAAGCTCTAGTATTAATAAGAGTAGTAGACTTATATTTATATAAACTAGTAACTAAGATATAGTTAATTATAAGGTGTTTATTTTTATTAAAGTCTTACTAAGGCAACTAAGAGATTATAGAAAAGAAAATCTTAACTATTTTAGATATAGGCTTCTATAAGCGACTTTTAGTAGGGACTACTTATTTTCTAAATAAATTAAGTCTCTATATAGAGTAGTAGGGTCTAGAGTATTAGAAGTAGAGCTAAAGTTAATTATATATATAGTAGCATAAGGCTTCTTTAGGTAGTTATAGACTATATAGTCGCTACTATAATATAAGTACTTATTATTATTAAAGCGCTATTACTTTATTTTAGGTATAATTAGGCCCTATTAAATATAACTAATTATAAGATCTATAGGGTCACTATAGTTATAAGCTATAGGTATAGACTATAGTATAATTAGTATAGAATAAGAAGCTAGTAAGAAGGTAGTTATAGTAGTTATTATACGTAAGATGCTAGTAGTAGAGAGTAGAGCTAAAAAGGAGCGCTTTTAAAAGAATAACACGCTAGTTACTATACTAATAGTAGTATATAGGCACTTATTAATACGCTAATAAAGGCGGAAGTACTTAAAATAGCTTATTTTCTTAGTATTCTAGCTTATAAGAGCGCTTTAGATCTTATTTAATAGACTTATAAAGAGCGCGGACTTCTTTCTATTATTATTATACCTAGTATTATAAATATAGTGTTAGAAATTAGTAGTAAAGGTAATAAAGTCGCGATTCTTTTAATAGATCTTAGTAATTTTAGCTTAAGTAGTTACTTTAGAGTTTAGGTTACTAAAGAATAGTTTAAGGTACTTAATTATTTCCTTGATTAATCTAAACTTAAGTGTATTATTTATATAAATATATAGAAGAAAGAGCACTTAAGTGGTACTCTTAAGGTAACTATATAAGTATAAGGTTTAAGCGGCTTTAGTAGGATATTAGTTAGTATTAATATAGAGCTTTATATAAATATTTATAATAAAGAAGTAGAGAGCGGTATAGTTAGAACTAGAGAATAGTTCTAAGTTAGAAAGCTTTTTTAACTTCTTAGTTATATTAGTATTTAGTTAAGCGGCTTAGGCTATAAGTTAAGTAATACGCTTAGTCGCTTTAGTATATATAATAATAGTAGTATTATACTATTATATAAGGTCTTTAAGTTACTCTTTAAAGATGCTACTATAGGTACGTATCTTATTAAATTAGTTTGAGAGGTTAATAAAGAACTAGTACTAGGTATTAGGGTTCTTTAGAACTTCTATAGTAAGCGCTATAGATAAGTTAATAGCTATAGAAGCTTATAGTGTATTAGAGGTATTACCTATAGATATAGGCGCTTTAGTAGAGGTAGGAGGATATATAATAGGCTATAGCTAAGCTATAATAAGAGATAATTAGTAGGTGTAATATAATATTATAATATAAGAAGGCTTAATACTAGAACTTAATTTATTAGAGTAATATATAAGATGTTATACAAGATTAGAAGGTATAGTAAAAAAAATAGGAAGATAACTCTATAAGTAGAGTATATAACCTAGTTATATAACTCTAGAATAACTAAAAATCTAAATACTAAGAAATACTAAGTCTAAACTATAATAATATACTATCTTCTTAATTAAATTCTAGTACTAAGCCTTCCTGTATTATAATAACTATTTATATACTATAGTTCTAAGCTAGTATCTTTATATTCTACTTAGTTTACTTAGTATACTTAGTTGCTAATTATACTAAGTATACTAAGTATAGCTTAGCGGCGCCCTAGTGCTTAGTCTTCCTATAATCTCTTAGTACTAAGTACGTCTTGGCGGCGCCTCGCGCCTCTATTTATAACATTTAGTCGGTGCGCTAGTATAGTAGGCAAGTTCTATACCTCTAACATTACGTCAGTTATTAACCTCTTCTATCACCTTAATGCTACCTCTTGCCGCCCTCCTAAAGAGCCCCATAGCGTGCGCTCTTAGAGTTTCCACAGCGCCCCGTTTTCGGGGCTTACAACGCGCCTTTTCCAACATGTCGCACAAAGCCAACGCGCCCAAAATGAACTCGATCGCCGAGCTCCCCCCGTCCGAAGCAAAATGGGTCGAGCTCAAGAAGATCAACTGGACGGACCAGGCCGGACGCGAGCGCGTCTGGGAAGTCGCAGCCCGGAAAACGCGAGGCAGGTCCGGCGTCGACGCCGTCGCAATGGCCACAATCATTCTGCACCCCTCGCGGCCCCCTTCCACCATCCTTGTCCTGCAATACCGGCCTCCCGTCGACGCGACAACCGTCGAGTTCCCTGCGGGTCTCATCGACGCCGACGAGTCCCCCGAGGCGGCTGCGGTACGGGAACTCAGGGAAGAGACGGGATACACGGGCCGCGTGTTGGACATCAGCCCGACGATTGCGAATGATCCTGGGATGAGCACCGCGAACATGCAGCTTGTGGTGGTGGAAGTCAGGCTCAGCGAGGGTGACGAGGAGCCGGAGCAGCATCTTGACTCTGGAGAGCACATACAGCGTGTAGTTGTGCCGTTAGACGAGCTGTACGAGAAGCTGTTGTCTTATTCGAGACAAGAGCGGACAATAGTATCGGCGAAGTTGTTCCATTGGGCCGCGGGCTTACATTTTGCAAAGAAGCAACTACTGCAGCTATGATGTGGGAATAGGTGTATTGTACAAAATACGGAGGCGTGGTAGACGGTAATGGAGCCGAGGGCATAGACAGACAGCGATACAGGAGAGAATGCTGGATTGTAACAGTGACTCCCTCTCCATAGACCCTTCTATGATGAACGCGGCACTAATACTTTCTTGGACTTTTCTAGTCAAGATGGTCGTATTCATTACATATATCTTCATAGAGAATCAAAGCAAGATACAGAGTGAGAAACAAGCAAGCAAAGCAGCGAGATACACAGTGAGGGATTGAGTGAAAGAAGCAGCAACAGATACAGCAGGGGAAGCAGCAGGGAACGCAGTAAGGACGCTACATGGAGGTAAATACGGAATATAACAGATCAGATCCACCTATTGAGTACCCTTGCCCCAAGAGGACTGATCCGAGAGAGTTCAGCACGCTCCTACATCCGATAAAATCACACCATGGATGCCCGCAACTTGTAAGTTATGCCGCCCTCCATCACCACGGGTTCTGATCTTGCAGGCTTAAACTCTCTTAACAACATCTACGAAACTGTATCAGCACCATCTCATCCCTCAGGTGAAAGGAGCACAGCACACTCACCTAACAGCGCTCGTACAGATCTTTAGGCCCCCGGATTTCTCCTAATGATTCTGCACTCGAATGGGCTTGCCCTTGCGCGGCGCATTGGTGGTTTTCTGCTTGTTCTTAACGATAGCCACATGCTTGATAGCGCGCTTGCAATTCCCGTTCGTGCCCCAGAAGACTAGATCGCCTTTCTTCCTCTGCGAGAGTGGAACGTGCATACACTTGCGGGAAGTGTACTGCTTCTGCGCCTTATGTGGGAGCTTCTTGCCAGTTGCCTTGTAGACAGCGTGCATTGTAAGGCCTGCAATGGAAGAATTAGCATTGGCAACCGGTTTTTGTCCTGCGCGCTTGTATCGGGGGCAAATATGCTGTACACCAACTTACCTGAGCAATCAAATCCTCCCTTGGTTGGCCCGCTGTACGACCCGCCGCCCTAGACGTACGGCCATCCAAGCCACTTCGCGGCGTAATAGTAGATCAGCTGACATTTGGTCTTCTTCTTCGGAACCGACGCCGCGGCTCTCTTAACCTCGACATTCTCGGCTTCGAGGGCGTCTCCAAACTCTTCTTCGAGCTCACTTTTGACCTCCTCGTCCGGGACAACGCCGTCCTCGACATCGTCACCAACGTCAACGCCGTCATCCCCGTCGTTGCCGGGATCTTCCGAATCGGGCTCACTTGGGACGCAGCACTAGAGCGAGCCAAGAGTGAGCCGTCTTTCGGGAGAAGAGTTCGCCCTGCTAAGTGGAAGAGGGTGTTACCTGAACCGTGTTGGGGCCGGGGCAGTAGCCCGCAACGAAGAAGCCGCTGCAAGCACCGGTGATGTCTCCGCAGGTTCCGTCGCCGTCCTGTGTTCCGTCAGTAATGACGCACCGGTACTGTGAGAGGAAATGCTTGCCGGAGTGCTGCATGCGGTTGTAGAGCGCTGGGTCAGGGGTGCTGGGACCAGTGCCATGACAGTGGCGGCCATTGTCAGGGCCAAGGTAGACGATAGAAGATGCATGATTGATATGCGTGATTGTTGAGCAGATTCAGAAGATTGATTGGTTTGTGTAATGAATATGAGTGAGAAGAGAAGACGTTCTGTTCCTGCTCATAGAGGAAAAAGTTCTTGTATATATTCCACCTCAGAGTCTACTTTCAAGTTGAGTGGAGTGTGGAACAGCGTCCATTGCACGTCGGTCTCGTGGTCAACTTATTGGAAGAACTATATTTGCACTATAGAGAGCACCTTCTCTGGAGGCGACACGGTTCGGCCGCCCTGCCGCTGATATTCTCTAGCGCAGTATGCTGGCCTGATTTGCTCCACAACGGGTTTGTTTGTCTCTTGATGATTTCTGAACACGATAGGGATATGTGGAGTCTGAAGCAGGGGGAGGGTCTTGTAATTGCATCAGAGGGGTAGATCTTTGCTCAACTTCATCGATATGCAAAGGAAGTGGCTCTCCACGTAAGGCCTTCCAATGCAAGGCCAGATCGTTGTGTATGGCCCACCCTTATGGCCAAAATATTCTTGATGAAGCCGAGAGCCCCTTCGTGATGTGTTATAGGAATAGGAAGAATTCAAGTGCACGGTCCCGTCTTACTACGGCGTTCGACCGACGGGCCGTTGTATGCAGATTTTCCAGCCTCAGGCCGCCGCGCTCGTGTTTATGCTTCTGTCATGCATCTTATTCACTGTGTGAGCAGTCTAGAGAGCGTGCAAGGTGGACATTGCAGTTCGCCTGCATGAGAGAGTATTGTTTCGGGAGGAGGCCTAGTGGTGGTGCAGGACGCCTTGTCGCCATATGGTTTACTATGTCCGCGAAGACTCATACAATGCTGTATCAAAACCCGCCGAGACCGAATCCAAATTAGCAGGCATCCGCATTATGGTTCGTCGTCCAGTTGCGAGAGAATATAGCCCAGTAATTTGCAGAACCACCAGTACATATCCAGACCTTGCAACATGGTAAAGCCTGACTCAGTGTCTCTTACCATCCCGCACATGTTACGCCGCATAATTGTAGTTAAAGCCTTGCTTGGACCGTGCTGGCCTTCCTACACGGATAGGGGAAGTCCTTGGTCTTTGCGAGCCTCTGCTTAGGCGAAAGCGAAATTGTCAACAAAACTGTCCAGAAAGTACAAGTGCAAACTCAACCTTGAGCGCATCAGCCACGCTGAACACGATAAAAAACAGTAGAGCCATGGGCAACACCTGTCCGAACCCCCACGCAGACTCAGATCCAACCACCAAAGAGCGGTTGCTGATCTTGAGGTCGACGATAAAATACGTGGGTCCACACCGCAAATCCGGCGTAGACCGCAACTTCCAGAGGATAGAAACTAATGTCGAAAGACCATATTGCTAGGAATTGGATCAGCGACCACCAGATTAGAATCACCGCCCCTACAAGGAGTAGCCAGGGTGCCCAGAGCACTGCTCTGCGGATGATCAAGCAGCTCGATGTTGTGCCGCTGGAAAGATTAGTCGGGATGTACTTCTTGAGATCATCGAAACTTTCCTTCCAGTACTGCATGAGATATGCCAGTACGGCCTCGGGTTCCTCGACCAACAAGTTTTCCCAATTCATCGTTTTTCTAGAGAAGCTTAGCGCCAGAAGGACGGCGTACAGGGCTGCACCGCCAATCCAAAGCCAGGCGGTGCCCCTTGCGGACTTTTCGTGCGAGATGAAACAATATCCTCCCCGTAGAAAGTCCCATTGCTTGAGTTTTTTACGAGTGAAATCGATCTCAAGTCCCACGAAAAGTGAAAGACTGATGAGGACTGCCATGCGTCTGATCAGGATGCGGGAGCTTCGAGTCTCAGTCGTCGTTCCCAGAAATAGCCAGTCGATCCGCGCTGCCCAGAAGGAGGTGAGCGTCAGCCGCCAATATGCGATTACGAAAGCCTCGTGATAAAGGGATATTGTGTTGATCTGCCCGTACCCTGCGATAATGATTGCGGTGCCCGTGACGACTTGCAGATCGCAGAGAGACCCGAGCATGCTCTTTGCCGTCCTAACTGCATATCGCGAGGAGCCTCCCCTTCGCGAGTCTCCGTTCAGAACGGAATGGCGTCTGCGTAGAGGCAGAGAAGTACTCTGGTGCCCTGCGGGTCTTCTTCTCGTTTGGTGCCTGTCTATGATCGTCTTGCACGAGTCTACAAGGTCGAACCAGGCCGGTATCATGGCAACCGCAATGGTGAACCATGCGATGAAAAGGAATGACGTGAGTACCTGCAGAATCAGGACATGCTCCACTATTAATATAGGGAGACACTTACACCGATTCCGGCGATATCAGCGTCCGCCTCGAAAGTAGAGTTACAAGCAAAATTGATAGGGTATGAGCTGTTGAAGTAAATAGTAGTTCCGTTTTCATACCTATACCAATATAGATCTTGGAATGTAGATTCGCTCGTGCTGAATAACATGATGCTAGTATATAACGCGAGAGATATGAGGTTGCAAGGAGAAGAGGTTGTCTTCAACAAGTCCTCAGCAATGATGCGAGATATTCTGCAGCTTAGCTGCTAAGACTTTGCGGCTGAGTACTGCCCCTCGAGCATGCAATAATACTGTTAGAGTCCCCGCTAGTGCGGCGCCGTGCTGCGGCTCCATATTGTTTTTCCGCTCGACTTTTACGGACTAGAAGCTATTCTAAGCATTCACGAAACTCTATCTTCTGGACGGAGACGCCTTATCAACACCTATGCTGAGACCGGAATGTATCCTGTCAAGCTAATCGTTGGACCGGGATGGGCCACTTCTAGTGGAAAAAACTAGGCATTCCTGCATCGCTCCGCATAGCCTCGCTAGCTATTAGGGGATGCATGATAACCAAAGATCGGCTGTCAATCGGCAGCCTCATTTGCAGTCTCGTTCGAAGCGACACTGATCCTTGATTAGCTGAAAGATACGGATAACGGATCATAACGCGGATGGCTAGGCACGTCGTGCGCATGAATGGCCTTACAAAATCTAGGACATACTAACACGAATGCTTTAAACATCGAGTTAAAACTCCACAACGTGGTCTAAAAAGCTACGTTAAACTTAATATCTTATCTCGAATACCTTAACTTTAAGTTAGCTATATAATTATAAATATTCTTGATAAGTTGGTGTTGACGAAATGTCAGGTTTATGTGTTTATGGTGAGGCTTTTTATGCGCACACCGTGCTAGGCAGACGTGTGGAGAACGGTCCGGGTGTTGTATTGCAACGTCCTGTTTCAAATCGAAATCCTACATTCATGAAGGGCTGTGGCGAAACTGCGTCTTGCGGTTCTCAGCTTCAAGGATGTTGACGTGGCTTTAGCCTAGATGGGGCAACAGGTAGCCTTGTGAGTGACGTGCATAATTAGCGTCGCCGACGAGCAGGGTCATAAGTCAGGCCGCGCGGCTGGTATTGAATGCTACATATCTGCTGAAAGGGACGCCTGAAATCACGGGCCCCTCCCTCCCAGAAACCGGTAAAAGAAAGCCCTATGTAAACCCAGAGCTGAAAAACCCGACTTCCGGATGACTTCTTCTTGAAAACTCTTCCGAATCTTTTTGGGTCTGTATTAGTCTTAAAGACATGACACAAACGGACATCCTTGAGACAAACGGCACCATGCCTTCTTCGGACGGCAAGTTATGGACGGCCAACGTTGCCAACGATGAGACAAGTATTGCGGCAGCATCGCTTATGCGTGTGCTCGAAGGTGTCGCAGTTGCTACCAAGGCACCTGATGAACACATTCAACCATTAGCCCAGTGGTTGCGACACTACGGAGTCGTCGAAGGCAACGATTCGCCTCTGGGTATAACGGCGACCGATACCGAAAGCGCCCTCGATCTCGCTCTCCCCTTTGACGAATGGCGTGCGGCCATTGCTTCCAGTTCCGAGAACTGCAATGAAGGTGTCCGGCAGCTCGCCCAAGTTACTCTGGCTGTTGCGTTGCTGCGAGAGAAGGCACGGCGCGGACTGGATGTTGACACGGCGAGCCTCGATACAATCTGGAGTCTGATCTACGAGGCTATCATCAGTGCGCAGGGCACTGAGCTGCAGTTCACTGTTTCCCGCAGTGCGCAGGGATTCTTGGCTGTCCCGCTATGCAGTCTACTCAAAGATGGCCGCATTGAGGAGCTATGGCGGTTGCATACATGGCTGCCTGATGAGCAGCGGGGCGTGTCTGAAGATGTGTGCATTCATGCCCACCAGCCATTTGGACAGAGCTGGATATTACTTGGATGTGGCACAGACTGCGCGTTCGAAGTCGACAGCCCTGACGATCCCTCTTTGACCACTCATGCAGCTTACGAATGTTGCTATGCCGGCGCAGATGGCAAGCAGAGTGGGTCGGGATATCAGACTCACCAAATAAGCTCAACAATCAAGAACACGGGAAGACTTGTGAGAGTCACTCCGGTCAGCCGCGAACCACACTCGCGTGATATGACTTATATCGTTTCGGGTGGCGCCTACCACCGATCAATTGTGTCAGGTAGCAGACTTCATGCTACGCTTTTCGTCTTCGATGCGCACCGCGGCTACGATGATACCGCTGCCGTGCTCGGCCCGAAGGATGGTAGTGAGTATTTACAACCCCGAGATCCCGCTGGTATCACGCCCGAAGCCCTTGCACAAATGGTGGGCGTAACTCGAAAGTGGGAGCAAGCGCAGGGAGTCAAGCGTGAAGGAAACGATGAGCATGCTACTGTGATGGGATATTACAGATTCTTCCGTGGGTTGGGACTGCTGCAGGCTGGGCACCGAGAAGATGCCTTGTCGTATTTCAATCCTACCAAGGGGTGCACACCTACGCAGGCGTTCGCTCGGGAGCCCTCGCAGCAGCATCGTGATTACATCAGGAAGCTCATTGAAGTAGGGGCTGACTTGGACATTGTGGATGAGTCAGGCTACAAAGCATTGGACTATGCTGTGCACAACGGAGACACGGAGACCGAAGCACTTATTCTTGGACGGCCTTCGGCAGCATTTAGCTGAGCGCAGAATCAGGGAGGTAGCGTAGTATATATCTTACGCATGGTATGCAAGAGTAGCGTTAATGCTCACCTTGTTTCAAACGTCATGTGCACCAGGTGTGGTACTAGCATCATCAATAAGCGAGCAGGGACTCAATAGCGAAGACTGAACATTGTGTATAGCGCCATTGGATGGAAATTGACATGTTCACGATGAGCATGATATGCGAGGAAGACAGAGGCAAGACAATGTTTCTTGGGAGACAGACCACGTCATTGTGATTGCAGCGAGGTTCTACTGTTCTACAGGATGTTAAGCATTGTCCCTTCCGAGCAGCTTGCTCTGCCTCACCAAGAAGTCAATCTTTGGTCTGTCCAACTTCTCCTTCGTGAGCTTCGAACTACCGACATCGAGAACACGATCGGCCTCGCCTTTCTTCAAGGAGCCGTTTGAGTGCTCCCACCATTGGTGGAGGCTGTATGATTCCATGAGTGCACGCATTATCATGACCTCTACTACACACCAGGCTCGCTCGTAATATGTTCCATCAACGAGACTAATCATGGCGTTACATTGAGTCACTGCAAGAGGCAGTGCGTCGACACCGCGCGCTTTCTCTTGCTCGTTCTCTTGATCAATGCAAGCGTAGTCCTAATCAATCACCATGTCAGCCCTAGAAACCATTCATATCTAGGATATGACTCACCAACCACAAGCCTAGCCGATCAGGTTGAACATGGGAATTGACCTCCAGAAACTCCTGAACAGCACTCATCATACGGCGCCATTGAGTGCCGTTATCGTCGTCCGGTACAATGCGGCCAATCCAACGGTACGAGAAGAAAATGATGAAGTCATCTTCGTCTGTCGCCGCTGTCTCTCCTACGCCATCGGCGAACTGTTTTGTCAGCCCTGAGGTGGAAATTGGAAGTTTCCCATGTCTCATGAAGTCAGTATACTTCACGTAATGGAAGTTACTGAACATGCGCCGTTCCTTGGTCTCTTCGGACAGAAACCTTGCGTAAATTGTCCTCAGTTTCCTGAAGGACCCGCTGGACTTCGTCCTGAGTTCAGGCCGGATATGCTCCTGAAGGATAGTTCTGTACTGTCGACGTAATCCCGCTTGTCGTTTTCGAATCAAAACCTCTTCGTCAACCTTTCTTCCAATGTCTTCTTGCGGCATACCTGGATAATCACGTTCGATGTCCCGGCAGAGAGCTTTACGTAACGCCTCCTCAATAATTGGGATCGCTTCCCTGGCGTCGGGACTATCGCTTAGGACAGCGTGGTCTAAAGCACTGAAACCTTGCTCGTCGTATGAGTCAAAGTCCACACCGGCGCTCGCCATGAGTTTGAGGTACTCATTATACTCTTTCCCTGGTTCTTTACAGAACGCCATTGGAGAACTGCATATACCGGATGGAGCATTCCATTGATCCAAGGCGTCGTCTCGCTGACCGTTGTGCCACAGGGCGTTGCCATAGAAGAACTTCGAAAAAGCCGTGACCGTAGGGTCTTCGCGTGTCTGCCGTCGTTGGGACTCCTCGGCAACGTGAACTGCGTCTGCTGTCTCGCCGGCAGCGATATGACAGAGTGTGAGGCGGTCCATGCCTATGATCTCCCATGACTTGGCCATGGCAGCATACTTTGACTGAGGGTCTTCTGTAAGGAGACGTTGCTGAAGGTCTCGAGCTCGTGTGATGCGTTCTTGAAGCTGACTGAATGCCGCGGCAAGCAACGTGGCATCGTTTGGCTGCGTTTGCTGCGACAGGTTGTATGTCGACATGCCCTCGTTGCCAATCGCACGACAAATCTCAGCATCTGCTTCAACGCTTGGAGCTGCATCGCGAGCCAAACGACCTTGCTCACGAAACGCCTCTCGTGCCTCAAGAAATCGGTTGTTGTGCCTTGCCATCACGCCGAGTTCGCCTGCCAATGGGTTAAGCCAACATCCTGGAACGTCACCCATACGGCTTCAACCTTTCACTACTTACCAAGAATCGAAGCTTTAAAAGATGAACTTGCACCTGGGAATGCTTCAAGCGACTGTTGAAGCATCTTTTTAGCCCGGTCATACTGTCCAAGTCGCCGCCAAATGCCTGCCACATCATAGAAGAGTTCCTGTCTACGGGCTTCAGCTTCCGGAAAGCCTGGCTCCTCGCAGATAGCTAGAGCCTCTTGTAGTAAACGAAGTTTCTCTTGCCATAATGCCTTCTTATGGTAGTCGTTGGCTTTGACTATAAGCTTCTGGTATTCGTGTACAGAGTCAGGCGCCATGATGAGTAGAGGTATGACACTGATAAGATTAGCGAGACTTCTACGAGTAGGCTCCAGATTGACTGAAGGAGTGTACGTTCGCCAGTAAGTCAGTGGCTAAAGACGGAGCTGAAAGACCTAGCTTAGCTAGTCTGCCACGTCACAGGTGAATACTATTCACACTAAGTAGAAGGCGTCGAAATCCAAGCGTGTCGCACTTGTATATTCAAATCGATTCGATATATACTAGACGGCTCCACAGAGAGGTTACGTATACAATTCTATCTCGTAGTCGATATCGGGAGCTATGCGGAGTCTAAGTTTACCTGCCGATTATAGCTCGGCGAAAAGTCGGGCCGAGAAGCCCCAATTCATTCAGGCTAATTTAGATCTGTACCGTTCTTTTGCTTTAGACTTCGACTGAATCGACTCTCTAACGTTCCCCAACAACATGATAAGAAATTCGAAGGTGAGAGCAAAAGCTATAATCGTGCAAATTGATTGATACAAGGATTTCTGGCTATAAAGCTTCTCGCAACTACAGGTCCTTTAGACGAAGAGTCGAAGGGGCGCATTCGATAAGATAGACATACAGGTCTTCTCTTCCTAGCGTGACGAAAAGCTGGGGTCTGGCGTGGAGAAACCCTGGGGAAGCTGGGGTGCAATTGGCGCAGGGATGGTTATGGATACGAGATGTGTGCCTTGCAGGAAAGCAGCATATTTATAGCACGTCTAATAATCAATTCTAGCCTCCTTCGATGCACTCGAGATTGCTAAAACGGTGGTCGAACGGGAACTTTGCAAGCACCATGCAGCTCGAGGCAATTTGTTGAAGATAGCTCGAAAGCGTGATATCATATTCTCGGCTCACTTGTTCTATTGTTGTATGTCCGATCACACACTGTTGATGGACTTGCGCAGGGCGGATATCGAGTAAAATTGGATGTCGCCTGCTTATTCTCCTGAGGTAGATTTGCTCGACAATGCTCTACAAACCTCTGATCTTCATCCTTGCCGTCGTATCCACACGTTCGCTGCTCTTGTATACCAGGGTCGATGTGGAGCCGAATGCCAAATGTGGGGCAAGTTCGGTCCGCCGCCTTGATGCATCTAACAGCTAGCTCAACCTTTCCATATGGTTGTTTATCTCTAAAACTCTTTTGCGATGCCCGTTCTCGAAGCGGCCTCAAGTTCAATTTCCTTCCACAAGCATCGACTCGTACAATCATGGCAACCAAGGACTCCACCAAATCTGACTCTCAGCGCACGGGCAGCGTTTTGGATGGTCAGCGCAAGGGTTTCATTATTGCAGTTACATCTAGTTTCTTGTTGCTTCAGCTTCTCTTCCTAGCAAATCTGTGCTACCTCTATGGCTCATTGTACAAGAGCAACAGCCGCGCGCATGCTCTGAATGTTCTGGCCGTTGACTATGACGGCGGCATCATTGGCCAGTCGATACTTGGCGCATACGGTTCTCTTCGGGGGCCAACCTTCCCAACACTTCAAGTCCACACTACTGCGCAATATCCTTCAGTCGACTCGATCAGGACCGCCGTCTGCCATGGAGACTACTGGGCGGCAATTTACGCACTCCCGGGGGCCTCAACCCGACTTTCTGCAGCGTTACAGGGCGGGGACGCCGCGAGAGCCTACAACTCCTCGGAAACCATCCAGTACCTGTGGAACGAAGCAAGGTATACGACGACCGCGGAAGGCTTGATCAAAGCAAATATGGAGACTCTGATTGCGGCGAGCCGAGTTGTGTACAGCCATATCAATGGTACCCGAGCACTCCAGTCGATGAATACGTCCGACGAAACCGCCGTGAACATCTTGATGAATCCTATCGTCGCATCGAACATCAACATCAAGACGACCACGCACGGCACGAGAGTCTTGTACAATACTGTTTCGGTCGCCCTGTCAATCGTGCAGCAGTTCTTCTTCGTCATGGCAATCAATGGGGTCAGCAGTGAGCTGAACCTCTTCAGTAAACTCCCACCAAGGACCAACGGTCTCATCCGCATGGGCTTAGCGACAGTGTACACCTTCGTCGGCTCTCTGTGCTGGATGGGCTATGTCTGGGCTTTCAAAGAAGGCTGGGATGTCAACGGCACCCAGTTTGTGCTTTCCTGGATGGCTGGATGGCTTTTCATGTACATCAATTTCCTCGTCCTCGATATTGGTGCTGTGTTTATTCCGATGCACTTCATGCCCTTCTTTGTCCTGACATGGATTGTCACGAACGTTACGAGCTCGCTCGGCTTGTTCGAAACCTCCCCTGGTTTCTACCGTTGGGGCTATGCACTACCTGCGCACGCGGTATATCAGGTTCTTGTCCAGATCTGGTCCGGCGGTTGCAACAACCAGATCTACAGCGCTCTGCCAATCCTCTTCGCGTGGCTCCTGGCAACGCAATTGGGCATCGTCTTGGCGACAAATCGAAGGTGCCGTATTGCTCGTGCAGTCGATCAGAAGGAAAAGGAAGCAGCGTTTGCGGCGGAGACGGGCAATGATGATAAGCAATCACCCGAAGCCAGTATTGCATCATCAGGTGGCACCAAGGATGCCATAGGGCCTGACGCACTAACTCGAGCACACAGTGCTCCGCCGAAGGTGGAGACACCGGAAACACCACTTCATGACTGGGCCTACTCGCCAAGTATGCCAGTAGCGTTTCAGGGCAATGCGGATCGCGCCGTTGCCAGTATGCCGAAGTCCAAGAGTCAATGACGCGTGGGTGAAGTAAGCTCGAACTGGAGGCGCCCCCAAGCTAGCATGAGTAGAGATCAAAGTGTGCCAAAGAGCAGTCTTCTTTAATTGATAGCTCATATCGCACCGAGCATAGATACATATTCGAAGGGAATTGGACGCTCGCGGTAGGCCAATCAAGTCAAACTCTCGAGGAGAGATTTATCGGCACTCAGATTACTACTCATGCTTGTGAGGTCCGCTGCGCCTTGACAGATCTCATACTCCGCCTTGGCCTACTTCTCTTGGCGTCGGAAGGCGCCGGCTTCTTGCTGTTAAGCTGTGATGCGTTCATAGGCCTTCTGACAGCGATACCGCGACCTTCGGGGCTGAAAACCTCAACCTCCGGAAAAGTTGGAGTTAATTCATGGGAAGGCGGACTGCGCTCTTCAGAAGGTGATTGTAGTTCTCCTTCCCCCACATTTGATTCATCCTTACTCGGCTGTTTCGACTTACGAATCTGGGCAACGAGCTCGACCCAGCCGCAGCCTTCGACAAGTATGTCGGCCGAGTAGATGGTAAACGGCAAGCGCTCAGGTTTCAGGCCGACGCCTGATTTCGCAGTTAATGGGCCGCCTTGAATCTTAGTCGTGTCCCATCTAAGCTGCGTTTTCCCTGCTGATTTGGTTTTCTCGCCCGCTCCAGGCTCTACGATAAGATCAATACCTGTAGCTCGCTCGCCCTTTTGAATGGCCACTGCTTTCTCGGTCGAAGTCACATGGACTGGAAGCGGAACGAATGGATAGGCCAGAAGAACGAGATCCGGTGTCGTCGCCGTTATGCGGATGAGGCCCCCGAGCAGTAGCGATTGACCGGGTTTGACGACAATTCTTTCTGGGACAATGCGATTCTGCATGATGAGGTCGAGCTTGCGCTCTGGACGAACGTAGGTATCCAGCTTGCCCCGGAGCAAGCCCGGTAGATCTATCAACTCACCTTTGTTGTTGCCAAAGGGTACCCGTATAGGTGATGCTGTTGTACCGGGGAGAGCTGATACAATCGGCATCGCCGGATATGCCGTCTCCATTTGTGGCGGAGGAAGCAAGGAGTCCGCATTCTGCGGATCATCGTCGAAGTAGTCGACGGTGTTGGGATTGTTACCGGTGACCTGTGCATCCTGCGTCGCGGTATCCGTTGCTTCCTTGCTACTTCCGACAGCTTCCCTGCTGGCCTCGAGGCCTGCGTTGCTGCGCAAAGCGTTGAAATCGACAGTCTGATTTCGGCCTTTTGGATATACCACTTCAAAAAGTTTGCTCTTTCCAACATTGGCCTTCCCCACCAGCCAGTTACCACCTCCGCGACCGTATATGTCTTCCTTCACCTCCTTCGTCCACCAGCCGCGCTTCGAGCTAACGCATCTCACGTTGCCCAATCGTACGTTGTGTCCGGATCGTCCAAGCGCGTCTCGTAGCACCGATGTAAGGTATGGCATCAAACGATCAACCTGCTCTTTGGTCGGTGCAAGGAGATCTGACCGCGTAACGATAAAGCTTACTTCAGCGAGTCGGCCTTTGTGGTACTTGACGCTCTTTGATCGGCGATTCTGGGTGCGCAAGGGCGCGAGTGAGAGTTTGTGGTTCAGGTTGGGTATCAGGGACATGGGGAAATCCGCTGCATCGATGACGTGGTATATATGGTTGTATTTGTGCGGCGACTGGGATATCATGGCTTCGATGGTATCGAGAGAAGGGTGGTGGATGGATACACCAGAGTGGTGGTGGACCAGCTTGTGGCAGCGATCGCATACTGGGGGAGGTGGTTCAGAGCCTTTGGCGGGCGTGCCTTCATCTAATCAGCGATGTAACTGCGCTCGCCGCCGAGTAACATCCTACCGGCTGCTGCCTCCTTTATACCAAGTTCTCCTAGGAGATCGTTGTCCGTGTTTTGGACGGCCGATCGGAAGATCTTGTCCTCCAAGGCGCGTCTTGAGCCTCCATTGAGATATGCTTTGACGTTCGATCTGTTGGTGGAGTAATATCCCGCTTCGTTTGGCTCGATCGTCTGTGTTGGCGCACCGCAGCCGGGGCACGACAAAGGTAGCGCACTGGTCGCGCCTTTGGGCTTCACAGCAACATGGTCCGGCGGTAGAGCTGCAGAGACAGCGGTGATGGCTGTTGCGGCGGCAGAGGTGGATAGAGGTCTTGCCGGACGGGGCGGCCGGCGGGTGCGTGTAGCTGTTCTTGCAGGCTGCTGGAGCAGCGCTGGACAGAGAAAGGTTGGGATGAAGGTATCGGTGTGCAGTAGTTGCCTTGAAAAAAGCGTGCTGGTTCGGTGTAGCGCCGGACGCATTCTTCGATGAAGCAAAGTAGACGTGATGCTCCTTGGGTGCTTGGCTCATGCCCATCCCGAAACTTTTGGTCGGCGAACGGCAGAAAGAGTGCCGAGACCCCTGGATCCCCCCCAGAAAAAGCTACCGCCTCAACTGTGGTCTGGGGGAGACGGGAGGCCAGAGCTCCAACTTTTGGTTCCTCGTTTCCGAGTCGTTCGAGCTAGGGCTTCCTGCCGTCCGTCTGGCCTGATCCTCATCTCCCTTTAAAGCCGTACACTCTCTCTGACGCTTGTTCCTGCATACCATAATCTTCACCTCCGTCGATCACCATGTTCGCTTCATCCCGAGCCGCAGTACGTCAAGTGGCGTCGAAGCCAGTCGCCATCAATGTCTCCCTCAGAGCGGCATCAGCATGGGCGAAAGTGCCTCAAGGTCCTCCTGTAAGTCCATTGGGTTAACGCTCTGAGAGCTGCGGTACTAAGTGTTTCTTCAGGACGCCATCCTGGGCATCACAGAAGCATACAAAGCCGACAGCCACCCCGAAAAGATCAACCTCGGTGTCGGCGCATACCGTGACGACAAGGGCAAGCCGTACGTGCTGCCCTCAGTCAGGTCAGCCGAGAAGAAGGTCGTCAATGCGGCGCTGAACAAGGAGTATGCTGGCATCACTGGTGTCCCCGAGTTCACCAAGGCGGCGGCACGACTCGCCTATGGCGCTGACTCCGAGGTCATCAAGGAGGACAGGGTGGCAATCACACAATCCATCTCGGGCACTGGCGCTCTCAGGATAGGTGGTGCTTTCCTTGAGCGCTTCTATCCCGGGGACAAGACCATCTACATCCCAACGCCCAGCTGGGCCAACCACAATGCCGTCTTCAAGGACTCGGGCCTCAAGGTGGAGAAGTACCGGTACTACAACAAGGACACCATCGGTCTTGACTTTGAGGGTATGGTGGAGGACATCAAGAACATGCCCAAGGGCAGCATCGTCCTCCTCCACGCCTGCGCTCACAACCCCACCGGTGTCGACCCTACCGAGGACCAATGGCGATCAATTAGCGACGCGGTCAAGGAGGGTGGCCACTACCCGTTCTTCGACATGGCCTATCAGGGCTTTGCCAGCGGCGACACCGCCAAGGATGCGTTCGCTTTGAGGCATTTTATCAGCGAGGGCCACAGGCCATGCCTGGCGCAGAGCTTCGCCAAGAACATGGTGGGTTGACACTAGGCCTCTAGACGCTTTTAAGCCCAAGCTTACTTTCGACCAGGGCCTCTACGGCGAGCGTGTCGGTGCCTTCTCCATTGTCTGCGAATCAACAGAAGAGAAGAAGCGCGTCGACTCCCAGATTAAGATCCTCGTCCGGCCTCTCTACTCGAACCCACCCGTCCACGGAGCGCGTATTGCATCGGAGATCCTCAACGACTCATCGCTCAACCAACAGTGGCTGGGTGAGGTCAAGGGCATGGCGGACCGCATCATCAAGATGCGCGCTCTGCTGAAGGAGAACCTTGAGAAGCTCGGCAGCAAACACGATTGGAGCCACATCACTTCCCAAATCGGCATGTTCGCATACACCGGTCTTACCGCTGAGCAGATGGACAAGCTGGCAAAGGAAGTGAGTCACAGTCCGTCACTGAGTAACCGCGAAACGATGCTGACATACAACTCTAGCACTCTGTGTACGCGACCAAGGATGGTAGGATATCTGTCGCGGGCATTACGTCTGACAATGTTGGGCGCCTTGCCCAGGCCATCCACAAGGTCAAAGGTTGATTGATCTAGCGTTTGTACACCTGGCGTCTGTCTGTGCACTTAAATAGACTCAACTTAGACTGTACCATGCACGCAACGGGGTTTCGACTTCGTGCAGCTACCATTCACCGTAGAATAATCAGGCTTTCAAATAGCACAGATGGAGATTATTTGCTGATGAGTACTATATATTGATAGACCTCTTGAAGTGGGTTGCATGCTATGTCACGAGATGGGCCCCATGAAACCTTAAAACACTCGCAGCAGGAGCGTCCCAAGATCGTCGAAGCATTGCGCGTGCGCTTGCCGCATAGGTTAGACACAGAGGCGGCCGATGCCCGGAGCCATCAAAGAGCCGAAGATCGCACGGCAAGAAGCGCCTCGAAAAGGTTCGAGGACGGCCCGGGGGGAGCCAAGGGGGGCCGAACTGTCGTCAGGATCTGCGTGCTTGCGTCGGGTGGAGCCGTGGTGGGAAGGGTGGAAGGATCCCCTCGATCCCGTCTTTCGGTGCGCGAGCCGAGCTGGCACTGATTAGCTTGCAAATTAACTATTGTAGTAGTTGACGTTACTGCCTCACAAACACTGGCTCGGTGGTCTCATTCCTTGGAGAGTGAGGGGTGATACATACGAGACAAAGCATCTCGCAGCCTCAGCCTCAGCCTCCGCCTCAGCCTTTGTTGACTGGTCTTCACGTGCGCGCCACGTCCTGGTGATATGACGCAGCCATGCAGGATGCTTGGTGCTGAAAAACCGTCCGCGCTCCGACGGCACCAGAGATATGTATCAGCAGCAACCCTTCGCGCAATGGAACGCAATCCAGATGCCGAACATGTTCAGGAAACGGAAACGCCTTTCACGATTGTGGGAGGAGGAGAGCGATCTGCCGCGTCCACCTGCTTGAGGACAGCGACGTTGTTTTCTGGTGAATAGAGTACGTCGAGGATTCCAACGTCATCCACAGAATCGGGTCAGCTCAACTGAAGGCACTCCCTCGGCGGGCGCGGGGACACGCTGTCTTTGCGTGCTTGCACGGGTGATACTCACAGTTATGAGTGAGCGACCGAAGTAACAGGTGTTCTCTGCCCAATTGGCCGTAATTGGCTTCGCCCAACGCCGAACAATGCCTTTTCTCCCACGCTTTCGGCGGCCTTGGCGCTCTTCTCCCACACACGCGCTTGTCTAACTCGCTCCCTCTCTCCCACCCACCACCCTAATCACCGTGCGCCAGCGACGACGACCCCACCTCCGCTCTCAGCTCAACCTGACAAGCCCGCTATTTCTCCTGCTAGACACCTATTCTACGCCGCCCGTCTTCTGTCCTAATCATTCTCTCTGCACCGGATCCCTCTCCTCCGTCCCGCACTCGAACAGCGTCGCACAAAAAGGCCTACCTAATTCCCGCCCAAATTCTTCTTGACGACGCGGTACAGGTGATTCCCCAAGTAGTCTCAGACCCGGCGGGGCGGTACTAAACCCCTCGTCCTCCCAGGACGTCCCGCCGATCCCTCTTGTAGCTTCCTATCCCGATCTCGACCAGAGCAACGGTCTCGACGTTGCGGACCCTCTTTTCGTCATAGCGATCAGCCTTACCAACCTCGAGCTTGCGCGCAAAGCACAAAAGAACCACCGGAACCCACACGTACATCGACTCCTGTAGTCAACACTGTCCGACCGCCGTGGGCATCTCAAGATAGCTACCAAAAGGTTACGGTTCGAACGTACATAAAAGATGGCGCGAGCGACGGATCATCCCGAAGACAGGGTAAGCCACGTCGATCATACCGGCAGCCCTATACAGATCGAGCTAACAGATGGCATGCAGAGCGAGGAGGGTTCTACTGGGCTGCCAGAAGCGGGCGACGCCATTGATACCGCCACGTTCGAGCAAATCCTCGAGATGGATGAGGATGAGGATGAGCGCGAGTTCAGCAAGAGCATCGTCTTCGACTTCTTCCAACAGGCCGAAGCAACTTTCGACAAGATGGACGCGGCTCTGTACGTCTATCCTCTCTTCCGCACAATCGCATGAGCGACTGCTAATTCTAACCGTGCTATAGCGAAACGCGCGACCTAGAACAATTATCTCAGCTCGGCCACTTCCTCAAGGGATCATCCGCCACACTGGGTCTTACCAAGGTCAAGGATAGCTGCGAGAAGATCCAGCATTTTGGTGCAAATAAGGACGAGACGGGTACAAGGGACGAGCCAGACGACGACGTCTGCCTGAAGCGGCTCAGAAAGACAATAGAGCAGGCAAAGCAGGAGTTTCACGATGTGGAAAAGGTGCTGCGTAGATTCTACCACGACGAGTGATCATATCTGTTTAGACCTTGGATTGTTGGTTGAAGGGGTGGTTTCTGAGACATACTTATCACGCTGGTGTTGCTGGAGAGCCTCTAATCACGAGACTGGATGAACGATGGGTTGGGGACAGGCTTAGCGACGTTTCGGTAACGTTAAACGGCCGAGATCAGATTGATTGAAACGTGTCAAGCTCCACAATGCTTTGTGAAGGGTCGCTTGATACCGACCTGCCGCGCTGGTTCCCGAAATTGGGGTCTTTCGTCCGAAGATAACTGTGGCTTAAGTAATGTATAGTACCCTCTTGAGCTTTGATAACTTCACCGCCGCACCAGTGTCCGTAGGTATCCAGCTGCAAAGCGTTAGGTAGCTGTCATGTACAAGCGTAAACGCCGGTTACTGCCGCCGGGCTTGGTTGCCGGACACGCGCGGCTAGTTATCCGCTGAACATCACTTCTCATCTTCAATACCTCCAGCACGCGCCCGATAGAACTAAGCAAACCTCACAGTTCCATTGGTTTTGTCCGAATCATTTGTACCTGGACAGCTTGGTGCTAATGACTAGTAGTCGGGCATCACAAGGGCACACATGTTAATCTTCGTGATGAACAATCTGCTACCCGCTTATGCGCATCCTGACATCCACTACTCTATCTGCGGTTTGGCGCTCAGCTGAATATCGTCTTGTAGTACCCTTTCTCTGCTGTTCGGGTCTCGTTTGCGTTTCGAAGTTTTTTACCTATTTATCATCTTCCAATCCCTTCAGCAAGAGCAAGAAGTACAGGGATACCACCGCCATTACCAGTTCTTCCGTGAACATGCCGCGCATTATTCGGCGCAAACAGAAAGCCGTCCATGCAAAAAATGCAGATGGTACTGAGAGAACCGGAGCAGGAGAAGCAACCACGGAAGGCGCGCGAACGCAACCCGGAAAGCCTCCTAAGAAGCCTCCGTTGACGCACTTCTTATGCACTCCGCTCGTGAACGACTCTTCGCACGCGCAGTTGGAAGCCTCCCTCCAACGCTTCAGGAACGATGTCCAAGGCCAACGCACCGGCACGTCTGCCTTGACATTTAGCGGCTACGAGATCCCGGGCGGATCCGAAGTTGGTGCTGCGTCAAGCCGAAACGCCCAAATAACCGCTTCAACGCCTACTACAGGCGCTGCGGCAGGCATACCACATTTGTCCATAGCTCCAAAAGCTATCCGTCCGCTAGGGACGATCCACCTCACCATCGGCGTCATGTCCCTTCAGTCACCTGAGAGAGTCCAAGAAGCAGTTTCTCTTCTCCGTTCCCTCGATCTCAGCAGCATGCTCCGTCCCGCCGCCTCGACCTCTGCCGCCACGGGAGATGCTACTCCTAGCCCCTCGGCTTCTGCATCTCCGCCAAATCTCATTCCAGACTTCCAGACCGCCACCTCCAGTGACACCAGCCGCACAGGACACTCCGAAGCGCTTGTGGGCAACGCGTCCCGCAAGCACCAGGGTGGTCTACACGACATACCTTCCGCCGAAAAGGTCGCGGGCACCGAGACCTGCGGCGCTGATGTCACACCCACAACCGGCTCCTCCGAGACCGCTACGACCACGCGGCCGGATGTAACCCTTACCCTTCCAACACCCACCGTATCGGATGCAAGAATTCTAAAAGTGTCACTGAGGAGCCTGCAACCAATGCAAAAAGCCCAAAAAACAAGCATTCTATACGCCGCCCCTGACGACCCAAGCGGGTATTTGCTAAAGCTAGGAACCGAATTGAGAAGAGCTTTCACAGATGCTGGGGTGATGGTCAAAGACGACCGGCCTTTGAAGCTACATGCCACGATTGTGAACACTATCTACGCCAAGTCTGGTGGGCGGAGAGGGAGGCGGCCGGGGAAAGGTGTGCGGGCACCTCAGGGAGCTGAGAATTCGGAAGGCGAGAACCCGGAAGACGAGTCACAGCAAGCAGATGTGGACACGACAGCGGCAGATCCAGAAATCCCTAGTGACCTTGTAGAGGTTCCCGGGACAGCGCCTTCGGAGCCAAGCCATGATCCAGTCCAGGAAGAGGGGCACGCTACCCGCAGCCAGAACGAAGGGACAAAAGCTCTACCAGATACTTCCTCAGGTCACGGGCCGGATGCGAGGGCGCCTCTCAGATTCGATGCCACAGCGCTGATTGAGCGGTACAAGGATTTTGTGTGGGCGGAGGAAATCACGATAGATAAGGTGGCGATATGTAAGATGGGCGCTAAGAAAACACTCAATGAGAGAGGTGAGGTGGTAAACGAGGAGTATGAGGAGGTTGCAAGCGTGGCTTTGTAGAGCTGATTGTGAGGTACGCGAGCAGCAGTGTATATTACGGAATGCGACGATGTACGGTACATGCCGCGTCGACATACCGCCATGTTCGGACAATTCGAGCTGTCAGAGCAAAGACCCGAGAGGGCGTAAATACAAGAAAAACTGCCGCCAAGGCGATTGGAGCCCCTTCCATGTCTGGTTCCATGCATTTTCGAACCCTTCATGCTTTTCATATACTCATTGATACATCTCCTCATCAACTTCGTCGCTCTTCAGCGCCTACAATGCAGCCGATTACTCAACATACGCCCTATAGATCTGGAGTCCGCTATCCGCCTCGAATTCCGTCTCCGTGTCTTTCCCAATGAAGAAGACGTAGCCTTCCTTGACATCATACGACTTCCCACCTGCCTTCATCTTGCCCTCGCCGTTGACATTGATCATGATGCTTGGACCCCCCAGTGCGCTTATAGTCTCCTTCTCCCCGCTCGACAATATGGTGGCCAGCATGTCAAACTCGCTCATCGGCGGGCCGTACAGCTTCGTCTTGCCGTTCTTGCTCCTGTCAAAGCTCGTCGAGTTCAGAATGGCTTCCTCGGCCGAATGCGGTGTGAATGTCAGACACTTGCAGAAGAGCTCGACGTTGTTGCGGTCCGCACGGGGACAGAATCCGGTGTTGAGCACGTTGTTGGACCGAGCCATGCACTCGATTATGTCGCCGGAAAGATATGCGTGGATGCCGTCAGCGGGGATGTAGATGCTATCGCCGGCTTTGAGAGTCAGGTAGTTCATCGTGATCAAAGCGACAATGGTGCCGGGATCGGTCTTATCGTACTGCGCCTGCAGGCGCGGGATGAGGTCTGGTATGTATGTGTCCTTGCCGAACTTCTCCTTCGGCTGCTTGAGGAGCGCTGCTTGCACGTCGGCAATTGTCTCGTCTGATGCGGACAGTATGGTTTTGACAACGTGCTTGAGCGTCATGTCATCGAATTTGGGCTTTTTGGTATCGGGAAGGAATTGCTGGAGGGGCTCGAGCTGCATGAGAGCTTCGATGTCCTCGAGGGGCTTGAAGCCGCAGAAGGATTCGAAGTCTGTGAGGGCCAGGGCTATCTCGGGCTTGTGGTTCGGGTCGGTGAACTGGTCTGGGTCTTTGCGGTGGAGTTCGGCGGCCATCTCCTTGTTCTGTTGGTCGGGAGGTTAGCCGGAGTGCTCGCTGGTGATGTACGAAGATTGCTGTACCGGATGAAGCTGTAGCGGTAGAGCTTTGGCTATGGAGAGGACTTTCGGCAGGTACGGCAGCTTGGAGTGACCGAACTTCTGGAGCACATTCTTGCCAATGAGCTCCTCCGCATGCTTGTCGAGAACGTCTTGAAGGTCTTCGCCCGTCTCAAGAACGAGTGACGGAAGTTCCGGATATGTACCCATCCACCTAAGACAGTGTGTAAGCGAGTGGAAGCCCGGTGGACATGGACGACGTGGACTTGCATCTCCGAATAGGGCTTGTCCTCCTCGATCTTGAAGTCCGTGCCGGGGGTTTTGGCGCAGAGGCGCGCTGCCGCCGACTCGGAGCCTTTGCGTCCCCATGGGTACTGGTTGCAGTCGCACTTGAGTTGGATGACAGACTCTACCATGATGGATGGTATTACGGAGTACGGGCAGTGTGAAGACTAGGAAGACTAGGAAAACTATCAAGTTTTCTGATGAAGGAGGCTTAAAGTTATCGAAAATGACATGAACGCACAATCCGGCGGAGAAGTTTTGTTTTGGCTCCCAATATTTTGTATGAGGTAGACTGGACCTCGCACTGGTAAGATCAACGTCATCGTGAACTTCATCCAATCATGGCCGGCAATTCTGGGCCGCTCTTCTCACGGAGCCAGGTCAGGTACCCAGTAGACCTCAGTGCGTTGGGAAGGGTACGAGTAAGTAGTCTTTCCGCGCGTCATTGTGCCTTGTTCCGCGAGCGGAGAGGCTCTGCTGAGGTGCTGCTCAGGGCCGCCGCGCTTTCGCAAGGGCGATGTTGTCGTTGCGAAAGCGACGATGCTCCTCCACCATCTTGCCGCTCACGTGTCAGGCTCTACCGTCAGCTTGCGAACCTCAGCTGGGGGTGGGGGCCAACTTTTCATCAGATTTCCCTTCTTCCAACTGGTGTTGCTTACGTCCTTAAAGGGAGTACGCGGTCTGAAACCTTGAGAATGGAGTTTTGGGGCCGTTCTCGTTGTCGAAGGGTGGTTCAAAAAATGCGTTGCCGCGCTGAAAGCGCCTTAAGGATATCGAGGTGGGATAATCGAGACACAGATCGAAGGTCACTTTCGGTGGTTGATGCGCTAAGTGTGTGGTCTACCAAACGTTCAATTTCCTTCACTCCATGCAACTGATACTCCTTTTTCATCCATAACATGATCTCAAGTCCAACTCGCTCGTAAATTTAACAGCTAGAGCCGCGCACCTGTGAAAAGTTATATGTATCACGTATGAACAGAAATAGCATGGAGAACTTTTTGGTTTCGGCAAAGCCAAAGTTTTCATTGTTTACACCTTTTTTTGTGGTTAGTGTGCGAGTCTGTCAGCGAAACCAGCGCTGACAGTAAGGGACTAACGCGCAAAATTCAAACGCCGGGTGAGGGGATCTGTCCTCTAAGCTCACCCCTTATCCATCGGAAAACTTGCGCCTAAACACCAGCCAATGCAGCACAAGAAGAACCCTACCCCGACCTACCTCAACACCTACCTACCGCAGAGAGACCCCGGTTCATGGGTCCATCTGGGATTCAACGACCTGCTGCATCCACCGCCGAATCTGAAACACGACGCCGAGATAATCTTGTATCAGTTCAGTCCTAGGCGGAAGACCATTCCTCTCAGCAAGACAATACATCCTAATAACGAGGTTACACCGGCAAAGATGGACCAGCCGATAATACAGGAGTCGAGGAGTAGTCTCGAAGCCGTCCATCCTGCTCAACGTCCACACCACCTCTCGAGTGATGAACCGGATAGCGAGCCTTCGGAGGTTTTGCCGGGTTTGGCTAATCGTGTCATGCGGCGCATCGTTGTGAGGCGGGAGTGGCATGTTGCCACTGATAATTGCGCGTCGGTCGTCACCGTGCCAGAGTCCACTGGTTTCCACGAGGTCGACGTGCTGCTCGGCTTCCTCGAGCATATATTCGGCGAGCCAGAGGTGGTCCTCGGAGAGTAGAGTGTTGTCGAGACTTGGATGGGTTATCCAGTGAGCAAAATACTGGACCTCGTCGCCATTGTCGCTTCCTTCGTCAGCGCTATCATCATCATCATCAGTTTCCACCTCGAAGAGGACAAGCCTGCAAGTTGGACAAGTGTTGCTACCCTGGCTCTCAGGCGTGCCATTCAACCAAGTCGACAAACAGTCAAGGCAGAAAAAATGGCCGCACTGCGTACGTACAGCCCTCATATCCGGACAGTCATGGTCCGGGAATGCCTCGTTGCAGATGGGGCAACCCCCGGCATCTACAGGGATCTCTGCGGGATTGATCGAGCCAGCTTGCCTCCAGAACTGTTCGCGGTCGCTGAAGGTGACACGGTTTGTCATGGTGTGCTATGGACCACCTATCAGTTATGGTACTTCTTCGTTCTGAGTGCCCGAACGGACGCGACGACTGCTGGGTCAGTGTTGGACTATTGGTAGTCGACGATGTTTCTCGATCAACAAGAGTACACTTCTCCGACGGAAGTGGATGCGCTGGATGGACATTTCATGGCAGCTTCGCCCCCTTTTATGTGCAAATACACCGTCCTGAGGTCCACTTTCACCGGCACAACAATGGCATTGTTGCAGACAGAGTCTAGAATGTCTTCTTTGATTGAGAATAAAGGGCAAGGCGCTGGCTGGTGACGGCCGTACATAGTTACAGACCGGACAATGCATTGTGCTCGATTGCTATCTCTTCGTAGTGTATAGTGCTAAGGCTGTGCGTATAATGCATCCCTCATACTGTAGCAGCTCACGTGAGCCCCGCCGTCATTTTCTCAAGTCACCCTTGCGCCAACAATTAAGATTACACGATCCGATGCGCGGCTTCGACAGAACACGCAACAGACTCGACGCACTTCACATACAACGCACGTAATGCACGTAAGATATCCTCTTGTGTCTAAATAAGTTCATGGTAGGATAAATAATGGTTTCATCTTCCCCTTTTCCTTCCTTCTAGAATTACATCTCTCCCATTCAACGAACCGCCTCCATCAATCTGAGCGAACAGCGACTATGTATATTTGTCTTGCTAAATTCTTGGCCGCTCTTACTGTCTGCTTCCCTACTCTTGTCCGCGCTCAAAACACAGACGCTTCAACCTTCAATCCACCGCAGCTTACACCCTTCATCCAAATCTCGTTCTTGGTAAACTATCCAGTCAACAGCACCACTCTACGGGGCGATGCTGCAACAGTTGCAAACCTTGGAGGTTCGTGATTCGCCATTCTACTCAACCAGCATCATGTTGGTGGAGAGACTTCAGAGTGACGACTGCGCAGGCAACGTGACCGGCGCCATTGAAGCGACCATCGTACCCGTGGGCGCCGCGTACGAGCTGTTCGCGCCAAATACGAACAACACCATCAGCGTACGTATTGCCGCCTTGTTTAGCCCCTCTGTCATCATAACAAGTTCTCACATCCTCCTCCAGTTCTACGAAAACACTCTCAATCTCAACACCAGCACGTCAGCCGTCATACTCGCCTCCTTTGGCGGCGTAACCCAATATGCCAACAACGCGCTCCATGGCTTCGGTCGTGTCAGCTTCACTACGCGCGAAGAGGAGTATCTCTACACAAACTACGGGAGCTACGTTGCGGAGTGGGCAGCAGACTTCAACACGGGAACTGCGGTCATCGATGTCTTCAAGCTTGCGTCTGGAGGAAGGGTGGATGGCGCGCCAATCCCGGCTCTCTTGCCGCCGGGCGGGTCCTAAGCTGCGACGAGTCATGCAGGGTGGTTCGATGGAGCGAACAGCGACGCGGTGGCTGTGGTGGTAGAACAAAATGCTTGGTGCTGTAGGTGCTGTAGTAGGCATTGTCGATAGTGCGTGTGTAGCGATTCGAAGGAGTTACTTGTCCTGCACCTTGATGGACTGCCCGTGCGGACAAGCGCACAAGCGTACCTGGCACGTGACAAAAGCCAACCGTTTCTAGACCCTTGACGGTCGTCTTGAGCGTGTGAGCGTCAACCTTGAAGCTACAATATACGCACCACAAAACGCTCGACAAACGCTTAGGGGCTCCACATCGCTCGAGTCCGTACGCCCTACAATCGCCGACTAACACCATGACGCCTTGACAACTTCCGTCCACAAAATTCAGAACTCCCTGTAGGCCAGTTCGCCAACACGCGCGCCCTAGAGCCATCTTCCCGGAAGCTATACCTCAGCCTCTCCAGCGCTCCCCGGAGCGTTCGGCCTCAACATGCATTTCGCGTTTCCGCCTCGGAAAACCTCACATCCTCCTCCGTACGCCCTGCGCCAGACTAGATCACCTCTTCTACGGAGGAGCAGGCTCCAACTCATCGCTCTCGTCGCTCTCGGCTGCATCGCCGGCCTCTACATGCTGTCCAAGCTCTTCGGTTCCTCCTCCATCACCGAAGCCATACCCGCCGGCACATCACCCGTCGTCATAGTCACCACCCTGGACAAGAACAAGGGCGATGCCTTCAACGAGAAGATAAAACAGAACCGGAAAGCTTATGCCGCGCGACACGGTGTGCGCTCCCTGCACTTCGAGTTCCCCCAAGCCATCCACTGACCTCAATCCCACAGGCTACGCGACCTTCTTCCCCCACACCTCCGACTACCCCCTCGGCGATTCTCCGCACTCCTGGTCCAAAGTTCCCTCCATGCGCCACGCCATGGCTCTCCACCCCCACTCGACCCACTTCCTTTATCTTTCCCCGCTCGCCCTCATCATGAATCCTTCCCTCCCGCTGGATTCACACATACTCTCGCCCTCGCGCTTAGAGAACCTCATGATCGTCGACCAGCCCGTCGTGCCGCCCGACAGCGTCATCAAGACCTTTAGTCACCTCAAGGGCGACAGGATCGACATGGTGTTGACGCAGGACAAAGAAGGGCTCGGCAGTGAGATCTTCATACTCAGGAGAGGAGAGTGGGCGAAATATCTTCTGGACGCGTGGTTTGATCCACTGTACCGGAGCTACAACTTCCAAAGGGCTGAAGGGCACGCGCTTGAGCATATCGTGCAGTACGTTACCCATTCGTCCGCTACGAGGCTGGTCAGAAACCAACCCTGGAAGATCGCGAGCTAATTTGTCTAGGTGGCACGGCACGATATTGGCGAAGCTCGCGCTTGTCCCGCAGCGGATTATGAACTCATACGTCAAGGACGAAAAGGGGAACAACCCCGGGGGTGTGTATCAAGAAGGTGATTTCGTGGCGCATTTCTATGGGTGCGACAAGGCGCCTAGGCACTGCGAGGAGGAAATGGCGCCGTACTTCGCGAAGGTGGCCTCCTGACCCCGTGACGCGGTACATTGTTGCGTTTAACGGGGTCCCGCTCCATATTCGGGATATGAGTGAAAGATCTGGTCTGGCGTCAGGGACATTTGTGCAGGATAGCATCATCTAAGGAGTCGTGGCTTTTAACGGGCTGTCTGTAGGACGTGATGATTGAAAGAGGTCTTTAAACGTGAGTATTGGCGTTATGGCAGCTCCATGCATATAATTGTTTGCTGGCCATTGTACCGGCGCGGGCTGCTGTCCCAAATCTTCATCTAACAAGCGCCCATAAAGCGTGGAGGGCAGTTCCAGCGCAGATGTTGCCGAAGACAGCTCCACCTGTTAAGCATGAATCATACGTGTGATAAGCTTCCTTCCAATGCTCCAGATGCCTGTGACTCGGAGTCTCTTACATGCCACAACTGGGCCCGTGTCAAGCGCGGCGCCGCCAATGCTTCTCCTACGATTTTGCTTTGAATTCCCTACGCTCTCACGTCTTTGCCCCAAGCATCTCTATTTCCCCCTTGACGTCCTCAGTCTCCTTGCAGACCCTCGCGTACCTCGCAGCAATATCCTCCATACCCAGCCCAGCGGCTTCATACCGCTGCAGCATCCCCTTCGCCGTCTTTTCCCGTAACAGAAGCGCCTTTGTCGTAGTCGCCAGATGCGAGGTGTACGCTTCGAGCGCTGAAAGCAGCTCCTCGTCTGGTGTCTGGGTCTGCGTTATTATCCTACGCAGCGTCAGCGCGAGGCCGTCCTTTACCAGGCCACAAGGTCTGTAGCATGTCTAGATGGCAGCTGGCTGTCGGTTTACCAGCACTTACCTAAGCTTCAATTCCATCCCCTTCGCAACGACGGCCAGATGCTCTGCCCGTGCGCGCACGCCGCGGGCAACAGCTCCATGCATTGTCTGCTCGAGGATGCGGATGCCGGTTTCAAGGAGCTGGCGGTGGGTTGCTAGGACTGCGGAAGCGAGGTCAGCGACGGCTGTGCGCTTGCAGGCGACGGAAGAAGCTTTTGATGCATTGTCCTGACGGAGAGACACAGCGGTTGCTCGGAGGCTTGGGACGAGTGATTGGGCGTTGTGGTTTAAGTAGTCTATGTCAAGCATTAGTAGGATGTGGGCCAATGCAGGTTGCAGGACATACCCTCTGGGTACGCAATTTGGGTCAAGAGCTTGGCGATGGTGGTGAGGTGGTCTGATACTGCTGCGGAGACTGGGTTGATGCTCTCCTACGTCGTGGTTAAGACGGATGAATGCTGAGATTCGGGTCACGTCAATTGAAGGCGTACTAGGAAGAATCCGATATCACCGTCTAGCATTTCACGGTCCTCGGCCGTCACTTGCCCCTGTAGTCCTAGCGAGACGAGCTGTATTGCTTCTCGAAGCTCCCACTATCAGCGCGGTCCGGTTTATAGAGCCGACGTGTGAGGTGTCTACCTCAATTGGTAGCTCCGTATCGTGGACTGCAGCGTGCTCAAGGGAAGATAAGAGCACTTGGCGCCTCGCTGCGTCTGTCCGTTTTGACCATAGTGCCTGGAGCCGATCAGCTGCCGGCTTTGGGAACCCATATTACATCCTCAAGTTCCCAGAATTGAGACCGAGTTTCGTACTTCATCAAGCTGTGCTTGCGTTGTTTGCCCGTTTGAATCTTTTGAGGAACCGTCTTGATTGAGTACCTTGACGGAGAGGTCTCGATATAAAGTATTGAAAAGAGAATTGTGCTCCAGCACAGCCTGCTCAAGTGCCGGAAGCATGTGGATGAATTGTAAACCTAGGTGCGGATGTTGCTGCTGGTTAGCATCTCGTTCAACTATCGAACTTCCAGGCATGATTGTGACGGTTTGCGTGACTCCAATTAACTGTATGTATTGCCTCTGCAAAGTGGTCTTAATTGTTGCTTCCGGTTTAGTTGCGGCTCTAAGGGGATGTCCTCCAGATCAAACTGGATATATGGGATGGACATTTGGTTTCTTCCATGGACCTTATAGTAGAGGATTGCGATATCTGAGTTTCATGGCCACTCATTCAGGAAGCATGATGATACGAGAAGTAAAGGAAGAAAGGACCACTTGAGGAAGGAGGACTGGTCCGCAATCATAAAGACGCTGCGGAAGAGATGGAGTTTTCTCTGCCTTTTAGATTCTGAACTTGCAGATGGGTTTGCTGAAGTGATTATTCCAACCAACTGCGCAGACACAATTGGGGTTCACACTAGATCCGTATAAGTGATACGATGTCTACAGAAAGATGCCATGTTGTACTTTACCAAGCTCAGTGACACCAGGTTTTTCTGTCGTTGACCGGTTTATAAACAGCCTTCCACGTGACCGTCAACTATCTTCATCACTCTTCACTCGATTCCGAACGCGGTCGAAGGATTTTCCGCTTTGTCGACCGAGGGGCCCGCCAAGCCGCTAGCGCCTGTTTCGGCGGAGCTTCTTTCAAACCACCTCGATTTTCCCTTCACTCACCGCTTTGGCACTTCACTCAAACTTCATCTCCTTCTGTCGATAGACTACTCCCAACAGACTGCGCGGGTATCCTCGTCAGCTACACACTTTGAATACGAGAACGCGCGACATCATCCAACAATCTCACCCGAACTTACGACCTTCAACATGGCAGCGCAACCTGATATTTCCTCGATCCTGGCAGCCCTAGGTGAGTCGCTTCTCCGACTTTAACTGTAACGTCAGGCGGCAGCTAACGGACCAATTCAAGCTGCCCAGCGACCTGGCGCAACCCCTTCTCAGACGCCGCAACAACCTCCACAGCCGCCGCAACTCATGGCGCCGGGTCTCCCTCAAGGCTATCCGGGAATGATGCCTGCTTCAACACCACAAACTGGAATACCTGGGTACGCCTTGCCGCAACCCTCAAACACGGGCAGTCTGGATATAAGTGCAATCAAGCCGGTTAGCACTGGTTCGGTCAGCATTGCCGATGCAATTGCAAAGGCAAGAGGGATTGCAGCAGAGAAGGGATTAGCGTACGAAGCAGGGCGCGGTAGTGCAGGTAGATATCCTTCCGACGCTTCGCCGACCTTCGCGCAAGCATTCCATTAACTTTGACCTTGTCAGCTCCTCCGCGCGAAGATCCTAGACTCGCTGGACGCCAATACCGCCGCTCGCGATCGCACTCACGTTCTCCACCACGGCGAGAAGTTCGCGACAGCTACAACCCTTACCGTGATGAACGGCGGGACGACCCACGAAGAGGCGGCAATCCGTACGGTAGGGATCGCTCGCGCTCGCCAGCGCCTCGTGGACGTGAAGCGTTCTCTCCTGCCCGCTACACGGCGACCAGGAACCGATCGCCGCCAGGTCGCGCTGATGACGAGAACGTGGAGACGATCATGGTTGACTCGGCCCTTGTGGGTCTGGTAATTGGACGGCAGGGAGAAAATCTACGTCGTGTGGAACAGGATTCGGGCACCAGGATACAATTCATAACTGGCCCAGACCAATCCGGACCGCAGCGGCAATGCAAAATCACCGGCAACCCTCGGGCGCGTGCTGAAGCGAAAAGAGAGATTAATCGCATCATCAATGAGAACGGTGGAAATCCAGCGAGAGACGTTCCGCAGGCCAATCGTGGCGGCAGTAGCGGGGGTAGAGGTGGAGGAAGAGGGGATCAGAACAAGGGGAATCAACCCGCACTTCGTGAAGGGGAGAACAGCGTCCAGATAATGGTGCCAGATCGAACCGTTGGACTGATCATTGGTCGTGGTGGAGAAACGATCCGCGACTTACAGGAACGAAGCGGCTGTCATGTCAATATCGTGGGTGAAAACAAAAGCATCAACGGCCTCCGTCCAGTGAACTTGATCGGAACACCGCAGGCTGCTGCCCATGCCAAGGAGCTCATTATGGAGATTGTGGACAGCGACACCAGGACACAGATGCAGGGCAACCAGCAGCGGGACCCTGGACGTGGCGGCGGAGGACACGGCTCCCACGGCAACGACAATTACGCCGGTAGCGATGGCGGGAATAACAAGATCAACGACACTATCTCTGTTCCTTCCGAGTCCGTTGGCATGATCATTGGCAAGGGCGGCGAGACCATCAAGGAGATGCAGAACTCCACTGGATGCAAAATCAACGTTTCTCAGGCGACCGGTCCGGACGTCGAACGAGAAATCGGCCTCGTTGGAACGCGGAGTGCCATCGAGGCTGCCAAACGGGCTATCTGGGACAAAGTGGATACGGTAGTAAGGATCCGACCCTCTTGTGTATGTCGGATGTTGAGGCTAACCCCTGCGCAGCGTGAGAAGAACGGTGCGAGAGGAGGCGGCCGTGGAGGTGGACGTGACAACGACAACTATAGTGACCGTTACTCACAACCACAGCAGCAGCCGCCCTATGCTCAGGGCGCAGGACAGGGAATGCCGCCTCAAGTGCAACAGGGCGTTCCCCCTGTCGTCGGAGGCGATGCTGGTGCCGCTGACCCATATGCCGCATATGGCGGATATCAGAACTACGCCGCGATGTGGTATGCCGCCATGGCCCAGCAAGCAGCACAGGGCCAAGGTGGGCAACAAGGACCACCCGGAGCCTAGACCGACCGCGTGACATGTCCGCCGTGACGTTCGTTGATGCACTTGAGCTTGTTGCACTCGACGACTGATTGCATGCATGCATGACACCTGGGCTATGTCGCCGCTCTCTCACCTTGTGGCCTGACTTGGATTGCTCGCCTGCTCGTCCTCGACTGCTCTGACTCGCACTCGTCAATCTCGCTGATCTCACTGAAACATGGCTGATGCTCGATGCTGGACTGATCACCTGCTGCGCTGTCGTGCTTGACTGCTTCCTTCGGATCAATGAACATCTCGACCTGCAACGGACCTCTTGCGGTCTGAAGAACGATTATGAAATGGCCGCACTTGCTCATCCAACGATTGACCACGCACTGAATGCTCCGGTCGTAGCCTGGACACTCATCTCTTGACTTCTCACCACCTCGTTGACGCATTATGTTCACCGGCGTGAGCTCAACATCTGATTCTTCGAACGCGGACTCCTTGCCTTGGACATACTGGAGTTGTCGGCGGCTACACATGCATATGCTGGTCCCTGCTCTGATGCATGATTGCTTGACCTGCAATAGCTATTTCTTCTTGTTTACAAACCCGGCTGAAGCGAAACCTGGCGACGAGACGACCGCTCATCGACACATGGCCTGACGTCGATACATGGTTTACTATACGGCTTGCGGAAATGGGCAGGCGGTCTCACTGTGCAATGGTTTCGCCTCTTTGCTTTGTTTCCCTCGTAGCTTGCGGCTTTCTGTATCTTAAAACTTGATTGAGATAACCGTATCCACGTGATATGGTGTGCGTTTTCAAAATGCCATTCACAGCTTCCGCAACAATCCACCAAGGCGCGGCATGGCCGTCCTGCGGTAAGGAGATTTGCCTTGCTTCGGCTAGTAATTGCCGTATATGGCGGAGCGTGTCTAGGTAGGTTTCTACGGTTCGGATAACGTCCGCAGGACGCGCCTGCCGTTTTGACGGCGATGTTGATCCCCCGCATTCACCACCTGTACCAAACGTCCATGGACTTGGCATAGAAACGCGGTTCGCAGTTGCGGGGCTTTACTAAATGCTCTTCATGCAGAGCCCGGATTCGGTATACACGCTTTCTGCTCTGCATAAGAACTTCATTCCCCATTCTCTTCGCTGTCCTGACAACCCTCTACCTTCACCACTCAAAGCCCTCTTGAGCAGCTTCGACAATGGGATTTAGCATCGCTTCGGTTTTAGCACTCATTGCATTTTCCTTACTCGTTCTACGCCTCTTGCGAGTAGGCAGGAGGCCAAAGGGGTATCCTCCTGGTCCGCCAACCTTGCCGGTTCTGGGCAACATCCACCAGGTATTTATCTAGTTCATACCCTCCGTTAAAAAGAACGTTTAAACGCTTTGCTGATCTTCCTAGATGCCAACTCATGACGCCCATAAGCAGTTTCAGAAATGGGCCGAGGAGTATGGACCCGTCTACAGCTTGATCCTGGGCACGAAAACCTTGATAGTCCTTTCAAGCGATCAGGCTGTCAAAGACCTGCTAGACAAGCGGAGTAACATCTACAGCGATCGACAAGACATGTACATCGGCATGACTCTTTGCAGCGGAGGGTTGCGTGTGCTGATGATGGTAAGCAAACCTCTATCCTTTGCGAGCGGGCGGTTACTGACTGACGACTACAGCGATATGGGCCTGTCTGGCGGTCGGTAAGTATACCAAAGCACATGCTAGACAGTGTTGTCGCACTCCGGCTGATGAACTGCCGTTGTAGTGCAGAAAGATGATCCATGCCTTGCTAAACGTCTCTGCCGCTCGATCTTACGTACCTTACCAGGTTATGGAAAACAAACAGATGCTCTATGAGCTCTTGAAGAAGCCAGACCAGTACTTGAATAGCATTCGGCGGTACTCCAACTCGCTAACCACAAGTATGGTGTTTGGGTAAGACCGTGGCTACCTCTCAGCAGCGGTGACGGATGCTGATATCGACAGCTGGCGCTCGCCCGAATACGAGAACGAAGACGTGAAGCAGCTCTTCGAGGGCTTCGAGAAGTTCTCGATTATCAACCAGACCGGCACCGCCGCGCTCATCGACTTTTTCCCCATTCTACGACGGCTGCCTGATTGGGTGCTTCCAACTCAGAAGAAGGCCAAGGAGCTTCACGAGCACGAGAAACGTCTCTACCTGAAGCACTGGCTCAATTGCAAGCAAGCCATCATGAGTGGTACTGCCAAGCCCTGCTTCTGCGTCAACCTTGCCAAGATCCAAGAAGCCGAGGGTCTCAGCGACGACCAAGCCGCGTATATATCTGGGACGCTACTTGAAGCCGGGTCGGACACTACCTCGAGCACTTTGACGGGCTTCCTGCTCGCCATGGTCGTCTTCCCGGATGTCCAAAAGCGGGCCCAGGATGAGATCGACCGTGTAGTCGGACCCAACCGCTTACCGGACATGGACGACGAGCCGAACCTGCAGTACATCCGTGGCTGTGTCAAGGAGTGTCTCCGCTGGATGCCAACGACCATACTAGGAGCCGTACCTCATGCGGTGACAAAGGATGACGAATACATGGGTTACCACATCCCAGCCGGTGCCGGGGTCCTCAACAATGTCTGGAGCATCAACATGGACGCGAAACGATATCCCTATCCTCGCCGCTTCGATCCGGAGCGCTATGCCGATGACTTTCTAAACGCATCCGATGCCGCAAGTAACCCTGATGCGTCGAAACGTGATCATTTTACTTTCGGAGCCGGGCGCCGTATATGTCCGGGTATCCATGTTGCGGAGCGGAGCTTGTTTCTCGGCGTCTCACGCATGCTGTGGGCGTTTAATTTTGAGCCGGCTGTTGATATGGCAGGAAAGCCAATTATCCCAGACATCGAGAAGCTGACGCAGGGGTTCGTTTGTATGCCCGAACCGTTTCAGGCCAGAATTGTGCCAAGGAGCAAGGAGAGGGCGGATATGGTTACCAAGGAGTGGGAAGAGGCGAAGCAGCAACTGGACCCGGTGAGCATGCAATGGAAGAGCGTGCCGGAGGGAATGGCGCTGCCGAGCGTGGATAAGAACTTGCAGGACTAGACAGAGGCCGAAAGGCATGGTTGAAGTCCGCGAACCTACCGGCCAACCGTGCATTACGTAGCAATTGTAGCATATGGTTCTCTCAGAGGAGTACATAGCGGCGCTGTAAAGCCTTGTGAGGAGTTCTTATGTGCCTTAGACGCTACATCATAGCTCTTCGTGCAGACTCTCTAGATGCGTGCTCAGGAAGTCACATATCAAGCCCGCCATCTTCTTGCCACCCTGAATGCTCGGCTCGACACGCGCAACGTAATCCGCAGACGTCTTTCCATCCAGCATCGTGAAGACCGGACAAGGAATCACCCGAGTCCCTGGGATAGCAATCTCCTTCGTCCCAAGCTCATATACCTTGCGGATAGCCGCCTGGAGGCGTTGCGGCTGGGCATCGTATCCCATCATAGCCAAAGTGGAATCTGCCCATCCTGGTGCTGAGTCGTGGGAGTTCTCATCGGGATAATAGATCATGCACACCATCACCGCGCGCGGCTTGTTCTTCTGAATCAAAGCCTCGACGTAGGTACGGATTTTGTCACGAAACAGGTGGACAAAGTACGGCATGCCTGGCGCGGTTCCATTGTTAATGTCGGCGAGGGGAGACTGGAGTAATCGACCCATGTTTTCGATCGTTGCTGGCGTAGGCGCAAGCGCGATATCATTCGCGCCCACGGACACGACCAGGAAGTCGCGTTGCGAGATGTGATCCCTCACGAACTGGTCCTGCTTGAGCAGCTTTCCTCTGTCACGGTTGGCAAGGGTTGTAGCCTCGATGGCGCAGTTCAGCGTCGTTGCTCGGGCACCTAGCTTCTCGTTCATCCAGAAGGCTACATCGCGTATTGCTCGAGGTGGCTGCAACACGGATTGGTACAGTGGTGGAGCGGAACCTGCATACTTGTCTTGCAGAAGGTCATTTGGGTCCGTCTTGGGGAAGAGCCAGTGCTTGTTGTCCAGCGAGGAATCGCCTGCTAGATAGACGATAGGTCGCTCCGGTGCTTGCTCGCGCACTGCGTTGTAGAGAGTATCAAGGCTCCGCAGGGGATGGCCGTTGTATTCACTGTAGAACTCGAAGGCGTCAACCATTCTCGCTACTGTGGTTGCGGTTGGGCGCAAGAGATTCGTCCAAAACTTCATGTTGCCAGGTTCAAGATACCATCGCGGTGTGTAGTGCGCTGTCTCTGCGAAGTTGATGTCGGGACTTGGCTTGACGTAACTTCGAGTCGTACACTGCCTCACTCCTTGCGGCTGACTAAAGCCTCTATGGAGCGCCTGCATGAAAGGCACAACCTATTGGAAGACAAACAGTCTTAGGAATACATTCGTGCGGACTCAACCATCCGAATAGAAGCACCGCAATTCGTTCGACCTCCAGAATTCCATAATCCCCCAACTAACGCGGATCTACAAATCTGCGACGCAACAAGCTGCTCTCCCAACGGTAGGCTTGCCATGTGGAAATGTTGAGACTATTTGGCCGTGATCTCATCAATGAACCCCAAACATCGAAGACTGCCTCTCTGCGCGCTGATAAACCCTCGTTGAATCGTGAGCCGTAGCTGTATACCATACGCTAGCCTCTCCTTGCCACTTAGATTGAGATGAAGAAGCTCTTCTCGCCCTCCTTCGGCTCTACCATCGACCGTTTAACAATCGGGTCCGCACAGCTCACCCTGATCCTCTCCACGGTGGCCGGGCTACGCAAACTCAACACGCTCTCTTCGCCAAACTGCTTCCTCGCAGCCTTCAACGCATCCCGAATAGCAAAGAAAACCGCACTGCCCATGAACAATGGCGGTTCGCCGACACCTCTGCTCCTTTGAATTGTTCTGAGGTTCTCCCACTCAACGTCCTTGAGCAAGCTGACGTTGAACTCCTGAGGAATGTCCCTGAAGCCTGGGATCTTGTACGCACCGGGCCCGCGCGTGAAAATCTGACCAGAAGCACGGTGCCACAGCATCTCTTCCGTGGTGAACAGGCCCTGTCCCTGCACAAACGCACCCTCTATCTGACCGTAGTCGATGGCTGGGTTGATAGAGCGTCCGACATCCATCTTGATATCTGCACGCCGGCATGTCCAGTCGCCGGTCAAGGTGTCAATCTCCACTTCTGCGGCCGTTACGCCTTGGGTAAAGTAGTAAAACATCTGTCCGGTGTTGGGTCCCCAGATGTACCCTATATCCGGCGTCTTGTAGAAGCCATTTGCCGATAGGTTCACGCGGTCAAAGTATGCTGCGTGCGCGAGGTCCTTCATTGTGGCGTCTGGTCCTAGCTTCTGGCGATACGGCTCAAGCCGCTCGTTCAGCTGGGCGCAAGCGTTCCAAATGGCATATCCGTTGAGATCTGAGGAGGCGGAAGCGGCGGTGGAGGAGCTGTTGGGGACGGTGTTGGTCATGGTCTCGGAGATATGCACGTTCTCTTGGGGAACTTTGAGAGCCTCGGCGGCGATCATGATCATCTTGGTGTGTAAACCTTGGCCCATTTCTGTGCCTCCGTGGGCGACCAGTACAGAGCCATCGTGGTATATGTGCACAAGCGCACCGGCTTGGTTGAGGAAGATGGCGGTGAACGAGATGCCAAACTTGGTAGGAATGAGCGCAAGGCCGCGCTTATTCCATTTGTGGGTCTTGTTGAACCCCTCCACCTCCTGTCGGCGGCGGGAATACTCCGATTCTTCTTGGACTTGTTTGTACATCAACGGTACGAACCAGTCTTTCAATTCTTGATTGAAGTGCGTCACCTCACCTGGCTTGTACATGTTGATCTCTCGAAACCTTTCAACAGGTATACCGAGACGGTCGGCTACTTCTGACATGTACGACTCGGCGATGAACATACCCTGAGGGCCGCCGAAGCCACGGAAAGCTGTGTTGGACACTGTGTTGGTTTTGGCTATTCGACCTCGAACGTAAATGTTCGGGATAAGGTAAACACCGTCAATGTGGGAAAGTGCCCGATCGACGACAGCGCCGCTGAGGTCCTGGCTCCAACCGCCATTGTTGAAGACATCAGCATCAAGTGCTTGGATTTTGCCGTCGTTATTGACCGCAACCTTCCACCTAGCGAGGAACGGGTGTCTTTGGCCAGATGTCATGATATCCTCGTCACGATTCAGCATGCACCGGACAGGCCGACGCGTTTTGTTAGCGGCAACCGAGCAGATACCAGCTAGCTGGATCGAACGCGTTTCTTTGCCACCGAAGCCGCCACCCATCCGACGGACGCGGCAAGTAACCTTGTTTGCAGCAACACCAGTGACTTGAGCACAGTAGCTTTGTCTGTTCTAATGTTAGTACTCCCTTTGGACTTGATAGGATCAAAAGACTTACGTTTCTGCAGGGTTCTGCGTACTGCTGAAAACCTCCAGCTCGCCATCTTCCGGTTTTGGTACGACTACACATGCTTGTGTCTCGAGATAGAAATGCTCCTGGCCTCCCATTCTTGCCACTCCAGTGAAGACGTGGTCAGCTTTAGCGAAGGCCGCCTCAGTGTCGCCCTTGTTTATGTAGCGGTAGTGGTCGAAGTAGCTCTCATGCTGGATAGCTTCCTCAATGGTAAAGATAGCCGGAAGCTCCTCGTATTGCACGTATACTGCTTTCGCAGCAGCTTCTGCATGCTTCGCCGTATCTGCTAGGACCATACCAATGGGCTGCCCAGCGGTGAAGACCTCGTCGATAGCGAAGAACGTTTCGTCGTTGCAAGGGGCGCCCCACCAATTGGCCTCGGGATTTGGAAGGTCATTACGGTCAACCCAATCGACAACGCCGGGAAGCTCCATGGCTGGCGAGGGGTCGACCGTGAGAAGCCTTGCATGGGCCTTTGTTGAGAGAACTAGACATCCGAAGAGCTCATTCTGTTGTACTGGTATATCGTCGGTATACTGAGCTTCGCCAGTGCACTGCTTCATAGCAGCAACATGTGGTCTTTCGGAACCGAGAATCTTCTGCTCATAGGCCTTTGCCGCCTGGTGATCTTTGCGTCCGAAAGAGATCACCCGCTCAATCTCGCCAATAGCTTGGGCGTCCACCTCTGTCCCTTCTTGCCGTAGCTCTGCAAGGACCTCGTGATAAAACTTGTAGAAAAATCCAAGTGCAAGTGACTTGCGAAACGTTGCCATGCCACCGGGCACACCGTACCGCAAATCAAAGTCTTGCTCCAGCGCGTTCATTACACCTTCGATTGTGGCCGGATCTGTCCATTTCTTTCCGCTCAGATATTCGATTGCTTTCTTTGCGGCGATAGTGACGGGCGCCATGCCGCCGTAAACAAGCATGCACTTCTCCACGGTGTATGTATCGTCAAGAGTAACTTGTAAGGCAGCGTTTACGATGGCAATATCGTCGTCCTTCCGCTTCGCTTGCTTGTATGCACGTAGGTATTCCCCCTTCGCTCGTGCGGCCGGTATCCGTATGCTTGCAATGATCTCATCTGGCCCAAGTGCAGTGACCCTGTATGCCTTGAAGAACTCAGACATTGAGATCTCGGTCGTCTTGCTCAGCGACTTTGCGACTATAGTCGCATTGGAGGCCATCAGCACCGGGTTGAGATCAGAGATGGGCGAGGCGGTGGCCAGGTTCCCGGCAGGCGTACCAACATTCCGGATCTGTCGGCCGGCGAAGTATCTGATCTGCTTAAGAACGGCCGTGAAAGGCTGGCCCCGCGCCTCGCCGTAGTGCTTGACAGCTTCCCGACAGATGTTCTCGAGGTCAGTAAGAACAACGTTTCCGCCGATTTCTAGGCAATCTTCCTTGAAAGAGTATTGTCGCAGTTCCTCGATGTCGCCCACATATACGGATGCTGTGTACTGCATGCCTTTGAACTTGACCTCAATCTGCGTCTCCGTGCTTCCACCGATAATCTTAGCTGACGGAAAGGCACTCTTTATCTCCAGAAGCTGTTGTAGAGTCACCGGACGGAACCACCGCTTGCGCTTGTTGCCGAAAGCTAGTGGCTTGAAATTATGCTTTCGGAGTGATGGAGGGAAAATGAGCTCTGTATCGGGCTTATACTCAATAAAGCTTGGGGCCTCGAATGTCTTGCCTGGCTGCGAGTCGCCATCAACGCCGTTCTTACAACATCCGCCAACGGCGCCATTCTCCATGCAGCATCCACTTCCCCCGTTGGCTAATGACTTGCCGCACGCCCTTTCTGCGCTAAAGGTCTGCGCAGCATCCAGTATAGGCCTATATCCCGTACACCGGCATAAATTGCCATCGAAAGCTTCTTCGACCTTGTGTTCGGAAGGATTTGGATCTTCGCGGAGGAGAGCGTAAAGGCTCTGACCAATGGTCAGCTAACAGCTTCCAAGTTCGCAGTGCAAACACCCACCATGACTATTCCAGGCGTGCAGAAACCGCATTGGCTGCCGTTGCTTTTGGCTATGCGCTCCTGGGCCGGGTGTGGTCGCTTGACATTGCCAATGCCCTCGACGGTAATGACATGCTTGCCATCGACGCTGATGACTGGGGCAAGACAGGCGTTTACTGAGGCATGGTAGATCTTTTTGCTTGTAGGATTGTATTGAGAAACGACTACAGTGCAAGCTCCGCATCCTCCTTCAGCACAGCCCAACTTGGTCCCTGTGAGACCAATGCCTCTTAGATACTCCAGCAGTGTGACCTCTGGATCTGCAGCATCCAGCGTAACCTTTGTGCCGTTCAGATAGAACCGTATGGTATCGTCGTAATCGGCTGTCACGGATGCTAGCGACCTTGTCGATTCCGCTGGAGCCGCCGGTTCTACGAGCCCCGGAGCCATCTTTATAAGAGGCGCGTCTTCGAGAGTAAATGATACCCCGCAGGCGTGAGCTGCTGTACTATAATCGGAAAGCGAAACCAACAGAAGCAGCAAGCAGAAGCGGGATTCGAAGTGGACGAAATGAGACGGGTATATAGATAGGAATCCGAACTTCGCGGCAAGGAAAGACCGGGGGCTATCGAAGAGAAACCTGGGAAACGGAAGAAGCAAGCGAGGAGAGATAGAACATGTATTTCACCTTATCATACAGGTGACAGGAAGCTCGCGCTAATCTTACTTTGCGGCGTCCTGCCTGCGCTGCTGTCCGAAACGCAGGGAGCCTCGGAGCCGCCCGAAGCTGTCTGGAGCCCCTCTTGCCTAAAAGGGAAGTACCGTAAAAGTCACTTCATGAGCACACGAGCTTAGCATGCCCAAATGTTCTTGCCCCGAGTACTACCTACTTTTGCTCGATATAAGTTTTTTTTGGGGATCTCGAGAACGGCGGAACAGCCGTGGTGCTGAGAGCATTCGGGAGACATGATGTACAGTATATCACGTGGGGTGTCGGGAAACGGCACGTGGTTGGTGGATAGAGTGACTTCACGAACTACTTGCACAAGAGGATGGAGGATTCGTCGAAGTCTTTAGTGTCACTCCAAGTGTATCCGGCGCAAGAGAGCGCTCGTTAAATACGTGATATGCTTGTGTCAGCCACAAGGAATCCATGGCGCCAACGCTGCGTATTAGGCAGCATCCTAGATCTAACAGCTTCGAAATCGTTCAGGAACGTAAAAGTCAGGTCCTTGAGTGCGGACTCATGGACATACTGAAAAGGGTGAAGTGCAGATCTAGCTCATCTTTCGACTTTTGAGTTCCAGTCGCGGCTATCGGGTTTCCATCAGACGAAAACGAGCGCGTGGGTTACCGATGCATCGTACACCGATTGAGTGCATCCAGCAGCTCAGGCCGTTCCGCTAGAGCCTGTGCCGCTTGCGCATAAGTCATCCATTGTCTCCCTCGCTTGTGCATCTCCGGCCACTGCGCCTCTTGTTTCTCCACAACTGCCTCGAAGAAATGGTATGCCGCTTTAGGCGCTTGGGAGGTCAACTGCTCCGGTTTCCGTCTCTCCGGGACAATACCCAGATCGTACGTGATCTTGCAGATGATCCCGGCTTCTTCCCAAGCTTCGCGACAGGCGGCATCTTGGGCGGTTGCCTCATCGGTTTCCCAGCCGCCCTTCGGTAACACCCATCCGCCGCGACGGGTGGACTGGATGAGGAGAACGTAGTATTTGTCTGCGGAAAGGGGTACGACACCAGCAACTAATCGCTCGCCCTGTGACCCATAGCCTATACGGTAGCGTTGTCAGGCACTATACGAAAATTACGCAAGGCTGGGTGGCTCGACCAGGAAGGTACCTTAGCGGAATGTCACTCACGTTGGTTGCTCCGGCCGGTTCGTGCCTCCATAGACATTGATTGCTGAGCCATGTGTACTCTCCACAGGGTTTTTGTAACAGCCCACTGTGCTCCGGTGCGTTCCCGACGTATGATGGGAAAGCCACAGTAAAGACACCGGTGAACTTGTAGTGCGGCCGGAGGAGGTAGTGTTTCTAAAGGAATGGCGGTCTATTCTGACACAGCGAGCGGGACAGATATCGGACTGGAGTACGGGAGTGGCAGAGATGCTGCGAAGCGGAGAGGTCTCAGTCCCGTGGAGGACCACGCTGAGGGGGTTGAGATTTGTCGTCGAACATAGCTAAGGCTTCCGGTCGAGTTTGTTTTATTAGAACTGGAAGAAGCGTGGGAGCTAAAACGGCACCTTGTCACAGCCACCGATTGGTTCCAAGGATCCGCGCTGCATGGGCATGGAAAGGCTTTAGAACGGAGGGAAAGGTGTGTTCTTGAGCGCCTGCAGAAAACGCCGAGGGCTGACAATAAACTTTTCCGGGAGCGGCCATAGGGCTACACCGTGACCCTGATTCTCTGCCTCCCCTTTCACGAGAACAGCTGTCCTGGACAACCCCCAAATCACGATACACGGGTACACTCAGAAGGGGCTCTAGCACCGGAATTATTGAATGCGAAGGGCGGGAACTACTGCAGCTTTGTCGGGTCAGGTTAGGAACACAGTGCTGCTGCCAGCGGTCAAGAGCCCAGCCGGAAAGATGCACGCTGCAAAGCGCTCACGGTGAGTGCCTGCGCTGACTCCGTCCTTGCACGTGCAACGGCAGAAAACGCCGTACTCGAGTAATATCAGCCTGTCAGCTAGTTAAGTTACCTCAAGGTAGGTACCTACCTGTGTGCATTAGTTACCTATCCTAGGCAGTCGCCTTCGCTAGTATCACGACTTGCTGCGGGACGGCACACGTCCACTGGAAGTTCAGGTCCTCGGCTTCACTTTGTACCTAGGTACCCGAGCTACCATCTCTTCTGCCGTAGCTGCCTCGCAGGGCGATTGTTCCCCACACTAAACCCGGTGCTCAAGCTACCCACGCTTCGTGTGCTGCAGCCATGCAGGCTCTCGCGGCTGATGCCAACGTCAAGCCGCTATCCATCTTAACACCCATCGGTACGTGTTCCCTCAGTTCGGCCCGGCATGGACGACATCCTCACTCCGCATGCTACCGCTCTTGGCTGCTGCTACTGGCATTTCATCTCTCAAGTATCTGGCGACTTGGACGGGCTGACGTACTTGTTCTGTAGGATACCAGTCTGGATCCTGTGGTTATTGCAAACAGTCTTCGTCAAGTCAGAGAACCCCCAATTCCCGTGCGTGGGTGATCCCCATGTTACTCTTCATCCCTTCTGGTCAATACACAGCATAGAGATCGATGTTCGGATTCTCGTCGTCTGTGTCTGCTGCGTTGCATTGTCAGACAACCCTCTGCCCTAGATTGTGGTGGTGCCCCCAATGAATACGGGAGCGTCTATCGTTCGACTCAGGTCGCTTTGACATACCATGTCGACTTCAATCGCGAGCAAACCAAGCACCCGCCGCGGACTTCTGACCGAGAAGCCTGCTCTGTTAATATCGTTTAGACCTTGGTCAACGAGCTTTGACTTCCTAATGCGATACTGTCTTTGTCCAACACATCATGCATTGATACGGTTCTGACAGCCATGACAGGCGCATCATACTATGCCGTGACGAACTCCCTAGACGTTGAGCACTATCAAGAGCTTGTCGACCGTGGATGGAGAAGGTAAGAACTGTCAACGGTGCTCCCTCGGACGTGCGTATGCTCGGATGCAGCAGATACGCACTGGAAGCACGTAAGCGCATGCAGAGTAGAACACTGAGGATAGGAGTGTCCAGGTCAGGCACGCTGTTGTACAAACCCGATGTACTACGATCCTGTTGCCCTCACTATACCATCCGGTATGCATAAGTCCATATAGCGGAGACGCCCCATCTAATTCATACTCCAGACTGCCAGTAGCTTCTTTCAAGCCCCGGAGAGATCAAAGACAAGCAATCAATCGGTGGAACAGATATGTGGCTGGCGAAGCATACTATGCAGAGGCGGCGAGATTACGCCCAAAGTCGAAGGGGTAGGGCATGTTGTTATCAGCGCTGCTATGCTTTGGCTGATGTTGAACAGAGAGAAAGCTCGTCAGAGAACTGAGTTCGACCTGATCGAAACCGTACACGAGAGCGAGTATGACCGACTTCCCGAACCGCCGGAGCAAGAGCACCAGTTCAAGGTCACGCTGGAGCCGGATACCTTTACAGAAGAGAAGTTCAAGTTGTATGCAAATTACCAGCAGGTTGTACACCACGACAAGCCGTCTGAGATCACGCGGACGGGGTTCAAGCGCTTTCTCTGCGGATCTCCGCTGCAGCGGACGTCGCGCGCCCTGAACGGAAAGACTCAATCACTTGGTTCTTTCCACCAATGCTATCGACTTGATGGCCGGCTTATCGCAATAGGCATTATCGACCTTCTGCCCCACTGTGTCAGCGGCGTGTACTTCATCTATCACGAAGACTTCGAGAAATGGAGCTTCGGCAAGCTTAGTGCTCTGCGGGAAGCCGCGTTGGCCTTGGAAGAAGGATACGAGTTCTATTACATGGGCTACTATATCCACCCGTGCACCAAGATGAGGTACAAAGGAGAGTACAAACCGCAACACGTGCTGGATCCGGAAACGAATGAGTGGAACCCCCTCGAACCGGAGATCAGGCAGCTGCTCGATAATAAAAAGTTTGTCTCGCTGTCACGCGAGCAACGGCTGAATGAAGCTGCACCCGAAACCAGTGAGCCGGAGAAAGTCGACCTCGACCGTACGGACATCGATGGCTATCAGTATGGAAGTCCTACGGAAGCGGCAGGAGCGGCGAATTCGGGTTTGTCCTTGTTCAGCTTCCGCATGCCAGGCATCATGACTTTGGAAGAGCTCATGACCCAGGTAGACCTTGGCAAGATCTCGATAAGTCTCGGTGGCGGAATGCTAGTGAAGATGGAGGTGAGTGATTGTCGTCATCCTTTAGTCAAATGCAGGCTCTGGTGCAGGATCACCACACTTTGCTGACTCCGCCGCAGGATCTCGTGTCATTTGAAGATAGCTCTCCCCTTGACTCGCATTCGTTGAAGGGGCTGATAGCAGAGTTGGCTGCATGCGTTGGTCCGATTGTGGCAAAGGAGATGGTGGTGAAGCTGAGTACTTGAAGACATGGATGTACCGCGCCATCAAGGAATTTTCATGAGATATCGACGGCGATGTGGCGTTTGTTCCAATGACTCTAGACTTCTCTTCAGCCGGCCTTCTTCGGATCGTGAGAGGTCACGAAGCCTGGCACAAATACATTATACCTTGACCTGTTCCCTATGTTGTCAAACTTTTCAGAATACGTCTCAGTGCAGATACTTGGTCAAAAGACATTCCTTCACTGTCAGTCTTCAATTACTCCCACTAGGCCGCAAGTCTTGGTAACAGAACATCGATTTTTGCGTCCGTGTCGGAACAACAAGCTGAACCAGATCCCGTCAGGCTTCGGACGGCCTCGCTGGAACCAAGATATCCTTGGCTTTACGGGGGCGACACTACAAAAGATCCTGAAGCCTTGTAGGTCGACGGGACGAAGCTACGTCACTAGGATATGCCGTGCAGACAGCTCTCCCTATTGAGGTCAGCCTAAGATGCGTCAACGCCATACCCTCGTCACAGCGTGGCTAAAGATCTCGGGTGATGACGACCCCATGACCACAGCGTGGCCCTGCGGTTATGCCAGAATGCATTCACTGCAAGCTGTAGGTCGGTGCGCAATTACGTGGGCCAGGTGCTCGTGGTTCCTTACTTTCCCTGCACTATCTTCTTACACTCTGCCCTCAAGTTAATCAATTGGAACTTAGCTCAGTATCGAGAACCATCACTGCAAGCAACATACAGACACAAGTCAACGCAAGTAGGACTTCATTGACCAACATGTTCTGGATCAACGGTATCGGCGTACGCGAGCGGGATCTTCCTCGAGAAGTGACCTGCCTACATCTCCAACGATGGGGCCGATGCGGCTTAGGGCTGCCTCCCCTCCTACGATGCTATGTCCTCCACCGAGATGACAACAACTGGGACAGCAACGGGCCCTACGATTGCGTAAATCCAGAATGCCCTGGCCACAAGTTCCCTTTGGGACCGCCGTGCTACGGACCACAAGGCGTCACCCTTGCCCGATTATTCTGTGCGACTGGCTTAGACCGAGATAGCGACCAACTGGACTATCCAAGAGCGGGGATCTTTGCAATGGAAATTGGGGCATTGATAGAGAAAGATATTCCCGCCTCGGACTGGCACCGCTTGCCTCATGATCCAGCCGATGATCCGTTCGAGGCAGTTGCAAATGCTTTCGGGTTTTTCAGAGCGCAGCCTGATGGCGACTTCGATGAGCAATGGATCAACCATGGGGAGGCGGCGGTCGCCAGCCTTAATCGGCCAGCTCGCGGCCCACGGGCTGCTCCTCCTCGCTCAGCGCCAGCTCGCCAACTCGCTCTTCCAGCTCCGCCAGCGCCCTCAACGCCCCCGGCTCGCGCCAAACAACTTGCCATCATGCCCGCGCCTCGACCGGCGCCACCAGCGCGTACCGAATCTGCGCCCGCACCCGCGCCACCTGGGCTGACTAAACGAGTGCCAGTCGCCCATCGACCCCCACCACGGCCTGCAACTCCAGTCTACGAGGAAGAGTACCCAGATGAGGAAGAATACTCAGAGGAAGGGTGTGCCGAGGAAGGATGCTCACAGGAAGAGTACGCAGAAGAAGAATATGCGGAGGAAGAAACCCCAGCCGAAGAGGATTACGCGGTCGAGCAATATATGCCAGAAAAGGCTCGCCAGGAATCAGAGGTCTGGGAAGATGTCGACGCGGCTATCGCAAACAGTCTGCGTGACATGCGAGTCACTGTCCAAGTCACTACGCAGCATGCACCTGCTGCAGGCCCTGTCACTCGGCCAGCCCCTCGCCGCACCCAGATACAAGCACCGGCGGTCGGTCCTTCAGCCACGAGGCCAGGTGCACCGCAGCGGGCGAATACGGGCACTCCGAAAAATGCTCACCCTGCTCAGGCACAGGCTCCCAGACCAGCTCCAGGCCCCCTAAGACCGGCTCCACCGCAGCATGCGCATACAACCACTCCGCAGCACTCCCAGTACACCCAAGCACCGGCCCCCACCTCTGGATCCTCTACAAGACCGGCTCAATTACGGCGGGCATCTACGACAGTAGCGCAACCTCCTCACCAAACTCAGACCCATGTCCGCGCAGCCGGTCCCTCCACTTCTAGAGCCCCTCCTACGCGACCAGCCCACTCACCGCTCGCCTCGATTGCAGCGCCCCCCGTCCAGAACGATGACTACAGCCCCTGTGTCGACATCAGCGCCTCCGCATTCGTCGGCCGCCCAATACCTCGCAACGAGGCTCGCGCTGGTCCGCCGTCAGCGGCGTCCAAGCCTCCTCCGTCGGGTAAATCTGCTCCAGCGGGTAAATCTGCTGCTGCGTCTCGGCCTTCTCCAGCGGGTAAATCCGCTCCAGCGCCGAAGCCCAGCAAGGGGAAGAGTCGTCAGCCGCCGCCGCCAAGGCAGACGCGTGCGCCTAGACCCGCTGCACCGACCGCACCAGCTGCGACGGCTGCGCCGGCTGCGCCGGCTGCGCGGCGTGGGCCGCCTGTGGCTCAGTACTATGCCCCGCAAGAACAGGAAGAGGAAGAGGCGCCGCCTAGCTATTATGAGGTGACTGGTGAAGGCGAACTTACTTACAATGAGAGTACGGGTCAATGGGAGAGGTTGGAGTGACTGGCTGAGAACTTGGTTGAGGGTTGTGTCTGTGGAGTTTAGTTTAGCAAAGGTCAACGGATTGGAGTCTTGCATTACCTGACAATGTGGTCTCTTTCCTCCTTCTTCCTTCCTCCTAAGAGTCGATCTGTACGAGATCCTGTTTGGTGGCAGATTGATGGGGACATCCACCTCATACAAAATTCAGTTGAACTCAACCATGACTTATATCGGTGTTGCTAATGCTGTGACATAGACTCAGTCAAAGCATATCACACACAACATCCACTTGTGTAAGACTTGTCCGTATATTCGTTGTTTATACAGGAGTGAACATGCTTTTTGTGAAATTGACGTTATCAGAGCATCTCAGTCAGCCGCAGGCATGCTTGACGCTAACTGGTCTGATATCCACCATGGCTTGGCCATTGGCCTCAAGTTCCCCTCGGGCAATCCTCCGCATCCCCTGACACTTCTACCCCAACTTTTCATTCTCAATAAATTCCTGGCAAAATCGCATACCTCTTCCTCTTATACCTATCACCAAACTCACTCCTATACTTCTTCTCCTTCTTCTTCGCCCACGCCGCCATCTGCGCCACCGCCACGACCGCAAAGAAGCCCGTGCTCCAGCTCCGATTCACCATCCAGATCCCCACCCACGCCATCGTCTCAAACAGGTAGTTCGGACACGTCACCCAGTCAAACCCCAAGCCGTGCGGAATGCCGCGTTCCGTGCCGCCCGAGCTCCGCAGATTCCGCAGCACGACGTGCGTGTTGAGGTTCAGCAGCTCGCCGATGGCGAAGAGCGCGATGCCGGCGTAGGTGAGTAGTGGGTTCGCGGGCTTGGCGGTCGGGGACGAGGGGGAGTAGGTCCAGTAGGCGATGTTGAGGCCGGCGAGCAGCCAGTAGTGTGCGGAGTTCTTGAAGATGTTGAGGACGGGCATTGTGGCGAGGGAGAAGCGGTGGATAAATATGGTCTCGAACTCGCGCTTCAGGAAGTGTAGGCTGATGAGGATGAGGGAGAGGGTTTGAAGCGAGGAGGGCGACTGGTTGAGGAGAGGGAGCCTGTAGATGTAGGACCGGAGGTAGTAGATTAGGGGGTGGATGAGGAGGGGCCCGAGGTATTCGACTATGAATACGGTGCGCCATGCTATTTGGGGTCCTGTGGTTGTCCGTCAGGCTCTGCTTAGGGTGGAAGGGGAAAAGGTAGGTTTACCCAGGTCTTTGACGTCTATTTTGCTTTGATCACGCAGGCCTGTGCGGTCGATGGTGACCCCTTTGGAATTGGGGATGAGAGAGCCATCGCTGCCCTTGGTAATGCGCAGTCGGTGTACCGAGGTGCCTGACGATTCAGCGATCCGCTTGTAGAGGTCCGCGGTGCTGTCGAGCAAGGCAAGAGTGGTCTCCTCAGGTAGATTCCTAATTGGTTTGCCTGTTGGGAAGTTAGTCACGACTGCTGAGGTTAATGGCGTCAAAGAAGGCACAAGGCAACCGACCTCGCGGCCTTACGACGAGCTTCACGGGTCTTGAAGCCATTGCAGGGTGCCCAGGTGGTTTTGCGGGGGGCGCTGTGGTATCGTGGGGTGCTGTTGAGGCGGAGCAGTGAGACCATTTTCTGTAAACGGCGGCGGACGAGATGCCGCGGCCTGTTCTTCATCCATCACGTGGAAGTACCTGCAAGCCCGCCTGAGGTACCTCTACCTCACCTGGACTGCTCGAGTCTCCAATGGAGTCTCCAACGAAGTCTCCAATGGAGTGCCTTCCGTGCCCGCAGTTGACAACTTCGATCTTAGGGCCACGACTAGTCGACTTCAATGCAACACTCAACCCACTCCACAGCGGAGAAAGCATAGTGATGGAACGCAATGGATCGAAAGGCGGTGGCCGAGGGTTCACGCCGGTTGCAAGCACTCTCGGCCCTGCATTAGCTCTGCCTGTCGGTCCCGCCGCGAACTCCTACAAGAGTTTCGAGGCGAGTACCTGCTACGCTGTTCTTGATCCCCTCAGCTACTAACACGTCTCCGTACGCGCCGGCCTCGATCCTCTGCCTTCTAGGCGTCAGCAATGCAGGGTCGAGCAACGCTGCCTCACCGTCGCCTTTCCGCTAGTAAGCAGTGGCTGCCCCCGGCGCAGACGCCTTAGCCCCTCAATTGGCGCCCACGCGCTTGAGGCTGCATAGGTGGTGACTTTGGAGCCGTCGGCCTCACCGTATTCGGTGCCAGTCGGGGAAGCTGCCATTGGCCTATACCTGTTCACGTTGACTATGTTGTGCTAGCAACAAGCCTCCAGACTAGGGTGGGACTGGTGGCTGGCGAACAAAGAGGCATAACTCATAGCTCAGCCGCAGCTGGGTCGATAGTTCAAGGATGCCTTCTCCGTCATGGTATATATGAGCTTACGAGAGCAGCACCGGAAGGCTGCAGGCCGCCAGTTACAGCTGTCTATATAATCCAGCTTTGATCAGGCTTTCGTTTCTCACCTGAAGTCCTCACTTTCAATCTCAGTTACCGTGCTTCAAGAAGTCGAACAGGAGTGATAGTCAGGCCTTCGACCTTGATTGTGTCCTGTCAAAGTCTGTCTGTCAACCACTACTCTCTCCATTCCGTGCCGAGGCCAGGTGTGATTGGAACTTCAGCGTCTTCGTGCATCCTGTGAGTTGCTCTTTTGCTCTTCCCTCACTTGTGTCCTTGCTAGGGCAATGTATTTGTGATATGCGTTATGCGTCTGCGACTCGACTTTTGTGGCTCTGAGTGACGGCTGCGAAGCCTTTGTTCAAGCAGTCCGTGGGCGTAATAGCTCTCGCTCCTTGAAAGACGTCTTTCTCTGCAGCTTCGTTACCGCGAATTCATGCCTCTGTGCTTGCGTTTCTCCGAATAAGAATATGAATCTGACAATACAGTCATTGCCCGTGTTTTCCTAAGTCATGGCGCCCACACAGAATGGCACCCTGAATGGCACCGAGGACGAAGACCGCGAGCCGTCCTCCCCTTCGGAATTGAACAGGTTCGTAGGGGGTTTTGTGAACTCCGTTACGGGCATGGCCTCCTCCTTCATACACGGAGACAGTCCGAACTCTGGCTCACACTCCGGCTCTCATTCCGGCTCTCACTCTGGCTCCCACTCACTAGATCCTGAAGTCAAGGCTGAGATCGAAAAGGAGCGAAAGAAGCCCAAAGATTATTTCAAGGAGGCTGCTCAGCTCATCGGCCAGATTCGAAAGCCGCTTCCAACTGGGACTGGCAATGGTACTGATCTGAACATCAAAGACGACGAGCCGGGCGTCCTTGATGACATCGTCAGGGAGATTGGTGAAGATATGTCAGCCTTCGCGCACCTGGGCGTCCACGGAGACCTGCCGTCACTGATGGAAATCGGCGTCGTGAAGAAGCTTGGTCAACCCACTGACGACAAGAGATACCTGATGGAGGCCATGATAAAGGCGAGTCAACAGCATATACTAGGCGTGGACACTGTTGGCTAACTGTACGTTATAGGCTGCCGCTGGACTCCCGGAGACATCAAAGACGCGTAAAAAACTGACTGACCAGTTTGTTACGAAGTTGTGGGGCGATCTTGGACATCCACCTCAATCGTGTGTAACGTCCTTCCTACATTCGCCGTCTGTAGCTTGAGCAGTACTGGAAGCAGCTGAAATCCATACGCTCCTGCACCTCAGCATCAAGCATCTACATTCTAACCATTATGCAGGTACCTTGGAAAGCCATACCAATACCGACAGGCCGATGGATCCTACAACGTATGTGAGCCGCAATGACAGCAAACCATCCTCACTGACTAGACATATAGAGTCTTCTCTCTCCGCACGTTGGCAAGTCCAACACACCATACGCCAGGACTACGAAACCAGCCACGATTCAGACCGGCGCGCTTCCTGACCCTGGAGTGATCTTCGACAGCGTCATGGCACGTAAGAAGAGCGAGAAGCATCCGAACGGGATCTCGAGCATGCTCTTCTATCTAGCGTCGATTATTATTCATGACATTTTCCGAACGGATCGTGAGGACTTCAACATCTCAAAAACGTCTTCGTATCTCGACCTCTCGCCTCTATACGGTATCAGTGATGCTGAACAGAAGGGGGGGAAAGAGCCAAACGGGAAAGAGGTTATCGGGATCCGGACAGGCTACGACGGCAAAATTAAGGCAGACACGTTCGCCGAGACGAGACTGTTGTCTTTTCCTCCCGGTGTGTCTGTATTATTGATCATGTTCAACAGGTTCCACAACTTCGTCGTGGAGCAGCTGGCTATGATCAACGAGAAAGAGCGGTTCCCGAAGCCAGAGAAAGAAGATGGTAAGGTTCCGCAGTGGACTCAGTACGATGAAGACCTCTTCCAGCACGGGAGATTGGTTACCTCCGGTTTGTACATCAACATTATCCTTACAGACTACGTCCGGACCATCCTAAATCTGCAACGTACCGATAGTAGTTGGAACCTCGATCCGCGCATTGAGATTAAGGATGGTCCACCAATGGGCGTTGGCAACCAGTGCGCCGCCGAGTTCAACCTAGTGTATCGCTGGCACTCGACGGTGTCCGATAGGGACGAGAAGTGGACAGAGGAACTCTGGAAAGACCTCGTCGGCGATAAGAAGCCGGAAGACGTTAGTTTGCTGGAGTTCAGACGAGCTCTGGGCAAGCTGGAGTCGCGTCTTGAGAAAGACCCAGGCCAGCGCTCTCTTGCCGGACTGACTCGCCAAGAGAATGGTACTTTCAACGACGAGGAGCTTGTCCAGATTCTCAAAGACAGCATCGAGGACTGTGCCAACTCTTTCGGCGCTCAGAGAGTGCCAAAGGTCTTACGTCTGATAGAAATTCTGGGCATCGAGCAAGCGCGGTCATGGGATTTGGCTTCCCTGAACGAGTTCCGGAAATACTTTGGCCTCACACCACATGAGACATTCGAAAGCATCAACGACGACCCCGAGGTCGCTAAGACGCTGAAGCATCTGTACGACCATCCAGACTTGGTAGAGCTGTATCCTGGCCTTGTTGTTGAGCAGGGCAAGAAGCCGGTGACGCCGGGCTCTGGCCTTTGCCCTTCGTACACTGTCTCTCGTGCCGTGCTCTCAGATGCCGTGGCTTTGGTTCGAGGTGATCGTTTCTACACCATCGACTACCATCCGAAGAAGTTGACCAACTGGGGCTTCGCCGAAGTCCATCCCGATCCTTCGGTCGACCACGGCTGCATGTTCTACAAGCTTATCTTGCGAGCCTTCCCGGATCACTTTGAGCCGAACTCCATCTATGCACATTATCCGCTCACTGTCCCAAAGGAAATGGAAGATATCATGATCAAACTTGGCAAAAAGGACAGATACAGCTGGGCTTCGCCTCAAGGACCGCCGCCAATGCATATGACATTCTCCTATGCCGCTGCGGATAGAATCTTGGGTGACAAAGAGACCTTCAATGTTACCTGGGGCAAAGCAATGGAGTACCTGATGGGTCCATCGGCCAAGAATTTCATGCTCTCTGGCGACGGCTTCAAGAACGAGCAATCTCGAAGGGAGGTGCACAAAGCCCTCTACGATGTGGACGACTGGCAGATACAAGTCAAGAACTTTTACGAGACGACTACGCTCAAGCTCATCAAAGCCAAGGGATACAAGCTAGGCAAGCTGAACCAGGTCGACATCATCCGCGACGTTGGCAACCTCGCCCACGTCCACTTCTGCTCGGAGCTCTTCTTCCTACCGCTGAAGACCAAGGAGCGGCCGGGCGTCTTCAGCGAATACGAGTTGTATCTCATCCTGTCCGCCGTCTTCGTCTGTGTCTTCTTCGATCTCGACAAGGCAAACTCATTCAACCTCCGCCTCAAGGCACACAAAGCCACCCAGCAGCTCGGAAACCTCGTCCAAGCCAACGTGGCCGAGATCAAAGCCGGCAGCGTCCTATCCCGCCTCATGCAAGCCATCTACCCCCGCAATACGGCGCTCAAACGCTACGGTATCCACCTTATCAAACGCCTTCTGGATTCCTACCCTGATACCGAGGAGCTGGTATGGGGCCACATCCTCGGCACCGCCGGCGGCATGGTCCCGAACCAGGGCCAGCTCTTCGGCCAGACGATGGAGTACTTCCTCACCACCCCCGAAGGCCAGGAAGAACTTCCCAAGATGAGGGAACTAGCGCTTCAAGACACCCCGGAAGCGGATGAGAAGCTCATGCACTATTTCCTCGAAGGCTCGCGACTCTACGGTGAGACCGGCGTCTTCCGCCGTGCGACCGCAGACACCGAAATTCACGATAACTTCGGCGGCCACGAGCGCACCTTCAAGGTCAAGAAAGATGACATCGTCATGGTCAACTTGCGCGCTGCATCTCACGACGAGGGCAAGTTCAGGGACGCGCACAAGATCGACCTGAACCGCCCCATCGACGACTACATCCACCTCGGCGCGGGACCGCACCAGTGTCTCGGGCTGCCGATGACCAGGATCGCGCTGACAGCGATGCTGAAGACCATCGTCAAGTTGCCCGACCTCCGGCCCGCTTCTGGCCCGCAGGGGAAAGTCCATAAGATTGCGAAGCCGATGCATGGGCATCACTTACCGGAGTTTGCAGCTTATCATGCGTATCTGATGGAGAACCATGCTAAGCTTTTCCCGTTCCCTTGTTGTAAGTTTTGTAATTCCCGTTAAAGTTCCTAGCGTATGCTAATGAGTTGAACAGCACTCAAGGTCAACTGGAGCGGTGATTTCGAGTTTGATAAGGACGATGACGACAAAGATGACATGAAGTGAGGATGAGATGATGATGCGCCGCTGAGTTACGACATTCTGCTTCGTGGCTGGTCAAAAGTTGGTACATGCATGATGGTCAGGACGAAATTGTTGGTCTTACTTGTATTAGGATGGGTGTAGGGATAGCTCTTTTTCTCGCTAGTTTGCTAATACCGTGCACGTTGTATTGCAATACTCTACAAAACCTGACTCCATTGGGTATATGCCCAGCGCCTCAACGCCTCGCCCAAAATGCTCTTCATGCACGCACCACCGCAAGATACACATCCAAACCCGTCAATCGCATTACACCCTCACCTTCCCCATGATCGTCTCTGGACCCCTCTGGACCTCCATCGCCGCCGCCCTCTCCTTCACAGCCCTCAGCATACCTCTCTCAAAGTCATCCCTAGCCCTAAGCACCGCCTCCACCCAACCTAACCCCACATCCCACCACTCCTCTCTCACCCTCTCAAATACATTAGCAACCTCCCCCTTGTCCGCCTCCAGCAACTTGACCAACCCATCCACCGCCCGCCACTTCCGCTTGATCTCGTCAAACGCCTCGAACCGCTCAAAAAAGCCAAACACCGCGACCACATCCTCGCGGATCTTCTCCGTGAACGGGTCCTGTCTCCGGAACTTTGCGCCCTTATTTTTCACAGCAGAGAGATAGGCAACGAGCAGCGCGTCGCTGAACTCCTCCACCAGCACAGAGTGCAGCGACGGGTGCAGTACCGCCGCGTAGTCGTCCAGGTAGTCGCGGAACGTGCTGCAGATCTGGCCCATGCGGTTCGCGGCATACCAGGCCGGGGTGAAGAACTCGGGGAGGATGGAGCGGAAGTCGCAGGCGAAGACGAGCGCGGCGAAGACGCTGATGCTGTGGGTGCCGAGGTCGACGTAGCCGTCGCGGAGGGCGTCGGTCTGCGAAGTCGCGGTGGGGATGTACTGGGCGGAGACGAGGGGGGTGATGTCGCGCGAGAACTTGGAGAGGTAGCTGAGGATTTGTGGGGAGGAGGGGTCGGCGGCAGCGCTCTCGTCGCCGTCGTCGATGCACGCGATCTGGTCGTTCGCGATGGCCACGAGCCAGTCTTGCAACGGCTGCACGCCTTCTGTGTCGGAGTTTGGCGCAGAGAAGCGCGCCAATTCGCCGTCGATCAGGCTCTCCCACATGCGCTGCCGCGAGCCGAGAGAGCGGAACATGGCGTCGATGACCCCCTCGGCGACGTCGGTGCGTTGGCTGTTGGAGGCTACAGCCAACTGCTCGCGCAGCATGATCCACATGTCTGCCATGGTCTTGGTGCGGAAGTGGCCGCTGCCGTCGGTGTCGAGAGCGCCTTCGGGGCGGGTGAGGAAGCTTTGGCGGTCCGCGGAGTCCATTCGCTCCATCCATTCTTCAACTGCGCGGACGATGAGTTGGCGGTACTCGCGGACTAGTTCTGGGCCACGGTCGTCGATGAGATGTGGTTGAAGCCAGTCGAGGGGAACCTCGAGCTTCTGCATCTTGGTGTAGTATTTCTCTTCCCAGTGGATGATGGCGAGCGTGTGGATTGGGGTGAGATCCTTGTCGTCGATGCGGGAGACGAGCCAATCGTGCATGAGTCTATGGTAGATGCCAACATACGTCTTGAAGATCCTCCACTTGCGTGGCATGAGGCTGACCATGCCGACCTTGACGGTGTTGAGGTCGTTGAAGTACCAGCGCACGCTCTTCTCGAGCTTCTCTGGGTCATCCAAGAACCGCTCGTTGGAGAGTTCAATCTGTACGGCTGTGCTGGCCTCGATGGCCTTCAAGAACTTCTCCTTGTATCCTCTCCGCTCTTTCGGCCCAGCTGCAATCGATTTGAACCTCGAGGCGAGGTCCTTGAACTCTTTCTGCGCGTCCTGCAGCGCCTGCACCTTCTTGTCGCTCTTCTCCTCTTCTTCTATGACCAAAGCCAGCCGGACCACGAGCCCATGGTTTCCGTTTACCACATGGTCTATAAGCCGCGTGCAGGCCTCACCAACGTGTTCATCAAACCACTCAATCACCTCGTCCAGCTTCCCAAAGTAATCCTGCAGCGTCCGCCCCGTCTCAAGCCTCAAATTGTTGATCAACTCGAGCGCCTCCTCTCCATCCCTGCCGCCCGCGCTCTTGACCTGGTCCATAGCCGCGTCCCTAACATCCCTCAGCTGCGTCAAGCCATAATGCACCGCCAACAGATTCGGCTGATCACCCATGCGATCCTCGCCCATCTCCTCATCGTCCAGCCTTAATAACCCCTCCAGCTCCCCCAACCTCTCCTCAAACCCCTCAATATCCCCCTTCATCTTCAGCACCGCCTCGAAGTTCCGATGAATCTGGCTGACCCGGTTGATGTCCGGGAATTCCCTGATCATGTTCTGCGCCTCCGCGCACAGCTTGTCGATCTTCATCATCTCGTCCTTGATCTGGTTGACGGTGCGCTGGCCGTCGGAGAGGCTGGTCATGCCTGCCGAGGTGATGGCGAGCTGGGATTGCAGGCCATGGCGGAGCTGGGCGTCTACGGCGGCCTTTTTGCGCGTGAATTCGGATTTGAGGGCGTGGAGCTTGTCGAGGTCTTCCGGGTGTCGCAGGAGCTCGGAGAGGTTGAGCCGGGTGGGGGTGTCATGGTTCATGGTAGTGGTGGTGGTGATCGTGGTGGTAGGGGGGTGAGTTCATAACATGCTTCGCAATGGTGTCTTATCGGCGGCGCTGGTCCTGCAGAATGGTTCGAATGGCACACGTGTTTGTCTAGAAGTTGTTCGATTGCGCAAAGAGTGTTAATCCAAGGTGTCAAATGTTTCGTGGATGTAGCATGGCCGAGCTCTGAGCCAGCTGCATCCAAGACCATCTCCGAGATTCGCCGCAGAGCCGAAGCATCATCCCAAAACTTTCTCGACGGCAACTCTGAAGCTTCCATCAACCACACACCACGCCCTTATACCTCCAACTATGATCCAACGAAGCATCTTCCGAAGCTCAAGAGCGCTGAGCTCGCGAGTACAATCCCAGTCCGCCGCCGCCGCCTTCCGCCAACAGTCTCCCTTCCTCACACGACCATCCACATCAGCACCATCGATATCGCGGACGGCGTCGAGATGGTATTCCGACGCCGCGGAGGCGAAGCAGGAACAAGCCAGCAACGGAACGGAGGCAAAGACAAACGGGGACGCACAACCAGCGGCGAATGCAGCGGAAACCGAGAAGCTGCGGACAGAGCTCGAGGCGAAGAACAAGGAAGTCGTAGACCTTAAGGTAAAGCTCCTAACACAGCACCCATCGCCGCGTCTCGCCGTCACGAACAGCAACACTAACACGCCACCCCCCCGCAGGACAAATACCTCCGCTCCGTCGCCGACTTCCGCAACCTCCAAGAGCGCACCAAGCGCGAAATCGCCTCGGCCAAAGACTTCGCGCTCTCCCGCTTCGCCAAGGACCTGGTCGAGTCCGTCGACAACCTGGACCGCGCCCTGCTGACGGTGCCGGCCGCGTCGCTGCGGCCCGAGAACAAGGATCTCGTGACGCTGCACGACGGGCTGAAGATGACGGAGACGATCCTGATGCAGACGCTCAAGAAGCACGGCCTGGAGCGCTTCGATCCGAGCGTCGAGAAGGAGAGGTTCGATCCGAACGTGCACGAGGCGGTGTTCATGGCGCCGCAGCAGGGGAAGGAGGATGGGACGGTGTTTTTCACGCAGCAGAAGGGGTTTTTGCTTAATGGGAGGGTGTTGAGGGTGAGTTGCTCTGATCTAGCTGGATTGTTGGGGAGCTCTAAGTTGCTGACTGTGGTGATAGGCGGCGAAAGTCGGTGTTGTGAAGAACGAGTAATCGTTCTACTCTCAGGGAGCTCGGCCGCCCGTCTCCGTGGACGGGCTCTATTCACTTGTAAAATCTGGCTTGAATTGGCAAGCGGTAAAAAGGCGTTCATCTAGATCTTGTAGCATATTCCCCTCTCTGTTGCGGCAGTTCACTGGCATCGTGTTCCATCTTGTCGGAACACGTACGGTGTAGAATAGTGTATTCTAATCACCTGAAATGGTGCTATGTACATTCAGATTTCCAAACCGCCTCGGCATTTTTGCATCTTCTACGCCAAATCGGAAGGCGATCTTGCCCAAATCGCCATCGAACAGCCTTAGCCATTCTGACAACGCCTCAGTACGCCTTATCCCGCTTTTAATATTACAACCCTTGGTAAATGCGGCGCGTCGAAAAGTCGAGTAAGGTCCAGCGAAAGAGCCACCATACGAGTCACGACTAATACGCATGCCCATACGGCGTCGCCCCATGCGGCGTCTGCGCACCGCCCCCATAAGCGCTCATGCTGCCCTGGTTCCCCCACTGACTCTGGTTCCCCTGCCACGGCGTCGTATAGCCCGGCTCCTGGTTATACCCATCCATAACTTCAGGCTCTCTCGCGCCGCCAAACCCGTCAGCACCATCGGTAGTCCGCTCGACGAGCTCCTGGTGCACGTCCGCTAGCTTCCGCTGGAGGACCTTGATGCCCTGCTGCATTATGACGTCGGGCTCCAGGCCGCCGGCGGACTCGATGTTGAAGTAGAAGCGCGAGGGGACGGCGTCGTAGTTGAAGGGCTCGCCGTCGACGGGCTTGTCTTCGAGGTCGGCATTTTCGCTCACGGGCCTGCATCGCGATGTTTGTCAGTGAACCTTGCTCCCAATATCGTTGTGCAGGAGCACGGGCTGCGAAACGTACCACTCCTTCTCTGGATCGACCTCGTACCAGTAGTCCAGATGCCTCAGCGCGTTGTTCGGGTCGTACTCAAATCCCACCGCGGCCGTGGGCGCCCACTTCGCATGTTCCTTCGCGATCCCCTTCTTCGCCACGCATTTCATCTTGAGCTCATGGCCCTTCTTCAGCTTGCAGATAATGCTGCCCTGTCCTGCCGGATCCGTAATGACTGGCTGGCCCAGGGAATCGTTCAACGGATTCCCACTAACCACCAGGTCCCGCGCGTAGACGGTCATAACGTCGATGCCCGTACACCGCGCGTGCAGCGTCAGCACAACGCTGCACGCATCGCAGTAGTTCTCGCAGTCACAGTCGCGCGAGTAGAAGAGGTCGTCGACGCCCTTTGAGTTGAGCGGGATGAGCCCGAGCCGGTGGCAGATGAACTCGTCGGCCAGCACGGTCGTGTTCTCTTCCACTTCGACCAGGTCGATGGCGATGGTGGGCACTTCGGCGAGGATCACGCGGCGCAGGGAGTTGGCGAGGGCGAGGTCCGTGTTGCGCAGTATGAAGTCGATGTTGGTGCTGTTGCCCTAGTGCTGTGAGAACTTGCGTGTGGGCAAGAGACAGGCGCTGGGGAACGTACTTCTCGGATATTCACCTGGGGCGCGCCGTCCCCGGCGTCCATAGCCTGCGAATCGAGCTGAAAAGACATGTTGGCGGCGGGCTGCGGCGGCGCCCGGGGGGGCTTGTGCGAAGCTAGACTGCGGACTTGGGATGATCGGTGCGCCCTTGTGAAAGTTGCGAAAGAGGATTTCGGTGGAGTCGCAAGGCGGCGTGGGGAGAATGGCGCAGTAGGATGGTGGTCGCGGCGTTAAAGGTGGTCAAAGAAGTTTGGGTAGAACAGCTCGAAGGCGTCGGATGCAGCCCTGCAGCCCGAGCCCGTCCTGGGGCTGGTCGCAGAGCCTCACCGCGCTAGTGGAAGATCCCGCGCATTAGCGTTGCACCGGCGGTTCGTCGGCAGATCTGAGGTACGTCATGCTTGTACTCATGAAAGTCCGAGGATCAGAATTTGTAGAATCTATCACTGCATCTGTTGGAAACACTGAGGTAAGAGTCTGAGGAACAGCTATGGCGACCAACACTTCGAAGATCCAGCAGTGGGAATCAGGCCAGGATAGCCTCGATAGCCTTACGCTGACCTCGGCGCCCATGCCCGAGCCCGGAAAGGACGAGGTACTGGTAGAAATTCGTACAGTTTCGTTAAATTACAGAGATACTGAGGGTATAGCTTCCTGTATTATGCATCTTCCTAGCAAGACACTAACACCGTTACGTAGTTGCGACAGGAACATATGGCCATCACAAGTCCATCACTCAAGGCTCAAAAGTCGTGCCGTGCTCAGATTGTTGTGGTATCGTAACGAAACTCGGCGATGGAAGCTCCACGTCGCTGAAGGTTGGAGACCGTGTGCTGTCCACATTCGTCCAGTCGCACTTGACAGGCAACATTACCGAGAAGGACATGGGCACCGGTCTCGGTCTTCCCTTGCCAGGCGTGTTAGCGACTCATCGCGTGTTTCCCACCCATGGACTAGTAAAGTGTCCAGACTACCTCAGCGATGAGGAGGCCTGCACACTGCCTATCGCGGCAGTCACCGCGTGGATGTCGATCAACGATATGCGACCGCTCGGTCAGCCGGGTGGGAAGGGGGAGGTTGTACTAGTGCAAGGCACAGGAGGCGTGGCCATTAGTGGAGTTCAAATAGCGAAAGCTAGCGATGCAAAAGGTAGATAGGCGTTTCTTCAAGATTGTCCAAATCGACTAATGGTGCGTGTACACCCCTGGAGCGGTGTTGAGCACGATCCTCGGGTTTTTGATACAACTTGGAGATTTAAAAGTTCTTCCACGAAATCACATTGGACGTTCGAGGCTGATTATGCAGCAGTGATCATCACGTCTTCCTCTGACGAGAAGCTGGAGAAGGCTCGAGCGCTCGGAGCTGATCACACTATCAATTACCGCAGCCAGCCTGAGTGGCAGGATGAGGTGATGAAGATCACAGGGAACCACGGCGCCGACATCATCCTGGAGACAGGCGGAGCTCAGACGACCATGAGAAGCTTCGACTGTGTCGCATTTGCAGGACTGATCAACGCAATTGGCTATGTGTCTGGCAAAGAAGATCCGCCTGAGAAGAGGCTAAACATCAACGTGCTGGCATTGAGAAAGAATCTGACTCTGAAGGGCATAATAAATGGACCCAAGGACCGGTTCGAGGAGATGCTGGAGTTCTATGAGAAGCATGACATTCGCCCGGTTGTGGATCGGATATTCAGCTTCGAGGAAGGCAAGGAAGCTTTTCAGTACCTTGCGAGCGGTTCTCATTTCGGGAAGGTTTGCATCCGTGTAAAAGCAAGTACATAAGTAGGTTCTCAGGATACCAATAAACAGGTCTCTTGATGAAGGGATCATTGAGACACGACTTGAGACAGCATAGGCGGCAGCGGACCGACGCTGTTCACCCGCACAGAGCCTCAGAGGCTTAACTTACACGCCGAGTATCCCATTGGAGCTACGTTACGGCAATAATGGGTGCAGCAGACCTTACCTATCAACCAGCAATAACTCCTGTCCACAAGCAGCAGCGGAGCGGATAGAAGTCCATGTTGCATGCAGTGCGGCAACATGCGGACGCACCTTGCCGCGGGCGCATCGCCTTTACTCCTGAACTTCGCAGCTCAGGTCGGGTACTCGTAACATCGTCACGCCGAGCCCCAGAACGCGTCCGCAGATGCGCCTTGCGGGAGACTGCGCTCCCAAGCGGCGATGGCAGTGCTGGTGTTGAGCGGCGCTGTAGAGGAGAAGAGGGAATTCTTTCCCTCAAAGAGAGCTTGGAATGAAGGCTCTGCGCCCACTAGTTACTCATACTGACCCGATCTCCGCTTCGCAACGGGGTCTCTCGGTCTTCCAGATGGCCTGACTTGTCACCTTGACAGCGATCGAGAGTCCATGGTTGCATTTCAAAGGGGCTGTGCAAAGGTGGGCGTCTGGACCACCAACGATTGGCCCGACTTAGCCCGCATCACGCCGCAAACATCGATAAAACCGCCCGCCTTCCACCATGCTGCCTCCTCCTCAGCAAGCTCCTCTCGCTCCAGAAACACAGGAACCACCTAGGGCATCTCTTCCGTGAATCTGCATCATGTCTTCAGACCTATCCTCCCCCACGCTATCGCGCTCTTCAAGCCGCTCATCGAAAGGCCGGAGAACGCCGCTGTCACTCGATCTCTCCGACCTCCCACCACTCGTCACGCCCTCACCCCCGTCGAATACTCTTCTGATCACGGTCAGTACCAAGTTTGCGCCGGCCACTTTGGAATCCCACTTACGCTTTTCACAGAACCTACAGAACCCCGCCATCTTCTCCACACCCAACCTCATAACCATCCGAGACCTAATAAACCAACACGCGCCAATCCACACATGGGCGCCCCTCAAATCCTTTCGCCGCATAGTCACCTCTTTCTGGTCAACCGAAGATGCCACGACCATCCGCAAGCTCCTTGACGGGGAGGCGATCATGGGTGACCGCATCCGCGTATACTTCGGCCAACCTACACCACTAGACGCACCAGACCAGCACCTACACCTCCCGAAATCAGACAAGTTATTCTTCATCTCTCCACCGCCGTCCCCGCCGCACGGATGGGAGATGCGCAACGAGGACCCCCCGAACAAGGATGTCCACGCTGAGGACCTAGCATCGGCGCTGGCAAAACTACATGCGAGGCCAGATGTGCCTAGCCCGACATCACCGGAGGGCAACCCCGAGACAAAACTTAGCAAGAACGGGAGCAGGAACAGGAGCGGCAGTCTGATTGTATGGGACCCGCAAGAACACGGGCGGTCTCCGGATCTGCCAGCTATTTCAGTAGAGGACACAACCCACAGTCCCGTAGAGCTGAGTCCGGTGTTGGAAGGAAAGCCGATAACTCACACCATGAGGCCGCCGGTGGAGCTGATGGAGGAGTAGGAGGTCTCGTTATCTGTAGGGGGTGCATGCGAGAGCCTGAATTTTTCAGCGAATTGTCCGCCGGGCGCCATCCGCCTGTGCTTTCTGTGTTTCTTTAGCACATCGACCCTAAGTTTTATCTTGACTGGGTTGGCTACATTGCATTGGCGTTGGGGTGTTGCTGTAGCTATTAGCTCGCTTGAGCTGAAAGGGTCTCGTAACCCTGAAACCTAATTCACGCCGAGATCGTCTTGAGATTTACAGTACATCTAGAGCGATTGCGTTGACTGAATGGGGTTCTTGGTGACTATTGCTGCTCGATGGAAATCCGCCACCAGAACCAGAATTCGTCCATGCAAATCCTCTCAGTATAACACACCAATCGCTTCTTATTGCGACGCAAGCAAAAGCGCCCTGAGGTTTCCAGCCAATCCCTGCTCTTACATGCCTCCGCTAGCTGGTTTCCGCTTGTATGCAGTTGAATTCAAACCCCATTTCAGAACTCCTTGCACCGCCTATGCATATTCAACTGTGCATGCAGATCCTCCTAACCGTCTTCTAATACCATCATTACCTCTTACTCAGCCTCCGTAGCCAGCCATGACAAAGCGACCCACCCTCCTCTCTCTTTTTCCCCCGGTCCCCACATCACCGTCCCTCAAATTCCGCCCTCACATCCCCCGCCCTCCTCTCAACGTAATACCCCGGATCCGGCGTCCGCATCTTCTTCATCTCTCCCCTCGTAAGCGGATACTCGACTTCGGCGACGTCGACCAGCTCCTTGACCTTCATGATCTGGCCCGCCACGTCCTGGGTCACCGGGTGGTAGACGGTGGCCATGCGCTTTCGGAGGCCGAGGGCTTGTAGCACTCCCGTGCGTTTCGCGGGGAGGCCGATCGCGGAGCGGAGGAGGGTTATGCGGAAGTAGGGCATTGTGGGTGGAGGTGCGTGAGGTGTGGTGTGGTCTTGTGAAGGTGAGGTGGAGGCCGCTGGAAGGGGTCAGTGTCGGCGAGGTAGTGGGCCTGGATCGATATGTACCCTTACTCCAGCTCGACACCGTCTAATCTTGCTTTGATTGTAGAGGGGAATGGCTGGTTGGCGGCTTGATGCTGATTTCGCAGCTGCGATATGGAAACTTGAGATGCAACGGAAGAACCTCGGCGCTGGGCATTGCTCGCGGAGCTCATAGCTCCTCTTCTGCGTTTTCTCCGCGATGGCTTTGTCTGCTCGAGAGTTCCTCGGAAGGTTCGTATGATTGTACGTCTTCTGCAATTGCTCTTGCAAATAGTTCCCGGGAGTCTCATATAGGGCCGCCTTTTCTTCCGCGGCTCCTTTCCTTAAACAGTCCTAAAGTCAAATCGCTATCTGCACAGGTGCTTCAAATGACGATAATAGTAGCTGTATGGAGAGCTTGATTGTACCTGGGAATCCTGGCTTGCTGTGGTTGTAAAGCCAAGAGCATGTTGTTCAGTCATTATATCTCTCGACTCCGTCCCACTTGCTGCGGAGATTTTCAACTTAGATCACAACGTGGTCGACAATGCTTCCAGCCAGAGGAACTCGGGCACTTCTATCAGTGCACCTAAAAACCCTGAGCTGGCGCCATGTATGCTTGTTAGGACCGCAATCCAGTACCCGCACATTTAGCTCTGCCAGCTCCTTACACAGACAACGAGCGACTACCGCATCATATTACCGGGGAGGCACATCCCGTGCAGTCCTATTACAGCCCAAGCATCTACCTGACGATAGTTCGCTATGGCCGAAGCTCTTCTTGCAAGTTATGGGCTCGCCAGACCCATACGGCCGGCAGCTGGACGGCCTTGGGGCAGGCGTCTCGAGCCTCAGTAAGATCTGCCTTGTAGCACCGAGCGAGCGGCAAGATGCGAACGTCGACTACACCTTTGTGGGCATTGGTATCGAGCGGGACGAGGTGGATACGGCTGGCAACTGCGGGAATATGAGCGCGGCCATTGGACCGTATGCTTTCAACGAGCGGCTGCTCGGAAATATTGACTATGTTACCGACGGCACTAAAAGTGTGCGAATACACAACACTAATACTGGAGTCATTATCAAGAGTTCATTCGAAGCCTCTGACGGGGAGGCTGCGGTGGTAGGCGATTACTCTATTGATGGCGTTAGCGGCACCGGATCTCGGATAACCTTGGACTTCCTAAAGCCTGGAGGAGCAAAGACTGGCCGACTGTTGCCTACAGACTCTGCGGTGGACACGATAGAAGGCGTCGAGGTGAGCTGCGTAGACGCCGCCAATCCATGCATTTTTGTCCGCGCAGCAGACGTTGGAGTGGAAGGAGCTATTCTACCCAACGACTTCAACAAGCTACCCGAAAAGCTGGCACACCTTGAAAATATCAGGCACAAAGCAGCCGCAGCAATGGGTGTGTGCAAGACCGGCTCCGAAGCTCCGCGGACGATCCCTAAGATCGCGATCGTCTCTCCATCCAAGGAGCACAAGCTGCTCTCCGGCAGAACGTTAGATGCCTCATCTGTAGACCTTGTCATACGCTTCATCTCGGACACGCAGCCGCACAGGGCCATACCGTTGACCGGCTCGCTATGCACAGCTGTGGCAGCTAAGATCAAGGGATCGGTAGTCCAGCAGTGCCTCGCTGAGCAGCATGTAGATCCAAACATGATCACTATCGGTCACCCGAGCGGGCGCATACAAGTGACTGCTACCATGGACGCAAGCGGTGGTGTCGAGTCCGCCACTGTTTTCAGGACTGCGAGACGAATCATGACTGGGCAGGTGTATTGGAACGACTGATTTGAGTGCTGGTGTTATCTCAAACGTGGTTACATAGTCCTTCCCGAACATATTCCAAGTTTCCGAGCCCACGCTCATGCTTTCGTCGGCAACCCGATCAACTTGGATGCTTGCGCCGCTTCACCCTCACTTTCTTCTCAATCCGCTTCCTGAGCTTTCTTTCTCGCTTTGTTTGCTCCTCCCGGTTTGCATCGCACACTTTCGACGTCTGCGGCGAAGCTGGCGGCAATCCCTTCCACGTACGGAGCAGCCGACTGACCTCTCCCTGGACCCTCAGACGTGCCTGCTCCCGCGGTACACCCTTGCGCAAGATCGCTTCATACGGCGTGTAGCAGTGACGGATATGCGCGATCACAGCCCTCGTCACCCTATCATCTAACGAAACCACCATTTTCCGACCAACTCGCCGGCTGCGCTTTTCAAACGCATGCAGCACAGTCGCCTCTGCAGCTTCTGGGGGGATCCTCGGAAACAGACGCACGAGCGCCGCCGTGGCTTCGCTCCGGTCTCTCGCATCCTTCCTGTCTACAATGCTCTGGCGGTCGACCGCGGTCGCCCTTTCTGCTGTCAGGACTTCGTCGTAGACTTGTCGCGGACAACGGAGGCCTAGTCTGTGCCCCTTGGAGTCGACGACGACGAAGAGGGGCTCTCCGAGTTCCTTGGTGCGAGTGCGGCAGTGCCGGGTTATGTAGACGTTGCCCTTGGCGACAAAGACGTAGCCTTTTTGTACCGGATGGCTGTTGGTGATGGTCCTTTCTGACTCGATCGCTAAAGCCATGGTTTGTTCTCGGAAGGTAGTAGCCGATAAAACGTGGGCGGTCCGGATAAGAAATCCACTGGCAACAGGAACAGTATAGGAATGTGAGAACGAATGCCGCGGACTGTTGCACGGCTGGACTACACCGCCAATGCCCCTTCCGAGCAGCAGTCTTGAGCAAGCCAGGCGCAGGCGCATGAGTTGAGAAGGGTCGTCGCTTCCTTTGTCCACAGCTAGAGGCCGAATCTCTACCAAGTGCTATGGTCTCAACTTTTATTAATTGGGTGCGCCGCTTTGTTTACCTCGATGCGGCTTTCCGGTTTCTTTGAACAACTCATACCAACGACCAACCCAAGATACGTAGGCGCTTCTTCTGGGATCGATATGAAACTAATAGCATCTGGAATACCGTACCGGAACATCGACAAATATCTAGCTTGCATAAAGAATCATTATCCTAGCACCAAGTTGTATAGGCATCAGCCACAGTCAAGCAAGAAATGTCAATGCAATTTACCTCTAGTGGACCTGGTGGTGCAGTACATAGCCGACTTCGTCGACATATTGGAAGCGGACTACAAAGCGTACAGCGCTGAGGTCAATCTTTCGTACCAAAATGCATTCGATGTCCGCGATAAGCTTGTTGGTCTGTGTGAAAAAGTACACCCCACCGAAGCGTTAGATCTTGAGCTGAAGCGTTGATTTGGAGACATATTTCCTGTTGAACAAGAGGGCCGTGGAGAATATTTGACAAGCTGGAGGAAGCATGGATGGATTCTGATATGCGAGTGTGACCTCGCGCAACGCAGCGTCATACAGTTGTAAGAGTGTGGTAGTTAGCCATGTTCACCTGTTGCGTGCGCTCATTAGGGAGCATATTTGCAACGGAAGGAAGCGCGCTTCGATATTTTGCTACAATCAGAACTGTCGTCTCGAGCATGCTAGACCTATCAGCAGTAACAGTTTACCGCCTCCCTCCTCGCTTTGCCACTCGTCCACCCCTGGTTTTCTCAACACCAAGCCCACGCCTCTGTGTCCTCTGGGCCATGCCACCCCTTCCTCTGCCTCTCTGCTGCAACTTTCCCCTGATCTGTTTTCGGACCACTTCCTGGTCAACCTCCATCTCTTCGCCGTCATCGTCTCCCTTGTTCTTCCTGTTACTGAACTTCAGTTTCCCCTTCTGTCCTCGCTTCGCAGCATCCCGTCCCTTAATAGCAGCCACATACGCGTTGATGCCGCCCTCCAGAGTTCCATCACCTGGATCATTATCCAGCATATCCGCGTCCGCTCCCTGCTCATCGTCTGAGTCGCCCAGCACAAGCTTTCCATCCAGATCCGTCTTCGCCTTCGTCTTCTGCGGTTGCTGACGCATCTTGACCGGCTTCGTAGAGGAGATATTACCCAGCGCTTTCCGGTCAAGCAGATCCAACGGCTCCTCCTCGTCCTCCACGATGTACGACTTCGCCTCCCTCTTCCCCTTCCCACTCCCACGACCCATCATCTCATCATCGCTATCTTCACTCTCCGTCTCCGCATCCTCATCGGATCCGTAAACCGCCTCATCGAACTCACTCTCGAATTTCCCTTTCCTCTTCTCAGGCGCCTGCTCTCCATCCGCCCCCGCAGCAACCTCGCCTCTCCTCCGCTTGCTCCTCTCCTTGGTCTTGCGGATGTTCTTGATCAGATTCCTATCCGCCTCCGGACACCACTTCTCAACCTCTTGTGCCCCAAACCTCCTCATCATCCTCTCAAGGATATGCTTCACCTTACCTCTAAAATGCTGCTTATGCTCCTTACTCCAGACCATGAGGTTCGGGACCAGGCTCTGCAGCCTGGGCCTCACGATCCCCTCCGGCAGCGACACAACAGACACCTTGACAAACCCCAACACGCTCCTCACAATCTCCTTGTTGTTGCTCGTTAGGAACAAGTCCATCGTCTGCACCAAATCCGCAATCACCGCCTCCGCCAACACGGCCCGGAACTCATACAGAATCCTCGTGAGCGCCGTGATAGACGCGGAGATCATATGCGGTGTACTCCCTGCCAGCCCCGCCGAGACCATCGTGAAGTACTCCTCGAGGTTGGCAGGCACAGCGGGCGCATCGTCCGGCATATGGGGGACCTTGGACTGCAGCACCGTGCCGCCGGCTGCCATCTTCTCGCCCATCTGCACCAGCAGGTCGAAGGCGGCGGTGCGGGCTTTCTCGTTGACCTCCTTAGCCGAGATGACAACTTCGGAGAGGACAGAGGGGATGAAGTGGAGGTCTTCGGGGGGCAGGAAGGCTATAATCTGCGCAATAGCTGCGAGTCTGTCTCTGCGGGCGGGCGCGGAGGCCTTTTCAGCGCTCGCGAGGAGGAGGTGCTGGAGATCCTTGTTGCGGTCTGCGAGTGCGGCGCGGCCGGTCTCGGACTCGGCGAGGCGGGGGAGGAGCTTGTATGCCTTTTTCTGGAGCTGCGGGTCGTCTTGTTTGTTGATGATGAGGGCGGAGATGCTGAAGAGGGTTGCGAAGCTCTCGCGGGGGAGGTAGATGGAGATTGTGATGACGAGGTCCATAAGGGTGTGGCTCATAGGTGGCATCTTGTCTTTTGTCTTTTCCTGCTTCTGCTTGTCGGCTTGCGTTTGGGGACCGGTTTCTTTGAGCGCGGACTCGAGCATTGTGGCGACTCGAGTGAAAGTCTCCATGAGGTCCTTCTCGGGCGTGATGCTTAGGAAGGCGTTGACGCATTGTAGGATTCGGCCTCGCGAGTGGGGTAGGGTCTGGCTGTAAACATTAAACAATACGGCAAGCATGTTCTTAGCAAAGCCCGCCAGATATTGTAGATTCTTTTGAGCATCCGCTTTTGAAACCCTTGACCGGGCTACAAGATCCTCTTCGCCAGTCAAGTTTGCAATGGCCTGGTTGGAGTCGACCAGATTCTGTAGTGCCCGACAGATATCTGTACGCAAATCTGTTTGCTGGTAGAGCAAGTTGGACAGCAACTCTGCGAAACTTTGGTCGAATGCTTCGATCAGGTCGAGAGGAAGGTCGCAGTAGCCGGGCAAAGTCGCCCAAACCTGGTGCACGAGCGTTTCGTAAATCTTTATCTGCATAGTCTTCTCCGCGTTGCCGTGCTCCAGCACTTTTTGAAACATAGTCTCGCTCAAGGGTACCAGCTCCGACCTGAAGTGGGCAAGACGAGTGTTGCTGACAGAGTCTCGCATCAGAGGCAGAAGCCAAACACGTCCTGGCTGACCTGGCACCGGTTTCAGAAGATTCAGGGGCAGGATTTCTAGGACGTTGTCCGGACCCATGGCCTGTATTGCTTTTGCCAGAACGGCATCTGCTTCCTTCTTGCCGGTAAAGGATTCATTGGCCCTGAGATCTCCGACGACCTTGACAGCCCCCGAGAGTAAAGGTGCGGAGCGCCATCGCAGCGCATCAAACATTGCCCCTAAGACAGCAAAGACTTCCATCCAGGCAGATTGGTATTTTACGCTCAATAAGTCCGTGACAATCTTTGCCAATTTCTCAAGTACCTTCTCATCATAGATTGAAGGCTCGAGCAAGACGCTGTTAGGTATGCAATTCGAAAGAAAAGAGATCAAGCATTCGGACGCAGACTCGCGGATATTGTGAGACGGAGAAGCAAGGAAATTAGATATCATTGTGAAAAGGTCCGGTAGCTTTTGGAAAGTCTCTTCGGGCTCGACCTGAGCAGAGACATCATATCCTCGTGAGAGAACGGCGATCCATGGTGGGAGAAGCTGCGAGTCGTTCTGCGAAGGCTGCAGCTCTGCGATGACCTCCAACAACCGTGGAAGCTTCGCAGATGAGACCTCGTCTGCAGCCATGTCCGTGAAGATGACTTCAAAAATCTCGAAAGCCGCCATCGTCAGGTACTCGTTACTCGATTTGGATATGTTGAGCAGCAGCTCGCAGAGGGCATCAAGCTTGCGGCTCGGCCAGCCTCCAGATGCGGTGGCAATCGTCTTGACGAGCTGTAACGCGTGGATAAGACCCGGCTCGTGCTGTCCGTCCTGGTGCTTGTGGTGCTTCCTGCTCTTCCCAGCCGAGTCCGCGATGTCCTTGAGGGTCCGTAAAGCGGTCTCCGCGCACATATCGGCCGCCGGGTGGTCGGTCGAGGGACTCGGAGGAGGGTTTCTTAAGACCTTGGTCAACGCATCTTGTGCCCGCTTCCTCACTTTAGGCCTGTGATCCACCGCTATTGTGAGCAGGCCTGCGACAGCCCTTCGCGGGCTGACCTGCGTTTGCGGCAGCGCCCATGCCTGCGCGTCTTGCACAAGTAGCAGCGACTCTAGGCATCCTATCGAGGAGCGAAGCAGCGGCGCCTCGGCATCCGAGTGTGATAACGCTGGGGCGAGCCCGGTAAGGATCTGTGAAAACTTCGAGCGTAGCAGTGGCGCCGGAACGTATGGGGTGATGAGGTCGAGGAGATACACGACGGCGGAGGCGAGCTCCTTATTGACCACGCCTTGGGTTGAGGATATTGTCTGGTTGAGTAGAGATAGCAGCGCAGCGAAGTATGCTGTGGGCGTGGGCTCGGAGTGCTGGACACGGAGGGTATCTTCGACAGCGGAGAGCACGACTGCTGTCTGCGAGGGTTTAGTATAATCCCACGAGGCGTGCTTTCGGACTGCTTCTCACCTGCTGCTGGTTCTGCAGCTTTGGCTGCGAGCGTATCTTGTCGAGCCTCTCTTCCAGCGACATTTTTGCGTTATGGTTGCTGTAGTTGATCTTTACGCTCTGCTTACTATCGATACACCTGAAAAAAGGTTGTAGGATCTTGGGCGCGGCAATTTTACGCGAGGACCCTGAAAGCCGTGTCTCAAGGCACTAAGGCTCGCAGTGCTGAAACATGACACTCTGCATGCAGGGCAAGTATAAGGCGGCGGGAGACCTGAATAGAGAAGCAATGGATGGACGCATGAGGGTGCTACCGAAGGAGCATCCAGACACGCTGACCAGCGTAGCTAATGTAGTGTCACGCACGATAGTTAAAAAGGAGGCCGCCAGGAACCTTTTCTCTCGGAACTGGGCCCTTGCTACTAGTTGGAGACCTAAAACTACAAGGAGCTCGGGACCAAACTCAGATACGACTCAGGCGTGCGATAGGCAACTCAGATGAGCTCAGGGCCGCTTAAGCTCAGCGTACATTGCAAACTCGCCAGTTCAGAGAGTCCTGTTTACTCCGTACGAACTCGTTAGTGGCTTCGAAGGATAAATGCTTGACGGCACAGCGAGGCATATCTTTGTATCACCACTTCTTCCACTCTACCAGAGGAGCTTTTACAGAATTCGTCTCTGGCCAGGCTGTGGGAGTCCTTCTCAGGTACTTATTACAACTTCCAGACACCGCTACCGAAGCACAAATTCAGTCAGCTCAGCTTTGTTGAACCGGCTAGCGAGCTCGCCTTCCATAACACCATGTACGTCTATCCGCTCGTTAGCGTCTATGGTTTTCTTATTGTAGAGGGACGTGGAATTGCTAGAGGCAGGAGACTTACAAGCTCCACCGACAACATGGTAATACGCGGTCTCTTCATGTGTGACAGTGATGCAGCCATCCCCGTCATGACCCCCAGCCCTCCGGACCTGCCGCAGAACAACTGGAACATGGCAACCTGCAATAATGCAGAGGCGGTCATTCACTTGTGTATTCCGCGGTCCCAGTCCCAACAACCCTTGCGAAGAGATGAGAAACACCCTCCCCGATGTAGTCCTGGCAATATTGTCTTGCACTTCGGGATCCTCGCTATTCTCAAGATTGGGAATGAAGCCCCGTGGGAACTTAGTCCCTCCGCCGTGCCTATTCCCTGTCATGGTATGGATCAGTGAGTCAACAAGGCCAGACCCGTATCGGACACCGGCTACTGGCCACCTCGAACAGGAGTTCACGGCATCAAGGAGAAAATCACGATGGCCGCCTATTCCATAAAAATCTGAGCCGACCTCGACTACTCCATCCAAAACGAAACCTCTGACAACCAGGCTCATTTGATCGTCGAGAAATTTGTAGTAAGGCTTCGATGCACCCGAGGCGAAATATGGGTCCTCCCGAAAAATCTCGCTGACTAGTGACAAGACTTCATAGTCCCCTGGTAGTGGAACTCCCAGCCGCGGCCGGCCCCAGTTTGGTGCCCATGAAGGTAGCTCAGGGATGTTGTGCCTCTGACATCCGTCAATGGAAGTCAAGTATTCCGGGACATCCTGGTCGAGATCATGGTCCTCACAACTACTCAATATCTTTAAGCTCTTATCGTGTTCGATCAAGGCTCGAGCGGCGTTCGTGTAAGCTTCTGCGGGTGAGAGATTGTAGCGAACCTCCAAACCTTTGGGGAGGGGGAGCTCAGCTAGAGTGATGCATCCGTAGACTTTATCACGGGGATCTGTTGCTTTGCATCTACGTAGGTAGGAGAGTATCGACCCGAGTGGTCTTGACGGCTCGAATAGACAGTTGTGGATCTGGACGATATGCCCAATCGTCCTCATTCCACGGAGCCCCACGAATATTGAACCAGAGAGGGAAGTTAATAGAGGACGGGATCGATCGAAAATGCCCCAAATCGTGAAGTGCGCGAGACGGAAGCAATTGAAAGGCATTTGACGTTCGCCGCAGACAACAGTGATGTAGTACGACCAGACGAGCTCCTGGACTATCCATACCCGCGTCCAATAGGGTCGGCCAAAAAGGCCAGCAAGGGCTTCCCAGCGCTCACGCGATTCCTCTGTGACATCCTTCTCAGCCAAGAGCTTCTGTTCGAGCTCGCTCTCTATTGCAGGATCTATGCACAACTCTCCATTCTGTCCTTGAAGACAGACTAGGTCCAAGGCGAGGTCGCTGTCCCTGCTCCTTTCGCCTAGCCACACCAAGGTAAGATCGGCTCGGTGATAGATCAGATGCATTTGCTGTACCATCAAGTTCTTCTCCTCCAGATCGCTCTGGTTAATGCAAACAGCGTCCACCCAAATTCGTCTTTCCTTGTCTGCGTGACGCAAATGTTGCAGAGCAGAATACAAGTTACTAGTGACCTGGTAAGCATGGCCGTTGAGCGTAATTGTGCGCGTATGATCACTGTCGCCCCATGTGTAGGACAAGGCTTCATATGAAGGCTGGTCGCCAGTGTAAACGGCAGTCAGTCGGCACACGACATCGTCGCCAGATCCGGAGGCAGGCAAGATGTGGAGTATGCGGACTTGAGGGTCAGAGCGACTGCGCCATTGCAAGTCGCGGTATGGAAATGCGATGACCTCGTCAATGGTGGCTAGGCTCTCTTCTGCGGGCTTATTCGACATATCCAAGAGCATCGCCGACATCCGGAAAGCGGTTGTTTAGATTCAACCTAGTCGCGGAGTGTTGCGCAAGGTACATAACTAGCCCTTTCCTTTCAGCCTTGCTGTATGTAAACATGCGGATCGCTTGTGGGGCGCACGTGAAGTGGGACGTTTTGGGTGAGGAAAGCCGCCCTCGGAGCAGACTCCCTTCAACTAACTGTGGCTTCGACGAAACTCAGCACATCCAGTATCGAGTCGGTTATCTATATTTCGATGCTTGCAGTCTCGGTCATGGACTCACTACAGACCTCTTTTGCAGCCAAGTCCTGGTTCGGCTTCGATCTCGACGATACCTTGCACGAGTTCCGCAAGGCATCGGGCATCGCTTCTCTTGTTGTCTTTGAAGCCATTTACTTACAGCATAGGGTGCCAATCTCGCTCTTGCAGCAATCCTACTCATCGATCCTAGCTCAGATGACAGCCAACGCCTTCGCCTGCGGCAAGACCTCCACCGCGTACCGCAAAGAGCGCTTTACCGCATTATTACAGGCGCATCATATCAGTACCAACGATGACCACCTCGAAAATCTCGCAGCAATTTACAAGCGGGCTTTAAGTGCAGCACTAGAACCGAAGCCCGGAGCTCTTGCGCTGTTCCAATACCTAAAGCGAATCGGGAAAAGAATAATCATCATCACAGAGGGTCTTCGAGACGCGCAAGAGTGGACCCTCGAGCAACTGGGCCTGGCACAATACGTCGATATCCTTATTACCACCAACGAGATGGGACTAGCGAAAGTGGACGGCTTGTTTGAAAAGGTCTTGCAAAGGTACAATATCAAGGCGGAGGATATGGTGTATATTGGTGATAACGAGAAGCGGGACGTCATGCCGGCTGCGGAGGCAGGAATTTTGTCTATTCTGTACGATGAGAAGAGTGATTGCCAACTGGAGGGTAATGGGCGACCCGGCTCAAGATTGAGCATAAACTCACTTGCTAAGCTGGAGTATATTCTGAGGATGGGTATAGACGCTGCCGGTAAGGGAGAACATTAAGACAAGGCATATAGGGAGGTGTGTATAATTTTCGGGGCAGCCTTTAGTGATACGCTATGAATGCGCTACAATGCATTGTAAAAACCAAGATTCCTCCATCTGAGCTCGTGTGAAAGACAGACGGTGCATCCCACCCCGGCTCTTTGGCTGAAGCTCTTAAGCCGGCGTCGCCCTGCTCATTTGAATCAAACGCTTGACTCCAACCTGAGTCGACGTTAGCATTCCTTCTAGAGCGAACAGCAGGTAGTCGTGGGAGCACTCACCATCCAGTTACTGCCCTCATCCGTCTTGTTAGTCATGAGATCCGTGAACAACGCCTGAGCCTGGTCGTAGTTCCTCGCCTGCAGATGCTGCGCCAGCTCATTCATCTCCGAAATCGTATCTGGCTTCAGAAGATCTTCGTTGTTGAGATGGTCGAACAGGATGTTCAGTCGCTTCTCGGTATCCAGGACCTGCGGCATGAAGTTCTGAGGAGCACGGGACTTCACGCGTTGCATGTCTTTGTTGAGGATTTCGAAGATCGGCTGGGAGGCTGATGGTATGTGGGACCGGTCGCCGGGGGCTACAAAACGTTAGCCTTCGGCTCCTTTGCTCATTGGCGCATATACTTACGGTATTTTGCCGCAGCGGACGCCGCTCTCTGCGACTGCGCAGTGCTGGGCCGCGACTCCGGCGCCGCTGCGGGTGGAGGGCCTGCTGGCGGTGGCCCAGCTCTCGGCGGACCCGCTGGCGGTGTCTGGGTCTGGAGCGGTGGCGGCCGAGCGAATCCTTGTGGCGGCCCCTGTGGCGGTTGGCTTGGAGGGGCTGGTGATGCCATCGCACCGGTTGACCCGATGGAGCTTGTACGCTGCTGGGGTGCATAAGGATTCGGTGGAGGGATATTTTGTCTGGGCGGAGGCGCCTTTGATGGCTGAGAAGATATTTGAGGGCTTGGGCTAGGCGCATAGCGATTTGACGGAGGTGCAGCTGATGGCGGCGGGTTGTATGGCGAGGAGCCTCGGGGAATCATGTGCTGTGGCGGAGCGCCAGCAAATGGTTGAGTCGGCTGTGACGGCGCGTAAGTATTTGCGGCCGAGGAGGACGGGCGCTCTGGTTGTAGATACTGTGAGCCTGGAGCGGTTGGCGGAGACATCATGCGCGGAGGACCTTGAGGCGGTCCTCGAGGCGGAGGCGGTGGCGTAGCCCTCTGTTGCGCTGCGAATTGAGGGGGACCCATGGGCGGTGGAGGACCGACAGGACTTTGCTGCTGGTTAGGGAAGGGCGATGTGATGGCTCCCGCGCCTAAGCCTGGCGTGCCACGGCGTGAGGTGGGCGCTTTAGGGCCAAAGTCCGGAACATCATTCCATTGAGAAGCGTTGGAGGCTTTCGAAGGCGGTGGAATCGACGGAGAAGCAGTGAAACCTCGCGGCGGAGGCGGGAGGGGCTGTTGCTGAGGCGGTTGGTAGCCGAGACCATACGGCTGAGGTGTAGGTATGCCACCAGCATTCAGTTGAGGAAACTGCTGTGGTGGTTGGTACCCAGCAGGAGCGTACCCGCTGGTAGCTGTGGGTGCGTAACTCTGCTGTGGCGTTTGCTGGACTGGTACAGGGGCATTGGGAGGGTTGAACTGGGGAACTGTCCGGGGTTTGCTGGGTGTAGGTATCGGAGCTGTTTGAGGTTGTGTCGGCTGATACGCAGGAACGACTCTCTGGCTTCGTTGGGTGGTCGTGTTCGCAGCAGTCGCAGTCTGCCTCTGCGCCGCCTGAGGCGCGGCCTTTCTCGTCGCTTGTTTCACTCTGTTTCTTGCCACCTCTGCAGCAGGGTACTTGGCCGGCAGAAGATCTAGGTACTTCTCCGCAACCTGGAGCTGCCCGTGCGAAGCAACGATATCCGCGTACTCCGTATACTTGGCATACAGCGGTGCTAGCTTCCACTCTTCGGTCTTCTGGAGATCAACATCCTGGAACCTAGTGACTCGCCGGAATACAGTGACCTTCTCGATGAAATCTTGCAAAGACTTGGCGTGTATTGAGAAGCTTGAACCACCGTCGGCATGGCTAAGATCCGCATCCTCATTCTCAACCAACTCTTGCACCCAATTACCAACAACCTTCTCAAGCTTGGAGCCAGCCAAGTAGCAGAAGGATGCGTCCTTTCTCACGTCGCTCGCGTCAGCGCCGTCTTGTATCGACTCTTCCAGCCGGTCACCCAGGGCTTCGCACAAGTCAGGGAATTCTGTCTCGTCTGCAAACGTGCACAGGGTAGCCATGATCTCTTTCCAATTGGCAAGGTCGGCGTTGTATACAACATCCCATAGATTCTTCCCCACAACAGAGGCCAGGAGACGTAAATAGTTCGGTCCATCCGCTTTCCGTTTAAAGTAGGCAGCTTGCGCCTTGTCGATGCACTTCTGCCCGCCGCAGATAGCAATCATGAAGCCATCGGATAGTCTATTCTCCTTCAGACATATGTCTAGCGCCTTCTCAAAGGATCCCAGCATGAGCGCTCTGGTAATGCTTTTATCGGCATCGGTCTCCGTTCCGGTGTAGATCTGAAATGGGTTGTTAGTCTTAGCCCCTTTCGTGGCTGCCAAATCCGCAAGGAAGTTGTCTTCCGCTCCACCATCCTCGAAGAATGAGGCGTCATCTTTTGCAGATGTTACGCCATTCGTACGAGACCCCTCGTCTTGTCCCTCATCGGCTCTGTCTTTAGAATCGCTAGCTGTATCGGAGAATCCCAGGTACTCGACCAGCTTCCTCCTCGTATTGCCAGACAACAGCGTTTCCATAACTGTCCAGTCCGCCTTCTCCTCATCAGTTTTGGCCTCCGCAATCTTTTCTCGGCAGATACTGGCAAGATCCCCTTTGTTCAACGCCTCTTCGAATCTTTCAGTAGCAGCGCCAATGGCAGAGTCAACCGCGAATGTCGACAGACTGATCTTTGACTGCCGAGAGCCGCTCTCAGCCGGACCGAACTTGACAATCCTTCCTCCGAATCCAAAGGAAACGCCAACAGGCCGCTCAAGCCATTTGGGCGCCTTCGCCAAGGAGAACGTTGCACCCTGGGGCTGGGTCTGAGCTTTAGAGAAGAAATCCTCTCCATCCAGTGCCGGGGCAGCTGCCGCACTCGTCGTCTTGCTGGCCCTAGTGTTCTGGATTGTCTGCACACCGATCTTGCCGTCAAAGGATGCGGTTGCGAGCAGACTTGGATTGTGCGGATTCCATCTGGTCTGAAACGTCCAGTTTGTGACGACTGGGAACTCCCCTAGAACGTCGCCAGTTCTCGGGTTCCAACAGATAGTTCGATTGTCTTTTCCGCACGAGAGCAGCAATTCGCTGTCTTGAGGACACCAGGACAACGATAGCACGCCCTGATCATGCGCGCGTAATGTCCGCTCCGGTGCGTTCGAGTTCCGCAAATCCCATACCAGAATCAGCGGATCCTGGTCGTGGGGTATAGCGGTTATGAGCCTTGTAGCCACCTCCGGATCCCATGCGATGGCGCTGACAGCTTTCCTTCCCATGTTGTTCAATGTCAGACTCTCTTTCTTCGCCTTCAGATCCCATACTGTGACAAATCCCCCACTGCTACCCGTTGCCAGGATGTGTGGCACCTTCTTGTTCCAGTCCAGGCATTCGAAGTCGTCCGCTCGTGCAGCGGATGTACCAAGTCGCGTCGGGTTGGATGCATTATTGAGGTCTGTGATGAACAGCTCGCCTTTGGCGCCGGCAGTAGCTAGGAGTTCAGGCCGGAAGGGGTTGAACTGGAGTGCCTTGATTGCACCGCTGTGCTTCGACGTCCGTGATATGTGCGCCTCGCTGTACTCAGTAAGCAGGAGGTCCGCAACAAGTCCCCGAACTTCTTCCCTACCTAGGGTTGGTCCGCAGCTTCTCGGCATCCCACAGATCCAACGAGCCGCTCTCCAAGGCGCCTGCGATTATGCCTCTCGGATGGTCCTCGCTGGGGTCACTCCACGCAATATCATGGAACCTGGGAAGCAAAGGGGCATTAGCAACTCTGGCGATGTTGACATGACCTTGTCATGCGGGTCTAAAGTGTTGGTCGAACCTTGAATCGGTGCTGATGCTGCTCAGTGGCTGCAGCTCGACGCCCTGCTCTGGGGTGTCCAATGCCAAATCCCATATCTCTAGCTGTGTCTCATTTGAGAAGTCCGCGTCCACAGCACCAGCCCGAGTACCGGTTGCTATCAGTGGGGGGGCCGCTCCTGGTGACCAGGCGAAGCAGGCTGTTCTGGGTATTTCCCGTAATCGGACCATGTTGGAAAACGTGGAACACTAGGAGAAATGTCCAGGAGCGAGGAAAAGGCAGAAAAGAAACTAGTAGTCGCGGTGTAGAAGAATCGTTATGGCGGCGCAAGATTGACTCCCAGAAAGCTCCTGATTGTTGTTTAAGGTGCTGTCATCGCACTGAACTAAACAAGGTGGCCTCGCCAAAACCCCAGGCATGCGGAAGCAGCGGGAGTGGCCGCGGCACGTGATATCGAATTTGTCTTTGATCTTTGGCGATCAATGGTCTCGCCAAACTTCGGCGACCAACATGTCAGACGCATCACGGTTAAAGGCGACGGTCTATGTAGGGGGACTGGACAACGCCGTAAACACGGATACCCTTCATGCGGCATTCGTACCTTTCGGAGAGATAGTCGACATTTCACTCCCCAAACCGGAGCTGCAATCATCCACGGACCCGCACCGAGGCTTTGGCTATGTGGAATTCGAGCTAGCCGAAGATGCGAAAGAAGCCATAGACAACATGGACCAGAGCGAGCTATATGGTCGAGTCATCAAAGTCGCAGCCGCCAAGCCGCAGAAAGAGCAGCATGAGGGACTGGGTAGCAAGACAGCAGTTTGGGAGCAGGTAAGCGTTTATCTGAGAATGCCTATTCGGTCTGCAACTAACGTCTCTACAGGAAGGCTGGCTGGCTAAGCATGCCGTCAGTGAGGAGGATCGAGCGGCGGCCGAGCAAACGGGAGCAGCAACAGCATCGCCTCCGATGGATCCGATGCAAGGACTCGAAGGTCTGGATGTTGCCGGACCCAAGCCTGCATAAACAACAGCTCCTAAATCTCAGACATGAATACCCCTTCCGAGACTTGGAAGCTTTTGGTGGATGAACTCAGTGACCACCGAGACGCGAGCCGAAGCGTAACGCTCTTCTCCTAATAAACTCCCGCTGTGGAAGACAGCAGACGTTAGAGTTTCAGATGATTCCGAAATGTTATACCCTGCAGAAGTGTGTTGCTGCCTCTCCTTCTGCAGGTATTTCGATATCTACAGCAAATGGGCCAAAGTAACACTTTGAGGCTTGCAGAAATATAACCTCCCAAGAAGCTTAGATTCATGCAGATGTACAAGCTGTCACAAAGCTACCCCAGCGCTCCTCTCAATTTCATATGATGGCACCAGCGATACCCGCCAATTTTCAAGGGTGATCCTCACCCTGATTGTGACCGCGCGTCCTACTGAGACGAAGAGTCTTGTCCGCATAAAGCTTCCTGACTATCGAGAAGGCGGCCATGCCGACGGCGATGCTACAGATGTGTTAACGAAACTTTGACTAAAGTGTTGTGGGCCGAGCAGCGTACGCTAAGACGACACCTGTGACCTAGGTTAGCTTTATGACAATAGCCGATGCATAGCACACGTACCAAGGGGGATCAGCTCTGGGGGAATCTTCTTGAGAGTCCGAATACGTTGCGAGATGGTGTGAGCTGCGAAGGGCTGTCAGCTCCAAATGCGCCTCCAATGGCGGCCAATCGAGCCGTCTACGCACCGCTGTGCTCCTCTTTCTGCGCGGCAATCAGCTTCGCATCACACAGTCCAGCGGGAGGAGCTTACCGGCACAGGCCGCATCATTCGCGCTGTCGGCTTCATATGGAGCGAGCGCACCGGCTGGAAACGCGAGCGCAGCAAGGGCTGCATATTGAGGATGCGCGCCCGATACATAGCGGAGAGGGGAGCGGCCATTGTGTTCAGTGTAGCTGTTATTCGGTGCGAAGTGGTTGCTTGGCTGCTAGGCGTGAGGGAGACGGAGGTCAAGAGTGATGTGATGCCATGTCCCAGACGGCCCGTGCGCGAGCTCAATCGGACCACCGACAGCGATCCTTGACTTCACCACCACCGACAACCGCTCGACCCATTGAAGCGCGACCTGGAACCAACACAGTAGTGATCCCACACAAACCGCCACCATGTCTGACGAGGAACGCGAGACCAAGCCCTTCAAGTTCGTGACAGGTGAGTGCTGCCCTGCGAACCGAGCCGCTTTGAGGCGCCACTCGATTGGATGCTGACTTCGTTTGTACTTATAGCCGGTACGTTCGCCCTTGGGCTTCTAGCCCTACGACAATGCCATCCGGATAGTCAATCTACACTCGAAAATATGGCGCAAGACAGGAAGAGCGACGCTGATAGCTACGTCCCATATTAGGCTTCGATGCCCGCTTTCCGAACATGAACCAGTATGGACAATCAACGCTACGTTGGTTCATGGGTCCGGTCTGATTCGCATCGCAGGACCAAGCACTGCTGGCAGAACTATGTCGACTACCACAAATGCATTTTAGCTAAGGGCGAGGACTTCGCGCCCTGCCGCCAGGTATATACTGCTGTCCTTTACAGAACATAGCGGTCCAGGCTGATGGACCGTACCAGTTTCTTCTAGCCTACCGATCTCTGTGCCCCAGCGCCTGGTGCGAGAGGTGGGACGACCAGCGCGGTAAGCCCTCCTCCATATTCAAAGGCCAAATGCCGCCTTAGCCGGTACTAACAACTATTATGTCCAGAAAACGGCACCTTCCCTGTCCGCTTGGATCAATAGAGGGCATGTATCGTGGGGGAGATTATCTTGCGCTGTTAGGGTGTTGACGGAGGTGCTGAGTTGCGACGAGGCCTTTGTATCATACGAATCGTCGCAATGCTTCGTCGAACCTACGTTTTCCTGCGTGAAGTCATTGATGTCTTACAAAACCTGAAGGAAAGGACTATAGTGTCTGTAAGGTCTTGGGAACGTCTACCCTCGTATGCGTATGGGGGTGCTTCCGTCGGCTTGCACAGAGACGGGATCAAAAGCGAACCCAGGCTTGAGGAGGACAGATGGTCGAGTTGATGTGTCAACTGAATTGCCCCTTCTGGTGTTCTCAGTACTATACTACCGCACCCGGAAGACCCCTCCTGACCCTCCTGTCCGCTACCTAGGCATGCATTTTGCATCCCCATCAATCACGTGAATTCGACATAGTCTCTACCACATCTCGGGGCAGGACCCGCGAAAGCAGTGTCTTTACGGAGAGACGAGCACCTCGCCAGAGCACCGTGATTATATATATAGCCACAACGACTGAGCTGCGCCTGACAACAGGGATGATGGGCCGATCGTTGATGTGCAACACGCCAAGGCCAGCCACACGACTTCGATGCTGCTCAGCCTCGCGTGCCTTCCACCTACTCATAGCTACCGTTGCTCCCCGAGATTTCGTCTCTAATTGTCTATCTACCTCTATTTACAGTAGTCTAATAGCGTCAGATTTACTGGAAAGCACTCCCTTTACATATTCCCATACACCTAGAGTACCCGGGAACATGATGAAGCGCATAATAACGCGACTGTGTGATCCTTTGCATTACCCATGGACGGGTTTCTTACGTTTTACTCCCATAATCGTTCTCTCTGTCTTTCTCCTCGAGCTTATGATCCTTCTTCTCAATGTTATCCGTATTTCACTCAGTGACCGCTCAGCATTTCCAGCACTGGAGTATGTGTTCCTTCTGCCTGCAGGTATCTCAGTTACATACTGCATCACTAAACACGTCCAGGATGTTCTTCGCCGATTTCACAATCCCCACACTCAGCTTTCTGTACACGAACTACGAGCTCTGGCTCTTTTGGAATAAGAGAATGAACGCGGTGCATGCTTTATGCGCTTCAATCATCTGGAACTGCCTCTGGGGCCCATGCCAGCTTCTTGTATGGCTGTTCAGCTTTTCGAGCTCCTCCGAGATAGCAGAGACGCGGCTGGTTCTTGTGTTTTTTCTCGTTATGCTGTAGGTCGATTTTACACATTAAACCTGGTGCTTAGCTACAGTCTGCTTTCCTCGATCTACATGTTAAGGGGGCATTTCTCGTGCCCGTGCCCTTCGTACAAGCACCGTCACAGCCAAGAACTTGCTCTCGCATCGCACATCGTTCTTTCAACATTCTATGGAAGTATGACGTGGAGATATTGAGGCTCTCTTCGTGCTTGGATCGCCGTTGAGATAGGCCTGCATTTACTCTCATGTCCTGAGCTTTCAACCTTCTACGTCGCTTGCTTGTTCTGCTATCCACATCTACGCTAACACCGAGGACAGGAATATTTGGTACACAATCCACGCCGCCTTCGCTGTGCACAGGCAGAGAAAAGGGACCGGGAACGTTGAGCTCGATTACGCGACCTCGGACCTCTACCACGGACTGCATCGACAAGCTATCCTCGCAGCAATACACGCGGGCGTGTTCCCCAGGGAGCATCCAGAGATTGCCCGCAGGATGTCAAAAGCGCCCAGTTTGCATTCGGTACATATTGACACGGAGAGCATTGCTCCGCTACTCGAGCAGCGCTTTTCGGTTCGAGACACGTTCTACGATGCTGGCGAATGGACGCGATAGCCGTATACGATTCCCAGCCAACAGCTTACCTGATCCTCCTCCCGACGATCGAGTTCATGAAACCCAACGGCCACGTATGCATCTCCCTCTCCCCCTCGAAGACCCAATCCCCCTTCGTAACCTTAATAACCTCCCTCCCCTCCGGGTCAAAGGTCCTTACAGCCCCCTCGCGCTCCCCCTCCGGACACGCCTCATCCACGAGCGCCATAACCTCCCCAAACGTCCTCGTCCGTAACGAACTCACGAACCCATCAAACGCCTGGATAAACGGCAGCACAGGCAGCACAAACGTAAACAGCATATGCAACCCGTCATGCCTGAACCACAGCGGCGTAACCGCAAACATCAAGAAGAAATCCAACAGCATGAGCACCAAGCTCCCAATCCTCCGGTCCTGCAGCTCGATGATCGCGAAGCCGTCGGACGTCTCGATGCTGCTCTTCAGCGTCTTCCGCGCCATCGCGTCGTCGAAGTGGTGGAAGGCGAGGCAGTAGAGCCGGAAGACGCGGCTGTCGGGCGCGAACTCTGCATTTGGGTCGCTGGCGGCGGTGGGGGAGGCGGAGCTGATGACGGCGACGGGCGGGTTGGTCGCGTCGACGGGCTGCGGGATGAAGCTCAGGTTTGCGGAGCGTGCGGAGGCGGCCATCCAGGCGTCGAGGTGCGGCTGAATGTCGGTTAGGAGGAAGGGGATTGGGTGTTGGTTGCGGGCGAGGCGGTGGGCGTTGACGAGTTTTTCGATTACGGGGACGGGGCCTGTGGGTCGAGGTTAGCCGTGTCATAGCCGGCGGGTAGAAGATTGCCTTTGAGAGCAATGTTGATAGTGAGAGGGGGAAGGGGACACGCACCGCCGCCGCCGGAGCAGAAGTCGACAATGGAAAATTTCCCTTTCTCGACCTCGGGCATGCGGTCTAAGGTCCTGATGATTAGAGCCGCAGCTCGCTTGGCGGGCGACGTGGATTGGATGAATGGTAGCTTGTGCGTCCACTCGGCGGTGAGCATTGCTTGACATCGCTGCCGGAGGAACGGCGGGCAGCTGTAATGAGTTCACATCAGCCATGATCTAGCTTCTCCCAAGAGAATCCCGGAGCATACAGCCATAGATCGCAGAACTCAAACAGTCGCCACGGTCTGCGTGAGACGAAGAAGTTGAGGCGGCTGGAGAGTCGGCGGAGCAGCGCAAGGACCCGCCAGATAAAGCTAGGTCTTTTCTGTTGACGCGGAGGTGAATAAGATGCTGGACCGTGGTCGTCCCCATCGAGAAGCCCAACCTGCTCATCTGAGAACCTGTCAACTGTGGGGATCTAGCATATACGGCTGAAAGGATTCTGACCAGATGCTTGATCGCTTCGACGAGCACTCGGCTCCGGATCCGACATGTACGGCATGGTGGAGTACGTTATGGGACTTGGCCTTTGTTATGACCACAGAAAAGCTTCGAGACGGTCTCTGATGGACCCGCCGTCAGAAGACCTGAATGAGACAGCGGGAATAAGAGGATGGTGAAGAGTGATAACAGAGATACAGCTGTGCAGGTTGCTACAAATCGACCCGTAAATGATTGACTGAGGTTTCGTGTGAAGATTCGAAGACTCAGTATACTCGATGAGGGGTTTGCGGGAGAAGCTTGAACATTAATCCACCAACACCAGTCCAACACGGACTCATCAGGCTCGAGGATGTTGAAAGCAACGCGCGAGGTGTCATCAAGGTCTGGCTGCCTGTACAGTACCTTATCCCTTTGAGGGGAGTGCATGCAGTTGAGTTCAACGTCGGTCGATGGACATGACGTCAGACATCACGACAACGCTATTTCGACTACATGCCTGCAAATTCATATCCAACGTGTAGCTGTAAAATAGCTTGGACACTTGACCCAGGTGCGTCGCATGCAGGGTTGACTGCCCAGCTAGCCATCGACGATAGGGACGTCGCAAACTGATATCGCCAGACGAGTCCATCCCCATTGATAGGTTCCTCATAGTATCAACCAACTCAGAATCGATACGTCTGCTACCCTACCCTTCTCGCCAGTATCTAGCCGAACACGAGACAATGTAACGACAGTGCGCCATCATGCTCTTAGCCAAGAGACTGTGGTATCATAGTGCGACTCCAGATGAAAATGCCCAGCAAGCCCGCCCCCTTCGCCCCTAGTGATAGCACCACAGCCACCAAAACTCCGACTCTAAATGCAGATCAAATGCGCCCCACACCGCACCCGCTACCAACACATAACACCACATGCACGCATATACAGCTCCTCCAAATACTCCTAGCTCTGTCAACTATCCTCCTCTTCCTCCTCGTCATCATCCGCAGCAGCACCGCTGTCCGTTAAACTCTTCCCAATCGGTCCCAGCGTCCACACCCACTCCCGCCGCCGCTTGCGCCGTCCCGCCACCGGCGTCTCAGGACACGAATCGCTATCCGAGTCCGGCTCCGAAGACGAGGGCGACTCCCGCTTCTCGCCCGTGCGAGGAGAGCTTGTGTTCGACTCGTCGTCGGAGGTTGACAGGTCGGGCGAGCTTGAGGGCTCTGGTGGGGAGTGCGATCGCGGGACGTCTGCGGAGAGTGACGCCGCGGCTGCGGGTGGAGATGATGAGAGCTCGGAGGAGGAAGTCGAGATGGAAGAGACGGTCGAGGAGGAGAGGCTCGATGACTCGGACTCGGATGGCTGACTTGCGTCTGGTGTTATGTCCGAGTGCGCCATGGTATACCTGACTGTGACGATCTCCTCGTCCAGCGGCGTGCGGAACGACACGCGCTTCGTCGCTGGGAAGAGCGGCCGGCTTGAAGACGCCATCCTGCGCGTCCGCACTTCGGCAATGGGGCTGTTGGACAGGATCGAGGGGAGGTTGTGCGCGAGCTTGTACGGTATCCGTATGGTAGCTGACTCGGTTGACTCGGTTGACGAGGCGGATGTTGCGGACGCTGTGGACGCGGAGTTTGGGGTGCTTGCTTCGAGCTGTATCGGCGTTGGGGGCGCTGACCGCGGGCGAACGTCAAGGGAGCTGATGAGAGAGAGCCGCGGCCTCGAGGGCGCGGTGGTGGACGCGGGCTCTGATCGTGGGGCTTGGTAGGCGTTGCTGAAGGTATTGCGGGCTGTGGGCGAGACTGCAGAAAGGGTCTCCAGTCGCAGACTCGAGCCCTTGCCAAAAGTACGTATCTGCTGTGTATTCACGGACAGTTTCGGCCGCCTTGGAGACAGAGGTTCGGATGCGGTTGCTGTGGAGTGCGCATGGATCGGTGGAGGAGGCAGCATCGCCAGAGAGGTCGTCATCGTGGCAGGAGACAGCTGGAGATGTTCATGGGACTTTGCCCCAAGGGGAGACTGTGACTTCGACACTGGAAGTGCCAGCATCATGTGTGCGGTCTGCCCTTGTGTCGTTCAAGAGTATGGCCCGGTGCCCGCCCAGGCTGGAGGCGCAAAGTGTCTCTGATAAAGGAGGGGAGCCGTGCTTTGACGGAGCGGTGCAATAGCCTGCCCTCGTATCCAGATCTGAGCGATGCAGGTACGGGGTTAGCGGAGAGAAGGTTGGGGCTGCTGACGGCGGACGATCGCTGCTCGGGGTGCAGATGACCAGACGGGATCCGAGGCCAGCTCGTCGGCGAGCGGTTGTTGAGGATCAATCTGGTTTGTGGTGAACAAAAACGCAGAGACCCTGTGGGAGGGGGGAATCTGCTGCTCTTCATCTTTGCGCGAGACGAGGCGGGGCGGCGATGGCAATCTTTGGCTGATCGAGGCATGGGTGTTGGATGATGGCGCTTTGGCTTGCGCGTTCGAGCACGCTACCCGGGGTTGATCTTTATTTTTGGCACACTGAGCTCAAGACGCCGCCTATTGGACGAGGGACGGCCGTCTCACAAACGCCTTGGCGTGCGGGTCCACCACCTGGGCAACGGCACCGGCATGAGAAAGAGCCGTGAGAGCGGACGTCTGGTGGCGAGTTACTCAGCAGCAGCCATGAGGCAGGCCTTGAAGGACAAGCGTTTCGTGTCTGCGCAGGAAGCCGTAAGCGGAAGCGCTTCATCACCCGGCACGAGACCAACGGCGTCTACTCGGGATTGATCCACAACCACTGATAAGTCAACCTTTAGCTACTCGTTGAGTAGTTCTAACGTCTGACCGGATGTTGAAAATGGCGCATTGCATCACGTGACGATAAGACTAATTCCAACTCATGTGGTTGACAGCTTGGATCACGAACTGGAACACCATGCACAGATCAAGTTTCAGGGCGTCTAAAATGATAGGTGTGCGAGTCCGTCAAGCTGCTAAACGCGTTTCTAGATTGCTGGGGCTCACATTTAAGCCTCTCATCTAGGCCTCTTGAGAGGTGAGACAAAATCTATGTATGGATTCACTACCACGTGATTGCAACACCATACCTTCTGCAACTCTCAGTCGGATATTTTACCTGCCATCGGCCTCCCGCAGGGGAGAATGCGGCTCTGATGGAAGCCAGCCGGCGCAGTTGGGCGCCGAAGCGGAGGGATGACAGGATCATCATACATTTCGTGAGTTGCTGAGTGGCTTGTAGGAAACGCCAATTAGGCCCTTGTCTCACCTTCTAACCTGTCTTCTCGCAGGACTACGACTGTTTCTACGCGGCGGTCTTCGAAGCTGAAAATCCTGCGCTCAGATCGCTTCCGCTGGCTGTGCAACAGAAGCATATCATAGTCACATGCAACTACGAGGCTCGTCGACGGGTATGCGTAATCCTGCCTTGGACGCGAGACAAGCATTTGGATGCTGAGGCTTCTTCTCTAGGGCTTGCATAAGCTGCAGCCCATAAATGAGGCGAAGAAGCTTTGCCCGGACGTCGTTATCGTCCTCGGCGAAGACCTCACCCGCTTCCGGAATGCATCCCGAGAGCTGTATAATTTCATCCGGCAGTTCTCCTGGAACAACAAGGCAGAGAGGCTCGGATTTGATGAGGTCCGTTGCCCTGAAATCGATATGCTCAAGCTGGCGGCCCACGCTTGATGGCACCCATTAGGTGGACCAGGCTAGCAGCTGATATTATAGATCCCACCATCATGGCCACGTGCTTACTCTCTTCTCCGGCCCCCTATAGGTATTTTTGGATGTAACGGATGTCATCCGCTACAATATCGAGCTGCTTAATGCCAATGACTTGGCCAACTCATTCTTTTGTCTCTCCCAGAATGATCCTACGCTAGGCTTTCCATACAACGCCGCTGAACTGGCTGGACACGCTTCCCCTGCATCAACCGCGTGCCAGGTCATACTGAATGGCATTGACCCGGACAGCTTACTCATACGTCTGCATCTCGGATCCCACCTAGCGCGGCATCTGCGCACCCAGTTGGAGGAGCACAAAGGTTACACAGCCACCATCGGTATTTCGACGTCGAAACTATTATCCAAGCTCGTAGGTAACTTAAACAAGCCCAACGGGCAGACTACGCTTCTACCTCCGTACGAAGCGCCTGAAGGTGGGACTGGCAATGCCACAGCCTTCATTGACGGCCATGAGATCGGAAAGATCCCTGGGGTTGGCTGCAAGATAGCCCAAAAGCTGCGTGAACATATCCTTCAGAGACCGGCTGAGATTGATTCTGGGCTGGTCTACGGGGGCACGAAAGAGAAGGTCACTGTTAGGGACGTAAGAACTCATCCCACTATAAACCTGGAGATGCTGGACCGATTGCTGGGTGGACCAGGCTCACACCGCGGCACCGGTGTCAGAGTCTGGCAACTGATACATGCGGTTGACGACACGGAGGTAGGCCAAGCTAAGGAGGTGCCAAGTCAGATCAGCATAGAAGACAGCTACATCCGACTCGACACGATCGAAGAAGTGCTAAAAGAGCTGCGAAAGCTTGCAAAAAGCCTGATCAAGAGGGTGCATCTCGATCTTCTCGAAGAGAGCGACGATGACACGGGCATTCCGCCTGTAGCTGAGCATTCCAAAGGAAGCACAAGCCTTGGCCTCCGAAGATGGATCGCTCATCCGAAAACGCTGCGCCTCTCAACCAGGCCCCGTCCACCTCTGAACCCCGACGGGACACGTGCCCGAAGCTTTAACCGCATCTCGCGCTCAGCACCACTGCCTACCTTCATCTTCGGTCTCAGCGAAAGCATTGACGCGCTTACAGAGAGGCTGATAAGCGAAGCGCTGCTGCCTATGTTTCGGAAGCTGCACCCGGACAGAAGCGGCTGGGATCTAAGCCTCGTCAATGTGGCTGTGACGAACATGGCGGATGCAGCTGGCGACAGCAAAACAGCTACCGGAAGAGACATCAGCAGCATGCTCAGAAAGCAGGCTGATGTCTTGAAGGAGTGGAGAGTTGAGGATCGACCTGTGCCTCCCGATGCACCAGCCGAGGTCTTTGGTAAGAACACATCCATGCCCGCTTCATCCAGGCCAGATGATGAGCGGAAGGGCTCAGAGGACATGCTCGTTCCGTCACAGGATAGCCGCAACGGTTTCGAAGGAGCCGTTTGGGACTTGGAAGACGGGGCTGAAGAGCAGGTGTCCGCCCTCGCATGCGAAATCTGTGGAGCAATTATGCCGGCATTTGCTATGCTAGCTCATCAGCGTTTCCACGAGCTGGGGGATTAGGCTTTGTGTGTCTGGTTAAGCATATATGCCCGTTTGACATCAGAATCCAATTGTGCACCAAGCTGCAGCTACCACTGCTTCTGCCCTAGCATGACAACATTTGCTGTTCTCCTTAGTTGTAAACAAGCGTCGTAAAATTCCTTTTGAGCAGTGATCTCTTACTTCCTGAAATATTACTTACCATTCTGTGAGAGCTTCCATCACATGGTAGAGTTCATCTGTCCTCAGAGCACTGGTATTCAGGTTACACAACATCCGTCTCCGCTTCTGGGCATGCAGCCATGGCACGGCCCATCAATCAACGGCAACCTCGCGCAACAATCATGCAGCAACAAGCCCACCTGGGCACCACACAGGAATTGGCATTCAAAGAGCCGCCTAGGTCACTCCATGCATAGTGTTTGATAAGAGGGGATGCGAATAAAATGGCAACAAGTTTCCGCCATGTTGAGCTTTCCGCGCTCCTTCAACATCCTGGCAACCAAGATCCAGTACACGATGCTCCCTTCCAAAGATGACACGATCGTGGGCGCTGGCGGTACTGTGCAGACGGAAGACGGCGAGAGGCATGAAACCCGTGCGAAAAGCGGCCAGCACAGGCCTTGGAGCCGGCAAAGGTAAGTCAACCCGCATGCTTTGAGCGACTATATGCAGGCATCCAGTTGACCCGGGGTAGGTACTTTGGAGCACTCCTCTTCAATGTTGCAGCGGTTCTTCTCCCAGCGCTCTATGGCACGCTCAGCAAGCTATGGGTTGCAGACATCGACTCGTCGCAAGTCGTCCTCACCGACGTGTACACGTACATAGGCGTAGTCGCGGAGGTGCTGAACGAAGGCCTTCCACGAGCAGCATGGCTCGTCATCGGCGACAAGTCCTCGCGAAGTGTTCCAGCGCGCATTGGACTTTGCCATACTCTGATCATCTTCCAGTCCATTCTGGGCTTGATCATGTCCATCGTCTTCGTCGCCGCAGCTGCTCAGACTGCGAAAGCATTCGTTCCTGTTGAGACCAGGAGCACTTCGTTGACATACGTCCGTGTCGCCGCCTTCTCTTGCCTGTCATCTGCTATTGAAGTGGCTGTCTCGAACTCTACCCGCGCGCTGGACAGACCAGACGTACCTCTGCTCATTAGCTCGGCCAAGTTCATCATTAACATCATCCTGGACATGCTGATCATTTCGACCTTCCATGTCGGCTCCCACCAGCCCACCGTCAATATGCAGGCCGCTATACGACTGAGCTGCGATCTGGCTGCAGCCTTCATCGGCCTTGCCTACTTTCTGTTCATCACCAGACGGATCAGGAGGAAGACAGACAGGACGGCCTCTAGATCCTGGTCATCGACACAGCCCTCGTTCTCGGCGCTCAAGACTCTTGCACGACCCGGTGCGCTTACCTTTCTGGAGTCTGCCATCCGCAATGCACTCTATCTATGGCTGATTAGCGGCATCGTGGCAATGGGTTCAGACTATGCAACCGCGTGGGGTGTCTTCAACACTATCAGATGGGGTCTCATCATGGTCCCGGTCCTCGCTCTGGAGGCGACCTCTTTGACCTTCGTGGGCCATGCTTGGGGCAGGTGGAGAGCGAGCGGGGCTGCGAATGCGAGGCGGGCCACTGCATCGTGGGCAGATCTTCGCGGTGAGAACGAGTCGCAAATCTTTCTTTTCTCGACGTGTCGTACTGACGTCCTTGTCAGTTATCGCCCAACCAGCTTTGGTGTCCTGCATTGTTGCGCTGGTGGTTGAAGTCCCTATCTGCGTTTTCCTGGCCACGTGGGGTGCCCGCCGGTTTGCCTTCTGGCTGTCGCAGTCGGACACTGTATCTAGGATCACGGAAAAGATGTGGAAGGTTAGTGATCCCAACCCTTTCCCTCTATTCAGGTGGTGCACCGCTCGAGCGGTGCCACTTTTACCACCACAGCGCAGGGAGGGGTTACCGAATAACATAACGCCTCACAACGGGGCTTTTCCTGCGCCTGGCTGGAGCAGCCACACTGAGAGATTTGCAACCCGCCTCACCCAAGCATCCCGCATCTGCCGCATGCCGCGCGCGCAGACAAGCATCGCTAACCTCCTCCAGACAATCGACTGGTGCTACATCTTCTACGCGCTCAGCACCCAGCTCGCCGCCATCCTCCTCGCGACCCGTCCGCTCTGGTATCTGTATCAGTCGCTCGCATCCAACATCCTATGGGTGCTACCATGGGCCATCGCGGTCAGCCGGATCGGCATCACGCCCGACGATGCCTGGACGTATCATTCTGTCATCTTTGGGGGATCGCTGGTCTTTAGCTTCTTTTGCGTGCTTGCTGTGCTTGGGTGTTGGGCTTGGGCGCTGAGGAAGGGGAGGATGAGGGTGAGGCCTGTCGCAGCGAGGGGGCGTGGAGAAGATAGATGACGCGAGGGTTTCGGGGGCTATTGATTCGATGCGAGGATTTGATTTTTGTTGTTTCTGCGCCACCTCCAGTCGCAGTCTCATACTGGCAATACTACTAATGACATCGATAAGAATCTCTAAGCTTCTCGGCCGCAGCGGTGAACCTGGAGCGGCGTGATTCTCTCCGCCCTTGCCAAGAGGACGGTACTCAATATGATCAATATCTGATCAATATCGACCTTCTGAGGTAGGCGGTATATAAGATCTCCGTCGACTAGTCGGACCGGCAGGACCCCTTTTCCAATTGATGGTAGAATTTAGGCGCCCACTTACGCTTTGTACAAGGTATCTAGGAACCCCTTTGCCAACTCCACAACGACGCCTTTGTGTGGCAGCGCGCCCGCAACGCCATACAACGCAGCCGCATCGCCTTTCTTGACCGCCTTCCCCTTCCCCTCCGCCAGCCTCCTCCGTTCCCTCTCCCTCACCTCCTCAACACACGCCTCCAAATCCCTCAGCAGCTCATCCACAACCGCCACAATCGGAAGCGTGACGGCAACATGCATGGCCGGCGGGTTCTGCAGCGCATTAAGATGCCACCCCCTGGCCGACATGCGGTCCGCAACATCGTAGATATCCAGCGTGCGCGACGTAAACGCCACGACGCTAACAGCCGGCTTCCCGACCACCTCGAGATCAACACACAAACCCGGCTCCTCGCGCACGGCGGCCTCGATCCGCTTCGCGGCCCCGACGATCCGGTGGCACGCGTCCACGTAGCCGGCCTCGCCCTGCGCCATCATGCTGGCCCAGCAGCCCGCTATTAATGCGCCCGGCCGTGACCCCGCCATACTGGGGGAGGCGTACACGCCCCCCGGCCAGTCCGCGGAGACGAAGTACTGGTAGCTGCGCAGCTGCTGCGAGCGGTAGAGCACCGTGCTGTTGCCCTTGGGCGCGAAGCCGTACTTGTGGGTGTCGCAGCTTATGCTGGTCACGCCGCGGAGGCGGAAGTCGGCGGGCTCGGACGGGAAGCCGGCTTTGGCGAGGAGGGGCACGAGGAAGGAGCCGAGGCAGCAGTCGACGTGCAGGGGGAGGTGGCTGCGGACTGCGAGGCGGGAGAGGGCGGAGATGTCGTCGATGATGCCGTGGGGGAAGTTGGGGGCGCTGCCGACGAGGAGGATCGTGTTGGGGTTTGTGAGGCGGGAGACGGAGGGCATGTGTACGCGGTAGGTGGGCGCTGGGCAGGCGACCAGGTGGACTTTGATTTTGAAGTACTCGCCCGCTTTGCGGAAGGCTGTGTGCGCGGTGTCGGGGAGGATCCTGGAGAGGTGTACGTCAGTTAGAGTGCCGCAGTTCTCAGCTATGGCGTTGGATACGCACATCTCGGGCTCCATCACACCTCGCTCGTGGTACGCTTTTTGCCTCGCGCTCAGGACGGCCATGAGGATAGACTCCGTGCCTCCGCTCGTCGTCACGCCTGCAGCGCCTTCCGGTGCACTGAACAGAGACAGAACCTGTTGCGCTTGTCAGTCCCGTCCACCTCAGCACCGTAGTGCTTGCTACACTCCGGGCAGACATACCATAGCAACAACCTCAGCCTCCATCTTCCTAACCCCCGGAAACACATCCGGATGAATCGGGTTGCTGACCCCGAACCTCCCAAACGCCTCCTTCTGCAGCTCGCCCAGCTCCTTCCCACCATGGTACACCGCGCCGCTGACTCTCCCATCCTCCCACCGTGTATGGTCCATCTCGCCCAGCTTAACCAGCTCCTCTCTCACCCTCTCGTCGCTCCATCCTTCCGCCGGCAGCGCGAGATGCCGCTCCACGCCCGGCCCGCTCGGCACGAGCTTCGACTCGAGCTTGGCGAGGGATTCGGCGACCTGGGCGGAGACTTTGGTGCGCACGCCTGGCAGCCGTAGGAAGAGGCCGTAGAGGATCCGGCGGAGCGAGATGTAGCCGTCGCGGACGGTGCCAAGGAGGCCGCGGCCGCGCAGCTGATAGAGGGTTTTGCGGGTCCAGCGGAGGAGGAAGAGGAGAAAGATTAGGTTGCGAAGTCTGTGGTTGACGTCAGGACTGGCATTTAATGGGCATGTAGGGGTTCAAGGCGGATCTAGGGGACGCGGGGAAGTAGTGATACATACATGTCTAGGTTGAGGGCGAGGATTTGGCGGCGGGAGGTGCGGGTCGGGGCGGAGAAGGTCTCGCGAAGACTAACTGGGAGGCGTGAGGAGCCCATTATGAAGGTCGAGGTTTGTGTTTGCTAAGACATGGTGATGTTGTTCGGATCTGAATGTTTAGAGTGGTAATGCCAGATGTCATCGATCATCACATGTCATCGAGCTCGGTTGCCTGCATCGTCCTAAGCCTTTGATCTCACGTGTTGAAACAACATCCTTATGTAGCGGCGAAATCACCTAAACAAGCTTGGGTCACAGGCGCAAGGGTAGAGTGTATCGAATGAATACTACTATCTGGCTATGGACCTGTCGCTCATCAGCCCAGCAAAGTCCCGACACCAAACTCCATGCCTCCTAAGATCGCCAAGGCCTGTAGACGAAGCTTGCTGAACGCCCTCATGATTGGGACGAGGAGCGTTGATGCCACCGAGCGACTCAATGTTTTCCAACTGTGGCACAAGCGTTAGCCTCTGTATGCAAGGTAATCAAGAACACGGCAGACTTACTGGAGTTGCAATCCCTTGACTGATCCTTCCGATCACCGATGTAATGAGCCGCCAATAGATCGTCATCATGGCTCGCGCATCGCGGTCGTCTTTTTGACGACTGAATGCCTGTGCCTTTGGCCTCCGCGTCCGCATCCAAATTGATTCCTAGTCCAAGCTGCAGTACGTCTAGGGCCAGGCAAATCAAACAGCCACGGCCTTAGCTTTCCCTTTACCTGCAAACTTGGTATCAACCGACTCTTCCTCCGCGTTCTCCTCGTCATCGCTCATATCCTCATCCTCCTCGTCCCAGCCAAAGAACGTCCGGGAAGGAGCAGCCTGCTCCGGCACCTTCTTTGAACTTGACGCCTCAGCCTCACTCTCACTGCCCTCACTCTCCGCAGAGCCACTACCAGAGGCGTCACTCTCCTTCTCCACAAGCACGTTCTTGATATCGCCCGCCTTGAGCGCTGCCAGCACCGCTTCCCGCGTCTTCTCCTCCGCCTCTTCTTTCGCCTCAATCCACTTCCCATCCAGCCTACCTTTTCCACTGCTCTTGATTTCCTCCTCCTTTTTCTCCGCCAGTTCGACTACCTGCTCCCACCGCTTCCGCCTCTCTTCCCTCTCCTTCTTCTCCATCTCCGGCTTGACAGCTAGATACTCCGCCAGCGCCTTTGCTTCAGTAACGGTACGCAGACGTCGCCCATCTAGATTGCGATTTGAGCCGTTGTTTTCGCCTTGGTTCCGCTTCTTGCGACTGCTCATGCGGCCGCCGGCGGCGCGGAGCTGGGAGCCGAAGCCGCCTTTACCGCCGCATAGTGGGGTGGAGAGCCATAGTCGGATAAAGTCGCTTGATGGTGACGAAAGGTAGTCGGAGAGAGGCGCGGAGGAGCGTGGGGAGAGTTCCTTGTTGGAGGCTGTGGTGAGAATGAGGCGGGTTGCATTTGAAGGCAGTCGTTCTGACAGGAGGCTTGTGAAGTCTGCGACGGTGGAGGAGGCAGGAACTGGAATCGAGAGAGTCGAGGGGAGGCCCAGGCCGGGGAAGGAGGTGAGGAGGATGTTGAGCGTTTGCGGCGCCATTGTGGAGGTAGTGGACAGTCGAGCTGAGTGATTGAATTTGCTGGCTTCTCTGGTCGGTGCGATGGGTGATGACGAGATCCGCTTGATTCAGCTTTCGTCAGGCGGAGTGTTATGGGTGTAGTTTGGAAGAGGAAGCGAAAACAGGTTTCGTTTGTGAGGGTGGAATGCTATGCGATGGCTTGAAGGTGAAGTTCACGGCGGCTCTCGTCACTTCGCTTAAAGTTGCGATTACATAAGCGCTTGCTCGGGCCTCCCACAGCTAAACCACCAATTTCAGCTGCACGACGAGCAGCAACCGACAACAAATCCCCCCCATCAAGACATTCCACAAGAACAGCCGTCAAGATGTAAGCTCCATACGCAATGGCACAACACAAACCACGTCTAACAACCCCACAGGCTCATCCCCAAAGCCGACCGCAAGAAGATCCACGAGTACCTCTTCCGCGAGGGCGTGATGGTCGCGAAGAAAGACTTCAACCAGCCCAAGCACAACGAGCTCGACGTGCCGAACCTCTACGTCATCAAGGCCTGCCAGTCGCTCACCTCGCGCGGCTACCTCAAGACGCAGTTCTCCTGGCAGTGGTACTACTACACGCTGACCCCCGAGGGTCTCGACTACCTCCGCGAATGGCTCCACCTCCCCGCTGAGATCGTGCCCCAGACGCACATCAAGCAGCAGCGCTCGCATGCGCCTCCGCGCGGCATGATGGGCGGTGATGACCGTGAGAGGCGCGGTGGCGGCCGTGGCGGTGACCGTGGTGACCGTGGTGGCCGTGGTGAGAGGGGCGAGTACAGGAGGCGCGATGCGGGCGAGGGTAAGGAGGGTGGTGCGCCGGGCGAGTTTGCTCCCAGCTTTAACCGTGGTGGCTTCGGTGAGTTATCCTGATCCGATTGATATCTTGAACGTCAACTGACAGAAGCAGGTCGTGGCCGCGGTGCTCCCCCACCAGCATCATAGACGGGTTTCTCACATGCTTCATACGCTGCAGACGGACTGGGTTGGGTTGGGCGGTAGCGTGCTCAATCGAGTGACAGAAATTGCCGGGGTTGCATAGGTCGACGGGGGCAGTTGACACTGCGCTTTCCACTGTCACATCTGTGATATAGCGAAAACAGATGTCCTTCTTGTTCCGACTTCAAGTATTCACACTCGACAACATTGACTCCAGACTGTGCAATCCAACACTTTGCGAGACTGCTGCCAGAAGCCCTCCCACGCCTTCCTTTCTTACGACGACGCTCTTATCTCGCCGCTCTCATTCTGTCATACCTCAACACTGCGCCCAACAAGACCTGTGCCCCTAACGCACAATCCTCTGGACTTGTATACTCAACTGGATTATGGCTGACCCCATCCTTGCTCGGCACAAAGATCATGCTCGTCGGAACCCTCTTACTCGTATACACGCTGTCGTGCCCTGCACCGCTGATCATGCTCTTCGTCAAATCTTCCGCCCTGTCCCCAAAGATTCCCCTCGCGGACTCCGTCACGCAGCTGATGCAGTCCTCATGGAAATTGATAGCCTCCGAGACCGAATCCGTGCGCCACTCGACTTCGCACCGCTTGCCCGGCGTGCCCCCCTCATTCAGATTCCCCACATCCTCGCCCGCAGCAATAGCCGCGAAATCCCTCTTCAGCTGCTCCTCAAGCGCCTCGACCGTCTCGTCCTTCGCGGCCCTGATGTCCAGCGAGAACCTCACAGTCCCAGGCACCGTGTTTGTGCTCCCAGGCCTCAGCGTCAGGATGCCTGTACTCGCCAACGCCTTCGCTTTCGTTGCGGCACGATGGCTCTGCAGGATCATCTTGCTCGCCGCCAGAAGGGCATCCGCTCTATTCTTGAAGTCCGTCGTGCCGGTGTGGCAGTCGCCACCCCTGACCGTGATGGTGAACCAGCGGTAGGCCTGGACGCCCTTGACGATGCCGATCTTGCGGTTCTCGGCCTCGAGGATGGGGCCCTGCTCGATGTGCAGTTCGAAGTGGGCGGCCATGGGCGTGGATGCGTGGGAGGCCGGTACGGAACCCAAGTAGGCGATACGCTCGAGTTCTGACTTCATGGTCGCGGTGCCGCCGCCTACTTCAACCAGGTTGTGCGCGTGGTCTTGCGCGATGGCGCCCGCCCAGACGCCGGAGGAGACCATGGAGATGGGGAAGCGGGCGCCTTCCTCGCTGCCAGGGCTGTTAGCGCGCGCTGTAAGTAAGGCGCAAAGGGATGGATGGCGTCTACTTTGTCCAGTTTACCACGCCGACGGGGTACTCTGTCTCGACCCAGTTCTCGTTGAGGACTTTGAGCATCTCGACGGCGGCCGTGACGCCTAGGATGCCGTCGTACCGTCCGCCAGTGGGCTGGGTGTCGAGGTGGGAGCCGGCGAAGGTGGGAGGGACGTTGTTGTTGAGGCCCGGTCGGACGGCGAAGATGTTGCCCATTGCGTCGACTGTGGTTTTGCATCCTAGGTCCTTGGTAGTGGCTACGAACCAATCTCGGGCCTCTTTGTCGGCGTCGGAGAGGGAGAGGCGGGACATGCCCGTTTCGGTGGAGGCGCTGGTGTTGTCTCAGCGACATGTCTCTTTCTGATGTTGACTATGAGAATACAGCAAATGCATGGAAAGCAGATAATCACGATATAGAAACTTGAGACAGCTCGTTGGAAGGATTTGAGATTATGTTGTTGGGATTATACAGAATTGCTTACGTTCCCCACCGCTCTCCCGTGCCCCATTGACAAGTGTGGTGGATGTCTCCTATCAGCCGATCTTGATTGACTTTGAGAGAAGACACATCCTTCTCAGACATCTCCGTGCTACGCAATTGCCATACTGACGAGGTACTGAACGTCCTCCAGCCAACCACCCGTCGGAATGGCGGACTGCTTCTTAAGGCGCAAGCTGCTTGACGAGCACCCGGCGCAAATCTACCAACGAGATGCAGCATGATGGTATATACCTAGATATCTGGGTTTCACCAGGTCGGTAAGAAGCGTATAGTTGCAGGTGAAAGTCAGTTGCCTGGCAATTGCTCGTTTTGGGCACTTTGTCAAGATGCTCGGCTGTGAGTCACGGATTAGCGGGCTTTTCCAGCTCCAGCGGTGTTGATCCATGATGATGTTTGCACAAGACGTGCTCTTATTGATACAAAGATTAGATGAGCGGCAAGACGACCCAGTCCCGACCAGCAAGAGCGGAAACGAGACTACAGTCAGAAACCTAAGGCAGCCAGCAAAACCTCCGGTCGGTATTAACCTCAGTGCGCCGGAATCCGATGAGCTCCCAGTCCATCCTTAATCAGCCCATCTCATTAACCCTCTTTTGTCCCGCCTATCTCAGTACAGCTCTTCCAATACCCATGGCAGATAGCGATGCCCAATAAAACAACCACCAGATAGCTCCTTTCCACTCCCCTTCATATCGTTCGTCCCACATAGTCATCCCTACCTACCAATATCACCCTTGATCACTATCCCTCCGTCGCCCTTCTCACGCCTTAACATTACAGAACGGCAGCGTCAAGAGCTCATCAGCCGTCGGCCGTCTCTCATGATCAATCTCGAACGTCCTCCTCAAAAACTCCCTCGCCTCCGCGCCCGCCTTCTCCGGCACAGCCGGCCTCGCATCGCCGCTCCCGCCAATCTTAAAGATGGCCTGCAGCTGGCTGCAGTTCGGGTGCGGATGGCTCCCCGTCATCATCTCGACGATCAAGCACCCCAAGCTCCAGATATCCGCTTTGCGGGTATACGCCGTCTGCTTGACGACCTCGGGCGCCATCCAAAAGACGGAGCCTTGCAGGCTGACGCGGGGGCCGCCCTTAGAGCGGGACGAGGGGAGCAGCGAGGATGCCTCGACGCGCTTGGAGATGCCGAAGTCCGAGATCTTGACCGCGCCTTTGTTGTCGACGAGGATATTGGCGCCCTTGATGTCGCGGTGGATGATGTCTCTCGAGTGAAGATAGGCGAGGCCAGCCAGGATCTGGCGGACGAAATTCGAGATTAGGCCTTCACGGAAGGGCCCGTAGTTCACCAGCATCGTCGCCACGGAGCCTCCGGGCACGTACTCGAGGAAGATGTTGAGGTGGGTGTCGTCGGAGTTGGAGCCGAGGTACTGCACAATGTTCGGATGCTTAAGGTCGCGCAGGAGTCCGATCTCGTGCTTCAGCGCCTCCACCATCGTGTTTTTGCGCGTGTCGAGCGCGGTGCCGGACGAGGAGGGCATCTCAACTTGCTTGACGGCCATGAGCTCGCCGGTAACGGCGTGCAGCGCGAGGTAGACGCTGCCGAAGGAGCCTTGCCCGATCAGCGTGCCTTTCATGTATTTGACGTTCTCCCAGGAGTCGCTCTCGAGGTAGTCGTTGAGCTCTTCGTCGTACTCTTCGCCGTCGTCGGCGAGCGCTTGGCTGAGCCGCTTGTTCAGCGAGTCACCATTCTCGGTGCCGCCAGCGCTACTGCTCGCGCCGTCGTCGAAGTAGCTCTGCAAAGTGGTGTTGCCGTCGGGATCCGTGACGGCGAGGGTGTCCGATCCGCTTTCCGCGCCAAACGAGACATAGGACTTGCGGTTTGGCTCAAGCGGTGACTCCTCGTCGAGCGGCTCCAGCACCGACGAAGCGACAGAATCCCGGTAAGCCGGTACCGAGTTGAGCCTCAAGACAGAGAGAGGACGAGCGGTTCTGGGAGGACCGTTCAGCCAGGCATCGGAGATTGCCGGCAGCGGTGGTGCATCCCTCAAGCTGGCTGCAACACTGAAGTTGCTCGCCATGCTGAGACGGCTGGCCGCCTTGCTGATTCTGCGTGACCTTCGGACTGACATTCGGATCGTCTTATCGATCTCATCCTTTGACGCATCGGGAAAGTAGGCCGTGAGATCAGAGGTGATGAGCTCGCTTGGGGGTCTGGCACCGTAGAAGTCCTTTATTCTCCTCGCACGAGCACTGGTGGTTGAAGCGACTGTGTCAGACCTTTCCAACTCTTGTGCAGTAGAAGCGATGTGGCGTTCTCGTTCTCTGGCGGACGTAGGAGACAGTGGATAGCTGACTGCGGGCAATGGCTGACCAAGCACTTTCTCGACCTTGGACTGACTGCCTTTGCTGCCCGGTATCATGACCAGTGGCTGTTGTTGCATGGCAATGCTCGCAGCCGTCTTCAGCTGCTCACCCTCAGGCTCACCAGCGTGAATCTTCCGGAAGATCAGTCTGCTTCGGTCCATCCTATCTCTTGCAGCACACACACGCACCAGCTCAGCCTCGTTGAGCCGTCGGCATTTCGAGGGATCGGGCTCGATGCCATCCAAGAGATAGAAGCAGTAGTTCTTGACATGTGCCTCGTTCAGCGCGCCTTTCCTCAGCGTCTTGAGTACGATGTCTTCGGCGGTCTTGCAGCCCTCGACGCTAACGACGGACGAGGTGCCGCTAGGAAAGATAACTCGTATCAGCGCCTTGTCTACCGGCAGCATCGCACCGTTTGTCACTGTGCTATCCATGCTTGGGCTTGCCCGCACGTGCTGGCCGAACCGTGCTGTCTGGGGAGTTTCTGATGCCGTGGATCGCGCTTGGTTTCCGAAGCGCGCCGTCTGGGGCGTCTCCGTTGGCGTGCTGCCTCCAGTTCGACCAAAGTATGACGTGCCTTGCTCCTTCTTCAACCCTTCCTTTGGACTGTTCATCGCGCCATACCGCTGTGCACGTAGTCCTCTGCTCTCCTGATCAACGAGTGGTGAGCCTGGCCTCGAGGGATGCTTCGAGCTAGCGAACGGTAATGAAGCGGCGTACGTTAAGTCGGCAGCGGTGATCTGGCGGGACATCCTCTTCTCCAGTTGCGAGCTCTGGATCGATCTTCCGGAATGAAGCGGTCTGGGTGATCCTGAGGAAGGCGGCGTGTAGGCAGGATTGTCGAGGATGGAAAGCGATTCCTGTCCGATTTAGCACAGTGACACCATCGGAGTCTGTCGAACACCACTCACCCTATTGGTATTTCGTTTTGATGTCCTTTTGTACTCGCGGTTGCGGAACAGCTTAGCCTGAGTTCCAATGCGCACACGGTCGCCAATTTTCTTAACGCCCATGTCCTTCAGGTCTGACTGATCCATCTCCATGAGGTTCTCGCCGTTGATGTTGTTCTCTGATGCACCGTCAGTCCAGCCGAATCAAGGAAGAACCTTACACAGGCCACCCACTCCTGAAAAGCTCAATATATTGGGAGCAGTTGATGCTTCGGAGCCATTCTGCTACTCGCTCCTCGTTCCAGTTCCTGCATTCTAGAATGAGCTGAAAGGCCCGTATATATATATCCAGGTTTATATACCTCACTGAATCCGGGGTGTCGAAGTTCTCCGAGAACTCGGACTCGGTTGGACTTGTGTAATAGCCATGGTTGGAGCTCGCTGTCGCGTGCTGAACTCTGTAGCCCGACATGTTCGTTGCGTACTGGGAGGACGACTGGTTGGAAGAGCTGCCAAGCGGTGCCGGAAATGGCGACTTCGAGGCAAGCATAGCCATGCCTCCAGCGATATCTTTCTGTGGCCGTGGCACCGCAGTCTGTCCCCGGCTGAACGTTTGGTGATACTTTTATTCTGTTCCCCGCGCTACTCGACTGCGGCGGTTCGTCAACGCCGCATAATAATGATCTCGTTATTGTTCTTCGATGGCGAAGGGTTGAAGGTAAGGCGAGCGGCAGTTTACGGGCGACGGCTGGCTGCCCCCGATGCCTGTGTACGTTTGGGTCGCGAAACACGCTATTGGAGACGTGTAAAAGTATTCGTTCTGGCGAAGGGCTGTCTGTACGCGGTGTGCTCTGTCCCTACGCAGCCAGCCGCTCAAAATATCCACGCTGCCGGCAGTCGTTCAAATCGGGACGGCCTTGGCCACGAGGTCGAGGTGAGAACAGGAAGTCGGACAGCGTCTGCGGCGGTCTGGTCTATGAACTTCTCAGCAGCCGAACGATACGAGCAGTGGGTTGAACGGTGCAGTTGTGCCCGGCCAGGCGCAGTGGTTCTCAGCTGTTCCGTACATTCAACAATGGAGCAGGGCACTGCGGCTCTAGCGAAACAACGAGAGACAGAAAACGCAGCGGTTCGTCTCCCGAGTGAAGCACAATTGAGGATCATGAAAGGGTCATTGTTCTCTGGCTGCTCCCCTGAAACATCTGAGGCGCCTAGTGTCTCAGAACTGATGGCCTTGGCACCAACCAAACAGCGAAGCGTGATAGAGAAACGCCCGCGTCAAACACAGGCCACAGTCACGAACCTCTGCAGCTGGCAGCTCATACACATTCGTTTCTAGAGAGATGTGGTTCATGAGAAGTAGAACGAAGGATGCTGTTCAACTACTGTTCTCTGAAGCATGCTAGCCCTCGCGCTGCAACGCCCTGCCGATCGTGTGGCCCAGGAACTCGATGCACACACGCGATGCCGGACCAGAAGACCTCGACGAGACTATGAGCATTGCCGGCTTCTCTTTAAGCACAAGTCCCGTATCAGTATCTCATACCCTCTGAGCCTGCCTCTTGATCAAGAACTTTTTGCCAAAGCGGATTCTTGAGGTGGTCAACAATTGTGAAGGAACCCCTCGACCCCTCGCTCAGCCCCACCGAATCTCGTCTCAGAAAGCCCGCGGCAGCCAGCTCTGAGACCCCAGCTGGAGGACGAAACATTGTAGAAGAGTGTACAGAGTACGAGCTAGGGCACAGATCTGGTAAACTACTTTACACTAACTTACTTCGAATTAATTCGGTCAAGCTCCAGCCGACCTTGGGAGCGAGGGAGGGGACCGTAGGGCTGGAAAATGACCATGTGCAGTTCTCTCGGACCTCACCAAAGTCTGTTTCCGTCTTCGGACCTAAGTAATCGCCGCTTTAGCCTGAGCCGAGGGTGAGCTCGCCTAATAGCGCCTAAGCAGCCCTAATATTACAAGCCTAGCCTTTCTTAGGAAACTAGTGGAGCTACTCAACTTGAAATACAGCGAGCTCGTGGTCATGGTGTCGGGTTTGGGCGTACTTGCTTTAACCCCTAAGCCTGCAGCCAAAGTGGCAGTAATTCCTCTGCACATGCATTTCCGAGGAGTTGGGGAGATCTGACACAAAGTATCTGACGCCAAGTACTGACACGAACATCTGACACGAAGGATTGACACCGAAAGATTGATTTCTTAGGACGTCGGATTATGCTTCAATCTTCGGAAAAAAGACAAGAGCTACAGGACTCGACGGCAGTCTTATAAAACGTCTCCCGTCACGACAGCATGGACGATCAAAACAACTGCACTACAGAGTTCCTGGAAAATTTGAACATTTTACCTTATTTCGGCCAAAACATCTCAGGAAAGCTACTTAAGATGTCCGAGTCTCTGCAAAATCCCAATACGAAGCACGAAATCACAGAGCGAAGCAGATCAGTCGCTCTACAGTTCTGCAAGCACGTCAACGAACGCAGATTCGATCTTTGTTCAACCATGTTCACGCCGGACGCAAGTTGGCTCGTAGTTGCGAATCCTCAGCGAGCTGCTTGGGGCGGACGAATGCTTGCAACAGAGAGAAGCGCTTGGGCTGGCAAATTGCTGGAGCCGTTCGAGGAATGGTCCTATAATGTCCTTGGTGTGACGGCTGAAGGCGAGCGTGTTGTGGTCGAGGGGATCTCCAGGGGAAGGGGGCCGGGGAAAGTGGCTTATGATAACACCTACTTGATGCAATTTCTCATGGACGGCGATAAGATCAGAGATTTCAAGGAGTGTATGGATTGCTATCAGGTGGAGGCTTGGTTTGAATCTCAATTGTGAGCTCATTGGTTTGACAGCAGATGGTGGACATGCTTGATAGCGATTGCCATTTTCATCAACGCTTTCCGTTCTCGATTAGCGATTATATGTATGCGGAGATCTCTGCAAGCCTCATTGGAGTCTCAATAGCTAAAAGCGAAGGCTTCGGATATTTTCTATTCGATGTGAGCCTGGTGGAAGAATGCATTGCTGCGACAACTACAAAGAAGGTCAGGTCTCAGAAGGCTTGTTGCAAAGTCATTTGGAGCATCAAAGGAGGTTTCTCCCATCCTAGGAACGTTCGGCAATTGCTGAGCCAATTCTCTTGGCCAGGCGCAAGCTCAATCTCGAAATGCCACAAAAGGTTTGCCAACAGCAATCGAATCTCAGCTGTGGCGAGGCTGGAGCGTCAATGTCAGCCTAGTAAATGAACTAATCACCAACCTCAAGGCAGTGAAGTGACTTCTCAGAGTGGTTGACTTACACTTTCCCAAGGCAAGAACGATGGCCTTGCCCAAAGGGTTGAGATGCCCTCATTCTCTTGTCCTTGAATTCGTCGTCGCCCAGCCATCTACTTGGATCGAATACATCAGGATTATCGAAGTTGGACTTGGAATACGAGGCAGCCAGAGCTGCAATGCCGACACGTGTCTGTTATCGCATTCAGTCAGCACACGAATGGCAATATATCTGGACCAAGAGAGCTCACTCCTTCTGGAAGGTATTTTCCAAGAATCGTTTCGCCACCTTCCGGAATAATTCGTGGGAAGATGTCTGCAGCAGGCGGAAACATGCGCAGACCTTCTCGGACAACTGCATGGAAGTATTTCAACTGAGAGAGATTGATCAAGGTCATCTCCTCCTCACAATGAAATACAGTTCGGATTTCTTCTTTGACCTTTTCGTAAACTGCTTGATTTCTCGTAAGGAAATAGCACAAGCCCGAAAGGAACGTTGCAGTCTGTAGCATCATTCAGCAGAACGTACAAGCAGGAGACTGGCGCCAGGGTGAGTTACAGGTTCGCTTCCTGCCATGACCATTTGGGCCGCACACTCCTTGATCTCATCGTGAGTTAAACCCTCGCCATCATCATGAATGAGATAATAAACAAAGTCCTTTCTCTCCTTCGGATTTTTAAGCCGTTCATCGATCAGGCTGAAAGCGTAGTTGAAATGGTCGCGCCACATCTGCTTGAGTTTTCGTGGGAGTAGAAACGAGGCGTGACTACCAATAAATAGCATTCCGGGAAGCTCCCGGATAACTCGAAGGAATGGCAGTGCTTTAAAGGCACCGAAGACGACTGCCACCCAAGAATGCAGCTCTCCTCTCTCTAGGTTTCCGAAGGGTCGACCAAAGGCAAGGTCAGCAATGACATCAAACGTTGCGAGGCTGAACCATTTTGCAATGTCAACCGTGCCGCCCGAGCTTTTTAGCTCCTTTCGAATGCCTTCGATGAACTGCGCTGCGTAATGTTGCAAGATATGCTCTTGCGAAGCAACGGCTCTACCATTAAGTGCCTGCATGAATCGTTGTCGCAGTCGACGGTGGTCGTCATTGATTGCATTTGTACTATAAGAGACACATGTTAGTAAACCCAGCGGCAAGGCGGCTGGAACTCACATCTGAACAGCTCCAGTCACCGTGACTCCTCCTCCGAATATGGCTGGGTCCATTTCCATGTGCTTCTTTCCGGCATAAGGACCATAAATTTCATCCCACGCATCAGGGGAAATGTATGCCAATGCATTGGGAGCATAGCGAACGACATCTCCATAGCTTTCATGCAGATTTCGGAGCTTTATAGCCGATGTTCCTCTTATTGTGTGCCAGTTGAATGGGAGCTTGGTGGCTGCCCAGAGTCTGGGACCCGGATAAGACGATAGTGGGTGGAGATAAATATTGTAAAGTGCGTTGAAGACGACATATGCGAGAAACTTGCATGGAGAAGCTCAATAATGTATTCCAACAGGTGGATTTTTCGCCATCACTCTCGAAGGCAGTGAACGTGATGACTTACAGATAGCGTCAATCCAAGTGATAGCCATTCTGTACTTGTGGCAATTGTCAGAACTTCCTTGAGCAGGTGCAATGCCATCATAATCACGGACTCAATCTGATGGTAAGGTTAATGGCAAAGGTGGCACGAAGGGGCTTATCTTGTTCTTCTCAAATGTGGTTTATAAGTGAGACACAGCTTTATGCGTCCCCATACATATCATCGCTCAATCTCAGCGGAGATGTTTTACCTCAACAGAAGGCGAGGACGCTTGCACTATCCTGGCCTTGCAGACATTCTCGCTCTCCAATACGACAGTGGCTTATGTGTTCGACCACATGACGAACTTAGTGCTTACAGCTTGCCATGAGCAAAGAGCTGTAGTAGATACTTAGCAAGTAATTGATTAGTCTAGTCTGAGGGAGTTGTAGTATCTAGGGTACAGAAATAAGCTGCAGGCAAAGTAGTGGTCGTAGAATAGGCTAAGGCTAAACTAGACTAGGATACCAAGCTTGTACCTCGTAACACGCGCTCTTGAAATGGAGCTAGGAGAACTTCTCCGTTACTAGAAACATGTGGGTAACTTATTGCCAGGGGCCGTATGACATTTACGAGATGAAAGAAATAAAGGATAAATTTCACGAGTTTACATGAAATTTTGTGAAAGTGCACTTGCTAATAATGCTTAATGGTTGGTTTCAATGATTGGCGCCGAAGGCGCCAAAAAACACAACTATGTTAAAGGTTTATATCTCGAGTTTGGCTGCAGACTTCTCATTTCTTGAGAATATTTCGGCGAAGCTTTATTTGGCTTGGTGATCTGCAATACTGGCAAAATTTCACCGAAACTTCTGTATTTCTCCAAAATATCTAATAGATTACTGAAATCTCGACCACTGCTTATTGCAGCTTGTGAGATTTACATCACTTGCTCGCCAATCCATCAAGCCTGGGCAACAAGAAATATCTGCGCAGGCTCGACGCCTCGAACCGCAGAACATTCGAGTCTAGCTCATATGAACGGATGTGCAGTGATGCCAACAGTTCGATTAGACTCGATCTGACCCTGAATCGATCTACCAGCTCGAGTCGTCGATTAGTCTATTAATTCGCCTACACGTGGCTCTAGACCGCTGATATCTAAACACTTTTACAGGCTGGGAAACCCCCTAGGCCGTGTTAAGACTTTTAGAGCATACCGTACCAAGACTACGCTAAGATTTTGGATACCGCGGTTTAGAAGCTCTAGATCTAAGTCGGAAGCCTCGGATAAAGTAAGCTTACTTAGCTCGTAGAGCCAACGATTGGATCTATAATCGCTCTACTCGATCTCAGATAGAGTGGTTTAACTCTAAATTCAATCGAACTTTGGCAACACTGCTGATGTGAGGCTGGAGAGAAGTCTTCCGCGGAGGTAGCATACTGTCAGGGGACGTTTACTAGCGTCGAGACCGTCACTGCAAGGCCGACCATCCCAGCGCAGTCACAACCACCCCCCTGTGGACAGTACATCTGGCTTACAAATGAGCTATACACTTCCATTTCAAGACTTGCCTTCTGAGTGAGATCTTGGGTCCCCACCGGCACCATGTCATCCAAAGCCATGGTTTCAAGCGAGCAGCATTCTCGGACGCTTGCCTCGTTTATTCGTGGCATAGAGCGCGTGATTACTTCCGTTCCTTTGTCAGCGGCTCTGGGCCAAGGGAAGTGCGAGCCTGAGAGAGTTTGGAGCATGTGCTCTTTGTTGTACGAAGAATCACTTGCACTCAGATCACCTATGATTGGAGAGCCACATCTGATGCATTTGACCTTGCCGGGAGCTGCAGTCAGCTACGATCGCATCAAAATATATGCTTACTTATCTCGGTGCAAACCCGCCCCCTAAATGTGAGGACAACCCGAGATCTCTTTTCATATCACTCTGTTCATATTAAAATTCGGTCTCGATTGCCCTTTAATGCCCACAACTTTGAGTTCAAGCTCTCATGAATCTGGAAAAGACATATACTGTCATGGCAATCCACCAAGAGACTGGCGCAGGACAATTTCCTAGTCAGGCTGTCCCAGAACCTCAGTCGAGTTCAGAGTTCGCTATAATCCCTGATCTTTTCGAATCTTTCATGTCTCGGGCGCCGGAGGTCAACTCTCATTATTATGATGTTGGAGAAGAGGCAATGATTTGGATTGCTGAGTATGTCCTACCAAGGCAACTTTGGACAGGAGCCACTGCTCACCTCTCAAGTATATGTGGATACACTGAAACAGACCGCAAGCGTTTGCGAAAAGCTGATTTTGCATATTTCGCTGCCATTGCTTTTCCGGATGCGTCGCCGACGAAACTCCGCACTGTGACAGATTGGTTCAATTGGGTATACCAGCCCATCTCCGGCGTGATTCCGGGCTCCAGACAGATATCGTGTATTCAAATCAATGCCAGAACAAATGCTGACTTTCTCTTGTCTTGTTAGGTCTTTGCGTTCGACGATCGTATGTCCGAACTTGTAGACCCGAGTCTCAAGAGAAATTTTCGCTGATGAGCATCAGAGTTAGATGATGGCTTGTTTGATCACCGAAAAGTAGAGGCGCTTCAGTATATAAATGGCATGCTTGCTGTCGTTAAAGATGTCCATTCATCCGAGTCGGACCGGCTTCGACAACCTGCTAGATACTGTCTGAAGACCATTTGGCAGAGGCTGCAAAACGTAAGTATCCCCCGGGTAGCTGTTCACGCTCGGTCTTCAAACTGACCTCTTCTTGGCCAGGATGTTCAATGCACAGCTGGTGATGTTGAACAGCATCCCACTGACGTATACATTTAGCTGACTCAAAACAGGAGCCAAAGCTCGTTGGGCTCGACACATGGTGGAATATTTCGAAGCCTTGCGAGACTCGATCAATTTCAAACCTTCCGAATTGCTTGAGGACACGATCGAACAATACATGCGCTATCGCCTCTACAGTATCGCTGTCACGCCCATCTTCTCTTTCCTGGAGTAAGCTACTTCTGTCTGGCTTGCAAAAGAGGCTAACAGCCAACAGGTATGCATGTAACATTCGACTTCCGGATGAGATCTTTGAGCATGAATCAATGATCGAGATTGAAAGAATTGGGGTAGAGCTTCAAATGCTGTACGTTGTGTCTATTGTCTTCCGAGTTTCCAGACTAAAAGGTCATGATAGCGCCAATGACTGCGTATCGTACCATCGAGAGAGGGTCTGCCTTGCGCGCAATTCACTAGTCGATATGAATTTCTAACACTGAGCAGGACCTTGGTTGTGTCCACAACATCGTCCACCTCTTCCTCCACCACGGTCTTTCATTGCAGGAAGCCTACAATCGGGTGCACTTCTTGATGCGTGAGCGATACAAGCGCTGGTATATGGCTCAAGCGTCTTTGCCGATCTGGGGAGAAGAAATCGACAGCCAATTGCGGCGCTACATCAAAGGGATTGAGGACGTGGCGCTGGCCAATGCTCACTGGAGGTAACTAAACTCTTTTTACGCAGTTAACAGCTTCCGTGGAGGATACTTTATCTAACTGGCAACAGCTTTAGGTCGGAAAGATATTTTGGGAAAGACCGCCAACGAGTTCGCAAGACAAGAATTGTGGAAGTTGCAGGCACCAAGACGGATTGGTTGCCTTCTGTTATACCGACGACAGATTTTCAGGATGCTACCAGAACCGCCGTCCATACTTAGTTCCTTCGATTTTAGTTAGGCTCCACTCTGATTATGGATTACTCAGTCACCTTCGGATAGCTTATAACCGCAACTCCCTTGGATGTAGACGTTTTGAGGTTGGCAAATGAATAGAAGGACTAGGCTAGTGTTATGCCTGACTTCAAGATCTTCTCATATGGCCATCTCATGGACGGCTATAGTGACAGACCTTGTGATACCTAGGACTCAAGGGTTGTTAGCTTAGTTTAGCTACTAGTAAGACTTCATGAGCACCAACTTGTGTCGCGTAGCCATCTCTTTTGTGTGTGGCTCTTCCCCTTCTCGATAAGCCTAGAGCTCCTTCGTCGCTCCCTTCTAACGTGTCTCTCGTTACGAGCTTGATCGCGTCAGAAGGCAACCATACAACACAAACAGATCCTCAGATGCGTTGGCTTCATTCCTAGAAGCTAAAATAGGTTTCTTAGATCAAGTTACGTAGAATTGATAATATTTAAATAACAGGATAGTAGGCTTGAGTAAAGCATAATAAGTTAATAGGAAAAAGAAGTAGGAACGTGACTAAGCAACGTAAGCAGCGCCCGAGCAGAAGGTGAGCAGCCTAAGTAGTGGGTGAGCCGAGGATGAGTTGAGAATAAGCAGCGACTAGATAAAGCGGCGATGCTGACTAACTGAGAGCAATACCAAGGCGGTCACTTTTCGTGGCAGACTACCTGGATAGTTCTGCCACGAAAAGTGACCGTCCTGGGTTGGCATTAGTGTTGGTCAGTTACCATCGCTGCTTTATCTAGTTTTGCTCACCCTTAAGAAGCTTTGTGCAATTCCTCAGGCGTTGGTCATGTAGCGCTTCGTCAGGTCCTTCAGCGTGGTTATGCGGAATGATTTCATGGAATCGGGATACCTCCCTGAATTAGTGACTGGAACTGAGTTTGGTAGATGAACTGTTTGTGCTTGGTCATCGTACAGCCATCGAAAACTTTCTCTGGGCGATCTACACTAGCTTGACGACTGGTATACCTAGAACTACTCGTGGACTAGATAGCGATATCTCTCGACTCTGTAGAACTTCCCTTAATCGCTTGTGGGTTTCTTCGTACGACAAACTATAATCAGGCGGAAAGCCTCTAAGCGCCCCGCCTGGATCATTGACGATGCCTAAAACAGCGAAGAGTCTGTCCCGCGGATCAGTTACCTGCCTATTCCGCATGGCGTAAGCGATATCTAGAAGGTCCGATGCCTCGTGAGCAGTATTCAATCCGAAGACTTGTTTCTCTCGCATTTCCAGAAGCCCAAGCAACAGGCCCATGTCGATGTCTTTCAGGCCAGCCTTTTCCCATTGCGGTGAGATCTCTGCGTATTTGATCATCCGTATGAGTCTGCGAACCCTCTGAGGATCACTGTTCCACACTATCCGACGGTGTCCACACGTTAATGTCGCTCTCTGGGACAGGGCAGCTTCCTGCACCACCCACAGTCTTTTGAACCAGGCTCGACCCATAATGTCCTGAAGGCCTGCATGACATAGCTCTGGAGGATTTGTTGCCCATGGTGCATTCGAATAGTCAGCGGTTTCGCTGCTCAGAAAAGCCAATATCTCCATGCCTACAGCGCTTGTCTCCCTGTCAGGCCCAAGCCATATGATCACGTTCTCCGCACGCTGATAGATTTTTGGCATGATTGCAACTTGATGCGACCTCTCCTCGACATCCCACTGATTGATACAAATGGCGTCGATCCAGAGGACCCTGGGACTATCCGGCGTGCGTATATGGCGAAGCGCAGATGTTAAATTCGTTGTGACCTGAAGAGGGTCACCGTGGATAGCAATAGGGCACGTGGACTTCGAATCTCCCCACGCATAGGAGAGAGCCTCGTAGCTGGGATGGTCGCCCAAGGAACAATGTATGAGCTCTCCTTGTATGGGATCGGAGGATTGATCAAGCAGTATACGGATCAGTCGGATATCCCCGTTTGAGTTCAATGGTACATAGCTTAGGTGATAAGCTTTTGACGTCTGTCTGAATATTAATATAATATTTCTTTGGGAGGAGGTTGCGGACTGCTTAGAGCTCAAGACAAACATACCTTCACCGATTTCCGTGCACAATCTACAGAGAATCTTGCCCAGACGCCGATGGAGAGGCGCCAGCTTTTAGGTAATCCGAGCCAGCGGTCAATGCTAAATTTTAGTGCTGCGAAGGTCCAAGAGTTCTGGAAAAGTTTCCAGTAGTAATCCATGCTTGTAAGAGGTGCCCTTGCAACGCTTGAGGCGATCTGTATAGAAGCTGCCAGAACTGCAAGTTGTGCTCCTTATTGGGAGAGTCCGTGCCGTAGACTATGCTTAAACAGAGGGTTCTGTAAGTGATGTGTACTCAGCTGGAGGTGGCTGTGCGAGGCAGCAGGACAGGCCAAAACATATTTGGACCCTGAGCCATCAGCTCAAACCCCCCCGCAAAAGACGGTAACTACCTACCTACCCATCGCCTGCGTTAAACCGTGTCGAGATTAACTACCCTGATCTTTCACAGCTTTCTGTAGACACTAGCTGCCCGCGATGGTGGCGCTTCTGCAACGGAGAGTTCATTGCTCAATTGACCCTATCCGTCGCTGCGGAGCAACCGCCTGTTGTTTCGTGCCGTCCCTAGACGCCCATCACCTGTCAGAGGCGCAATGTCCCCCCCGGGATTCAACGGCTACTGGGCCAGCGGTTGGCGGTTCATGCTGGAAGCGCCTCTTGAAACTCACCGGAGGGCTGCGACGCTCAAGTGCGCTTACAGAGGGCGGAGTACCTGTACCTGTACATATGTCGTCTAGGCGTCGGGCATGGCAAGGTCTGGCGGCGACCGACACCATAACGACGCTTGCCTTTCCAGATAGAATGACGGCGGCTTTACGGTTGATGCGAAAGAGCTTTCTCGACCCTCATATCGGCGGTGGTGTTGCGCAATGGTTCTCTAAGATTTCAGGGAGGCGGCAGGGATGCGGCAGGGAGTGGGCAGCGAGCTGGCGGGGGGTCGACGATCTCGGTCTGTGCCGGATTGGGCGACCGAAGCATGACGACAGGCGTATCGTAGCCTTCGTTCTGTCTGACAAGAACCAAGCACGCCTGTATCAAATAGTCACTCGAAGCTGAAAACACTCAGCCTCGTAGCTTCAACCACCCTTCACCGGTCATCGCGCGCAGCAGTCTTTGTCAACTTGGCTTCCGATAGGCAAACACTTCACCCCGCGCCCATATATGCGCTACAGCGAACCACTCTGTGCCAGCCAGCTGTCAACCGCTCTTACTCCCGTCCCTCTCGCTGGCTCGCTAGGCTAGCTGCAGCCCTTCTGCACCACCCGTCGTAGGGACGCAGGCATGGCCTACAACCCGTCCGACCAACCGCCCTATTCTTCGAGCTTCGACTACCCCGACCCGCGGCTATACCAGAATCCAGCCTCATACCCCCAACAGCCACGATCGCGAGCTTCATCGACTGCCCGCCCCGATGGCCCTGTATCCGACGCTGTGAATAACGCATTTCACAACTCGGACGCCGCAAGTCACGTCGATCCCAGGGTCATCGCGCAAATCACAGAAGAGGTGCGGAGGCAGGTAATAGAAAGCCTCAACTTCTCAGGCGGGCCATACGACGGCAGAAACTATCCCTCTTCATTTGAGTCAGCGACTTTCGCCAAATCGCCGCCGCAGAACCAACCGCAGCAGTCGTACGTACATCGATCGTCGACCAGCTCCACGACAGCATCGTATCCGCCGCGGGACGTCTATACGCCTCCTTCACCACATCGGTATGACCACCCCGACCACTCCAGTCCGTCGCCTCCTCTTTCACAGGAGTCCGCGTCCTTTACATCCTTTGTCTCGAGGGAAGAGGAAGAACGCAGGTACTCGACAACAGAACCTCCTCCGCCCGCAGCGAACACAAGCCGATTGCGCCCTGCGGCGGTGCCACGGGCAGTAACCGAAGAATGGATGAGTCCTCCAGCATCGGCGCTGGAGAAGGCATACGGCAAGCTCTTCGATGAGTACGACCAGCCGACTCCACGGCTGGGGCAGCTTCTTAGAGGACTCGCAATCCACATGGTGAGTCGCTGACACCCTGGTACGACATCGGTTCATGAGTACTGACCAGTGTTCAGATTGAAGACTATGAGCCCAAGAACAGTCTCGTCATTACGCCGGCGAAGATGCTAAAGTTCTACGAGGAAGTCAGACTAAATGATGAGATATATCCGTGGAACAGTAAGCTGCAGCGACACGACTTTGTTATCAAGCATATGTCTGATGATTACGCAGAGATCTTCGCCTCACTGTCCAATTCAACAATATCGAAAATGTACCGAGACTTGAGGTGTCAGCACCACTTCGTGCAAGATCAGTACAGCGAAAATTCACACACCGAAGTTCCGCTTGTACCCGCATTGACTCCATTGGGCTTCCAGACTTGGATGACAGTCATGATCCAAGCGCACCCAGAGACCGAATATAACCGCATCGCCAAGGCTGTGCTGAACATGCCAATCAGCAACGCCGACGACAAACAGGAGCGCTTTCCCAAGGAGCTATCAAGACGACTCTTCCCCACGCAGGAGAACATGCAACAGAGACAGCGATGTGCTGTAGCTCTCTCCGCAGACGGTAAAATACCAGCTCTAAAGACGGCTTCATTCCCGCCTCCGCCACCTACACAGCCGCCTCCTCAGCCCTCAGGAAGCTTCGAGCGCGAGCGTGCGCCATACGGTGGCCAGGCGGACAGCAGCCGGAATGATTCAGTCTTCGAACCAGACGATATGGACGATCGGTCACCCCCGACCATTCCGATCGAGCGAGAACGCAAACCCTATGTCGCGAAAGAAGGCTGCGGCAAAATCCACGAAGACGTCTCAAACAGCACCTCAAGTCTAAAACCGGACCCCACATCGCGACACCACCGCTCCAATTCCGCAAGCCAGGGCACCAGCGGCCGGGACAATCAACCGCGGCCGGCTGAGTACCAACCCAGCGGTACCTCATCGTCGCGGCAATACCGGACGCCTAACGTGAACACCGGAAACTCCAGCCGCAGACCCCGCAGCCCCACCGGCGGCGGTGGCTTCGCCCGCTCCGAAGGCAGCAACATCAGTGATATCCCAGCCTCGGAGTTCTCGTCCAACATCTACAGCAGCGAGCGCGAGGAGGATAACCGCAAATTCGCCAAGGACGCCGAGATGAAGCGGAATGAGTGGGCAAGAAGGTATGCGGAGGAGGATGCGGCGCGCGGGCCGTACATTGGACGGAGTCCGACGTATGAGGAGGATTATTATCGCTCGAGGGGCGGGAGTGTGGGGGGTGGGTATGGGGCTTATGGGGGGTACCCGCCGCCTCCGCCGAGGTATTGATGTGGATACGGGATGTAAGACTTGTTTGGAAAGGAGGGGATAGGAGGGTTGCCATCATCGGGTGGATTTGGTTATGGACCGCTTGCATGGCGCATGTTACGGCTTTGATATCCCTTTCAGCGTTCCGCGAGCGCTTGTTTTGATACGCTGGATAGTCTGCACGCTTCTGCAGGGGTTAGCTAACAGGCAACATGATGTCGAGAAGGGATCAAAGACGCGCTGTACTGCTCACACAAGCCTTTGTCGAGTACCTCTCTACAAATGTGCAGAACCAGTCGACACGCGGATGCAAGGTCAAAACTTATACGTTCGTTGCAACACCTTCAGAACAGCAGCGGCATCCTTACCACGCCTCCCCTCGCCTTCACACCCACATACACCCCCCTCTCAAGCCCCAATCGTCCGATCCATATCCTCATCCCCACCATACCCCTGCTCTCTGCGACTCTGCGCCGCACTCTCCTCATTCGCGCTCACATCCGCGCCCCCAAGTCCACCTGCACGATCATCAGCCCCATCTCCCACAAACCACGACCTCCCCACCTCCCCGCTTTCCAACTTCCGCGCAACAGTTCTCGACGCGCAAAACTCACCCTCCTGCTGTGCGTCCCCAATACTAGCATCCGTCTGCCCGCCCATGCCCTCCTCGCTCATCTTCTGGCCGAAGCGGATCTTCTCGGCCGTCTTCTCGCCCTGCTCGGCTGTGGCTTCGGACTGGCTGGCGGTCGGGTCGGTGGAGGTGGAGAGGGCGCCGCCGCTGCCGCCCATCTGGCCGGGCTCGGTGGCGTGCGGCTGGGTTACGGTGTTGATGGATTCGTATCTGGTGGGGGTTAGTAGGGGACTGGTGGGAGGAGGGCTGGTGGGCAGCGAGGCTCGGAGTTTGCGGGGAGGGAGAGGTTGAGTGTGGGATTGATGGGAACGCGCGAGGGGCGGTGTTGTTATGCTGGGCTGTGTGCTTGGTGTTTTGGATGAGGTTGGAGGAGAGGGTCTTACTGAGGGGTCTCGCCGCCTGGTGCGGTGTCCATCATTCCGGAAGACATTGCAGGGTGAAGTAGGGAAATTGAGATTTGAAATGTGAGACGTGATAGAGAAAATTTTGTGAGGAAGGGCAGAAGTCTGCTTCAATTGATGGAATTGTTAACTCTAGAATTGATTGCGCGATGAGATGTGGGGTGAACACATCCCACTCTCGCGTTCTATGAGGCGGCATGACGTAGGACGCGTCTCAACAAATAGCCATAGCCATAGCCCATGACGCGCATAACGCCGAGTCGCCAGCAACGCCGTGCTCTCAAAGCAACAACTCCAAACAGATGTATCAAAAGTCCATGCCCATCTCGTGACTGCGGAGGTGTTAGCTGAGCGTCAGGAACTGGGGAGGGCGTTCTTCACCTCTCTGCGATGCGCATATACTTCGCAACAAATGCTTCCAGATGGAAAATGTGTTTCTGTAACGACCTGTCAGCACTACATGATAGAAACATACCTAGCAGCTGTGCGATGACTTACACTTCCCAATCGTATCCTGTGTTCATAGAACGCCGACCACTTGATGAGCTCAGCCTTCAAGGCATTGTCGACCTTCGGTATTAGCTTGAATGTAAGGGTCTAGATGCGTATGAGCTTCTTGTTGAACCAGCACCGTGACTCTAGGCTTGATCATACCTTCAAGATTGTCGTAGGCGGTATGCAATGCGTGAGCAAGTCATACAACTTCGCCCTGACCTGCAAGATCCTGGCCGGCGAATGCTCTGCCACAATCTCACTGGCAATCTGCTCAATCAAGGCCTCCCAGTCCGGTGGAGGTATCGGCGTCCTCTCATTGACATCCTCACTAGAATAGCGGTCAGTATCAGGCCCCGTATGGCAAGACAGCTGCAGACCTACTTTTGCGCATGCACAGCCTCGTACATCAGCAGTGCTCGCCTGAGATTTCTCCCGCTCTCCTTGGCAATTCTCTTGTTCAGAGCCTCCACATCCTTATAGTTCTCCCTGGCGCCCACATTCTTGAGGACCTTGCAAATGTCATCCTCAGTCGGCGCCGCAACTCGTAGGAGTAGCGTTCGCGAGCGGATGGGTGCGATGATGTTGCTCGTCGAGTTCGCCAGCAGTATGAGCCGCAGGTTCGGACTGTACTTCTCCATGGTCCGCCTCAATGCCGCCTGTGCATCCCTAGTCAAGTGATCTGCCTCATTGATAACCACAACCTTGAACCTCTGCTTCGCGCTCAGATCCACCTGCTGCGTCTGCGCGACCTCCTTCAGCAGGTCCTGGATCACCACTCTGTCATAGTTCCCGACATCTGACGGCGTGATCTCGAGGTGGTATACCGAGGCGACGATGTTGAATTCGAGCTTGCGGTTGCTGGTCGTCTGGAAGACGCGCGAGTCAATCTTGATCTTCTCGACCCCGGGGCCGTAGAGCTCTTTGAGGGTTGCGACAATGCGAGTCTTCTTGCCTGCCCCCGAGGGACCGTAGACGAGGAGGTGGGGAAAGTCTCCGCTTTGTGCCTGGATATGGGTCAGTGTGGGCCGAGAGCGATCGGAGGCAGCGGACGTACCAGTGCGCGTAGACGCTCGGAGAGATCGTGGTGATAGCTCAGCTTGTCGAGGGATCGTGGGCGGTGCTTGTCTACTAGTAGAGCCATTTCGACTCAATGGGAAGACCTGATAGTGGGTTTCGTTGTATTGCTGTGGTTGTAAGCTGGTTGTAGCTCTGCGCGCTGCGGGCAGACGCGTCACAATTTCGAAAGTCGCGTAGATTGGCTTGGCGACAGGAGTAGGAGATCAGGGCAGCAGATGCCGGCTTTCAACAGAAGAGCTGACCAAGCGGTCATGGACGATGTCGCATCGATTACATTCGGCAGACTTGCTCAAGCGAGCTTTCATCTCAAGCTTAAGGAAGTGTAATCTCATGAAGATGTGACAGTATACAGATGGACAGCGAAGCATGCGGAGGAGGCGGAATTTTTCAACCAATATAGATTGAGTTGCCCCACTCGATTCGCTAATCCAGCCCGTCTCAGAAAACTGAGATGATTCCTCCGCTTGGTGTAGTTGGTTTATCACGTCGGGCTGTAATTGCATATCTGTCACGTGACTTATGGTCACGTGACTGATTTTCCGAAACCTGAAGGTCCCTAGTTCGATTCTGGGAGCGGAGATAGATTTTGCATTTTTGATATCTTTTGGACGCGATTTGGGTGGGAGTCTGACGAAACTTTTATCATCCGGGTGACATCGTCGTATGCATGATGGCGCTTAGAAGATTGTTGAGAATCAAAATCTGCGCACAGATCTCCGCCTTCGCTTCACTGAAGCACATTTCAGCGCCTTGGGCATTTGAAACGCGATTGATACGAGTGCCGCGTGTTGTTACCCTTTACAAAAAGCTCGTTGAAATTCTATAGGTTAGAAAGCTAAGCAATCCTTAAGATATCTTTTCTGCAATAGTTATGGCATTTCATATATCTGTTCGTGATAGCTAAACCAGTAAGCTCCCACGATCTGTATAAGAGACGCCCCAGCATTGCAATACCGAATTTGCGTCGTTTTAGTGAGTCACTTCATAAAGATCACATTGCCACAGCGCACACAGCCCGTAGGACCCCAGTTCATCCTGCTCGCCGCCCTTCCACCTCAGGTAGAGGGAAAAAAGCCAATCCAACAAGCAACCATCCCCACCATCCTCACCACTCAAGCCGCCCCCACCGCCTCGACCATCGCCCCGAGCGCCGCATCCAAACCCACCCACTCCATGCCCACCTGCTCGATCATAAAATCCCGCGCCTTCGGGACGCCGATGAGCACGACCCCCCTCGGCACAACTACATCCTCGATGTTGAAGCAGCCGAAGGCAATCACCTTCTTCAGCGCGGGGCAGCTCTTGAGAATGCCCGCGACCACAACCGTGTCGACGTTTCCGCAGAAGGAGAGGTTGATGCTCCCGAGCGCTGGATACTGCTTCCGTCCATCGAACACGCTCGTAAAGGCCGCGTGCGAAATGTGTCGGCAGGACGCGATATCCAGATGTCTGAGCTTCGTGCCCGAATGCTGCATCAGCGCCGCGAGTCCCTGATCCGCGAGGCCGACAGCCTGCTCCGGCCCATCCGGGTTGTTATTATCGATGTCACGTGTGCTGCTGAAGTCGGCAGAGAGGAGCGGCAGATTCGCCCAGTCAGCAAACAGCGCAGCGAAGCCGGCATCGGTGCAGTAGTCGTTCTCCGTGAGGCGAAACTTGGTGAGGTTGCGGCACTCGGCGTGGATAGCTTCGAGGAGAGTGTCGTCTGCGTCGGGGAAGTGCTCGAGGGAGAGGGTGCGCAGGTTGCGGCCGACGTTGCCGATTAGGTTCACGAGGCGCTCGCAGGGGACTTCTTGGGAGATGCGGAGGGAGAGGTGTTCGAGTTTTGTGAGACGCGAGATTGAGTCGATGGCGGGTGCGCCGATGCGGCGGCAGAGTTTAAGTTTTAGGCGCTGAAGGTTAGGACAGTGAACAACCATCTCTTCTACTGCTTCATCCTCGAAGGAGGCGTCGAGCCATTGGAGCTTGAGTGTTTCGAGCTTTTCGCCGCGCTGCTGGAAGAGCTTGTGCCACATCGCGTCCGATATCAGGTTAGCAGCGTAGAGCTGCAGATAGGTGATCTTGGTGCCTTTCTCGATCATGTACTCCATAGTCTCGTCCTTGAACTGGCAAGTGTTACGAAGGACGACCTTCTCAACGTGTGGACTGACAGCGAAGATTGTATGATAGTCCTCCGTCTCAAGCTTGGCGCAGTCGTGTATCGCAATGCTATCATGATCAGGTCGTAGGAACAGCTTCATCGTCCGAGGATCCATGATGCGCTTTTTGGTGAAGATCTCACCCAGCCGCTCAAGCACCGTCTGCGGAAGGTCGCCAAACTCTTCGACATCTTGATGGTGATCCGCGACCTTCTCTATGCACATTTGCTGCAGCGTCTTCGCGCCCAGAATGGAAAGATTGTCCATCTTGTTGCTCTCCTCCTTACGCCGCCTGGGTCTGCCCGCTGCCTTCTTGGACTTTGGCTTCGAGGGTCCGGCTTCAGCTGCCAGCTCTTTCCCGCAGGGTGTGCATACAAGTCCGCCCTCCGGCCCAGTCTTGGTGTAGGGTGTGACAGTGAATCGCTTGCTGCAGATCTCGCAGTTCTCCAACTGGCCAGGCGCTGGCGGCGCCTTCTTGTACATGTCCCGCGCGAGATTGTCATCGTATTCGTCGTCACTGTCGTCGTCTGAGCCCTTGGGCTTCTTCTTGCCCTTCTGCTTCTTTTTGTCTGCCTGCTTCTTCTTGTCTACTTCTTTCCCCTTCTTCACCTTTGCGATGGCCTCGTCCTCTACATCTTTCCTCTTGCGCTTTCTAGTGTTGGTGGTGGTCGGCGGAGGGGCTGGCACGTCATCCGCGGCTTCTTCTTCATCCTCCTGGGCTGCGGCTGGCTGAGCATCCTCGTCATCGGCCCCGGCTTGCTGCTGAGCTTGCTGACGGCGTCTGTTGTAGTCATCGCGAATCTGTTGGGCTGAGATGTTGTTCGCCTAGGGCAAACATTGTTGTTAGTCCAACCATCTCAGCAGGGGTGAATAGTTTTGAGTAGACTGCTCTCAAAACCCAGGTCTAGCCCAATCCTACTGATCTTTGAGATGGCTCAAGCTCGATCCCTCTGCTTCCGCTGTAGCGTATTCGGAATTAAGCTCAATCCTAGAGCCACACCATGAAAGGCTACAGCAGCTGGCCACATCACCCTCGACAATGTCTTACAACTAAATACTGGAGTACTTACAGCGAGGAAGTCAGTCAAGGCTGACTGCGGCCCACGAATCCGATTGGCGTTTCCTGGACGTCTGTTTGACATCTTGGAAAGACGGCTAAATCTAGGACTTCTCAGATAAACGGGATATGCGAAAGAAATATGCGAAGAGCAGCAGAATCTGCTGGAAGAGCAGAAAGGACGAGAAAGGACGAAAGCGAGCGCAAGACAGCGGGGGCGTGAAGAGATTGGCTGAAGGAACGCGCCGCAGCGCCCTCCACGAAGTCAGGTGGTGATAGTGCCCCTGGATGATTCGATAAGATCATCTTAGATAAGATGTTACGGATCCACTCTGGAGAGCTTTGACAGCTCCACGCCTCCGTGAACTCTCCGCTGCTGGGTTGATAGCAGGCTTACACTGTTACAGCGGCAGCCTTTAATCGCTCAGACTATGGGATACCACCGCAATACTCAGGGGTATTCTCATCTGATGAGGCCATTGAACCTTCAAGTCGGCACTTTCTGCCGGCCAGAGCTAAAGTGCTCCGTCATAGGTTCCCAGTAACCCCCACACCCCGCAGAGGGGTACTTTGGGCCCCTTCAGGTCGTACGCGACGTGTCAGGTGCCGAGGATAGATACAGCGAGTACAGCGGTCGATCTTACTCAATCATGTAGGGTATATAAGGTACATCTGCCGTCTTCCTAAAGCTTCTTCAATTCCACTTCCACCATCAATCCAATCTGTCTCAGTCCAGTTCCTCCTTATCATCCATTGCAAGTTCCTTTACTCCACTATATCACACCTCATAATCTTGCAAAAACTCTCGCAACAATGGGCGACGCTGAACTTCCCAAGAAGTTCAAGGCTGCCGTCTACGACAAGCCTGGCGAGATCTCGACCAAGATAGTCGAGCTCGATATGCCCGAGCCCGGACCGGGCGAAGTGCTCATCAATTTGACCCACTCCGGCGTCTGCCACTCGGATATGGGCGTCATGATGAACTCGTGGGCCGCACTGCCGCACCCGACGCAGTCAGGGCAAGTGGGCGGACACGAGGGCGTGGGGTAAGGAACCGTGCCTCTCAATTGAAGGGAGGTGGATGTTGAAGTGCTTTGCAGGAAGATCGTCAAGATGGGTCCCGGGACCGAGAATTCGGCTGTCAAGGTCGGCGACCGCGTGGGCGTCAAGTGGATATCCGCGATCTGCTGGAGCTGTCCAGCGTGTCTGGAAGGACACGACGGGATCTGCTTCAACCAGAAGGTATGAAAGCCTCCTCCCCCTCACCAAGCCCTACACCCCCCTCTCATCCCCCTCCCTCACCAGTTCACTAATCCCCAGCCGTCCTCCAACACAGGTCAGCGGCTACTACACTCCCGGCACCTTCCAACAATACGTCCTCGGCCCGGCCAACTACGTAACCCCGATCCCCGACTCCCTCGACTCGGCCTCCGCAGCGCCGATGCTCTGCGCGGGCGTAACCACCTATGCAGCTCTGCGCAAATCGGGCGCCCAGTCCGGCCAGTTCGTCGCCATCCTCGGCGCAGGCGGCGGGTTGGGCCATCTGGCTGTGCAGCTGGCCTCCAGAGGTATGGCGCTCCGCGTTATTGGCGTTGATGCGGACGAGAAGAAGGATCTGGTTATGGAAAGTGGGGCGGAAGAGTTTGTGGGGCTGGGGGTCGGCGATACGGTCGCGAGGGTTAAGGAGTTGACTGGCGGGTTGGGCGTGCATGCTGTGTTGGTGCTTACGGCGGCAAATGCGGCGTATGCGGGTGCGATGGTGGGTTGTTCCCTTATGTCTATCCCCACCTTCGGGCACCGTCTAGTTGTGGAGTTACTGATGAGTGTTACAGGACATGCTCCGCTTCGGTGGCCGCTGCGTCTGCGTCGGCATCCCAGAGGGCGACCCGATCCCGATCAAGGGCGCGCTGCCGCAGTTCATGGTTGCGAGGGCGCTAAGCATCATTGGTGTTGCGGTCGGAGACAGGAAGGAAGCGATCGAGACGCTCGATTTCGCCGCGAGAGGCATCGTCAAGACGCACTATCGGACGGAGAAGATGGATAAGTTGACGGATGTGTTCCAGGAGATGTTTGAGGGGAAGCTAAAGGGACGGGTGGTATTGGATCTGCAGTAAAGGTAAGAGAGAGAGAGAGAGAGAGAGAAGAGGAGGAGGCGTGGTCCGAGGCGGTATTGATTTTGGATGACTGTCAAGGGATGCATCTGCTCTGGCGTGGGCGCTGTAGGCACACATAGACCACTCGGCTGGCTACAGGTCATGGAAGGATATAGTAGGTCTGGGTAGATAGATCTACAGAGTTCGATAAATCATCTCCTCACCCTTGAGTTGGCCTTTTTTTCTTAGCCATGAATCTTCCAGTGGACAATGATGGAGGAAGACATCCAAATCCCAACACTCCGACCCCCCACTTCTGACGAAATTGTTCAGGTCGTTCCTCGTGCCTAACGAGACGCAGAGGAAAAGAAAGGCGGAGACCTCGGCCGGGCCGAAGCCCGAGCTGCCCTGCCAAGATCCTGCGGCTGCGGACGTGGGGCAAAAAAGTGCGCCGCATCTCGGAGCATCATGGATTCCACGCAACAAAGACTCATACTCTGCCCGCTCTACTATTGACTCAACCACCGCTTCTCCACCACCCTCAGATTACCTTGCCATCGATTCTACCCTCACAGTAAAACTAGTTGACATTGAGACCCCCATAGCAGTTGACCTCAAGAACATATACCACCGCCGCCGCCATGGAGGCCATCAAGCAGACCTTCGCGCAATGCAAGAAAGAGGACAGGTCCGCCCTCGTCACCTACGTGACAGCCGGGTATCCCACACCAGAAGAGACACCAGACATAATGCTCGGCATGGAAGCCGGCGGCGCGGGTAAACTTCCCTCAAATGGCTCTCTCCAGTACACAGTCATAGCTTACGCCAAATCACAGATATAATTGAGCTCGGCATGCCCTTCACAGACCCAATCGCCGACGGACCCACGATCCAGAAGTCAAACACCCAGGCGCTGAAGAACGGCGTTACCACCACTTCGGTTCTGCAAATGATCCGGGATGCGCGGAAGAGAGGCCTAAGAGCGCCCGTGCTGTTGATGGGATACTATAACCCGCTGCTGAGCTACGGCGAGGAGCGGATGATCAAAGACGCGCGGGAAGCAGGCGCCAATGGATTCATCATGGTGGATCTGCCGCCAGAGGAGGCGATACGGTTTAGGAACTTTTGCACGAGGGGAGGGTAGGTATCGCGTGCATGTTCAAGTCAGGGCTCTGGCTAATTTTACGGCACTGATGTAGGTTATCATACGTCCCGCTCATTGCGCCGGCAACATCGGAGTCTCGGATGAAGCTCCTCTGCAAGATCGCCGACTCCTTCATATACGTCGTATCAAGAATGGGCGTTACCGGCGCGACAGGCACCCTAAACGTAGGACTTCCGGACCTCCTCGAGCGGGTGCACAAGTGGTCGGGTAACGTACCAGCGGCAGTAGGGTTTGGTGTCAGCACGAGAGATCACTTCCTCAGCGTAGCGCAAATCGCGGAGGGCGTCGTGATAGGAAGCCAGATCATCACCACCCTAGCAGAGGCACCTGCTGGTCAGGGCGCCAAGGCCGTTGAAGAATACTGCAGTGCAATCACCGGCCGGAAATTCTCCCAGGACAGCACGACGCGGGAAGTCGGCATCGTGGAAGCCATGGCCGAAGCGAAAGAGCCGAACGGCGTGCACGTGGATAAGGTGATAACAGATGCGGATGTGCCAGACGGACCCGGTCTGGCAGACCAGATCGAAGCGCTTAATGTCGATGGTGAAGAGAACGGCACGCCCAACGGCGACGCCGTCCCCTCGCGCTTCGGCGAGTTCGGCGGCCAATACGTCCCCGAATCTCTCATGGACTGCCTCGCAGAGCTCGAAGCCGGCTTCAACGAAGCGAAAAATGACCCCAAGTTCTGGGAAGAATACCGCTCCTACTACCCCTACATGGGCCGCCCCGGCCAGCTCCACCTCGCCGAGCGCCTCACCGAGCACGCCGGCGGCGCAAACATCTGGCTGAAGCGCGAAGACCTGAACCACACGGGCAGCCATAAGATCAACAACGCCGTCGGACAGATCCTCCTCGCGCGGCGTCTGGGCAAGACCGAAATAATCGCCGAGACAGGCGCAGGCCAGCACGGCGTCGCCACCGCAACCGTCTGCGCGAAATTCGGCATGAAGTGCACCGTCTACATGGGCGCAGAGGACGTGCGCCGCCAGGCCCTCAATGTCTTCCGCATGAAGCTGCTCGGTGCCTCCGTCGTCGCTGTCGAGGCCGGTAGCCGCACGCTACGCGATGCTGTCAACGAGGCGCTCCGCGCTTGGGTCGTTAATCTGAGCACCACGCACTACATCATCGGTTCCGCGATCGGACCACACCCCTTCCCGACCATCGTGCGCACGTTCCAGTCGGTCATCGGGAACGAAACGAAAGAGCAGATGCAGGCGCTGCGGGGCAAGCTGCCTGACGCGGTCGTGGCATGTGTAGGCGGCGGGTCCAACGCGGTGGGGATGTTCTACCCCTTCGCATCCGACCCGTCCGTCAAGCTGCTGGGCGTCGAAGCCGGCGGCGACGGGCTGGACACAGCGCGCCACTCCGCCACGCTGAGCGGTGGCTCCAAAGGCGTCCTCCATGGCGTCCGCACGTATGTGCTGCAGGACCGCCATGGCCAGATCAGCGACACGCACTCCGTGTCCGCGGGGCTGGACTATCCGGGCGTAGGTCCCGAGTTGTCGCAATGGAAAGACACAGAGCGCGCGAAGTTCATCGCCGCGACGGACGCGGAGGCGTTTGTCGGGTTTAGGCTACTGAGCCAGCTCGAGGGGATTATTCCGGCGCTCGAGACGAGCCATGCGGTCTATGGCGCGCTGGAGCTGGCGAAGACGATGGACAAGGACAAGGATATTGTTATTTGTTTGAGTGGGAGGGGCGATAAGGATGTGCAGAGTGTGGCGGATGAGCTGCCGGTGCTGGGGCCGAAGATCGGGTGGGATCTGAGGTTTTGAGGGGAGCTGAGGAGACAGAGTGGAGAGGGAATGGGGAGCGAAGGTGCTGTGGGTAGTAGAGTTGGTTTGAAGGGATCCGGATCTGTTCATTTTAGATTATGAGATCGCAACGGCGCCGCGTGATATGGCAAACACTGTGAATGTTAAAAGCTCTTGCTTCCAAAGCCAATAGTTTTGCTTCGTACGCGTCGCATAGATGCGGAGAACATCTAGATGTCTAGCGATTACTAAGTCTCGTGTGTCTTACACATGCCTCGCCATCAAGGCGCGCCGCTAAAGGACGATCCTGGTATTATAAGCCATCCAGCAAGCAAAACCGCACGAACAGCCTCAATTATCTTCGTCAAATGTCGTAAATCCTTCACTCGTTCTCATCACCTCCCCCTTCGCCAAATCAGCCCGACTAAACCTGATTCTCTCCACCTTCCCTCTCGGGTCTACTCTGCTCTTCCGTCTCCCCCTCATACAGCTGTTCAGGCTTCACGTGCTTCTGCCTAAGCACATACCTTCTAAAGAAGAACCCAAGCTGCCTAACCCCATACGCCGCATGTATATGCGTAGGGACACTAAACACCTGGTCGAGCTCCTCAAGCGTCTTACCCTTCGTCTCCGGCAAAAACAGCAGCACGAGCACCCACCCGACGATATTCCAGCCCGCGTACCAGCTGAAAGCGCCCGTAGGGGTAAACGCCTCAAGCAGGCTTGGCCATGTAATCGAGAGCACAAAGTTAAAGAACCAGGTCGTGGCTGTTGCTAGCGACATGCCGATTGCGCGGACGTATAGGGGATAGGCTTCTGCGGAGTAGGTGAAGGGGACAGGGCCTTCGCCGGGCGAGTAGACGACGCCGAAGAGGTAGATCCCCAGTGCGATGCAGGCGACGCGTGGCGTGCGGGAGGTTTCGGGGATGAAGAAGGAGAAGCCGACGAAGAGGAGGCAGAGGGACATTAGGGGGAAGGTTGTTAGGAGGAGGCTGGGTAGTGTTAGTCACTGTGGCGCTGTAACGGGGAGATGGTGGGTGGATTGAAATGGGAACCTACTTGCGCCGTCCAAAAGTGTCGATGGTGTAGACGGCCGGGAGGGCGAAGAGGAAGTTTATCAGGCCGAAGCCCAAGCTGGCGGCTAGGGCGGATATTTCGCTGAAGCCGGATTCGACGAAGATGGAGGAGGAGTAATACGCAATAACTAGCAAGGCCGGTCAGGTTACTCTTGTAGACGTGATATAGATGTAGCAAAAGAGGAGGATATACCATTCACTCCACAGAACTGTTGATGCGTAAGCAACTGTTGAAAGAGGGGGGACGAGAGCTTGAGGGTACCTGTTGCATAAACATGACAATCTCACTCGCCAGCATCGCTCGCCTGTTCCTCGGCACGGTGATCAGTTCCTTGATCTTGCTCTGGCCAATCTTCATGTCGCTCTCTGCCGACAACAGTGTCTGCATGTAAAACGTGTCTCTGGCCGCCTGAAGCTTGTTGTACCGTAGTCGGCACATCGAATGGTACGCTGCTCCGTGGCGTCCCTTACTCATGTACCAGCGCGGGCTTTCTGGGCACATGAAGACGAAGCAGCAGACGATGACGGCGGGGAACATGGCCGATGCCATCATGAGACGCCAGTTCAGCCCCGTGATGGTCGGCGTGTCGGGTACGGCGTAGAATGCCAGATCAGCGGCATAACCGACCATGATGCCGAATGCGGTCCACATCTGAAGTGGTGCTTGTCAGCGTCGTTCTGGGTCTCCGTTCCAGAAGTTTAGGGACTCACCTGCCACTGCATAACCAAGGCGCCTCTGATAGCCGGCGGAGTCGTTTCAGCGGCATAAATAGGAACAGTCGCGGACTTGGGCCCAATGCCAAAGCCGAGTGCGAATCTGGCGATGAACATATGCCACCACGAATTTACGAAGCCCTGCCAGAAGCAGGCTATGGCCGAGAAGAGGCATGTGAGGAAGATGGTGCCGCGGCGTCCAAACCAGTTGTTAAAGGGCACGGTGAGCCAGCAGCCGATCAGAGCGCAGCACAAGTAGGGACCGCTGTTAGTGAGGCCGAGTAGCCAGGTCGAGCGGGGATCGTCGCCACCGATGCCAAACTGAGATGCATAGAAGAGTTGGGCGCCATTGACGACGGTCTCGTCTAGGATTGGGTCAGCTCGCTGTCTTGTATTTCTGACAGAACTCACCCACCCATTCCTTGCACAGCTGCGCAGGTGGAGCAGAGCACGATGACAAGATACAGTAACCTGGGCTGCGACCACCGGCTCTCGTATTCTTTTCTGAGCACCTTTTTCTCCTCTTCGCTGATGGCCTCGTCGTGAGTCAAGCTGTCGTACTTTGTCGGATCCTGGGCAAGCATGGCTCCAATCTCAAAGGCGCGGACGTCTTCCGGCTCGGCCAAGGCGTAGTCCATGGCATAGCGCCGGCCCATCTTGCGAAGCTCATCATACGTGTACCCTGCGAGCGGGTTGGCGAGTTTGGCGTTCAGGTTCCGGCGTGCCCGCTCGCCAGCGCTGAGGGACCCATCGCGTGGTGTGGCATATGAGCTGTTGCGGTGGTGGGTATCGTCGTACTTCTCTTTTTGCTCAATATCCTCGGCGCCGTTGTGCGCCTTGTTGTGCTTGTTGTCGGCGGACATGATTACCGGTCAGATGCTCTATGTTCCTGTGATCGTGTAAAAATCGAAAGGAGTGGCTATATCCTGAAACCATTCACCTTCCAGATTGAACATTCGATATGCTCGACAAGCGGCCGCCTCAAAAGATACCAGCTTCAGTACAGTCAGACGAAGCTCAAGCTCTTGTGAGTATGCTATCGCAAGCGCATTCAACCCAACAGTAGGTTTTCCCGCTCTTTCAATACAGTGCCCAAGATTTAGTAGAGTGGTTCTTCTACGGCCAAGCAGCACAAGCCTCTGCCAGACTCCGCACTATCGCCACAAGCAAAATGGACAAGACAACGGTTCTCTCTTCGACGAAAGCAACTCGACGGTTAAGATACCCAGTGACGACGAAAGCAACCTCGCCTTTAATGCGGGGGCCAAGGCAGATTGATACTGCTAGCAGCCGCTGACGCCAACCCGGCCATGGCTGCAGCCGAAATGCCATCTGAGGGGATTCCTGCAGGGTGCGGTGGCTGCAAAGGATGGGGAAGTGCTCCCGCATGTGCATCCTCCACACCACCGTCTTGTTGATCTGCAGTACCACGTCTGGTCACTTGCATGAGGGCGCCTTAGCTGTAGTACCAACAGCTGGGGCGTTTGATACACAAGGCCGTTTCGTGCCGCTGATCGCGCTGTCTGCCTCGGGGTCGGCTGTCAGGCAGACGAATACATTGGTCTTTGTGGGATGCGCCGCCTGAGTGCCTTCGTGTATTGATGTTGGGGGCCAGTATTGTGATCCCTGCTGTTTCGAGTTCAGGGATTCGGCCAATGCACGCTCCAACGCTTAGCGCAGCCATGGCTTGCTCGGCATCTTCCATCTGAAGCTTTGACGTCATGGTGTTTTGACCGCATCTTCAACCCGTGCGCTTGCGAACCGTTGCCGTGAGATGGAAGTGGTGAGTTAGGTCGCTTGATACACTGATGGTGAGAAGGACGGAGGTTAAAGCGGATGGCCAATTTCTTGTGCGGTGTTGGAAGCGCTGGAATTTGACTCCCGGTTCTTTGCTGAAGAGGACCTTGTTGATGCCGTGGTGGAGAGCCATATATCGTGATTGCGCATCTGAGCCTGGTGTCAGGTACTCGTAGGGGTTTCTGCTATGCTGTTCGATGGATTAGTATCACCTCGCGATCCTGGCAAGTACTGTTAGCTGACAGAGGATGCGTGACTCAAAAGCTCGTAGGAGTATCATGCAGCTGTGAACTCGCAGCTGATATCAGCCATCGACGACACTCATATACATTTCGTCTGTTATATGGAGCTGGGAATGCACGATGCTTCTCAAGGAGCTGTGATAAAGCTCGAATAAGAATTTCCCCTGACAGTTCCTTGACATGACGATCAACTGTGGTTCATCCCCGAGCCAGCCCAGTGTCCGGTTCCTGAAACGGGCTATGAGCGATGCTTGTCTCAACAGCATCTGTACCATGAAAAGATCCAGCACAAGTGTCTCTATCCATCGAACTCACGGCCACTCACCGCGAACAGCGGGGATCTTTCTATGCGTCGAAACTGTCAAAGCGGTCGAAATGCACCGCCACTCTACGGAAAGGGGGGATGCTGGATACGTGAAAAGCCGAAACACCATGAAATCGACGCAGAAAGTTAGAAGCCAAGATTATCGCCTGGATGTAAACCTCCAGACAGGACAGGAGATCCTGTCTCGAGATTGTCAAAGAATTTGCTGCAACGGGAAGGGTCTGAGGGCAGATATCCCAAGCCACAAACATAGCCAAACATCTCCGCCAAGAGCGCAGTGTATATACCATCTCTCAATCACAATCACAATCACATTCACGCATCAAAACCCTCACAGTTTTTTACAAGTGTTTTCAAATATTCTAGTTTTCCAAGAAAAGCGCAGGTAACACCCCTCGTTTCCCCAAGCACAGCGTACACTCAATGATCCTACCATGTCCTCCAAGAGTCAGAACCACAAAGCCATTAATCCTCTGCCAGAGCCACAACGAAAGAAACCGCCAAGGCGCAGCAGCCGCGCGCGCCACCGAGAAGCGCTCACAAGGCGCCAGCAGGATCAGACGGGCCAGCAGGGCCCTGAGTGCCAGGGGAAGGGGCCGGATTGGTAGGCGCCATTGGAGCAGAGGGAGGGGCAGCGCCAGGAGCTGGGGGCTGGGGACCGGGGACGGGGAGAGGCGGCGCGGGCTGCTGAGCGAGGTTGGCAGCCATCATGGCGTTGGCAATCTGGGCGGCTTGATAGTTGAATTCCCGAAAGAAAGCTCGGCCGGCAGCTTGCATGACCTCGGGGTTGTTCATCGCCAGCATCACAGAGATGTTCGTGCCATCCATGCCGTCAATCGGGACAGGAGCGAAGGGTGGCTGAGTCTGAGTGTTGGCGTCGAAGCCGCCAGTGGCCATGGTCGTATTGTTCCAGTTCTCCGTGCTGGCGAAGAAGTCGGCATCGGAGGGATGGTCGAGAGTGTGGCGTTGTTCAAGGGCCCGGCAGCGGGTAGTGAGTTGGCCGACTATGTCATACAAACGCATATTGTCCCTGCGGAGTCTGTCGAGGGCGAGCATCATCGGCCACATGTTGCCAGGCGGTTGCGTCGCAGGCGCCATCGTAGTAGTTGGTTGTGGTGCAGTATGTTGAGTTGCGGCGAGGGCAGCTTCGCGTGCCGCTCCTGCACTGCTCGACTCGCCGTGCTGAGGAGCAGTGGGTCCGTTTCCGTTGCCAGCTCCAGCGAAGACGGCGTTGTATGATTGCTCCCAATAGCCCAGTGACGTTCTGAGACCTTCGCCCTCTGCACGCAGCCTCGCTTCGCGCTCATTCGCAACGCGGAGGTGCTGAAGGGTAATGTTTTCCTTCTGCTCGGCTTGGACTTTGCTGACGGAGAGCGCCTCGATAAACTCGCAGAGATACTTTAGGTAGCGCTCCTCCTTGGTGAGTGCCGCATTGCCACCATTAGCATTGGCGGCATTGTTGTCATCGAGATTGCCCTCAAAGGCCTCCATGACCGCCGGCATCGCATTCGCCATTCCAACTGTGAGTCCCTCAGGAAAGAGCTTGTTGAGGGTTCGGGCGAGACCTTTGAGAGTGAAGGTGTCTTCGTCAGACTCGTCGCTACCATTATCTGCGGGTGGGTTGTTGGGTGCTAGACCCAGGTGCAAAGCGGGGGCTGCAGCTGTGGTCGCTACCCCCATGTTTGCAGAAGGGTTGTTGGCAACGTTAGTAGTAGGTACGGTTGGTGTCTGAGAAGGCTGGACCATCGCAGCCTGTGGGGAGGCGGTAGTCGTGTTTGCGCTAGATTCAGCAGCGTCAGTAGTAACACCGTTGCCACCGAAGAGTCCGGCAGGCTCCCCAGTCGTCTCTGCGTTCTCTGCTGTTGTCTCGTTTGTCTCTTCAGCTGGTTCCATCTGTGTAGTGGAAGGTCCGGCCCGGTCCCGGCCGCTCTCGTCTCTGTCATTGACCTCTCCCGCAGGGCTGGTACGGTTGTTATGATTAGTCTCCCTGTTGCGAAGATACAAGTTGAACGTGTACAGCGAGGCAACCGACCTGTCCAAGTTGAACGGCTTCATGTCCATGTTGAAGGTGGTTGGTTTTCCGTCGAATTTGTTCGGGCTTCCAGGTGGTGCCGAATCTGGAGTTGATAGAGCGTCAAGATCTAAGACTGCGTGAGCTGGGAAGATCTTGATCGGTGGAGGAAGAGGGCGGGTGCGAGTGGGCCCTTGAGATGAAGTGAAGTCAAGTGGCTGAGGTGCCAACGAACGCTTCACGGGTGAAGGAGACAAACTTGGCTGATCTTGCTTGAGCTTCGAATATCCGTGAAGTGGACTGAGCTTGTCGTGCCTGACTGGTGACCTTGAATGTCTTGCGTCTGATGTGTTAGCCACTGCCCGCTCTTTCCCTTTGGTAGATCTAGTGGCCTTGATGGCAGTGACGGTTGAGGGCTCAGTGCTCTGAGAAACTGACTGTTCTACGAAAACGACCCTCTTCTCAACAGTAACAGTCTTGATGACACCTCTGCTGCCTAGAGCACTCAGTGCGTGAGCAACGGCAGCCTCGTGTGTGGCTGAAGCTTCTGGTGTCAGAGTTGCCGCTGAAGGTTCTGAGCTCTCACTTGAGATATCAGAGGTACGATGGCTTTCAGCAGCTGAGAGCCTGGTACGATCCAACTCGGGTGTAGTAGCAGCTTCAGAGACGGTGGTTGCACTAAAGGGCGAACGAAGGTTGATGTCTTTGCCGAACTTGCGAGAAGATCGAAGAGGGGGGCTCGACGAGTTCTTATCAGAGGGCGAAACGGAAGAAGCCGCATGACCAGCAAACGGGAGATGAGCTGACGACATGCTCTCACTTCCATGTGATTCCACCCGTACCGTTGCCTGGTCGACGGTCGATGACGGAGAAGTGAGAGCGGTGTTGGGGTGAAAGTAGAGGGATTTGGGCTCGTTACGGTTGTAGGCGTACGCGTGGACGCTGTCCGTCTCCTCTGCTGTGTGGAAGGAGTGCTTGCTGGAGCGAGAAGATCTCATCATCTCTAGCTCCAGATCAGTTCTGGCATTGAGGAATGCCAACACGTTGTTCCCAGTGTAACCCTGCTCCAACGCATCCAGAATTTCGACCTTCGAGAATGCCACAGGATTACATTTGTAGTTTGGGTTCTCTTCGAGGCTGAACAGCGTCACCTTCTTCTCATCCGTAGGGGTCCAAGGGAGCTGCGGTGCGGTAGAGTCACTGGGGGGCGTGCCAGGCTCGGGTTCCCCCAAGGCGATATCCATCGAACGACGACGGTTTGCTCGATCTTCGAATTCTGCCGGTACACTCTGCCCTGATCAGCACGAACCTCAAAAATCTCCAGGCGAGCTTCCTACCAGTCCCTTCCGCTCATCATAGATCTGCTTCCGGCGACGCTGTCCCTGCGCGGCGAGCAGACCAACGACATCATTGGACGATATTGAGGGTCTAGATGCCATATTGTCCTTGTTATCCAGCAGGGCGGGCTGGGTCGATTTTACCCCAAGGCGTTCAAGGAGTTTGATGTTCTTCCGGCCGCGTGAATCGATCCGAAGGGTTTCACGCAATGGCGCTTGGTCAGGGTGAATTGCGGCGTCGGAGGGGTAGTGTGGCAGACAAGGAGAAGGACTCCTTGGTGGTGTCTTGGGGAGGGTAGGGAGCCTCGCACGACAGGAGGGTTGCTTAGATCTTGACGGAGACTCGGCGAGAGCTGGTGAATCAGGTTGCTCCTCCAACCATTCCCGATACATCCTATCGAGTGTTCGCTTAGCCATGATTGGGTCTGCGGCGCGTGAAGCTATGCTGGCGGGCAGGCGGTGATCTGAGCCAAACAAGGTTCTGTGCAATCCAAACAAGGCATGATATAGATCTTTCTCTTCTTCTTTCACGTGGAACTGTTCCGGCAACAAACCACCGCAGAAGGCAGAGGGGGCCGTCTTCGACATGGAAGGCATATCTAGATCTCGATCGGTGGAAGGCTGGCTGTGTTTGGTTCGATCTTTATTGGCGGATCTCGACATTGAAGCCGGAGGCGCAGGAGGAGTACGATGCAACTGTTGTGGAGCTGAAGCCAAGAAGTCGTTGTGAAGCTATGATGGCTGAAGGGTTAAGAAACTCTACCACAGGGGGGTTGAAAGGTGATAGGATGTGTCTGGAGCCACGAGATTGTTACCTGAAGAAGTACTTCGTTCTGCACCTACTAGCGTCGTGTGAGCACCAGTATTCATAGCATGGAAAGCGAAGTGAACAAGAGACGCTCCACACATTGATTAGCGACGAATGGGTGCGCACATCGGACGTAGATGGAAGGCGAACTTTCGTGTTTGTCCGCTCTATCAGCTGGGTTCCTATCACTTCAGTAATTAAGCTGCCGTGCTTCCCGTTCCAGCCCGTGTAAGCAAGTATGATACATGCAAGATACCCGCCAAATCTTGGAAGAGCAAGTATAAGTCAGCGCAGGTCTTGTAGAAGCGACATCAAAGATAGGCCTGAGCGGGTATGGAGGAAGTCAGGTGAAGCGCCAACCTCAAGCCGGATGTATACCACTCCAACTTCCACCGACCCGACGGCGGCATGCCAGCCAATCCCTGTTGAGACCAGCAGATCATGCAATTGCTATGCGTGCTGCTCGACGTTCCTACCGCTTCGCCCTTTGCAGCAATGCCCACTTCAGCTCGCAAGGCTCTCTACTTCTTCCCGCGCCCTCGTGTGGCCGCCTTGCCCTTGCCCCGTCCCTTCGGCTTGACCTCCTCCTCGCTCTCCTCTTCCGACGCTTCTTCCTTGGCAGCTTTGCTTCCTTTCTTTCCGGCCTTAGCCGAGGACTTCTGCGGTGCCGCTTTCTTCGGGGCAGCTTTCTTCTTTGGTTGCTTGACGTATTTGTCCTTCGATAAGTCGACGTCTTCGTCGTCCTCTTCTTTGATTTCTTCTACGACTTCGCCCTCATCGGACTCTTCGATGGCTTCTTCGAGATCCGGTTGTTCCTTGGTCTGTTTCTTCGGCGCGACGACATTGCTGGCCTTCATGAATGGTAGCGGATGTGATTTCTGGTTGTATCTAGACGATCCCATATGTCAGGAGGTATCCAAGCGAAACAACTCGTGGACAACTTACATTCGCGTGAAGGCCGATTTCGTAGCTGTCTCTATGGTAACCTTCTCTTGGTCCATAGGGCCAACCCCAAGTTCCATGATGGCATCGAAGTCGTCCCTGGTAAGGAAATAGCTGTCCATGAGGTCGATGACCTCGTCCACAACGTCCTTTCCCTCACGCTGAAGTCTTCGGACGAGCTTGGTCCACAGTGTAGGGACGTACTGCTGCCGGATCTCATGTCGGTCGCCAGAAGAGCGGAGGCGCATGTGACCTTGTATCTCCTTGACCATGCGCGTGAGCTTGCCTATGGATACGGTTAGCGCTGTCGTAAATTTGACTGATAACATGACATACCTTGGGTACTATTCTTGCCCAGCCAGGACGTGAAGCCCATCTTGTTCCCTGCCATACTGCCCGAGATAAAGCTAGCAGGCCGGACGAAGCTGAACACAGCGTGCGTCGGCATCAAACTCCACTGCTGCTGCGAGCCATGGATCATCCTGTCGACCAAATCACCGTCGCTGATGCTCTCGGCGGCTTTGTCAGCCAGCTCAAGCCACTTCAGGTTCTTCTCTCTGCCACTGTAGTTGTTGGAAAGGATCGGATTAGTGCTGAGATAGTTTTCCTGGAGCATCAAGTAACTGAACTCATGGTCATTAAAGTACAGCTCGATCTTGTCGTTGAGTGTGGCCTTGCTGCTCGAAGAGAACATGCCTCCGCCAAGTATCTTGCTAGTGATGTCCCAGGGCTTCAGTATGACGTGCTTCTCCCAGGCCTTGGACATCGCCTTGCCGCTGTCGAAATCTATGGCCTCTTCATCGAGCTTCGCCGTTGATATCATGTTAATGACTTGTCGGATGTCGGCGCCGGTCCCCTCGATGAGTGCGTCTATGACGGGAGGGGGCATCTTGAGCCCTTCTCGGAAGGCGACAGTCATGACCCGTGACCTGATCATTTCCGTGGTTGGCCGACGGAAGGGGATATCGTACGTGCAGTAGTCGAACGGCTTCATCTTTGGCAGCTTTCGATCGTTGCAGATAAGGATCATAGGTATCTGCGTCTTCTTGCAAACAGCGGCGAGAGCGCCAACACCACCCCGATCGCCGGCGGACATGCCGTCCACTTCGTCCATGATGAGGACGAGCTTCTTCTTCCCGGGGTCCACCTTTTTGCCATCGCCTGCGAAGTACCCGAGCAACGAGGTCGTGCTAAGAACGCCTTTGAGGCCGGTCTCGACCAGCTTCTTGCTACGGGTATCGCTGGCATTGCTCTCAACGATGTCATATCCTTCAAGCTTTGCCACGAGATGGGCTGCGGTCGTCTTACCAATACCGGGTGGGCCGTGTATGATAACGGCTCTATACACACCGCTGCCGTCTTTACCGGCAAGCTTGAAGCCGGTTTTTTGGCTCTTGGGGAAGTTCCTGAGCCAGTTCTGAAGCTTCTCGACTTGTCCCTTGTTGCCACAGATCTGGGTAATATGTGTAGGCGCATACTTCACGGTCCAGAGTCTCGAGTCAGGTCCTGAAGAAGAGTCCTTGGCGGACGATGAAGCCTTGCCTGTGCCCGCACCGCCTGCACCGCCGGTTCGCCGATCCGCTTTTTCCATTTCGGCAGCTTGCTCCTTGATCTTCTGCAACTGGGCTTCTTGCTTCTCTGCGTGCGCGGCGGCAGCTTTGCTGCTACCTCCGTTCGCAGGTAGCTTCCGAATGAGTTCAAATAGGCCGTCTTCGTCGATGGTCTTGATACCGTTGTCTCTTATCGTCTGGAGTTTCTTTGGTCCCGCGTCGCTTCCTAGCACTACAAAGTTGGTCTTCTTGCTCGGACCTGAAGTCACCTTACCACCGTACCGCTTGACCAGTGCTTGGCCGTCCTCCCTAACAGATATTAGCGCACTTGCTAATCCCACTGAACGGGGATCATACCTGCTCAGCGTCTGCAGCAGACCCGTAAAGACAAAAGTTAAGCCAGCGAGACAGTTTTCAGCGCCAGTCGGTATATCTTTCGCCCCTGCAGCCGGGGGAGGACCGCTGTTCGCATGGCCTCCAAACGGAAACTTCTTCGCCTCATCCGACGGCTCTGGCGGCGTAGGTGGACGAACTAGTGGTATGCTATCATAGATTGCTTGCATTGTCGCATTCTCGGGTTCGTCGTCTTTCTTTGCCTTCTTCTTTGCCGGTGTCTTCTTAGTAGGCGTAGCTTTTGTTCCTTTCCTTTTCTTTGGAGGCTCATCCTCATCTTCATCATCTTCATCATCGAGAGACTTGCGCTTTCTGCCACGCTTGGCTGGCGCTTTAGCAGGCTTGTCGACCACAATTCGCTCATCGTCGTCCGGCACAACGAAATCGTCTTCTGGCTTGACATCTTGCATGTTAACGTCATCGTCTTGAGAGTCAAAGTCATCTTCCTCCTTGATCAGCTTCTTCTGCCTGCTCTTCTCCGCCGGCACCCGCTTGGGCAGTGCTACTGGCTCAGGATCGTTATCGCTGGCATCCTTGTAGTCATCGCCCTTCCTTCTGCCCCTCTTGAAGTCTGCCGTGAAAACATCATCCCCCCCATCCGGCCCATCCACAAAGTCATCATCATGGTCCTCTATCTCCGCGTATGTAGTCGTCTTCTTCTTACGGGAGGACGTTCGGCCGTTGGTCGCGGACTTTGCAGGAGTAGACTCAAGGCTCTTCGCAGCCTTGCCGTTGGTCTTGACTGGTGTAGCTTTTGGTGTTTGCTCAAATAGTTCTTCGGTAACCGCCGACTTTGATTTCGATGCTGCCGACCGCTTCGGCTTGTTCTTGGCCCCGAAGTAGTCTGTTGTGGTTGTTGCTTCGCCTGCTGGTGACGGTGCACGCTTCCTGGACCATACTCAGTCTTGAAACCTGACAGTCAACGTAACTACTCCTCCACTCACGTTCGCTTGGCAGGACTGGCTTTCTTCGGTGTCGCTTTCTTCGGTCTGCAATGGCGTTAGCTGCGGCGCTCACAGGTGACATAGAGCGACCTACGCAGCATTGAAGTCCTCGTCGTCTGAATCGTCAATGACTACGCGTGTATTTCGAGCTCTCGGCTTAACGGCTCCGGTCTGCGTCCGGGTGACCCGCATATTAGCTGTTGTTCGGAGATATTGTTCGGAGGAAGTGGTATGCTCGTAAGCTGAAGTGGAGCTGAAGGCGAATGGACGAAGGGCAAGGTTCATGATGTTATAGTCTCTGTACATACATCCTTCTTCGCAGGTGCCTTCTCCTGGCTCGCTTGGGACGGCTTTCCGCCAAAGAAGCTGCGGATATCGCCCGGCATCTTGACAATCCGTGCTCTGACAGCTGTTTTACACCAGATACAATTTCTAAAAGCGCGTTATGACCATTGAATACAGAAGAGTGAACAACGTTGCTGATCAGCACCAACCGCTGCGCTGCGGAACGCGTAGGTCATCGACGTCGCGTAAAGTAGCACCTTCACGTTTCTCCGCCGCCGGCTTGGCAACGATTGCATCGCGACATTCACATTGCGGCTTCAAGGCACTAGACGGCTTCAGGGCACCAGACAGCTTCAGACGAAGCACCCTCGCAGCCATGCCGCCCCCACGGATAGCGCCATTATGCGCGAGGCAACTACGGCCAACAATCTTGCCTTCACATCGACCATGCCGTATGTCCCTCCTTCCAATCCTTCAAGCAGTCAAAGCTAATGCTTCCAGTCCTCCGCCAACACCTCCCAGCAGCTTCCTCCATCCCCTCCGCCCACAACTTCAGCACTTCCCGTCCCCACCTCGACTGGCTGCTCCCGCGCTCCGGTGCCAACAAAAAAGACCGCAAAGGCCGACCACGCGTCCCCACCGGGGGCTCCACCCGCGGCACGACCGTAGTATGGGGTGACTATGGGCTCCGAATGCGCGACCACGACCGGCGTATCTCGGCCGCACAGCTCAAGATCGGAGAAGACACGATCCGGAAGCGACTCAGGGGCTTCAAGTTCCGGCTGTACATGCGGATCAGCGCGAACATCGGGGTGTACACGTCCGGCAACGAGGTGCGCATGGGGAAGGGGAAGGGGAGTTTCGACTACTGGGCGAGTAGGGTGGCGGTTAGTAAGGTTATTTTTGAGCTCAAGGGGGATTTGCATGAGCAGATTGTCAGGGATGCGTTTCGGTTGGCGGGGAACAAGCTGCCTGGTAAGTGGACGCTGTGATGCTTGCTCTACTTGGGGACTAAGGTTGCTGACGGTTCTTCGCTAGGGCTGTATGAGTTTGTGAAGAAGGGCGACCCGCCTGTGATGGGCATAACGAAGCTGGGCAATGGCGTCACGGAGGAGAGTTTGAAGAGGCCGAGGCGGGAGCTCCCTCCGCCTAATCTAGTGGAGACCGCAAGCCGGCTTCCTGCCGCGGCGTAGAACATCATGTACAACATTTAAGCGAAGGTCTCACAATCGTTATCTGTGTTCCATCGGCGTCAACGGGCTGTGTATAGTCGCGTGAATTGTTTGTATTAAGCCGAGAAATGCCGAATCGAGGCTGACAGGACCTCTGTGACAAGCTAAAGAGGTATTCCGCCATCGCCGTTCATGTGGCTGCAGCTGAAGGGGTACTGCCCCAGCGTTACATCCCCCAGTGGCATCGCATCCTATTGCACCCTAGATTCAATGTACATAACATGCGAGAAAGTCCCCCCCGGCCACACAATTGTCATCATCAACGTGGCGCAATAGAACCTTTCAATCTCTTTCAGCGACCCTCTGTCGCATACCTTTTACCACAACGCCGCGCAAATGCAAATCGGGTATCTCAGTCTGTGGCTGGATGCTGAACGTAAATTCGTATTCATCGTAAATCGGAGGAGCTGAATGCGGGATGTAATGACGGATCAGCTTCCGTGTGTTGTGTGGCAGTCTTGTTGAAGCGTGATCAGAATTCGATACAAGGAATCGTGGTTGTGATAAGCTTTTCAATATTCTCGGTCCGCAGGCAAGCACGCGTGGGGATCGTTCCTCCCGCCCGCCCTCATCCGCGCCCTTCCCGCCTAGGCATCCGCTGAGGCCTATCGTTCCTGCCTGGCCCCTGTGTGACTGTATAGGCATTGTACGCTTCCGCCTGCGCATGCCGCAGTCTGGACGCACCCTTCAGCTCTTGCAGCTCCGCATGGCTGATGATCCGTCTCTGCCATAGGTAGTGGTGAAGCTTAAATTCGGGACGGGCGGTAGCGAGGGTGTGGCCAGCGTAATGGTGCTGGGCTTGGTGGTTCATCCGCGCGTCCCAGGCGTCGAAACCGTTGGGGTATGTGTAGTTGAATGTATCGCAGAGCGGACACTCTATCGAGCGCGGAGGATCCTGCCCGCGGAAGTGCCACATAGTATGCGTCTTCCAGTGCTCGAGGTCGTAGGAGCGGAAGTGGCAGTTCAAGAAGTGAAACGGGCATTCGAGGACGCTGCGCCGGGCATCAGGCCGCACCTCGAGGATGCCGTCGGGCCCGAGCTCGAGGAGCCGCACGCCTTGAACGACGCTCGCATCTGCGGTGCTGACGCCAGAGGACTCGTACGTGTCGCCGGATGCTCGTGTCAGCATGGATGGTGCGCCTGACACCGTCGATCTGGCTTGGGTGTGGCTTCTAACGCTCAATGCCATCGAGGACGCGCTTTTCTGCGCCGCGACGAGCGCGCGCAGGTCGGATGCTCTGCGGCCGTCGCCAGGCAGCGAGTGGAACTGCGCTGCCATGCGCCCGTGGAAGTCTGGCTGGTCGACGCCCGAGGTCGTCCATTCGGCGATCAAGGGCTCGACGGGTTGGCGTTGGAGGGAGTGGAAGGAAGGTGGCGGAGTGGTGGGGCTGTCGGGCGGCGAAGGCATCTGATGCGACAGATTCAGCCTTGTGCGAGGAGCGAATCAGACGTGAGCAATCACCATGATTGTTTTATTTGGGTTTGATTGTCGCTAGGTTATAAAAGTCCAATCCTTCGTATGCAACTGCGAGTAAGATCCGCAAGAGGCGAAAGAACAGAAAGTGGGACTTGGTCGCCTTTTGTTTCGGCACTTAGAGGGGGAGACGGCGACGCCGTTATCACGTTTCAACTCTCGAACCCCCTTCTGCGGGAACTGTTCTGGAGCAAGCGAACAGTTATGATGCAGATGCGGCTCTGCCGCGGTGACTCCGGCGCTCATGCGAGAGATCGGCGCTCTTTTCTCAAAGATTGAGCAACCTTCCCACAACATGCTCCTCGGGCTCTGCTCTCGATACTCTCGGCTTGTCATCTACCCCGAAGGTGCGGCCGATTGGAGGCGTTATTTCTACGAGGCACTCTGCAGCTTCGACGCTGGCGAAGAGTTCAGCTCACAGAGCTTCAAAGCAGAATGCAGGTAGAGTATTGGTAAAGCTTTCCCTCGTCCCGAGCATGCATCCCCCTAAACGATGGCTGGCGTTGATGAGTCGATGACGGGTGATAGCGGCACAACGACTGTGATCTTCAATTGCTTCTTACCGCTGAATAGATAGCAAAAGTGCACCCTTTGTATGAGGATTTGTCGGTGTGAACGACCAAAGTGGAGCCCCAGAACCCCGCAACACCATGAACGCCCGGACCACTTTGATGATGCTGGAGTGGATCCTATGCAGCCAGCCGCGAACAAGGCTCGGGCAAAGAATGTGTTGCCGGTCACTCCACCATGATAATCTCACGTACAGGCAACATGTTCTTTTGTTGGCACTTGAAAGCTTGCTGGCTGATCTAAGCCGTCGCGAACCGAGCTTAAGCACGCAGCTCCGGTCATGAAAAGTCGAAAAACGTCGATTCGTGTTCGTAGGCATTGGAAGATAAGCTGAACAGGCATGGCAAAGAGCTACGGAATATCAAAGAACTTGTTACAATGCAGCAGATGATCTATTCTATCTACGCGTACCGGTGCATCAATAGTCTAAAAACGCCTCCTTGAGACAGCTTCTCTACTCTTCGATCTAGCACTTTTAATACGATGATCCACCACGATGCACCTATTGATACAGGCTTCCCGACCGCTGCCTTGACACACCTCGTCTACTCTCAGAATAGCGGCGCTCAAGCCCATACTCATCAGCACGTATATTCTCTGGAAGTGTGGGGGCACCACCGAGACTGGCGAGGACCGTCTCGCTGTTGGCGGTCAGGTCGTCCATCACCTGAAGCTCTTTTCTTGAGAAGATCTTAGGCAAGACGGCTGTCCGTAGCGGTATCAGTGCTGTGATGAGGACGGGAAAGCCTAGGCCAAATTAGGATTTCGATTCGTCGACGATGTTTGACCTCCGACTGAAGGTGGGAGACGTACCTATGGCGGCGATAGTCTGCGAGATCGCTACTGTGACCGCTACGCCGACAGCTTGGATACCAATCCACATCCAAATCTTGCGCTTCTGTATCGTCAGGAGCGGCTCATCGCGCTGTATGAAGCGATCCTCGGACATCAGGAAGATGAGTTTCTCGAGCATCCCGTTGGACTCGATTGCGCCCCATCCAACAACGAAGAAGACACCCGCGAACACTGCAGCAGGCATTGTACGGAGCACAGTGAGCAGCGGCCCGGTCATCGTTCCAATAATCGCAAGACCCATGAGGAAATGGGAGAGGCGTTGCTCGACGACGGCGACGGCCCTGACGATCGGTCTCCTGATCTCCGCACCTTCCCCTTCTTCCGTTGAGATGATCTTGAGCTCGGTCTCGTACACGGTCAGAGAATCCGTGTGCACAGGCGCCTGCGGTACCAAGCCGTTCGGCAACTGTAAGCCGAGTAGACCAGCGACAAACGTGGTACAGCCGAGCAGGAAGAAGTCCCAGTGGAACCCGCCCGGCTTCTTGAGAGGGTACTGGCGCGCTTGCGCGGTAAGGCTGCTGACGTTGTGGTCGTAATAGAAGAGTAACATGACCAGGAAGCCGAAGGGTAGGGACACAAAGACCCAGGTGGCATTGAGATTCCAGAAATCTATCAGCCAACTCCGCGGTTGAGTGGGATGAAAGGCTCGGACGACTGGAACATAGCTGAGATCTGTGTCCTTGAGAGTACCGGGGATGTGAGAGAAGCCGACCCAGAAGAGGGTGCCAATCTGCGCAAGGTCATCAGCTTCCCAATTTCGTGCTCGTCTATAGTGACGTCGACGGCTTACCACATAGGCGTAATCAGCAAGTATGCCACGGAACCAAGGCTTAAAGACAGTGCTACCACCTAGCTTCTCGAGACCGTAGATGGTTCCGAAATAGAGCATTGCTATGACGCAACCAAGGAAGCCAGCTCTGCTGCCGTAGGTAAATTCGTTGATGAGTTCTTCAACACCCTTGACTGTATCCTTATTAGCAGCCGTCAATACACTAACAAAACTGACTTACTGATGTAGATGATTCCCACGTACATGCCGAAAGACTGGCTGGAAAAGTCCGTGACATACCGCATGTAATCGCAGAGGTTCCAGAAAGACACCATCCAATGGAAGACAGCGGCCCAAATACCGGTCCAAGCCATGACCTGCGGGTAGACTGAAGCGTCGTAGATCACTACAATGTCGTAGATTGTGTAGTTGAAAAGCCCAATCAGACCAGTGATGCCAACGATGGTAAGGGGCTGCGCGCCCAGAATGCTGAATACCATTGCAGCGAGTGCGGAAGAAAACAGAGCCTCGTTAATACCGTAGAACTCGCCGGTCCGCCGGTACATGTCGAGTGTGAATGCTATAGCTGGGAGAAGACTTGGCTTTGTCAGTTCTCTATCCAAGTCTCTGCAGTATTTAGGATTGTATACTCACTTGACGAAGTACATCCGTATCGTGCTTGCAATGACCCGGTAAGTCAACGCATCTGTAATGTCGCTCGGATAGTATGGCAAACGTCGCTTGACGTCATGGTACATGCCTCGACCCGGCCGCAAGACACGATATTTTCGCCACCCTGTCAGACCATCGAAACTGTAGTCGTCGCCAGACTTTTCTCGACTCAGCTCCAGAGGGTCAGGAGAAGGAGTTTGTGACATGATGATGGTAACCTAGAGGGAATGGAGAGACAATGAAACAGCGAGAGTAGAGTATTAGAGATCTAAGGTATGATGTGAGCTAGATGTATACCAGCGGCGAAAGGGGGCCGACTTGGGGGAATTGCAAGCTTATGAGGAAGTGATGGTTAGAGTTGCATGTATACTAACACCACGGATACTGCACCTAGCGACTTATATAAGCTCCTCCGCTGTTGGCAAACAAACGACAAGTCTTTAGTTCACTTTGGTCTATCTCTAGTGGAAAATCAGTTGAGATGCCAAGCCCGCAAGCTTCGGAAGGCAGAGCGGAGCGGAAGCGGTGATGCAGCCCCCTTCGAACAGATGTTGAAGAGCTTCAAGCTGTCCAAGAGTGTGGATAGCTGCTGCTATCGGTCCGCTAAGCCACAGTATCATCACAAGTAGCTTGTGTCTGTCTGCTGTCGAAGGCACAGCCGGAAGAGTAGATCAGAGATTTGAAGCCGCAACGTTGAATTGCAGGGGGCAATCTTACGTCATTTGCGCTCAAGGCCACTGATCGGCAACGTCTTCCGGCGCATCACATCTGCCTGGGCAGAATTTCTTGACTGCAAGAATATCTCATAGACTCATAGGAGAGAACAATTATGAGAATTTCCTGTTATATCGCATGAGCCGCTGCAGTTTCCAATCCGACACGTACCACGGCCTGATCTTTCCCTTGATTGACAATGATCATGAACCACCACACAGAACTTGAGGCACAGAGCCTAGCAGACTGTGTATCTCAGGCAATCCAAGAGTACCTTCGCCGCTCAAGTGTGTATGAGAGCAGCCCCGCTCTGGAAGGCTTAGTAGACCCGATACTAATGATAGAAGGCATTCTGTCGGATGGTCGAGCGCCGTCAGTGATGTTACCACGTCGGATAGAATTAGTAGGTCATTTAACCTCAGTAATCGTTGTCAGTCAATGCGTAGCAGAATCAAAATGCAATCCTCTTCCACGAGCATCTTGACCCTTCTGCACACGTCTGAGGGTTTCTTGGATAGCATTTTATACTTGACGAATTACTTCACACGTTCGTTGAGTCCGTTTCTCTAGATACCTCCTGGGCCCTAGGTCAAGGAAGCTGGTAAAGTCGAACAGTATTTGCTAAGTGGCCCAGACTACCATTAACATTTCAGTGTTAAGAAGGCAGACGCGAGAGATTAGCTCGATCCAATCAAGCCAGACGTTAACGCCTGCTACTGCTGCGGAGGAGAGCATTGGGTCTCAGACGGGACCCACGCGCTCTCTAACCACAAGACAACGATGTCAGCGTGGCAGAAGGCGGCGGGAATCCTCAGAATCGTCGCCGTCCGAGTCCGACGCATCTAAACGCCGAAGGGCAACTGGAGGTTTACGCTTAGCTTCGGGCCCCGGAACAGATGAGGAGATATCGGCTGAACGTGCTATTCGCCGATCACAAAGCAACACGCGACATTTCCCGCAGCGACAGAGACAAAAAGCAATCGATATCCATACGTTACAGCCCTCAAGTCTATACAAACTCATCACAGGAATATGGGAGCAGATCCACAGCAGTATCAGCCTTGATCTGGGTCTTATGGTAGGTTCGGTATCGTTCTCATCTTCAAGAACCGTTTCTCTAGGACAGAGATGCAAGTGGAGCTGAAATTGTCATTCCCCAAGTGCACTGTTGGCCTGCTGTCATGAATGGACGATAGCGTGGGCATTCGTCAATATATCCTCATAGAGCTTCCAACGTCCTGTCCCAAACCGTTTTCACATCCTTAGTGGCAGACACGGTTATTCTAGCTTGAAAAGCGTTCGGCGTTCCCCTTCAAACCATGTCCCTCAATTTCCCTTAGCTGACTTTTGTTAGGCCGACCAACTGTACGAAAATCGAACCTTGGGAGTCGGTTCCTCAGTCACGGACTCGAACAGCCCAGATGGCCCAAACAGCTCCGTCGCGGAGGCGGCACTCGGTGGCGCCTTCAGCCAGATGAATGTGCTCTGCCGGAAGATCACTCAAGCGAGCCGCTGCTGTAGGTGACTTGAAGTCATCGTTCAGGCGCGCTGGGTTGAGTGTTTTGACGCTCGTGTCCAGCAGCTCGCTGCTTTGGGAGGCGGCGGCAGCCTCACGAAGAGCCGAATGCACGCATTGAAAGTAGCTTGCGAGGACTTTGGCTGGACAGAGAAAGAGTTGAGAAACAAAACGTAAGTGTCGTTCGTATCCTCTGAAGCGGTCATGTAAAGCTTCGTGCATGAGTTGCCAATAATCTTGCAGAGATGTCGCCAGAACGGCCCAAGGATTGCATGTATACTTTGAAAGAGTTAGCAGTATCCCACAGCGTAGATAGGCCGACAACCAAGCACTCTTTAGCTGATTCGCTTCAGGGCAGTCTGGCGCGGTTACCAAGAGATAAAAGAAGCGGGAGGATGGGTATCACTCGTCTTCGCCGGCATGGGCCTCTACCGTTTCTGCAAGTACCGCGTCGGCTTCACCAAAGAAGCTGTGCAGCGCCTTCAGAGGTTACGGCGGCGCTTCGAAGTAGCAGCCGACACGCTCCATCCGCACTGGCGGCAGCTCCTCGCCATCATTGGTGAGCCTTCGGCGAGAGTGTACGACGGCCACCCCCATGACTGGGTCGTGAGCGAACACAGCGAGCCAATACCGCTGAGGCAGACGTATCTGTAGTGGGATTCTAACTTCAGCTTTGAGCATCTCGAGGAGTCCGTCATCGATGAAGACGCTTGGGGGCCGTTGTGGGATCCGAGACGTCCGACGCCAGCAGCTGCAGACGTTGCTCCCTCGCGTGTCTACGTCTGCGATGTATGTGGCGAACGACAAGAGGATGATCCAAAGGAGAACTGCTGCCGCTGTTTCCCGGCTCTATATGGATGCGTCCGCAAAGCATGTCCAGTACAGGTGTTCCGGACCGCTAACGGCCGTAATGATGGGCTCGAGGCGTGCCTTGTAAGTCGAACTTGTTTCTGGCAGTCTGTCGCTGGCAAGTTTCATATTCATCATCAGGGGCACGGCGTGCGCCACGTAAAGCCTCCAAGCGAGATGCAGTCCTCATCAAAAGCATAGCGAAATCTTGCTACGGCTTTCTACAGTCATTCGCGGTTTAATCAACAAACCCCATCCTCCCCACACAATTGTGCAGTCCAAGTTTCCCCACCGCATCCCGCACGGCGTCTTCTCCCCCAAAAAAACCCCCACGAAAGTTTGTTGTCGTACTCTCCTGACATCGTCCCCCCCAGTCCTTCCCCCGCGGGACCGCCATCGGCGAATTCATCGGCCTCCTAACGCGGCATCTTACGAACACCGACGTCATGGTCGGGCAGCCCTCTCCCACCTCTCCAGCATACCAGATCCACCAGGGTCGGCAGGGCAACTACACGCGCTTCGTGAATCACAGCTGCTGCCCAAACGCGCAGTTCGAACGCTTCAGCTGGAGGGGCGTGCAGAGGATCGTGCTGATTAGTAGGGGGATCCCCACGGGAGGAGAGATCACGGTGGACTATTGTGAGGGGTATTGGAGGGGGCTGGATAAGGTTTGTTTGTGTGGGGAGAAGGTGTGCCGATATAGAGATAGGTAGAGCAGGAAGACCGGCGGATGAAAAACGTAGGCAGAGACAAGTGATGATGTCCAAGCCGCTTGAACTAAGCTTTTCTACCAAGGGCCTTCCGAAAAGTCGGTTGCCGCCTTGAAAGCTACTCGTGGCCCTGGACCTGGATGTTACGGCTCGTGCGGAGTCTGCTCGGGACGTTGGACGTTCGGTCGAGCGACTGCCGTTCCGTCTAGCGTTACGTGATAGGCTGCGACGTTAGTTAAATAGCCGTTTCCGTCCTAGGTAGCAAATTATCAATCATACAATTCAATCCACTGAGAAAACCTTACCACTGGATAGGCCTTGAGCAAAAGTCCATAGCTTAGACACCTTAGGCATTTGCTGCACCAAAGAGTTGAACTGCTGGAAATGTTTTGGCTTCCTATGGTATAGAAGCGGTCCAGCTGCTCTGCGACTGACATGACCATGAGTCCAGTTTGACGGTGAATCCGAGTGAGAGAGCCACCAGCCGAGAAGCGGCAACCGTGTTTTCAGGTAGCTCTTGTATCTTGCGATATCCTTAGCGAGAACTACTCTCCACAAAAAGAAGAAGTCCTTCTTACCTAGCGACTATCAATCTTATTCAGCAAAGACACCCTTCAGCACCCTCCCCAACACTCCACCGACCATCTCGGGGCGCTCCATCGCCGCAGTGACCACGGCCGCAGCCCCGACCGCAAACACAGCCCCCTCCCGCCAGAGATATTTCCGCTCATACCGTCTAGGGAACCAGACCCCCAACGCCCGCGGCAGCACGAAAAACACGATATCCGCCCTCCTGCTGCTGGTACCGTTACCCTCAGTGGGCAGGACCAGGAAGCTGAGCCCGCAGAGCAGACACCCGGCGTGGATGCACAGGCCCGAGTCCCACATCTGCGGCGTCACGGTCTTGGGGGAGAAGATGCGGGGACCAAGGCGCGTGCGTGCGAGACAGACGCCGTAGTAGAAGAGAGATACGAAGGCGGCTAGGAAGGCGGAGGAGCGTGCAGCGTCAGCCAGAGCGGGGATGAGAAGGCGCGACAGCGGCGCCGCTGCTGTCCTGGCACCAGGTGCCGTGCCCCGGCCGTACAAGCGTTGGCGTCGCAGCCGCAGTAGCCACCGCAGCACAACCACGCCCAGTCTCAGCGGCAGGTACATTTTGGCCGCCTCGACCCAGGCCCGCGCAAATCTCACCCCGGCATTCACCTCGCACCCCTTCCCCATCCCCTGATGCACCAGCTGACACGGCACCGGCACCGTCTTCGCCGGATCCCCCCACGTCCTCGGCAACCCCAGGTCCTGCGCCATATCGCCCAGCAGCCCTCCCAGCCCGTCATCTCTGCCATACCGCCAGTTCCCGAAGCGGGCCTCGCGCAGAGCGCGCAGAAGACGCGGGTCCAGCCGCGCGAAGCGCGATATCCAGGAGACGTAGGCGTGGGGGAGGCGGAAGGGGGCGTAGAAGTAGGCGTGCATTATTGTGGAGCAGGAGAAGGTGAACAATGCTGGAAGTGTGGCGGAGGATATAAGGTTGGTGAGCCGCGTGCGGCGGGATGGGGGTGGCCAAACGCCGGTGAGGAGGACGGAGAGGGCGTGCACGGTTGTGAGGAGAGTTAGGTCGAGGGTCTTGCCGGCGAGGGCGGATGGAGGGAGGGAAAGTGGCGTGGTGTCTCGGGGTTGAGATGGAAATGGTGAGATGGAGGTTGGCGAGGATGTGACGGTACTAGGCTTAGTTGATGGCTCCGCTCTATCATCTGGTAGGGTGGGTAAGAAAGATTCTGGCGGCGATTCGACGTTCGATGAGCGGCGGGGCCCGGTCATCTTGTCTTTACTTTCTTTGCTGTCTTCACCAGGCACCACGACTTGCGCATGGGCAAGCTCGCCTTGTGAATGGCCATGCTGCCGGCTGTTGAGCAGAGCAAAGCTTGCTATGGCCGCGGCGAGTGTCGCCAGGAACCTCGACAGTCTTTCGATGCCTACATGGTCGACTTGCCATCCTCGCCGCCAACGCGTGCGATAGAGCGTAGTCAGGGAGCTGGTCAGGAATGCCCGTAGAGGAAATTTCAGGAGCGTGGAGCCTCCAACCAGGACGCCACAGAACGCAGGAAAACGGTTGATGGCTGCAGCCGAGCGCAGTATAGTGTAAAGCTGCGCGGTCTGTCAGCTTGTGATGGAACGGGTCTTCTAAATAGCAGGGGAGCTCGCAAGGTAGTCTTGATAGAAATCACATGACATAGGAACGAGATGAGGAAACAACGGTACTAGAATGCTTAAGCACGCATTGAGCGTCAAGCAGAACGGCTATGCACTTACTCTTGAAAGTGCAACGCCATATGGTATCTCTTTACGAGATAGGGCTGCCAAAAGGCCGAAGATCTGAGGGGTAGTGCTGGAGAGATACCCGAGCACGTATGCACGCGCGAGTCTGAATGATCTCTCTTGTCAGCCAATGCGTACTACTACTAGCGCCAACAGGAAATTTGTGAGAATAAGGCGATTGCAATGAGTTCATCTACTTTGACCTCAAAGCGCACATTGTCGACTCACGGCTTTAGTAAACGGCGGTAGTCGCGCACCACATCGCTGTTGTTCCCCATATCCAAGGTGTAAGAGGGATCATAGAGGCCTATCTGGCTGTCAAGGCGCCATTGACTGGCCTCACACCAAGGCGCGACGCTCGGTAGAGCAGCTCAGCGGCCAAACGAAGCCGAAATCAAGAGTCACTGCGTCCTGAACATGCGTCAGCATCCCAAGTGTGACTGCATTTAACATGTCTTGACCCCCGGATGCTACGTGGTAGACGCATCAATACGAAACTGCCGCCCACCGGGCTGAGGATGGCCCCCAAGGGCCGCGATCAACAGGCCGAGATGCCTCGGGATGAATGATGCGTTTTGACTGAGACGGTAATCCTACAAAGGAAGTTTCGTGGAAGCATAATTCAAAAGCTCGCGCCCATATGAAACACCTGCCACCCCTGGCTTCAACAAAACAGCTACCCCACAAAGAGAAGCCCTCCGAGAGAGATCGAAGACTGAGGCATGCCTGAGGACCAAGCGAGATTGACAGAGAGGCAAGACGCGGATCCGTGACCAAACCGAGGTGCATTATCCTGGGAATGCATAGGGCTAGAGGCCAAGGAAAGACTGGCACGGAGGGAGTTTGCTTCAATGGTGTGGGTGCTTGACCTACCAAAAATGTAAGGCTTCACCTCTCGTGCAGCAGTTGGATGTCCTGATAGAACCACGCAATTGTGGATGACGACGTGAGGCTCAATCCTGCACGGCTGCACGCAAGCGGTGCCTGGCTAAGGAGCGACGTGCGCTGGTGAACGTTGACCCGCCCGTGGCGAGCTTGGAGGGGTTTGGTGATGGTGTGGGTGGTGTGGATGGCGCAGTTGGAAGACCCGCCGGCGGAGAGGCCGAGTGCTCTCTCACATGTCGGCCACGGCCAGCCAGCCAGTCAGCCAGTCGTCAGCCCGCAGCAGCTTCCGTCGAGAGGTCAAAACATTTGTTGTTGGGACTTTGGAAGCTGCGCACAACACCTGATCTTGCATCTCTGTCCTCTGCCTTCTGCTGCTTGTCGCATAGCCCTACTGCCACCCGCAACGCCTGTCCACAATCATTCCGTCCAGGCTTGGCCCGCCGTTAAAGCAAATCCGCTGCCTACCACGCCAGCACCAACTCGACCCCCTCTCTCTCTCCCAACCTACCGACTCGGATGGTGGCACAGCGTCGAGAGTCAGCTTGTATCGCGTTGATGCTCTGTGGGTGCACTTTCGCCGCGCACCTCCCCGCTCGCCACCTGGGATAGCTCGTCCCTCCGCGACCCAAGTCAGCAGCACCCGCGCAGCAACGCTGTGAAGGCAGGATAGACCATGAGTTCTCACCGACCCAGAGCACGCGTCGACCGGCCTAGTGAACACATCTCCGCTATTCCCATACGTCTTGCACCTGGCTAAGCAGCCTCTCCGACACCACGCGAAGCTCATCGGAGCATAGCCGTCGCGACATGAGCTCAAACGACCATTATCACGACCAAGAGCAGATATCTCAGCCTTTCGGATGTACGCTCCCTATACCCTATCTTCCGCCGCCCCTCACTGACGCCTTACGCTCGCAGATACCTTCGACGACAGCGAGCCCTCGACTTCCGCCGCCGCCGTGCAGCCTGCCGGTCAGCCTTTACTGAACACCCAAAGCTCGGCACAGATCTTAGGCTTCCTCAACAATCCTGAGGACTTCGACATCGGCTTCAGCGACACTTTCGTCAACCAAGATATCTATGGAACAGGCCTCACGGATATCAACGAGGCTTGGAACTCTGACCCTCACAGCTTTCAACGTCAGCAAAGCATCGCACCCTCTCAGACAATTAGGCCTGCTCCGGCCTTCGCACCAGTGCAGCCATTTAGCCCTGTATCGCCGTTTGACGGTCGTCCGCCTCATGGACTATCACACCCCTTCAACCCTCCGTCCGGCTCGTTCAGCAACTCTTCGCTGGTTGCGCCCAACTTCGCAACCTCTGGGCCACATTTTGGGCATGAGGCCCATCCGTTCGCAGGCCGCGCGAACAGCATACCTATCACAACCTCTGACGATGTCATCGGGGCTGCCTCCACACTCTCCGGACTGAACAGCTTCCACACCCAGCAGCAGCACGCCTATCCGACGCAGCAATATCCTCAAGGAGACTATGGCTTCACCAACCTTAGTAGCGTGTCCGGTCCCGCCATGACCACCGCCTCTCTGTCCTCCAATCCCGCCATAATTACACCGCCACCATCCTCCTTCTACCAAGCGAATATCTACACATCTTCCTCCGCAGACATGAACGGCACGCCCGCCCCGGTCTTCAGCAACAACATGCCATATACCTACGGCTCCGCCACCCCCAACTTCGACCCCTACAACTACATGAACTACCAACCGCCCGCCTCCTCGCGCAACGCAGCCCAACCCCGCCTCTTCCGCTTCGGCTCCGACAGCAACTTCGACACCAGCGGTTACCACGCGCCCCCGACCCACGACGAAGCCCGCGTGCTCGATCGGCTACAGCAGGACATGTCAGCCTTCATACCCACCAGCGCCAACAGCACGCAGCCGAATAGTCCCGTGCTAAGACGAGGAGAGATGAAGCAGCCTGTCGCGGTGATGCAAGGAGCCGGGCGAACAGCCGACGCGGAAAGAGAGAGCGAGGCCGAGGAAGCGGAAAGCGCGACAACGACGAGTCGGAAACGCCGCAAAGGGAAGGGAAAGCCAAAGGCTGAAGACTTCTTCCCGAATCCGCCCGCGGGGATGAGTGATGCCATTACCGCTACGCCGACAGCGGGGGCCGCGCGCAAGTCTTCCGCGACGGCCGAGCGCGCAGCCAAGGTCCGCAAAACATCCCGCGCCGCTGCCTCCGCCATAACCGCAGCCACCACCACAACAACAACAACACCCCCGAAAACAAAACGCGCCTCCATACCAGCCAGCAGCAGTGCCACCACAGCAGCCAGCGCCAGCGCCAGCGCCGCCGCCGCCCCCGCCAGCAAACCCGCCCGCGAAAACCTGACCGAGGAGCAAAAACGGCAGAACCACATCCTGTCCGAGCAGAAGCGGCGGAACCTGATCCGGAAGGGCTTCGAGAAGCTGAACGAGCTCGTGCCCGAGCTGCGCGAGAACTGCCCGTCCAAGAGCCAGGTGCTGGACCTCACGGCCGGCTTTCTGGACCGGCTCATCCAGGGGAACGGGGAGCTGAGGGGGGTGTTGGGGGAGCAGCGGCAGCAGCCGCCAGAGAGGGGAGAAGGGGACGAGGTGGAGGAGCGGTAAGTAGTGATGCGGAAATACTCTGTAGTGGGATGGATGGGTTGTTAAACAAGGGGAATTCGGTTTCGTGTATGACTCTTGGAGCAAGAGGAAATTTTAACTGGCACGACGAGGGCGCAATTGTACGGGCAGTTTAGTGGAGGATATACCCCCAGGGAACGGGAGCAGGGAATGGCGTTTTTTTTTGGGGCTGGCTTTTGCTCATACCAGGGCGTCTGTGGGGTTCGCTTCGTGTAGCTATGTGCCCCTTGATGCAGGGGGCTAATATTTGTGAAGCTGTGGTGAAGTTAGTCAGTAGACGCTATGTGATGTGTGAGAGTTTCAAGGGCGGAGCGTCATGGCCGCACGCAGCAGCATCCAGTAGCCTCGCAATGTTCGCGCCATCGCAAGACGCAAAAAGCCGTGGAGTTTCATGTTTCTAATCTGGGAATAAGCCGTGGCAGATGCAAGATTCATGTCACCAATCAACCCTCCAACCCCTCAGTCCTTCATCCCCAGCTGTAGGACCACGTGACCCTACACGTCCACCAAATTCTCCCCCTCGCCATCCTTCTTATCCTCCTCATCCTCCCCATCCTCCCCATCCTCGTTGTCCCTCGTATCCTTCCCGCCCCTCTTCCTCTCCTCCTTCCGCCTCTGGTAGAACTGATCCAGTACCTTAGCCGGAATCCGATTCAGCAGCTCCTTCGGGTAAATCCTCAGCAGGCTCCACGCCAGATCCAAACTCTCGACGATCGTGCGGCTCTCGTACGCGCCCTGGGAGATGAAGGTCTTCTCGAACTTGTCCAGGAACTCGAGCGAGAGCTTGTCTTCGGAGGACAGGGCTTCCTCGCCCACGACGGCCTTCATGGACGCCGCGTCTCGCCCGATGGCGTATTTGGCGTACAACTGGTTGGACACGTCGCCGTGGTCGCGGCGCGTGCGGCCTTCGCCGATGGCGGACTTCATCAGTCGGGAGAGGGACGGGAGCACGTTGATGGGTGGGTAGATGCCCTTGTTGTGCAGTTGGCGGTCGATGAAGATTTGCCCTTCGGTGATGTAGCCTGTCAGGTCGGGGATCGGGTGGGTGATGTCTGTAGTTCAGTAGTGTCAGCACGCTGTGTATTACAAGGGGTTGAAGCTCGGGTCTGGGGCGCAGGGAACCGTACCGTCGTTCGGCATGGACAGGATAGGGATCTGGGTGATGGAGCCGTTGCGGCCTTCGACTCGACCGGCACGCTCGTAGATCGTCGACAAGTCAGTGTACATGTAACCGGGATAGCCGCGGCGACCGGGCACTTCTTCTCTGGCGGCAGAGACTTCTCGGAGGGCGTCGCAGTAAGAGGAAAGATCTGTGAGGATGACTAGGACATGCTTCTCGAGCTGGTATGCGTAGTACTCGGCGGTCGTGAGTGCAAGACGCGGTGTGATGATACGCTCGATGCTGCGAGGGGTGAGCATGAGGGTCAAGCAGAATGATTGGCCTTGCTGCACTTACGTCGGGTCGTTCGCCAAGTTCAAAAACAGGGTCACACGCTCCATACTGCCATTCTCTTCGAAGTCGCGGGTAAAGAATCTGCTAGTCTCCAAGTTGACACCCATAGCGCCGAAGACGATGGAGAAGTTCTCCTCGTGCCCGTCGTGTACGCCCTTTGTAGGCTTACCAACCAGACCGGCTTGACGACAAATCTGCGCGGCAATTTCGTTGTGTGGGAGACCTGCTGCGGAGAAGATGGGGATCTTCTGCCCACGCGCGATCGAGTTCATGGTGTCGATGGCGGAAATACCAGTCGAGATCATTTCTTCGGGATACACCTGCAGACGATTAGCGTCCATCTTCCCCTACAAAGCCGGATTGGCATACCCTTGAATAGGGATTGATGGGACTACCGTTGATATCAAGATAGTCCTCCGCAAGCACCTTCGGCCCCTTGTCTATCGCACGGCCTGATCCATCGAAGATACGCCCCAGCATGTCCTCGGAGACACCGAGCTTGAGATTGTGGCCGGTAAACTCGACTGTAGTCTACTCGTCTTAGCGGAGCCTTAGGGACACAGTGCCAGCGTTGGGTGCGCACCTTCTTGACGTCGATACCCGTTGTACCTTCGAACACCTGCCGCTTCGTCAGCCCCGCTCTTCCGTTCTGCGTGATTCGGACACTACTATACCTGGACAACGGCACGGTTGCCTTTGCGAACAATTTATTAGCTAGAGGGCCCTTATACTCCTATAGCTTTGTCCTCGTACCTCTTGCTTCCAAGACTTGGCCAGCCCGTTCGGAGCCATCAGGTAGCGTCAATGATACGATTTCGTTATACCGAGGGAACTTGACCTGCAGCGCCTTCGCATAAGTAACGGTGCACCCAAACAAACAGCACTTCACTACTGACATTCTCTAGAATGACCAGTGGTCCGTTGACGCCGCCGATAGTGTTGTATCGTATCCTGGGGTGGATGGACACCATGCGGTGGTCCATCTCGGCGGAGGGCGCCATTCTCTGGCGGCTCTCGGGAGGGCGGGGCAAAGGACTTGCTGAAGTCACTCAAGAGGGAATGTTTGAGGTATATGAGGACCGTGGCGGTGAACTGCTGGACTGTCGATAAGCAGCTGCTCGGTCGAGTTCGGGAAGCTTGAGGTTGCTGATGCCGTCACGCACAGAGCTCCCGCTTGGTCACGTGGCTCGATAAGGCGGTGGGGCCTCAAGAACCGGTAGAAGCACCGAAGGTGTGAATGAACTGTACCAAGTCGCGGTAAAGCACAAGCTGTGATGCTTACCTGCCTTCGTCTCAGGAATTGGGTTGTGCAGCTAAGCTGGCGCGAATCATGTGTTTGCTTCCACAAGCGGCCAGGCGGGGTGGCATGCAGCAATATCACGAAGCAAGCAATGAATTTGAGCACATAATGAGAGCAAGGCGGGATCAAGCCACGAGTAATCATGGAAACAGTATACGTTTGTATTCAAACACCGCCTATCGCGTATTGCTACCTAGTTCTTCTAAGCGCCCAAGCGGTGCAGTTTGCGAGATGCCTGCAGGTTACTACCTAACGTTAGCGTAGAACCAGAACGATTGAGCTGATACTAAGCGGAACGAAGAAGTCGATCAGACATCCAAGGAAGATTTGGCCCTCACTGACCACCTAAGATAGGTTCAAACGGTGGCTAGGGTGAAAACTGCGAATGTGGAACATGTTTCATCATAGAAGACCTGTAAGGCATTGCAAATACTGAAGAAATGGTACTGACCAAGGGATTCCTCACGCAGACGGTAGTATTGGCGCTGTGCCAAAGATTAGTGTTGTCTTGATATTACCGCGACTGTATACAGGGCTGTGGTCCTTCTTTCCGTCGTCTGCGATGACCGTTGGTAATATTCGGCCTACTTCACTCATCGCGTACGGAGTAGCGACGAAGTCGGGCGGTGCATGGGACAACGTCCCGGACGGCGAAGCACAGCGTCTATGCGGAGCTAAACCGAGTTCATCATGGGCTTGGGCAATTCAACGAGGCAGTCGGCGGTAAAGGCGCTACTCTTTCTGGGTCTAAACAGCTTTGCGTGGTCAGTGAAGCTCATCGCAGGTGTTTACTGGATCCAATAGTAAAGTTACAAGGGATCAGACAAGGTGTACTGGCAAGTAGCGGGTCATCGGAGGATGAACCCGGAAAGACTGATTTCTTCAAGGTCGACTCAGCTGGGAAAAGAAGACATGTTCTGAAGTTGTCATCATCGAAGGAGGGCGTGAAAGGGATTAGGAGTGAGAGCTCGCAACTTACCAGATTGCGTGCTGGAGGCCCGCAGCCACACCACAACGCGACATGTTGCATGAAGCGCGTGCCGAGGACCTCCAAGCCTCCTGCCGGAGCCTGCAGCGCGAATGAATACATTCGGTTGAGCCCGGAAGGAGTGCGCAGCTTCGAAGAAGGTATGCTGAGCTGTTGGGAAACGGGATGAGGTTTCGAGCTGAGCGGTGGAAAAAGTTTCTTAAGGAGCGGGCCGGTTCGCTAGCCGGTCACGTGCACGGCGTTTCGTCGATTGGACAGCCCTAGCGGAAGACGTGCAGTGAGACGGAAGGACAACTGCTCTACAACCCCCTTTGCACCACCGACGAACTTTCGCCATTAACGCCCTCCGCACTGCTCTGCTACCGCCTCGACCCTCTTTCTGGCTCCCTAACCGACCCACGACCCACGATATCCATTGTGCCGCCGTCACGCCTCTTAGAGCCGAAATCCGATCCCGCGTTCCACCGACTCATGCGCGATATACAAGCTCACTTCTTTGCGCGATAATCTCGCCCCGACCGTCGTCCTAGTTTTTCTGAACGTGCGCATTGTGTGCGGCGTCGCGATATTCGAGTCCGCTGGTATTGGGCGCTTTGGCTTGCACGTCAGTCAGCCTGCCGGATTCGCCGCTCCGCAAGTGCGCCAGGCGCGAATTACCGCCTCTTAGACAGAAAGACTGGCAGGAAGGAAATCGCCGTTGATTCGGAGGCGCTGAAAAAGCGGAGGGACTCCACCTAGAGGAGCCATCCGTTTGTCGCATCCTGGCTGAAGCCGCTCCCGCCGTTTCGCGACACCTGGATATCTCGCCGATGACCTATACGCGCGCATCCGGGGCAGAAAGACACCTCTTCTCAAACCACTGGGAGCACTCGGACTATTCTTCCTGGCCGCTCGTGGTACGACGCAGATAACAGGGCCGCACGGGCGCGGAGGGAGGATTCGAGCATAGGACGGACAAGGGGTTGTAGAAGGTCATTCGGCACAACCCGGCAAAATGATGGCCGCCTTTCCTCCCCATCCTGGCGGCATGCAGCATCCGGGGATGCCGCACGGCCAGCCGATGGGACCCGGACAGGGACCAAACCCTGGCCAGCCTATGGGGCAACCGATGCAGATGCATCCGGGAGTGTCAGGGCCGAACGGACCACACGTCACACAGGCAGGACCGATGATGGCAGGAATGCCGCCAGGTATCGGAGGGGCAGGACCTGGGGGACCGAGTGCGCACGCAATGTCGCATTTAGCTCCGCAGCATTTCCTCCAGCAACAGCATCAGATGCAGGCACGTAAGTACAGCTTTCTTTCTTTTCGCGTAGAGCCCCATAGAAACCCTTAGTTCCATCCGGAATTTCGGATAAGCAAGATGTTCGGCCAACTTTGGATGAAACCACCGTGGCCGCTTTCGGCAAGGGGGACGGGCCGAACCGAGCCTCAGAATTCCAGGCGCGTAGCAGCAGCATCATGATCCAACAATCCCCTTGCATGTACTTGGTGGAGCCTTCATACATACTCAGCCGCGATAGTGGTCATTCAACTGTAGACAACCACCGCACAAGCGATACTCCTGTTAGGAAGCCTCTCACTCTGGATATGTGCTCCGCAAATACTCCAAAAGAGCACAGTCACGGCAATCCTTGACGAAGATCACCCTTCGTACGCCCTGGTGGCTACATCTCATTCCGAGCGAAGCCCGGCTTTCGCTGGCTGTTCGGATACATTCACATCAAGAGGCGCTGCCAAACTTCGCTTAGGACATGGCAAACCAAACGAAAGTACCGGCAGTATACACGTTACCGGCGCGGATCTAGGACGCCTCCTGGCATTCCTGCTACCACGTGACATTTGTCGTCCCTCAAACCATGGACTCACTTAGTCGCCGCATGCTAGCATCATGACGCGTAAGGAAAATCGAGAATTGCGAACCGCCAACACAAGAGGACGAAAGAGCCCCTGCCTGGAAGTGACCCTGGCATTTTGTCCCTCTGTATCCTCTATCAGCATCTTCAATGTTGCATCAACGTCCGCGCCCTTGCTATGCTACGCACTGGCATCAGCGCACTCTCCAGGCCGCTATGCGTATTTCAAGGGATATCTCCAATACTCTGCTCACCCAACTCCGTCTCCGCATTTCGACATCGCCTGACATACCGATGGCCACGCTCATTTGGACCACGATATGGCTGTTGCTACTCCGGACGGATTGGCCCTCATGGCGCGGCTCCTGCGCCGAACGTAAAGGAACGCAACTACGACTTTTTTCTGGAAAATTCCCAACTGGTGGAATATACTCCAAGCCATAAGCATACCCATGGCAAGCTGGCGCCACCTAAAGCGATCAGCTGGAGCAGAAATCGTAATACGGACATGAATGCAGACCACAAAGCTTCTGGAAGGACGAAAGACCGCAATCAACAGTACTTTCGCAGCTCAGTCAGCGGACAGCAAAGCGGCATTACTTCCAGTCTGGGGATTATCACCGAACAAGTGGACTTTGCAGTATGAGCTACATGGAATCTCCAATGGTGCACTTTCTTAATGTGTATGGACGTCACAAGCAGTTCTTTACTAATCGTCAATGCTTCGTGCCATTAGTTGCCAGTAACCCTCAACTTGCTATGCATCAACATCGACACCAACAACAACTCCTCGCGCAGCGGCAACAGATGCTTCAGCAGCAGCAAAACGGCATGGGGATGCGATTCCCGAACGGTGCAAATCCTGCTTTCGCAGCCCAGCAGATGGCAGCAATGCAGGCCAACAATCCGCAGCACTTCTCGTCGGTACAACTCACACCCCATCTCCAGCAACGATTACAAGAACAGCATATGGTATCGCAGCAACAAGTTCAAGCACAGCAGCAAGCGCAACAAAACAGCATGGCTCAGCATCTTGCGATGCAGGCGGGCGCTTCGCAGTCCAGTAATCCAGGTCAGCAGAACACCCAAGGTCAACAGACACAACAACCTGTTGGCCAGCAAGGGCAGATGCAACCCCGGCCTCAAATGCGGCAGGGCAACGGTGACCCGCAAGCATCGCCGGCGCAACCTCAGAATGCACAGCAAGCCCAACAGCAAACGCAACCCCAGGGTCCGCAGGGTCAGCCGCAGCAGCAGGGTCAGCAGCAACAGAACGCTGCTCAACAGCAGCAGCAGCAGCAACATGAACAAATGCAACAGCAAGCTCAGCAACAGCATCAGCAGCAAGCCCTGGCCCAACGAGCAGCGATGATGCGCGCACAACAGGCACAGCAGGCACAGCAGGCACAACAAGCACAACAGGCACAAAACAAAATTCAGGGTCAAGCAATCTTGCGGCTGCTGTCGTTCTCGGATCATCTAAGCAGATTCTCAGTAAGCTGAACGGATGGCATAGGGGGAAATCTCACTGACACTCCTCAGGCGAAGCAGAATGGTGCCAACAACGTAGGATACTGGCAGCAATTCGTCAGCGATTTCTTCGCGGACGATAGCGTGTTCAAACTCACGGTTCGGGAATCGAACGACGCCGCGGCCAAATCCAAGCAGTTTGCCGTCGGCTATGCCAGTTTAGCTCGCTACTATACTACGCACTTTGAGAGCGGAGTGGATAACATCCAGCTTATCTTAGACGGTGCTAACGAAGTTGAACTGGCGGCGGGCAACGGTCATCTGGTCAATATACAAAGAGCGAAGTTCATTTACTGGTTCCAAGATGGCACGCAGGTAAGTTACAAAGACGGTCTTGATAGACAAGGCACTAACACCGAATTCAGTTAGTCTGTAGCGGCAAGCTCGAGGTCGTTTTCGAGAGTCTGATGATCAGTAGCCTGGGATTCGTCACACTCGAACACAAAACATACTTTAGCAGGTCACGAATAGAGCAACTGTTCGCACAAGACTCGCCGAGTCAGATCAAATCACCTCGGATGAACAGGGCTGCTGGCAACAAACAACGCGCTCAACAGCGGCAACAGCAACAGCAACAGCAGCAGTCTGAGCCCTATATAACGATCTTGGACGTACCAAAGGAGCCTATAGGCCCCTGGGGGATTACGGAGCAAGTCTTCACATTCTTAGAGGTATGCCCTCTCACGCCATCGGTGTGTCGGGACTGGAACCGTTGCCAAACATAACTCTGCACTGAACAACTCGAGCAGTTGCTGACCGTTCCCCCCTAGATCGGCGAGACTATGAACCAGATGCAAGATCTCATCGGCCACTCCGTCCTCCACCCGGAAATGACACCCGCAGAAGCACTGGACGACCTCGTCAACCAGTACATCCTAATGAGCTCCCAACCGCCTCAGCCAAACCACTTCCAGCAAACATCTCAGCAGCAACAAATGCAGCACCAAATGCAGCAACCGATGCAACACCCCCAACTGACCCTCCCTCCCAACGGCATCCCCCAGCAACCCCTCCCGCCCGGCGCCCGAACCCCGAGCGCACAAGGCCCCTCGGGCCCCATGGCCCCGCAAATGCAGGCCCAATTCCTGTCGCCCGCGATGCAGAATCCCAACCTGCCGCTGAACCCAGCCGCCATGAACGGGTCGCCGCATCTGCAAGGCGGGATGCAGCATACGCCCAGCCCGGCGCAGGTGCACATGCAGGCGCCCGGGATGGTGGCGCAGCGGAGCCAGCAGGGGAACACTGTCAACGGGGCCAGCGCGGCGGCGAGCGCGAACACGAGCCCGAATGCTACGAACAAGAGAAGACGGGCGAGTGCGGTGAAGGTTGAGGGGGATGAAGGAGGCGGGGTCCAGCCGAAGGTTAAGCAGAGCCCGAGGGTGGGGGGAAATAAGAGGATCAAGGGACAGGGGTGAGGCGGGCCTGTGAGGTCCGGAGAAGTGGGAAAGGGCGCGAGAGGAGAGCCGTCGGCGCTTTAGAGGAGGCGGGTAAAAGACATGCCGCCGGCCGAATGCTGGATCGAGGGCTGGCTGAGATGCTCGTGACGGGGGGGTTTCGCGTGCAGGAACCAGGTTCACGACATTCCACCACGGCCTCCGTCGCCGGTCCTCGGCCCCTAAAGCAACACGGCTTGCGGCTCGGGGATGTTTATGGTTCACGTTCTCTTAACGATATTTTCTTCTTTTGGTTCGGGTTTGAGTACAGGTGCACCGCTCTCATCGTCAGCAAGGCGTTTTGTATGCCGTTTCGAGGCAGTCGGGGGTCACGGCATTGGAGCTGCTTTCGTATTGCTTCTTCGCGGGTTATGGAGTTCTCGCACATATCATTTAGTTGCGATATAATGTTCTTAGTCTCTGTCGAGTGTAAAGTATCATCACTGTTTCGATGAGCTGTAGAGAATCGGCGTCCGCACTCGAACATGCACGTGGCTGCGCGGCAGGGTGCCCATGGTTGCAAGACATGGAACACGAATAAAACTGAAGACCACGACTGCGCCGAGCAATTGCACGCAACGTAATCGCCTGTAAGAATTTATCCATAGCTCGTTCGATGCTCGCAATGATATGTCTCCCTTGTAGATATCACGATCTCCACCAAGCCGTGATTCGGCTTTTCCTTCTTCGCTCAGTGTCTCCCAGTCCCATGAGAGCATTTCACAATATTCTGCTCCCACGGACTCCATCGGCGTCGCCCCCAAACCAAAGAGCGGTCTGCCACACTGTTGTGCTCACCGGCTGAAAGCAGTCTGGTAGTATTGCCTACCACTTTGCGCTCATAGTATGCCCTCAACACCCATGTCACCTTCGAAACCGTAACCCTGCAGCTTCCTCGTCCGGACCTTTTCTTTCCTCTTGCGCTCCTCCATCTCCTTCTTCTGCAGTGCAAAGACTTCTTCGACGGGCGCTTGTTGGTACGGTTCGGGGATGTCGTCGTCTCGGTCTAGGTCCTGGATGGGGCCATGCTGCATTAGCGCTTCGCTCCTCGAAGGACAGCCGGGTGAGCTGGATCGCGATGCGGCTTCGGCATTCGGGCGGAGGAGCAGGAAGCAGAACGTACGATTTCACCGAGCAAGAGGACGTTCTCCCCGCGCACGAGAAAGACGCCCCTGTTGATATCCGCGTAGAGGTTCTGCACATAGATGCGCTCCGTCGTGTCCTGAAGAACCAGATTCGCTGCCCCACCCCATCCATGTCAGCCCTCGCCCCCAGTGCTGTTCCCTCGTTCTCGGCAATCGGCCTACCAAACTGGTCCCAGCTCCTCAGCACACCGATGAGCTTCCGCCCGTCTCGCAGCGCGACCAGCAGCTTCTCTGCTCAGGGCGAAGGGCTCGTGGTCAGCCTTCGCTTCATCAGACTGTGTCGCTTATAGGTTTGTGTGGTAGGACTCACTGTCTGTTAAATCGAGCAGCTGGGCGGCGGTCGTGAACATCTGGGGTGGGAGCTGGGGGATCATTTGCGGGAGTTGTGGTGGTTGATCGCCTGGTGGAGGCGGGTCGTGGAGGGAGAGGTTCTCCATGGCTGTGGAGGAAGGGAAACAAAAGAGGGAAGGCTTGTCAGCGCCAATCCATGGCAGTAGAAGAAGACTGAATGGTGTTGTTGGAGCTCGATGTCATGATGCTTGATGTCTTGGCGTTCCGGGCTCGAGATGGGCCGGAGGCATGTTTATCCGGCATTCTTCACGTCTTCGAGGAGCGGAGTAGGATTGAAGACAGTGTCCGGAAGTCGTATCCAATGCGCACACAAGTGGTTACAGTATCCGAGAATGTATCTATCTATACTGGCTTCGTTCATCTTACTTTTGCATTGTGTGTCCAACCCAAACTTAACGCTGACGCAGATCAACCGCACACTCATGCTAACTTGCACATGCTGCGAAGTTCTGCGTGATCCGAGTTTGAACCAACGGTTGATGCTCTCTGCGGTATAGGAGGTAAAGATAGCAGTGTGGCAACAATACAGGATATTCAGACCGAGACTTGAAGCCAGAGAGAGGACAACTCTCAATCCCCTCAGCGCTGATGGTCTTCGTTGGAGCTGCTGCGAAATTCTTAGTGTATCAATATTGTAGATGTTGTTACTGGTACACGTATTTTACATATACTAGCCTATCACTGTGTGCTTGCACAGGACCGTGCATCTATCTACTCTGTTAGCTCGGGCTCGGCATACGACACCTTCGCTTTGCCTGCCCTGCCGCTTTTTCTTGCGCCGGCCGTAGCCTTTGCCGCAGGCTTCACCGGCACCGCATCGTCTTCGTCACTCAAACCCGACGGCTCAGACGCATCCTCTTCCTCGTTGCTGGTGCTCGGTGTCGGCGCAGCCTTTACTTCCTTTTTCTTCCTCTCCTTTGCAGGCGCTGCCTTTGTCTTCTTCTTCGCTGGCGTAGCAGCACCATTCACGCTTCCATCCGCGTCCTCAAGCTTTACAGCGGCCTCCTCGGCTTCCGCCGCAGAATGCCCCGCCGCCTCGATTTCCGCGATAGCTTTCCTCGCCCTCTTTTGCGCTGGCGTAAGCTTCATACCCTTGCTTTCCGCCAGGTCCGCCGCAGCCGCCGTGCGTTTAATCGCCGGCGTCATGACCTTCGGCCCGTCCGGCTCCGGCGCCTTTTCCTTTTTCGTGACCTCCCTCTTCTTCGGCCTTAGCCAGTCCTCCATCCCCGGCGGCCAGTAAACCCGCCCCTCCGGCCCGCCCATCCCGACTTCCTCCTCCGGAATTGGCTTCGATTCCACCGCCGCCTCCGCTTCTGCTTCCAAGGCGTCTTCGGCGGCAGACAGCGCGTCCTCGTCGTCCTTGACCTTCTTCTTGCCCTTCGCCTTCTTGGGCGTGGCTTTCTTCGGCCGGCTCTGCTGCTGCGCATACGCCTTGTTGTCATCATTGCGCACATGCGGGATCACGTCGTTGAAGCTGTCGAAGCCCGGAAGCTTGAAGTTGCGCATCAGCTCGAAAACAGCTTGTTCCTTGTCCTTGGCCTCGATCATGAGATCCATGTCCTGCGCGCACGGCGGCAGCGTCGCGACGCGCGGACTGTGCTTTCTCCGCTGCATCGGCGTGATGGCCGCGGGAGTGGGCTCGGAGTAGTGCATCTTCTGCTTGATGTTCTTGCGGGTCCAGGTCTTGCTGATCCGTGGATACAACTCCATGATGTCCTTGGTGCCCTCCCGGATCTGTGTCTTGTCGAAGATAATGTTGTGGTGGTGGTAGTCGAGCACGAGGGGGATGTTGAGCTCCTCGCAGACGGGGAGGAGCTCATGCACGCTCCAGGAGACGTCGTCGTTTTCGAGCACGAGGCGCGCTTTGATAGACGGGGAGAGTTTGGCGTAGTTTTCGCGGAAGCGGTCGAGGGTTGCGGCTTTGTCGCCGAAGACGCCGCCCATGTGCATTATCATGACGGCATCGCGGTTCTGTTGTGGGGGGAGTTCGAGGAGCGAGAGCATCTCATCGTGGTATTCGAGGTCACGGAATGCGCCTTCGATGACGGACTTGCGGGGGGAGCCGAGTTGTGTGAACTGGTGGTTGTCAGCTGCGTGCCCTTCAAGCGGACGAAAGGGATAAAAGCATACCTGTCCCGGATGCGTCGTAACCCGATGCCCCAGCTCCGCGACCACCTTCCCGACCTCCGCCAGCACCTCAGCAGCGAAGGGCTCAAGCTTGTACCCATACTCATCGTGGCTCGCAAACGGAAACATCTCGGAACTCAACCTCATAAACCTGATCCCGTACCGCTCATTCCACCGCAACATCTTCACCAAATCCCGCGCGTTTGCAAGTCCGATCTCCTCAACGTACTTTTGCCCCCTTACCACATCAGCAGGCTTCTCCTTATCCGGCCGATTCTTTGTCGCGTGCTCCGGCTGCGAAGGATCGCGTAGGGGATGCCTATGCTCAATTATGGACGCGATCCGGCAGGTGCGGGAGGAAAAGACCGGCGGGGTCGAGAAGCGCAGATACGTGTTCAGGCACGCGTATCCTATCCGGCCTTTCCAGGGCAGAGGCAGGTAATCTGAGTTTACGGGCGGGGGACGGCTGAGCGCTTGCTTGAGCTCTTCTTCATCGGCTTCACCGTTTTCTGCATCTTCGGCTTCTGGATCACCGGCCATGCCCTCGTCGGCCTTAGCGCTTGCTTTTGTGGGGGCTTTCTTGGGCGTTGTGGCATTGGCGGCTTGCACCGCGCCGTTGACCTGCGGTTTGGCCTTGTCTTGTTTGGCGGGTGCTACGCGCTGTTTCTTCTTGGCTGGTGATGGTTGCGGCTCCGGCTCTTCTGATAGCGAGGACAAATCGCTCTCGTCACCCTTTGCTACCTGCCCCGGCGTGATTCTCATGTCGATATCGCTGTCCGGCGAGGCGCGTAACGCATCTGGTGCGTCTAATATCTCCTCATTCTGCTGTGGATTAGTCGACTCATTAATCTTCGCCGCCGCCCGCGCGGAGGCTCGCCGCTTTGGGGGCATTGAAGGCGGTGGTGCTGCGGAGGCCGCGTCGGTAGGTAGGGGTATCGGGCGCTTCGTTCGAGCTGGTGCAGGAGCGGCGAGGCCTGCGGCGGAGGCTTTGCGTTTGGGCGGCATGGTGGATAGAATGTTTAGCAGAGGACGAGTACAGCCATGTAATACAGATGGTCTTGCTGATGCAACGAGTCGCGGGCTGATCAGACGGACGGAGGAGAGCATGAAAATTCAGGCAGGGAATAGGGAGTGTGAGGCGGAGGAGGCTGGATAAGTTAGGCGTCTGCATCCCTGAAGGAGAGGCTAACTTTAGCCATGGTGGTGCTCCAAGGCTCCAAAGGGTCGATGAGCTCAGTGGCTGCGGATCCCTGTCTCCCGCCCTGCATGCCTGGATCTCGGGAAGAGATCTGGCGGAGAAATGAAGCGCCGTCCCGCCTCACTGCTTGGCCTTTGCTCGCTCTCGCATGACTCGCTGAAGGATGCCATTCGTATCGAGATCGAATTAGTTAACTACTCTCTCTACTCCAGGTGTGTAGAGAGTGGGAAATGCGCCTGGCCTGTTCATGCTCGCCTCAAGGCACTTCTCCGTGCCACGCCTACACTCCGCGGCACCGGTGATCCACAATATATAGTAGAAGAGTCCTCTCCCATGTTGTTGATCAATAGTAGCCCTCCTTCTGCTCTTGCAAGCTTTTTGCTTCGTCCATATCGATCTCGCGTGAATCCATTCTCGAGGATCTCTCTAGGTGCTCGAATCTCAGCCCATCACTCCAAGCGTCTCTTACGAGTCAGCAGTCGTCCCTCGGCAGATTCCCCGTGGGGTAAGGCGAGTGGGGATCGACGCTGCATGCTACAGCCGAGGATGGCTAAAGGCTTCCGCAAGCAATATGGATCTGTTCAGGTGTAGCTCAGCTTTAGCTCAGCTCTGGAGAGCTGTCTGATAGTACTAGAAGCTCGCCGCGTGTGACGTTTCCCACGCAATGAGAGCGTTCTCCCAATCATGACCACCATTGCGGAGACCTTGCCCAGCGGCGAGACGATATACCGCTGTCCAGAAAGCCAGCCGGTGCCCAATGTCGACATCTTAACATTGCTCTTCGGCAAGCGCTTCGAGGCCAGCACTCCCGAAGGCTTAGACTAACTCAGCAACAGACAGCGATTTGTGCTCCGCTCAAGAAGACACTGTCATCCACGCTTCCGCGGCCAATCCCTCGCATTGCTATACCAAGGCCCAAGCCCGCACCCTCACCCAACGCACTGCCCACGTCCTCCGAAACCGCTATGGCATCGGGGCAAGCGGACCAAGCAAGGATGTCGTGTCGTGCATCAACACCGGGACGCACTTTGTGCCCATCCTCTTCTATGCCGTTGTAGCAGCAGGCGGCGTGTTCAGTGCTGCGTCCTCGGCGAGTACACCTCCTGAGCTCGCGAGGACGTTGGAGATGGGGGAAAGTAGACTCCTGGTGTGTACTGAGGATCTGAGGGACGTGGCTCTGAAGGCGGCGAAGGACGCTGGGCTGGGAGAGGACAAGGTGCTCGTAATGGGAAGCAGCGAGGAAGGGCAGTGGGGTCTGAGGGGTGCACGCGACTTGAAAGATGTTCCTATCAGCGAAAAGAAGCTAGACTGGCCCAGGATCACCGACCAGAAAGAGCTCGAAGATAGCCTCATAGTGCTAATCTACTCAAGCGGCACCACCGGTCTCCCAAAGGGTGCGTCAACTCTTGTCCCCCTCTCACGGCGTCGCAGCCTCTCGCTCACCATCTCAGCTAGGCGTCCGACTCTCCCACACAAACCTCGTCGCCGAGACTATCATAACCCTAGAGCCCCTCAAAGCCCACATGCGAGCGCACAACCCCTCCTTCGAATACCGCACCCTCGCCCACTTACCCACGGCCCATATCGCCGGGATCCAAGGCTACCTAATCAACCCCTTCTTTATGGGCGGCCCGGCGTACTGGATGCCGCGGTTCGACTTCGTCCAGTTCCTCGAGTACAACAAAAGATACCGCGTCACGTTCTTCTTCACCGTACCGCCCATCTACCTCCTCATCGCCAAGTCGCCGCTCGTGACGGACCAGTTTGACACCTGCGAGTTTGCGGTTAGTGGGGCGGCGCCGTTAGGGAAGGAGCTCCAGCACGCGGCGTCTGCGAAGCTAGGCAAAGGCAAGATGATGATTTCGCAGACGTGGGGTCTTAGTGAGACGACGGGGTCGATTACGCTCTTGCCGCATGGGAGACAGGACGATACGGGGAGTGTCAGCTGTCTGGTTCCGAATGCCATTGCGCGGTAAGTCTGCGTGTGCGTATAATTCCGGCACTAGCCACATCGCTCGTGATCATACACGAGCCCGTCAGCTAACACATACGGCAGCATAGTGGACGACGAAGGCAAAGACGTTCCAGTCGGCCAGCCGGGCGAAGTCATCGTCAAGGCTCCTATAGTAACTAAGGGCTACCACAAGAACCCCGAAGCCAACAAAGAGGCGTTCACCGATGGGTGGTTCCGCACAGGTGACATTGCCCTGTTCAAGGATGGCATGTTCTACATCGTCGACCGCAAGAAGGTTCGTTTCGTCCGGGGCAAGCCCGAACCCTGCGAGATGCAAAAGCCGTCAGCAGCGCTAACACGCCACAGGAACTCATCAAGTACAAAGGCCTCCAAGTCGCGCCCGCGGAGCTGGAGGCGCTGCTCTTGTCCCATCCACTCATCCTGGACGCGGCGGTGATTGGCGTCGAGGCGGAGGAGACAGAGGTGCCGAGGGCGTATGTCGTTGCTGATAGGCAGAAGATGCCGCCGGAGAAGATTGAGGCGTTTGTGGGGGCCAATGTTGCGGATTACAAGAGGCTGAGAGGAGGAGTCGTATATCTGGATGCGATTCCGAAGAGTCCGAGTGGGAAGATCTTGAGGAAGGATTTGAGGGAGATGGCGAGGAGGGAGGGAAGGGCGAAGTTGTAGAAGATAGATGTTTGATACGTCGCTTGTGTTTGAGCCAGGAAGTCCCGCGAGGTTCGAGGATTGTGGAAACAAACGTTTTGGTGCATGCAGCAATGACCCCTCTGCATCTAAACAACCTCAATAGACCCTCATAGAACCTTCTGACGCAGCAGAATCGCCGCTCCTCTGTGGCACTCCACCAAGAACGCCTCTAACACCTTGTGGGTGACCCAATACAGCTCTACGAATCTTGCATCTCCTCCTGCCCCTTCGTCCCCGGCACCTTCTCATCCGTCTTAAAGACCACTTGCATGGCCTCCTCCAGTATCCGCATCCCCTGCTCGATCTCCTCCTCACTAATCACCAACGGCGGCACAAACCTCAGCGTATTCGTCCCGCACGTAATAACCAACAACCCACGCTCCCTTGCCGCGGTAACCACCGGCGTCGGATCTCTACTCAGCTGCAATCCCAAAATCAGACCACGGCCCCTAACCTCCGTCACGACCTCTGGAAAGCGCCGCCGCAGCCTCTCAAACCCCTTCCGAAACACCTTCTCCTTCGCCAGCACGCCCCTCTGCAGTTCCGGCTCGCACAACCTAGAGAGTACATAATGCGCGACCCTGCACGCCAGCGGGTTGCCCCCAAACGTCGTCCCATGGTCCCCCGTCACGATCTTGCTCGCCACGCTCTCACTCACAATCGTCGCGCCGATGGGGAACCCGTTGCCGAGCGCCTTGGCCGTGGTCAGGACATCCGGATGCGCTTCCTTCGGCAATGCCGCATGCGCCCACAGCTGCCCCGTCCGCGACAGCCCGCACTGTATCTCGTCGTAGATGAGCACGGCGCCGACGTCGTTGCAGCGGCGGCGCAGCGCGAGGAGGAAATCCGGGGAAGCGACGTTGACGCCGCCTTCGCCCTGTATGGGCTCTATGATAACCCCACACGTCTTCTCCGTCACCAACTCGTTTATCGAGCCAATGTCGTTGTAGGTCCCGTATCGGAATCCCGGCAGCATCGGCGCGAAGGGTTTCTGGTATTTCGGGTTCGGCGTCGCGGAGAGCGAGCCCATGGTGCGGCCGTGGAAGGAGTTGTGGAAGGAAACGATCTCGTGTTTGGAGCCCGAGGGGTCGAGGGTCTTGCCGACTTTGCGCGAGAACTTTAGGGCTGCTTCGTTGGCTTCGGAACCGGAGTTGCAGATGAAGACCCGGCTGGCGCTGTGCATGCCGCCAGAGGAGGTGGTCTTGTCGATTAGGAGCTTGGAGAGGGAGCCCGTCCAGGGGTTGTGGTAGAGGTTGGAGGTGTGGACGAGGGTTTGGGCCTGTGTTTGGTTGTCAGCATGACCGCTGCGTTATCCAGACTCTTCAGATAGTGTACCTGCTGGTACAGGAGCTTCGCCATCTCGGGATCGCCGTGACCGAGCGCATTGACAGCGATGCCGGCTGTGAAGTCTAGGTACCGGCGGTTCTCAATATCCCAGAGGTAGCAGCCTTCTCCCCTGTGGAACATTGGCGGCGGACGGACATAGGTCGGGACCATGTAAGGCATCTGATCGTTTACTAGTCGGGCAGTTTGGGAGTCAGCGGGTGGGTCGGGCGTGGGCAAGGAGGCTTCTTTCTGGTAATCGAGAGTCAATTGGTTGCTTTCAAGCAGTATATAGTCATGAGGTACCTCAATGGCATTCTTGACGCTGTCGGGTAGACTTGAGGCTGCTGTCGCTGAAGAGGCATATCGACTCTGAATGAAACTCGCGGTTGACCTTGGTTTGGTAGCGCCCAGCGCTGCGCAAACACGCTTGGAGGAGATCCTGAGGGCCATAGTAACACCAACAATAAAGGAATTCAACGGGGTATCTCAGATCGGCTGGGAGCACAGTGGGAGTCAATCTTTAAGTAGTGGATGGAAAAGATGATGCATGACTGGATGTAAATTCTGATATCGATAAGCGCTCCGAATTGCGGAGGTCGAGCTCGACATCAAGGGTGAGTCAAAAAGGTCGTCGCCGCATCGAAAGCAGGAGAGCAGTTCCTAGCTTTAAATTGTCTTAGCAGTGTTAGTACTCTCGCGCACCAATCACCTAAGTAACTCGCAATTTTCTATCGCATAGAACCGATCTAGTTCCTCCACGCTTGGAAGGATTCCAAGTCCAGCTCAATCGTGACTTGGTCTCGAGAACGATCGCGGCTACAATGCGGCAACGGCCTTTCTGGACGGCCAATGCACCTTAACTTGAGGCTCCGTTACCTCCCATCCCATACAACACAACCTCTTCAAGCTCTACGACTACAAAGTAGTGTGTCCCTGAGCGTGATTGAGTAACGGGCGTGTAAATATATACCCGTTGTGCGTGTATCACACGCTCGTCACGTCTACGGTAGAATTTGTGATAGAGTTCGATTTATCAGCCTAATTCAGTCCCTTCGCTTGACTACAAGCTTCCATTTAACAACACGGAAGTCCTCATATTTCTCGTCTCTTTCCTCTCTCTGCGTTAATCATTCAAGTCCTTTGAACCTCTCGAACTCCATCAATCATGCGAAGGACAACAGTCAACCAGACCGTAATCGGTGACGAGAAATCCTCTCAATCTCCCCGATGTGTAATACTGCGCTTGGAAGCGCCAAATTGCTACGCCAAAGCAAAGGAAAACACGGATCATGTCAGCCGCTTTTTAAAGTACACGCCGATAGTGATAATGAGGAATAAACCCAGAGTTGGCACAGTCTTACCATTCCTGTCACTGGGCTTGCCATTCCGGATTCCCCTTCTAATGTTGGGGCAAATTCGGTTTCCTCGGCCTGAACTTCGCCAACAAAACCGCTACTACCTGCAACAACGGTGATGTGCCCTTCGCCGCCTCTACCGTTTCCCCAATTGGCAAGCCCTCATCTCGGTCCTGCACAATCCTTTAGAGAATGCAAACAAGTACATCCATGTCTCGGCTCGACGCACACCGAGAACATACTCCTCACCCCTGTCGAAAGGCTGCCCGAAGACAATTACGAGGTGAAGCTCGATGGTGAGGATATTATCAAGGTGGGTAGAGAGAAGCTGGCGAGGGCGACTTCTCCGGCGTTGAAGGGTTGATCCGGTAATTTCGTTTGTGGAAGGAGCGCTGGGCGATTTCAGGAGCCCCGGTCTATGGGATGAGAGGTTCGGCCTGAAGCAGGACGATTTGGATAATATCCTCAAGGACGTATTTGGGGGAAGAGCCCGAGAAGGATAACAATGTAATGACACTTTATGTCATCCCAGTGCCAATCGTATGAGTTCTTTCTGGCCTCCTCATTTAGGTGGGGGGTTCGTGGTTTTTCCCAGGTCCCCAGATACGAACACGACCAAGACGGCGGCGTATGCAGCGGTTGCAGCGAACATTTCTCCTCTCTTGGCGTTCGTCAGAAGCCCGACACTGACCGCGAAGAGGACCGTGAAGCCTGAGATCATGCCCAATCTAGCCTCAGAGCTCGTCACGAAGTAAAGGCTCGTGATGGCGCCAATAAGCAGAATGGCGGCAAAGACGACGCTGATGGTTGCAACTGCCCAGACGACGTGATGTTCTGCGAAGTGCCTTGTCCTGTCTCTAGGGTCTGGATAAGCACTACCCTTGAACGAATAGTTAGCTTGGCTCCAGATATTACGGCGATTCAGCCCATACTTGGAGCGGCCAGTGGTCCTGCAAAAAGCGTGATAGTGCGTCATTGTCAACGGGTGGCCGAAGAGCCGCTAGATCTTGCTCGTCGTCGAGCATATGTTGTGCTCGCCCTCCCAAGATAGGCTTTCCTTTGTGCCCATTGCGGAGATGACTCTCTCCACTGAACCAGTTGCGAAATGTGGTAAGAACACGCTTGCTTGGTCTGCCAAGATTCGCGATTTGAGATTGAAGGAGCAATGCTTCATCTAGTTGTCGTTAGTGTGGAGCTGTGTGATGTCGGATTATCTACCCATCCGAACACTACGCGATCTTATACATCACGTCCGAGTTTGGGAGACTGACGGTATTCTTTCAATTTCACTTGCAGTTCTCCCACCAGCTCCATCCTCTTTTTCTCTTCAGGCCGATTCGAATCCTCGGCGTTTCTCGCGAATGTCTCCCATCTCCTAGCCGACTGCTTCAAATCAAAGTCGCGACTTCGCCTCGTCTCTTCGTCAAACTGATCCAGCTTCTCCTCTATACCAGTCAACTGGCTCTGAAGGTTGAGAAGATTGCGAGCACTCAGCCGGTCGAATTTGCGAAAGATGTACGACTCGTTGTCCGGATCACGTGCTATCCAAGCTGCAAGCGCCGGATACCCATCTCGAGGAACTCCAAGTTCGATGTCCGGGGGCCCGGGGGCAGCTGCTGCTTGGTTTTGCATGTTACCATGAATGTCTCTCCCCCATCATTGAGTTTTGGATGTTGAAGCGGATGGAAAGGAGATGAGGCGCTGAGGACACAGCTTCCAGTGCCAGACTGGCGCAGTCTGCATAAACCCGAAACGAGGCGGGGCGTTGCACAGCCCACCTCGCAGCCTTGTTATATTTCATCGCAGCGGTCCTGTTTTGGGATTCTCCATCCACACACCCCCCTCCCCAAACTCATTTGCTTTTTTTCCCCTTCACCGAAAAGCTCTCGCCATATATACCCGAGCAATTCGTGCCCAGCACGGTATGGGACCCTCAAATGAAGCCGGTCAGACTCTTCCTCTCCGGAGACGATGCTAATAGTAGCTGTGTTAGAAAGTCGCGATGACCATAAGCTTACCGCAATTGTCTCGGTACTTCCTGGCTTAAAAGTCCACCATGGAGGAAAACTCCGCTTGTGATCGTCCTGCATGTGAGAACGCTTCAGAAGCTGAGAAAGAAGCAGCCGAAATTGCCTTAGATATCCAAGAAGATGAGCGCCGCAACCTCTTCAGAAATGAAGCCAGCGAGGCTGTCCTAGGATCGAAATCGCCCGACGTGGGCAACCCGTATCAATGGGACCTGAGGTACATCGAGAAGTTGGGTCGACATCTCGGTCGACATAGGCTATCAGTACAGCAACCAGAACTGGCTGCTCTTCGTCTTTTCTTCCCCCTCGCTGTGGCTTCACAACACCCTTACACTAGTACGACATCGAGAAAAAACAACAATGGCGGTAACCTCGAAGAGCCAAGGTACGAATGGGAGATATTAGGCGAACTAAACGGAGTTCCTGTGTCAGCTTTCCCGGACTGCGGCTCGGATCTCGACATATTGTCGGCCAACTTCGTCGCTGAACACGGTCTGCTCATTAACAAGGCTACCAGACATTCAATCAAGCTACCCAACGGGAAGATCATCCGGTCTATTGGGACGGTCTCCTCGCCGTTCGCATTCAAGGATGAGAAAACGACTTATGACCGCGACTTTCACGTGCTCCCTCGCTCCATTCATGACATCGTTCTGGGTCGCTCCTTTCTGAAAGCCACTCAGACTCTCACCAAATTTATGCACCGCCTTAAAAAGAAAGTGGTCGCATGTTCCGGTTTATGGAAACGCCTACGATTGACTGGTTCTCCGCGACAACGGGTGGGCGGGTACCTCCATGGCCAGTGGATCGGCGCTTGTCCTGATACGGGCTCGGACGTTATGGTCATGTCCAGAAGCTATGCGAAGCAACGCGAATTTCATGTCGAAAGACATACTACTTGCTTGGAGTTCCTGGACGGCTCCTTCGCCTACACCGATGGTGTGGTGCGTGGTGTCACGTGGAGCTGGGACGGAGAAGATCAGTCTTTTGAATGTGACTTCCATGTCTTGGACAATCTTCCTTGTCCTGTTGTCTTGAGTAGCGACTTTCTGTTTACTCAGAATGCCTTCTCCGCTTACGAAGAGTCCTTCTACGACGAGCTTGAGCCGGAAGATCTGGAACTCTTCCCGAACGGTTGGGCAGAGCTCTGCTTCATACGCGAGGCACGAAAGGAACACCGATCCCCTTTGCAAGTCCTCCGTGGCGTCTTCCAGAATCGCAGGCCCCAGGGTACGTCGACTCCTTGGTTATCCTTGTGATCTCGTATGTTGAAACTCTCTAACCGCGTCGGCAGTCCAGCCTCTACAGGGCAACAGAGCTGAGGAGTGGGAGGACGAACTTCATCGCCAAAGTGAAGAGGAAGACCGCATTGTGCAGTTGCCTGCACCTGAGCGAGTAGCCGCTTGGGCAGAAGAGCGCCGTGGAAGAGATCAATGGCTGCGTGATCATCCGCCGCTGGCTTACACCGGAGGTCATGCCGTTAACCCAGCTGTCCAACAGCAAATACAAGGCAATAACCCACGGCCGTAGTCTGCTGTCTGTTTAATAGATGGCCTGGAGAGGTGTTGAACAAACTCTATAGGAGATAAAGTACCGGCACAGTCTTAGCATTGGTATAATTGATGACGTCTCAAGAGAGGTCTTGCTTTCTAGCACACTGTCACGTATCACATTTAGCCCACAAAAGAAGGAATCGAAGTGGTCTCCCAAAAATCCGCGCCCTCAACCCGCGTTCTCATGAACTCGCCTCTTAATCAGCCGCTTGATCTCGGCCTTTTGGAAGGATTCAGAAGCGGTATGGACGGCGCAGCCACGGAAGTCTCGTTCATGCATCCACGTATAGATGAACCCATTCTGTGAGGTTCTCTTTGTGTAGAGAGGTTAGAGTATTACGAGTAGGTAGAAAACGGTGTTGGTGCCTGAGGCGCCAAGTAGTCACGTGAGACCCATGCTTCGACCGAACGACAACGGACTATTGTGCCTCTGAACCGAGGTGAAGACCGCATAGAAAGACGCCATAACACCACGTCTGAGGTTTTGGTATTCGCATGACTCTGTCCAGCGAAACCTTCTGAAACACCATCTGCCCGGCTGTATCCAGGCGTGCCAGACTAGTTACAGAGACGCAGGCTCCAACTCGCGCATTTGACATATGATCTTTCCGTTCTGCTCGGTCTAACTAACACTCAAATTCCAACAGCCTCGAGAACTCGTTTGACCATGCAGAAGCTGAGGGTTGGCTTCAGAGGCCAACACTACTGCACCTCCTTTGCTCTCCGAACCTTGCTTCCATCCAGGACTTCGCACACGCCGTCCTCCCACCCCTGCCTGAGCGTCCCCCCCGGCGCCTGGGACAGCCACGTCCACGACATCGACCCCTCCTACCCCACCATCCCCACCGCAGCCTACAAACCCACCCGCTCCCAATCCTACGGCCAAGCCGCCTGGATGACCGCCTTCCGCCCCGTCTACGTCCAGCCCTCCATCTACGGCACCGACAACGCGTGCCAGCTCTCCGCGTTAGAGTCCAAGCAGGGCTGCAAGAGCACGGCCGACGCGCGGGCCGTCGTAGCCTTCGATCCTCGCGACACCGACAGAGACTCGCTGAATGAGTGGCACAGGCTCGGCGTGCGCGGCGTGCGCATAAACCTCAAGTCGGGTGGTGCGCGGCCTTCCCCTACCGAGCTAAGGAGCCTTCTGGGTCGGTACGCGGAAGTCGTTCGGCCGCTAGAGACCGAGGACCATCAGCCGCTAGAGACGTGGGCGCTGCAGCTGTACGTGGAACTTGAGATGGCGGGGGGGCTGGAGGCGCTGGTGCCCAAGTTGGGGGTTAAGGTTGTGCTGGATCATTTTGCGGGGCTTGAGGGTGGAAAGGAGGGGCTGGAGGCCGTGAGGAGGGGGGAGGCGTGGAAGGGGCTGCTGCGGCTGATGGAGAATGAGAACGTATATGTAAAGATCTCTGCGCCATATCGCATCACGCCAAATTGGGAAGAGCTGGACCCATTTTTTAGAGATCTCGCGAACGTGCGGCAGGGCAGGGGGATTGTCTTCGCCTCCGACTGGCCACACACAAGATTCGAAGACGTGGATGCGGAGAAATGGATCAAGATGTGTTTGGACTGGTGTGGGGAGAACGAGGAGCTCAGGAAGAACTTGTTCCGAAGGAATGCAGAGAGGCTGTGGGATGTGGGACCGGACTGAGACGAATTCGAGAAAAATCGAGCTCGTACATATGACGCAGACGGGGTAGGCGTATGTTCTGGCCGACGGCACTACTGCTGGCGATCGCTGTGTACAACACGGAGGACCGCAATCGACAACACTAACGCTACGCTATGCTCCTGGCGTAGGCGGTATCCGGTCGTATCCGCCCTCCACACCCATCAGACTACCCGTTAACCCCTTCATCCGCCGTCCGAGGAGGTCATCCTCACTCGCGAGACTGACCAGACTCTTCCTTCGACCATTTCCAAGCCTCGACCTAGAACCTCTTCTACTCCTGATCGACCTCGCCGCCGCCGCCGTCCCGCCGTTATCCGAAGCCTTATTCCTCCTTCCGCCCCGCGACGAACTCAAACTCATTTCCAGCGGATAATCCTCATCAACCGAGGACGCCGTGCCCATACGACGATGATGTCTCCTCTTCACCTCCCCGTTCATGAAGTAGTCAGTCCGCTCCGCCAACGCCGCCTCATTCTCCTCCCGATCCGCGCGCTCGAAAATCTCCCTCATCCACCGCGCACAGCGAAAGATGTACTTCCAGCCCTCCGGGAACACACTCACGAACTGCAAAAACCCATGCGAGATGCCTGGCACCAGCACCACCTCGACATGGTCCGCCTCGACAAACTCTCTGCGCTCGGGCTCCAGCCCCATCTCCTTGCGGGACACAAACTCCGCCGCTTTGGCCTGCCGGATGCGGCCGGCGAAGATGACCGTGTCGTCGACGAGCGGGTCGCGCTCGCCGGTCAGGAAGTACACTTTCGGCATCTTGGCGAGGAGGCTCTCGGGCGCGAGGAGTGGGCTGAGCAGGAAGTCGGTGCTGAAGTCTGGTCGGTTGTGCGGGCCGATGTAGAGGATGATCATCGCGCGCATCATCTCGGGGGTTAGGATGCGGTCGTTGAAGTAGGATATCATGGAGCTCATTGCGAGGCGCGTCTTTAGGGTTGTGGGCTTCGCGGATGGCGTGGGGAGGGTGGTGTGGTCTCTGTTCGTGTGCGCGGCGGAGAGGTGGATTGCGGTTTGAGGTGACTGGAGGGTCGCGTCGGCCATTGTGGGAGGTGAGCGGTCGCGGCGTGGCTTTAGCGGAGGTGATGAGTTGGCCTCGTCCTCTTCCTCGTCGGAGTGATGGGGTGTGGTGGGCGTGAGCTTCCTGTAATCATCGCTCTTGCGGCGGAGGATGCTCTTGTTCGTCTTGCGCATGCGCCGGTCCCGGATCAGAGCCATCTGCTCGTCTGTCATCCAGTTCCCAATGTTCATATCCAATGCGGGATAGATCAGAACCAAACCGTCTGGAGGCGGGAGGGCCTGTTCGCCCTGCCAGCGTCGCGTATCGGTGCTGCCGGACTGGAGGATCATGAGAGTCATGCCGACCGCCAGATTACCGCCGGCACTGTCGCCGGCTACCACGATCTTTGGCACAGTATCGCCAGAAAGACCGACGCATCGGCCACGGCTAGCGACGATGGTATGGTAGACATCGTAGCACTCGTTGAGCGCGTAAGGATAGGGGTGCTCCGGAGCTTTCTTGTAGTCCAAACTCAGCACCGGAAGACCGGTCCGGCCGGCCCAGGCGAGTAGTTTGTCGTCGTGATTTCGAGGATCCATAGCTACGAAGCCGCCGCCAGGGATGTCCAAAATGAGCTTGTTGTGCTTCTTGAGCGCCGACAACGGTCCATCGAAGTACAACCAAGCCAGCACCGACTCCTTGTACGGCGATTCCTGCGGCCTCGGTATCCTGATCGCTCTCGGTGGGTACCTCATCAGCCTCGGGCGCATCAAATTCGTAAACAAAGCCAAGTATGGCGTGGTGCCCTTATCCCAGCTGACGCGCAGATGATCCACCGTCAACGTGCCCCTAACTTTCCGCACCTTCTCGTCCGCCTGCTCCGCGCAGATCAGGTAGTAGACTGTGAAAGCCAGCGAACAGACATCCCGTAGCCACTTCTGCTTTATGCGCATCGCAGACCAGAAGCCCGCGTCCAGCGCAGTGGTGACCCATGTGGCGCGGAAGTATGAGCGGCTGTAGAGGTTCGCGAGCGGTTCGGGGCACTCGAGGCCGACGAGCTTGCCGAAGTTGCGCGCGACGTAGAGCCAGAGGAGGAGGATGACAGTGGTCTGCCAGACGGTGAGGCGCTTGGAGAGCAGGGTGGAGAGGCGGCGGAGGAGGGGTGGGCCGTGGCGGTCGCCTCTGCGTGGTGGTCAGCGGGAGTGCTTGATAGCGAAGCTGTGAGATACGACTGACCTGTACAAGTAAAATGACCAGAATGATACTACAGCGAAGACTTGGATCTTGCGGAACTTGACCGAGGGCCTACCGAGGACGTGATCTATAAAGGAATGATTGTTTAGCGAACATTCACCACATAGCAGTGCAGTTCGGGCATCTCCTACCGATCATGATCGCGAGGGACCGCAAATAACAAGACAACAGTAGATAGGAAGACTCTATGCCATGCGGTGTACAAGAAGGAGAATGAGGGCTTGCGGCGCGGTAAGGCACTGATTTCTAAGAACAGCTAGGTGTACAGGATAGGTGTAAGGTAATAGAATGTGTCCGGTGATCAACCATAGTCAAACATAGCAACGAAACAAAGAGCAAGGCCCGGTCCGTGGGGGAGAGTAGTACACGAGTGTCGAAATGCCATGATGGGTGTTTGGGGTTCTCGTGGACGTCGTTCGGCGTGGCATGTGATGACGCTTTCGGCCTTCCAAGCATTTCACATGCGTAGGGCTGACCTACAGGGGCTTCATGTGAGATCACACAGCCACAACAACGCGATCTTGGAACTGCTGATGAGATATTCTCGTGCTACAAATAGTATCTAGGTAAGCTGAGGGATGAGCATGCCCAGGCCCTCCTCTAGAAGATATAACATGAATACATTCAGATCCATGTTTGGATCTCGAACCATTTACTCCCTCCACGACGCGTCAACAGAATCATCAGCTACGAATCTCGCCTCAGCTCAGCACCAGGAGCGTAGGCATCATCAGCGGCCCTCCACCTTCCCCGAGTTGATCCCCCGGATCCACTCGCCAACCTCAAAGCCCATCCTTCTCAGCGCCCTCTCCTCAATCTTGCTCTTACCCTTCTCCTTCCTCACAACAACACATCCACAGTCCTCCCTCACATCCACGATTTTCTCTCTGCCAAGCTCCTCAGGAGATGAGTCCTTGATGTAGATCGTGATATCTGGGCCAACGATGCCCCGCCACAAGGTAGCCATCCACTGCCAATGATCCGCCGGCGAGTAAGCGTCCGCAATGGGTATGCGCGACGCATAGACGTCCGAAGCACGAAGCTGGTACGTCGGGAGAACGACGACCGGTATAGTTGCCAGGTCGATTGGCTTGGACTCCTTCTCCGTTTCGATCTCGCCCTCCTCCACGTCGCTGTCGTGAGCTTGCGTAGGCGTGGTGATGAACTCGATCATCTCCTTGCTCTTGCCATGCCACTCCCCAATCACAGCAAGATAGTCACTGAGAGACACCTTCTTCTGGTCTGGGGCGGGTCTCTTGGGCGCCAGAGCAGCTTTGGCGTTGCAGTCTCCGCTCTTGTTCAGGAAGTCTTCCAGCCACTTCACCAGATGCTGGACTGCGGTCACATCTTCGCCCTCAATCGCTACAATCGCACCTCTGACAGCGCTGGCCGGACTCGTGGGTCCGGGAGTCTTCAGTGGTGGAGTGATCTTGGCTAGTACCTTCACCTTCCCCAGATACGACATGCTCATCACCATCGCCTCTACGCTCCTGCTTTGGTCGTTGCCAGTCTGCAAAGGCGGCAGAGTGAGGTCGCCGCCGCTTGGCTGTCTGGCGTCGACTGGGCGCGGCGGCGGCGCCATCGTGCCTGGAGCAGGCGATCTCAGCACTTGATCCATCCGCGGCAGCGACTCACGGCGGTTCTGTGCTGAGAACGGCAGGTTCCCACCACTGCCTGGACGTGCTGAAGCCTGCGCATACGAATTGAAACGTCGACGCTTGGCTTCTGGGGACATGGGGCTGAGCATGTCGGTCTCCATATAATCGCGCGGACTCGGCACATGGATCCCCGCCATGTGGGGAGGAATGGGTCGTGCGCGGCGCATTCCCGGCGACTGCAGGCTGAGGTTGTTCATTGTCGGGAGGAAACGTGAAACTGGTGTGACAGTTGAAGTGGGAGTGGTTGGAGGCAACACGGGCGCGCGCTGTTGTTGCGCGGCCGCTGGGGGTGGAGCAGAGGGCGACACGATGGTGCGACCGCCGCACTTGTTGCAGCGGTACTTCTCGCTAGACGCTGATTTGGGGTCTTCTGACAGACTTCCTCGTCGACCGTTACGGCGAGGTTGGAACTTGTATTTCGGATACTGTTGCTGATGACGAACCTTTTCTTCCTGAGGAGGAGATCAGCTTGTGTGTACACAGGAAATGCTCGAGTCATTTACTTCCGCTAACGACTTCCACTCGTCCTTGACGGTATCAGGTAGGGCTTTCCACTTGTGGCCAATGATCTTGGAGATCTCGGGATTGGACAGTCGAGGATGCTGGGTCGCGACAACTGCTTGATGATGTTGACGATAAAGGATGAAAGCTAACAAAGAGTCAGTCAACTGGGGCAGGAGGTTGTACCGAAGACAAAGCAGAGCATCCGAAGTTGACCTGCATCGCAGCCTCCTAGCAGGCGCTCATAGACAAAGAAACATAATGCTCACCGTTTCTCGGTCGGGGTATCTTAGGATCGCGTTGGCAAATACACAAGTGAGACGCCGAATCGGCGGACTTTATCGAAGCTCCTGAAGCACCTGAAGTCTTCGAATCCCCAGAGCCGCCTCGGCTGTGACTGGGGGACTTGGTGTCGGCTTCGTCGTTCTTGTCTTCGGCGATGATAGATGCTACACCGCGCTTCCGAGTGACACGAAAGAATTCCGGGGTGTCTGGCGTGGGAGGGCCGCTGTTGGTCTTCGAAATGCGAGTTAGGCTGGATGGGCGCTGTGCGTCTTTTGAGGTTGAGTTGGATCCCCTTCGCGAACTGTCTGGGCTTCTGCCGTTGGTAGGTGAGACCTTTGCTGATGCGGAAAGGCTGTCGGACATGCCCCCGTCGGGCATGATAAACTGTCTTTTACTCCTGTCGCTGTTGATGTTTGACGGAGGACAGTTCAGGAAGAGAAATCACGCCTCTGCGACAGGGACTGATAGAGAGAGAAGAATGAATGGCGGCATTGAAAAACACGACTACACTCGTTGCAGCCCTCCGGTCGATTGTGTTGACAATCGGAGCGACGGATCGAGACAGTTGGCCATTATGAGGGTCGTTATTTCCATTATCCACTCGCAGTTGCGAAGCTAGAGAGTTGAGGTTCCTTTGTCCAACCATGGTAGGAGATATCTCTGCACGCGATTGTTGCGGGTACTGCTTCGCGGGACTGTTGCCGTTCGCGGCGATCCCCAGCGTTGGGTTCTTTGTCCTTCAGCTTGGTTGGTGGTCCCGAAGCGGCGAATACCAACGGCCTATTGTGAGACATTCCGCACTACCACAATGCAAGGAGGCAGCCAGAAATGCACCGACACACAATGTACGCAGGCAAATCCAGTCATTTGACATGACCAGGCGATTATAACGAAGGTGCATAGTGTGCAGACTCGCACATCGCGGTCACAACTTACATATTACTGGTGGCCCTTTCGGCTTCCTCACCAACCTACCATGAATTTGTGCGTCTCCCGACAAGCACATTGGATCCCACAACGGGATCGTACGCGCTCTCGGATATTGTTGCGTTCGCATTCGTGTGACCGCTCGGCCTGCGAGCTGAGCGGCATAGTTCAATCTGATAGTGGTGCCTGTTTCGCGGATACCGTCGTTGGGGTTCCGGGTAGGTGCATCGCATTCTTACCCGCTGTCAGATGTGTCAGACAAAGGATGACTGCGCTACACCTGGCCACGGGATAGTTACACGTTGCTGTGTTTCGCCCTATGAAACGGCTAGTGTCGCCCGTTCTGATGGTACGTCTCTGCGCTGTTGGCATGCGACAGGTCTGGTGCCGGCTTCTCGCAGTACTGCTCTTTGTCACCAAGGTCGCCAACGCCATGAAACTCGGAAGAAGCTGACGAGGAACGCTTTGGAACAAACGAGGTGTGAACATTTCAAACTCTGTATGTTGCAGAACCGGCTCGGTCTTAGTGTCTAGTTCCGCTATCCTTGTGGCTGAGCTCCATTGGCCTCAAGGGCTTGGCTCTGACCGTGCGAGAGTCGTGATAACCTCCTTCCAACGGATCCAGAGCAGGCGTCTCGTTTAGTAATGTTCCATTCGTAGCTGGCTATCCTCAGACATTTCCCGGCCGCGGCGCTTTTGGTACTCCTCTGACCGAGTGATCGGTTCGTAGGACTCTGCGAGGGAGCCTGCTGCATCCGAGCGGACCGCCAAAGAGGTCTCTCATACTGTGCCCCTGGTTTACAGCAAGTCACACTTCCTGGCCTTCTGAGCATGAGTTGCAACACTATACAACAAGGGAATGACTTTGACTGATGCGAGCGAGAGTGTTCACACGGACAAGGTGAATGTGAGTATATACGAGACAGGAATTCGCAACCAAACACAAGCACTGGGAGAATGTGCGAGCAACTGTGTTTCTTTTGCCAGGAAGCAGTGCTGGAAGACCGTATATGAGGAGAAATACTATCTGCTACTGTCTCGATGAAGACTCGAGAACGTGGACTTGCGGTGTGTAGGAAGCATACGACTGCGGTCTCGCCCCATTCGACCCAGTCGCCTGCCGCTTCACCGGCACAATCTCCCTGCCCACCCGCGGCGCGGTCTTCGAGATTGATCGAAGGTAGAGATTGTTCAAAGATTTTTGAGTCTGTAAGATTCGAACTCTTGCTACAACCTCCTGCAATAATCCCTCCCATGCGCGACCTGCCAATCGCACAACCAGACCTCAAACGCCATGCCCAGAAACCCGGCGACGCAGACCCCACCCGAGTCACTCACGCTCGTAGCTCCCAGACTAAACTCTCTATCCTCACTTCTCACGTTGTCCGTGATCTCCGCGAACGTGTTCACATAGACCAAACCCCCCAGCAAGCCCTCCCAAAACACAATCCCAAACACAAACCAGACGCTCGGGATGAAGTCGAAAAGGGCGTGTAGGGTTAGCAAGAGTAGGTTGAGGCACTGCAGGAAGGAAGGGAAGTAGAGGTCGTGGATGCGGAAGAAAGGCGTGCTGGAGCGGGAGAGGAAGACGCCGAGTTGGTAGATGGCGTTGTAAGTTGGGTAGAAGGAGCGGTAGGCCGCGAAAGGCGAGTGGTCGAGGGGGAAGAGGAGGGTCGGGGCGACGCCTTGGTTGATGGTGTATTCGGCGACGTAGACTAGTAACAGGGGTAACATGCTGTTGGAGGTTAGTTAGTAATCAACATCGGGCGAGTGTCCACTGACTAGGGGAAGAAAAGTCCTCGCGCGCGTTTTAAATTTGCTTTCAGATCCTGTAAAGTGGTGGTCTTCCGCTTGTGTTGGGGACTGATGGACCTAAAGCTGCGTCCGGAGGTGGAGTGCATGGAGCCATCGAGAAGGCCCTCATCTTCCGCCTCCAGCTCATCCTCATGTTCCTCATCGGCGGCGACAGCTTCATACCCTCCTTTCGCCATCTTCAGCGGCGCTCTCGGCAGCACCGCGAAGAAGCTGATCAACATGATGACCGGCAGGAACGAGAATGCGAATAGACTGTCGCGGCTGCTAAGGCCCAGCGTGGTTGTCGCGATCACATACGCGCCAGCTCCAATGAGCCCAGCGCCCCCCGTCCCGCTCCCCCAGGCTGCAAGGCTGAACTGGCCATAGTAGTGTGTCAAGCCGAGAAAACTTAGTTCCCCGCCTCCGCTGCTCAGGCTTGCCAGAACGACGCCGAACATCTTCCACGCAATGGCGCTGCCGTCGCGTGAGGCAGGTGTGAGGGCGACGAGAAGCATGCCGCTTGTGGACAGCGCGACAAATATGAGGATGCGTACGGGATATGGGACATTGTGGATGTAGTAGGGCGCGGTGAGCTTGGTAAGGAAGGATGGGATGACGTCTGCGAGGAGGACGGCGCCTTTGGGCACGGAGGGACCGACGAGGTCGAGGGCGGCGGAGAGGATTATCACGTATAGGACGTTGTTCACAAGGCCTGGCGGGTGTCGAGTTGTAGATTAGTAAAAGTGTGAGAGCGTGAGCGGTACGTAGCTTTTGGCTTCCTCAGAAAGCTGCACACTGCGCCTGATGCCGGGACGGACGCCTATCACGGTGTTCCAAGCAAGATGCGCGCGAAGCCACAAGCAACCGGGCGAAGCTCACCAAACAGCCAGAACGCGGCACACACACGAGGATCAGCGCCTTCGAATATGGACCAGAGGCGCGCATGGTAGGTAGCCCACGACGAAGCTGGGGTGCCTGGCATCGGGAACATGGAAGGCAGAGCGAGCGTAGCGCTGGGGCTCAGAAGTCGCAGGAGCGCGTTGTCTTCTATGCACCCATCTGCTTGCAATATGAGAAGAGACAAGTCCTAAGAGTGGGAAACACGATAACTAGACATAGGACGAGGGTGGAATGCCCGGGTGGTGACGAACCGCGGTGCGTGATGGGAGCTCGGGTGCTCATGTGGGCCTGGGCTCGCAGTTCTGGGCTTGCCGGGGCCGTTGGCGCGATTGATCTGCCAGTTGATCTGCAGGGATTTGCCCGCCTGTGACACGCGAAGCCGCCGCACTTGCACTTCCCCATGCATCTGGGCACCGACAGATCTTTCCACTCTTCTCCTCCTCACAGACACGCGACCGACTCACAGCAACGTCTTGTTCTGAATGCTACAGCGATTCTCATGGCCGTTAAGCTTGTATATGATACACGCATCATGCCCGCCTCTACTCAGTCTTAACGAAGCAGAGACCCTCGTCCGTTTACCGCGTGCTACACCACCGTCCGAGCCGCAGTGTACTGCAGCGGACCACCGCCCGTTATAACACCATGGATCCACGACCACCACCCCACCCCTTTTCACGACCGCAAGATCGCCCACTCATACACAACCCGAACCACCAACCTATTTCTCAGCAGCCTCAACACCCCCCATATCCAAGCTTCGCGCCAAATGTATCTCAAGCTCCAGTTCACGTACCCTTCGCGGACCCCTTCCAACGCCGTGGCGACCCATTTATGCCAAACACACAACACCAGAGGCGAGCAAGCTATGGAATACCAGCTAGGGACACGATGGGTAGCGTACCGGCCGACAGGGCTCCAGTGCCAGGCGGCTGGGGACCTCCAACAGGTAGGCTGATCTAATCTCTTGTCCATTTTGTACAGTGCGATAGGTTGTTGCCTTGAGTGCTCGATCTGCGTATGCTGTAGAACATTGCAGAGCCGCGATCATGTTCTAGGTATCAAGCTTCGGCCAAGCGGTACCTTTTACTGGGCTCAGCGGGTCAGCTTGGCAAAATGTCTACGGCCTCAGCATGTTTGCAGTATCTGCTCGCAAGGCTCTCATACATCCGTGCTCTTTCTCTATGCATCTGCGTCGTTCTCTAGAGTCGTAGCCATCCTGTGCAGCAAGATAGGCTACGGTAGAGGCATGTTGGCTCCGGGATCATGCCCCAAGCTTGACGAGGCTACTGCCGATCGGCAAAGGAGCACTCCTTCTTACGGCGTTCCACATCCAGGTGGTCAAACCACCATCAGAAGACTTGCGACCTGCACGCATTCTCTTCACAACGATCTGAGTGCTTGCCGATCGCCTTCTCTCTTGCGCGGTAGCGGTGTGACACGACTGGTGCTAAGCTTCCGTATATACTTGTTCATGCGTGTTTCACAACTCTTGCTGTCCATTACCTGTCGGTGTTGCTCTTATCCTTCCTTCTTAACGGGTGTTATCATGTCGCCGTCATCCTGCTTCTCCACTCTCACCGTTTCTTGTCCCAGCGAACCGGACCCGCAGGCCGGGGTTCGGGACGCTAATGCAACGCGCCCCTGTCGCGCCAAGCTGTACCCATTCCAACGCCGAGACTAATCCTAACTTGGATCATCAGGGCCGCCGACATCACACGGCTTACTTCCTCATCATCAACAACCGCCCGGTCCACCACCGCCGCCTCAGGTGACTGCTCCGAACAACGCACCGAACCCAATGTCATATCCATATGACTCTACCCGTCGCCGCTCACTAGGCGGTGGCAGTCCGCCGCAGTTTTTTGCGGGTAAGTCCACTATCAGAGCATATTGCTTTTCTTGATGCGCATCCGTTGTAACTCGGTATACCAAATAGCGCAAGACGGGCCACCTCCGCCACCATCTTTTGGCGCTCGAAGCATGCCGCCTCCCTCTTCTCCGCAGCAACGAGATCCCGCGCTATCTTACAGCGGCGCACGGCCGCCTCCGCTACCATCCTTCAGCAATGGTCGCGATCTCCCAGGCCTGGGAGGAATCAACCGGCCCGGGAGCAGCATGTCCATCTCATCTCTCATTGGAGGTGAGGCGACTACTGCTCAGAGTGCAGCCCAGCAATCCCCTCCAAATGCTGTCAGGCCACTCTCACCGCCAATCAGGGGCATGCGTCCTCCGTCCCCACGGCGACGTCCTTCACTGGGCTCCCGAGTCGAGTTCGGGGCCTATAGGCGGGCTCAGACGCCCGAGATGCACTCGTCAGGCTCTGCGGCTAGACCGAATGACCTCTCTGCGTACGCTACCAGCTCTTCGCCTCGCTTGTTCGCAGGAGCGGGAGGCTCGCCCGACCAGGCACGCCACAGCTTCCCGCATGCGACTCATAACCATGGGGCACTAACCGCGCTGGGCGCTCGACCGTACCAATCGTCGCCCAGTGATCCAGATAACAAGGACTCAGACAATCGGACAGGACCTGCAGTGCCTCCAAGGCCAAATAGCCAGCCCGCGGCGCTTTTCGCGCCCCCACCAGAGTTAGGAGCGAGGGACAGGCTAGGGGCTCCTGTCTTTAGACACCCTTTCCTCGGGCCTTCAGCTGAAGACCGCGGAAGGATGTTGCAAGAGTCTCACCAGCAGACGTCCGGCGGTTCCGACCCAACTGATCGATCCTCACAGCAACGCCTTGACGGGGAACGGGCCACCCCAGCACAACCCCCGTTTCAATCCGCATTCGGACCTCCACAGGGACAGCAGCACCCGGCACCACAGAATGGACCGTCACAGCCGCCTTCGAGGACCTTTCTGGGCTGGCCACAGCTCCAAGATGCACGTCTGCGAGAAGCAAGTAAACCAGCGAGAGAGGAGTCTTCCGCATCGTCTAGGTCTGGCTTCTCTTCCCAGGTAGCCGGTAACCAAGGCCACGGAGTTCCTACAGGGCTCGGAGCGGACGCCCCAGGCCGTCAGCCGCATACCCTGGATCAATTGCGACAGCGACTAATGGGGCAGTATCCTGGTACTAGTCGTGACGGTGAACGGCGAACAGAGCCGCCACCGGCTTTGACTCCGCTAGGTGGCGCGAACAGCGTCCAGTCACGTGCCCCGTCGTTCGACCATCCCATCCGCCGACCGGGCGAGGACATGCAACTGCAACGGTCGCTGTTGGGTATCAGTCCTGAAGCCAGCCGTCGCACTGGCCGTGCCTCTCCGCTGCCTCAAGCTGTGCAAGGGGTGCAAGCCCAGCTTGTAGGTCCGAGTGGAGATCCCAACATTAAGAGCGAGTTTGGACGGATGTTTGGCGGCCTTGGCGGCCTTGGTAGCGCCCCCGGTGGCAACGGGACATCTACTCCATCTCGACAAAGTCCGATGCCACAGAATGGGGCGGAGTCCTTACCGCCATCCAATGACAGCGAAGGCGCGAGGATGGCTAGGACAGGATCTCAAGCTGGTAGAAGAGGCAGAAGAGTCAAAGACGAGGATGCTCTGGTTGGCAGTGAAAGTGGTGATGGCCGAGGTACCCCAGGGCTTGGAAGGGGAGGCTCGAAGAGGGCAAAGCATGCTCATCCGGCACATCACCATCATCATCATCCGCATAGCCATCAGTATTATATCAACCCTGTTGCCGCCTTCGGAAAGCTGACGGACAGCAGCCATCACCATCACCATCATAAGCCAGACGACGATCTTGCCATTGTCGGCGCTACTCAACCCGCCAACAACAATCCTTTTAGTACCCTGCGCTTCAACAATAACACTCCCCAAAACGTTGGCGGATCAGCTGCTCATCACCACCACCATCATCACCATCCGCCGCATCACCATCATCACGCGCCAAAAGCAACCCAGGCGCCCAGACCCTCGTCCCCAATGCCTACTAAAGCCGTCAACTCCCAACCCGTTGTCGACAGCGTCGCGCCCCTCCCTCGCGAACACTTGGGCAGCATGCTTTACACGACTTCTCTGAAAATGCCTCCCCTACCGGCTTACCGACTGGACTCAAAGTTCCAGTACGAGTCCCAGCATAAACCGATTCCAAACTTTGAGGGCAAAGAGAACTGCACCTACACCATCCGCGTGCCACGCTACTACCTCCAGCCCGATCAGCGCGAGGAGATCTGCCTCCGTCGCAATGTTTGGGGCACGGAGATCTACACCGACGACTCCGACCCCATTGCCGCCGCCATCCACGTGGGCTGGATTCGCGGCGAGTGGGGCGAGGACGTCGACCCGGATTATCTGCTTGAGCTCGCTACTGCTGCAGCCAACATCTCGAACAACAACAATCAGCCTGACGACATACCAGAAACAATGCTGGCGCCCTTGCCCTCTGGCCCTATCCTCCCACCTCCTAACACAGACCTTCACATCACGATCCTCGTACTTCCAAGGTTGGAGAAATATGCAGCGAGCACGCGCTTCGGCCTTCGGTCCCGTGCTTGGGGCGTCACAGATGCCGAGCACTCTGGCCTCAGCTTTAAGATTCTGAGGCTGGACTGGGTGGATGAGGCTAGCGGGACTAGGGGTGAGGAGCGGGGCGCGGAGGCTAGAAGGAAGAGGCTGCAGGCTGCGCTGAGTTTGGTAGAGATGTTTGGTGGAAGGAGCGGTGGGGGTGGAGGGAGGGATGAGGAAGCCGGGAGAGCGCGGAACGGAACCGGCGCGTTTGGAAGAGTGGCGCAGGCTGTCGCTTGAGGAAAGAACGAGGGCGTTCTATAATACAGTTTGAGAATTGCTGTGGTTGATTGCGCGGTCTGTCTCTTTGCGAAGAGGATAACACCAGAACGACGACGCGACCGGAAAAGGGAACGGCCCAGGGATGATATCTATTGCTTTATTCAAGGAATGACAAACGCGGAAAAGTATCGGGTAGTGTATCAGATAGTGTCTATAACAGTACATATCGTGGGAGCTGTAGTACGCAATTGCTGCTTGCAACACGTCCCGGTCGAGACTCACATGAAGCTGAGGAGCAAGAAGAAGGCGCTTCTTCCTCTTCACCTTGATTGTCTGCACGAGCGAGTCTTGGCTCAAGGTTTCCTGGCATCTACCTGAGCAAGTCAAACACTCTTTCCGGAGTCAGTCTCGTCTTGACAGCCTTCCTTCACTAGCACGAACACCGACCACGACAAACACTTCATCCTTCACGACATCCAGGATGAAGAGTTCGAAACTCGACGTTGCGGCTACAGATATGGATCCGCTGCTTGGCGACAGGGATGCGTTGCGGGAGGAACCGACGGCCCGCAGCATCACAATTTCAACTTCAACTTCACCTTCGACCGCGGACGCTGAGAAGGCATTTAGCATGGGTGCTGGGGAACTTATTGGCTTTGCGAAGATAGCGGGCTTTAGTGTTGATGATATGAGTCGCTTGATGAGAGAGCAGGTCATGCTGGTGTACCAGGATTTGTGGTGAGCTGGAAGTGGTCAACAGACCAGGGATGGAAGCGTTGGTGGGCGCTACGTGGTGACAATCAATTGCTTGAGGATGACATTCCAAGGGCTGAGTGAGGTTGGTATGGTTTATCTGTTTTTGTTATGCCGTATGTCGGGATCCACTTCCATGAGCTTGTCTGTCACATTAGGGCCAGGCGGTAATGGGTCAACAATTTCTTCAGGACTGAGCGTTTCATAGTCGTTGCACTTCCATGTCAGGTTTCACTCTGCTCTGCTGGACTGGGTGACGTTCATTCTGCATCTTCGAGCGAGGGTGGTCAAGGGTTCTGATCAGCATGCTGCACATTATCGACTTCCGTTTTATGAACGGGGCGGTACTGGGCCTGATGGGAATGGAAGTTGGATGGTGCATCTGGTGGGGGATATGGAGAATTGAATGGAGCTAGAGCGTAAGACAACCCCTACAGCATCCACCAGAACCGGACCGCTGACATTGACGATAGTCCTTCAGCGCAAGGCCGGGTTCTTCTTCTATCTAATCTCATCGTTGAGTACACCAGAAGGCGTTCGGAAGGTGTTCACGTGGACAAGAGAAAGTCCAACATCCGGCTCGAAAACACAAACAGGAGGCGTGCTTCACTTTTATTAGAAGTACTGGGTATTTTCGTAGTCATATGTTGTTCATACCGTTCTGCTTTAAGTTCATCTTCAACCGTGTCTTGTGAATCGAATTTTCCGGCGGGTGGTTGTGGCAGGAGAAGCCTTGTCCGAGATAAGATCATGCTCTCAGCCCTATGCGGTGCAAAACCTTCAAGATGAAGCGGACAGGACGGTTACAGTCGGCAAGACTCCATCATTTCGAAGCCGAGGATGCTGTCCCTCGGTTCACCCTCCTGTGCATTTCCTGATAAACGAGCTGTGGCTGGACCATTTCCTTCAATCTGCGTGCTCGGATGCATCAGCTCGGACCGCTTCACAACGCCGCCTTTGGAGATGATACTGAAGCATCGACCTATTTGCCCGTCACGTCATCATCTTGTCGACGAACGCACGACTTATCTCGCTTGCCCAGCCCCCTTCTTTCTGCCATATTTCGCTCATTTCGCACACAGCTTTTCCATGTCAATCTCATCTTTCGCACCACGCCTTCGTACACAATCGTTGCTTCAACACCTAAACGTTCTTCAATTGCACGCATTCGCTCAGCTTTGTTCGCTCTCACTACACTCTCCGCGTCCGCCCGATCTAAGTTGCGTCCGAAGGATTTCCTGAGAGGTACCCGGGCTGCAAATTCCGCTTAACTCCAATTCGTCTCCAGACACGAAGACACCATGCCGTGCGACGACCTCACCCACAATCACGTCTGGCCAACTAGCGGCAATCTCACAATCTACCATTGTGAGAAGTACTGCGGCTACTGCTCAGGACAGAGCAAGGCCGATGGAAAATTCGCTCAGACGAGCCACCTGCGTGCGCACGTCAAGACCAAGCACATCAAGCACTTCAAGGACGTGAAGGTTCTGCCTGGTGTCATGGGGAAGGACGGCAAGTTGTAAGTCGAACTTTCACGTGAGAGACTTGAACGACAGTGAGCTAACCTTCATTGCTACATCACAGTGGCGGTAGATCTAAGACCGAATCTCCGTCGCGTCGCTCAAGGAAGAAGAAAGCTCGCCGGGCGAGGCAGCAATCTCTCGAAGACTCCGATTCTTCCGACTTCAAGTTCGAATCTCCATCAACTGAGCCAAGGACACCACCTCAGGCTTTCACACATCGCACCAATGCGATGACTTTCGGTGGCGGCGAGGATATCGTTACGCCTGGCCCTTCTCACTCATTCGTCCCAGCCTCTGCACCGCCCGTGATGCAGAGCTCCAGACTGCTGCAAGGTGCAATCAATGCCACTATGCAGTCTTCCTTTGGTCCTCGTCATGGCCCCCGAGGTATCCAAGGTCAGTTCGCGCAAAATCTCGGAAACAACGTCAATCAATATTACCCAGATCTGTTCACGTCGGGCTTGCCTTCAGCTCCAGCTCAACATCACCAGCAAAATTCTATGCGAGGCTTCGCCCCCTTGTATCCTCAGCAAGACCACATGCGCTCTTTACTCAGCGCCCATACAAGCAACGGAGCGATAAACTTCCGAGCGCCCAGTTTCAACACGCGCTTCATTCCCATGCCCGAGAACCAGTTGGAGGATCCTTTCGTCGGCCCAAGCAGCTCGCCAGAAGACATCGACTACCTCCGGACAGTCTTCACGCCTCGTGGGGGGTATGCGGGTTCCGACATTGGCGCGCTTCCCGAATCTCCCCTAGCAAGCCGGAGCCGCAGCTTCGATGGATTTCCTACTCAGCAGAATTTCTCCCCCGTCACCTTCAGATCGACACGCAGCTTCGGCGACATGCCGCTCTCCAATGACTGGGAAGATCATCTCACGAATCCAATGGACATGGGAATCACCGATGCTAGCATGCAGAACACTCCCCTTCCCCCGAGGCTAGTAGCAAGGGTTAATCCGGCCACAGTCTTTCGGACGGGCATGTTCGAACTCGTTGACGAGATGAGCGGAACGACTGAGATTGCCACGTTCCTTCCGCGGCCGGAAGGTGGATCCAGTTCGGCACAAGACTTCTTCCGTGCGACGCTTCGAGGCTTTTACAATGCCGCAGTTGTCACGGGGTTCACTGATGAGGAAGCCACATCCTTGATGGCCGCCGAGCTCGAGGCTCTTAGACAAGGTGCTGCGACGACTGCGATGACTCCGACCGAGGCGGATGACGATGAGGATGATCCGCTCACCATCTCTGTACGCGAGTCTGTCGAAGAGGGTTCGCCCTTTGCTTGAACGAAGACGTCTCACCGCGGAGGAGTTGCACATTGGAGGAATTGAAATTACGAGTCGACCGGTGGAACACTCTGGGATTTCTTAAATTGCACGAGCTTCTCTTTGTTGTCATGATGCCCCTTCCTCACTTTTCGTATGAAGTATCATATCATATCACTGCGGATGCACCAAGTGATGAGCTTTTCCTTCTACGTTCAAGATGCAGGACGCTCCCAACATCAGCTGGATGGGGATGGACTATTATGTCTTCGGCATCGAACCCTCATTGGGCTTTGCTGCGCTGTAGCTGGATCCTTACCTGCGAGTACTTCGGCGTTAGGTCTGCTTTATACCCTGGCTGCTCTCTCGAATCACTTGAACGGCGTGGATCTGCTACGCCCACTCAGATAGCCTCTTGCATAGAATAACCTTCATAATAACTGAACAAACCGGAATCGACTTCGTTCCGCTTGCAGATGTGAGCATCTCAGATAACCTCCAAGATTGACCCTCATCACTTCGCGAAAGTCGAGGCGCGCCGCCAAGCCCATCCCAAGTCACGTGAATCCCTGCACCGATTCCTCATCGGCAACCACCAACAATGTCATTCCAGCTCCACCTCACGCAATAAACCAACAATCCCTCTCTACTCCCCGACAAGATGTTCACCGGTCGGATAGTCGCCCAAGCCGCCCGGTCTGCAGCTCCTCGCGCCTCAATCGCTCCTCGCGCAGCCATCCGGAGCTACGCTCAAGCTGCGAACTCCGCCTCGACGAGGCCCCCGGTACCGCTTTATGGCGTCGATGGCACGTATGCCAGTGCTTTGGTACGCTGCAGCAGCTTCATAGCACCGCTCTCATGCCATCTTCTCCCCCCGCGGAGCCTTACACGGCACTTGGAGTTCATGACGCTGACAGCAACGACAACAGTACACCGCGGCCGCCAAATCCTCCGCCCTCGACCCGACAGCCAGGGCGCTGGATACACTGAACAACGTCTTCAAGAAGGACGCCAAGCTGCAGGCCGTCCTGTCCGCCCCGACGCTGACCGTCGACGACAAGAAGCAGATCGTCGCCGAGCTGCAGAAGCACATTGGCGGCGCGGACAAGGGGGACGTTGTCAAGAACTTTTTGGCGACGCTCGCTGAGAATAACCGCTTGAGCATCCTGCAGAGCGTGTGTGAGAAGTTTGCGGTGCTTATGGGGGCGCAGAGGGGGGAGGTTGAGTTGACGGTTACGAGTGCTGCGGTAGGTTGGGCGTGCAGTGGATGAAGCATCGGAGAGGGAAGTTGTGATGATAAAGAGGCTAATGGGGTACAGCCGCTTGACAACAAGGTTCTGAGGCAGTTGGAGAATGCGATCTCCAAGTCGCAGTACGTGGGCCAGGGCAAGAAGCTCAAGGTTGTGCCAAAGGTATGTCCATCACCGAGGTAGCGCACCTGCATGACACTCTGACGCTACCCCAGGTGAACCCCGATATCCGAGGAGGTCTCATTGTCGAGATCGGCGATCGGACTATCGATCTCAGCGTTTCGTCGAAAATGGCCAGGATGAACAAGCTCCTCAAGGATACTCTGTAAATATGTCTTTCTGTCTCTTGTTACTGCAGGATGGAGAGACTCTCCTTATACAATGTAGATAGGTGGAAGTTTCAGTGCTATGTTTCTTTCCAAATCGTGTGAGTACTGCTACCAGATGCACTGCCAGGAGCGTAAATTTTAGAAACGTTTGCGCACCTGCAATGTAAGCACTACCAGCGACCGAAGATGGAATGCAGATACCATCGGCGGTTGAGGGTACACAGTTCGTGCTTAACAATCCTGCCGCATATTCTCTCATCGTTTCACGATATCTGCACGCGCGGGTTCCTCTATGTACTCTATATAGACCTACACTTTCTGGGATCCAGTGTTGAAACGCTAGATGAACGCCAAGAGTACAGAATGAAATCATTCGGTCAGTGTAAATGTTGTTCCTGACTGATGATGCTCCGTGTCGATTTAAGGGAATCCGCGGCCGAGTCGTAGAATTGTGCGATCTTGGGCTCGATCTTGGGCTTGATCCCAGCCGTGTCCCAATCCCATTTGTAATCCCATTCATCAAGTGACATAGCAACAAGCGGTAATAACATAACTTAATAGGGGGGTCTTAGGGGGGCCCGTGCCCACTCCCCCTGGTCTATGTTACACCCCACGGGGGCATTGCTAAGAACCGCGATGCATGGGGACCCCCGGCGGAGGAACAGTTCTCCCGTTTTATTTCCTTTTGAAAACTAAAGCTCTCTCCTGAACTGCTCTATCCTTTCGTGTGGCGTCTGGTTTCATGCCTTGAACTTGAAAATAGCTTCTGTTTTGCACTAACTAACGAAAAAGATGGAGAGTTGTCCTCGACGGGGTGTTGTCCCGAACCAAGCTCCTATTGGATAAAAAACCAATCTGTCAGCCGGAGAAGCCCGGATTTCCATAGAAATCTATGGATCATTGCTTAAAGCAGCATAACTTGCTTATTCATCTATATTAGTCTTCAATCTCTAATTAACTGTGAACCGGCGATTTAAGCGCATTACGGTCTCTATTTTTAACTATGGAGCGCTCATACCATTGGGTGGAGAGCGTAATGTTCTGATTATTAAGCGAGGACAAGACACTATCGGGGTCAACTCTACGTCCAATACGTTATGAGTCTTTTCCATCATGCTTCTTCGTACCTGCTCCGTAACGTATGACCGTCTCGTGAACGTTGCGACTGATTTGTCAGCAGCGCATTCGTGGGTGAGAAATTATGGGTTTGGCGGTTGTAACATGGCTTCTGCAACGACTATATCTATAGAGCCATCCTAATATTTACTTTCCTCTCATCAGGCGAGTCAGTAACCACATAGGCAAGTCGCGTCAATTTATTAAAGTCAGCGATCAAGCCAAGTCACATCATCTCAAAAACACAATTCTGTGGCTCATAGTCTTTACAATGTCCTCGCAGAAACTCATCACCGTCTTTGGCGCCACTGGTACGGAGATGCTCCCAGACCCACTACCCAACAGCGCCTGATTTCTCTGACACTGACGCCGGAGCCATCCCACAGGTGCGCAAGGCAGCGCAGTCGTCAAATCCCTCATACAGAGCAAGAATGCTGCCTTCAAAGTCCGAGGCATCACCAGGAACACCGAGTCCGCAGCAGCAAAGGAGCTCGCGAATCTCGGGGTGGAGGTTATTCAAGCCAATGGCTTCAACAAGGCCGAGATGGTCAAGGCTTTCAATGGAAGCTGGGGCGCTTTTGTCAACACGAACGCGAACGATCCCGTAAGTCTTGCACAGATCGTCCGAGCAAGCGACGCTCTACTCACATGTCCAGGCCTTGGACGGTCCGACCGGCCCAACCGACCTCGACCTAGGCAAGACCATTGTCGACGCCGCCGCTGAAGCCGGCGTCCAGCATTTCATTTACAGCTCGTTCGCATCCGCGTCTAAGATGACAAACGGCGCAATAACGGTTCCTGAGTTCGACAGTAATCCCATCCCCCAAAAGAACCCTCACATACACAAACAACCACATCTCGCATTCCCTTGTCCCTTCTAAGGAAGAATAACACCCGCTGACACCACCTCACCGGCAGGGAAAAACGCAGTCGAAGCCCACGCGCGCACCAAAAACTTCAAGGCCTTCGCCGCCGTCATCGCCGGCTGGTACATGGAGAACTATCTCGACAAGGCCTTCGCCGCCTTCTTCGGCGGCTTCCCCTGGACGGAGGACGCGGCAGGCTACCTGACGTTTAGCTCGCCGCTGTGGGGCGGGAAGGAGGGCGTGCCGTTCGTCAGCATCAGCGAGGACTTTGGCGACGTCGTGCACGGCATCTTCCTGCAGCCGGAGCGGTGGGACGGGAAAGTTGTGCAGGTTGTTAGCGACCCGATGGGGTGGGGGGACGCTGTGGGGATTTATGAGAAAGGTGGCGTATACATTTACATCCCCCCCAGCCTTCTTTTTTTTCTCCCCAGACAAGAAGCAACCAACCAACCATACCTTTCCCTTTCTCGATCTTCCTGGTTTGCAGTAAAGCAGAGCTGACACCACCCCACTTCAGTAACCGGCAAAAAATCCCGCTTCACCCCCCTACCCTCCTGGAAAGATTTCAATGACCAAGGTGTCAAGACTGGCATGGGGACCAAGCTGATATTCGGCTACGCACAGATGACCGGAGGCCAGGTTTACGGGGCGCCGACGGACACTAGCGCGGCGCGGGAGCTGAAGAACGTCGCCGCCGAGGCCAAGGGCGTGCCGAGCGAGGACGCGGAGCTGATGACCATCGAAAGGTTCTTCAGGGAGAATTTTGCCCAGGTGTGAGGGGTTGATGTAGTGCCGCTGGTGTGCTAGTGTGCTAGCCAGATCTTGGGAATATATTAGTGTAGAACACTATAGATAATACCACTTCCGCCCACGTGATTAAGGCTAGAACACGTTAGAATTATAGCCATAGTAGTATAAGAAGCTAGTAAGTGTCACGGTACGGCTACGGTGGTGGTTTTAGCCGGACCTTTAGTATTCAGTATCTTAGTTATTCCGCGGTCACGTAATGCCACACTAGGGTTTTAATTGCGCCCTACTCGTAACTTTTTTAATTCTTATACCTTATCTTATAAATTAGTTTAATTATCAGCTTCTAGCTTCTTTATATTAAGCCTTAACTCCTTATAATATCATAAGAGACTAACCTATTACATATATATATTCTATACTTTATTTTAGTTTCAAGATAACTAATTTAACTAATTTATTAATATAGAGCATTTCTATAGTGCTAGCGATTCTATAGCCACGCATATCAACATCAGGAATCTTGCGCGCCTGCGCTGTAAGCACTACCAGCAACTAACAAGAAAGTGCAAAACATCATCCCCCATTAAGGGCATAGATCCTTTCCGCATCCCTGCTGAACCAATCAATCCAGAAGCCGCAAGCCCCACCGCCATTTCAAAGCTAGAGCTAGTCCTCCTGCTCCTCCTCGTCTTCCATCTCTCCTGGCTCCATGTCAAGATGAGCTGTGACCTCCCCGTCGCCGATGTCTTCATCAGCGGACTTTAGCGCTTTCCCTTCAGGCGTAAGGGGCATCTGTTGAAGAACCCTCCCGAAGAACTGCTCCATATCCTCAATTTGGCCTATAGCCCAAAACGGACCAGCTGCATGACGGACAATATCCTTCTGCCATCCCTCGCGTCTGTACCTGTGGCGACGGAGAACACTAGTGACGAAATGGAAATGGAGGTATCTCAGCGCTGGGCGATTCGAGCCGCAAAATTGCAGCTCCGGGTCCTTGTGGATTGCTCTCCAGTCTATATACCCTGAGGCGGGATTTCCGACCATGCTGGTGTGTGAAGTGTCATCGAGGAATATCAGCTTAAGCCTTCTGTTGTTCGGATCGCTGACGTCCGCCGGCACGATTGCCACCTGTGCGCGATCGAAAGCGTGCTTAATGTCCTGGTGTAGGGATAGTCCGTCCTTGATGCTGAAGGTGTGTGTTTTCGGCCTCCGTGGATCGTCAAGGAGATGCTGCGTAGGCTCGCCGAAGAGACGTATAGCTTACCGATTTGGAAAAGAAGCCCGCACAATGTGCGCTGTTTTCATCAAGGCACGCGAGTGACAGAATTCGCTGGACTCGTAAACCACCGGACTTACAACTCACGCCTAAATCACCGAAATCTTTTAGATTTATCACGTCTCTAGAGATCTTTACTCTAGCCATCCTACCTCCAGATATAGCTTGCACATGTTTATATGGCAGCATACCATGATAGATTACGCCTATTCATGACCTCCCTAAGCTGACTGAAGACCTATCTGTTTTTGGAGTCCAGCAATTTCTGTCACCCAGATGGGTGGGTGTCCGTTCATCGACGTAAAGATTATCAGGCGAGAACCAGAAGCGGAGCTGCTTTTACTGCTCAGATATTTTGTGGTTGCCAGTGTTATGTCAAAGTGTCCGACCCTAAAAGGCACAGCACTGCAAGGTATCGAAACAACTAAAACCGCGTTCAAGCCGCTAGAGCCTCACTTCTACATTCTTAGCCCCTACGGTCAAGCACCGATATTGTTGGCCTGCGTGTATTACACATAACAGCTCTTCGACCGAGCCTTAAAAATCATCGTGCGATTAGCCGGGACACCTGATCTGCCTGTCACAAGGTGAGGTAACCATGTTTCAAGGCGCACAACCAACCGAAACTTGAAGGTATAAGCCATTCTAGGGACAGGACCGGCCCCAGAAGGCCAAAAAAGAAGGCAAAAACAGGACAAAACGTACAGCAGTAGGTATTCGCTAGTGGTCACCCACCTAACTACTAATCTACCGATTCAAAGCTTGATTGCAGGAGAGCGGACGGGATCCGATGTTTTCTTTGATCTATGGCCGTACGTGAGAGCAAACGGTGAAGTATTTGGTTTATATTCTCGAAACAACTCGACCCTTGGAGATGGGCATTGGCGCTGGTAGAAGAGGTGGGAATCTATAGTTGAGCCAACGTTTGTGCTAGAACTGATGGCAATTTTGGGGTCGCTTAAGCAAAACGGCACGCTAGCATTCTGATTACAAACACCGAGACAGGTTTCAGTCGCACTACTGTATAGTTAAAGCTATAGTTGCAGTACAAACAGTGGCATTTAGCCTTACTCTTCATACTCCTGGTAGTAGCATGTACAGAAGACTGGCAAGGAGCCCAACACCAACACACTGCCCAGAGTATCATACAGCATAGCATCGTAACGGACCTTTTATGCGTGGGCGTCATCCCGACTATGTATCCCAGCCCCAGCCTCAAGACCCATGAACGCCAATCCCCTCATGTTCCCATTTACTCCCCCTTAAGAAACACCCTCCTCGTCGACCCCGCCTTGCCCAGATCCCTGAACTCCCCACCACCGCCGCCATTATCCAGCTTCCGCGCCTTATCCATCATCCCCTCAACCCACTCCAATTTCTCCCCACTCAAATCCAACTTCCTAGCCGACAGCCCTCCAAGCCCAACATCCTGGCCTCTACTCCCCGTGCGTCCCGAGTCCGTCGTCGAGGGCTCCGAAACCGGAAACGCCGGACTCTTCGGCGTCGACGAGACCTGTTCCGTCGATGCTCTCGCCACGGACGCAAAACCCATGACGCCGTTCGGCGGCGGCGGCGGCGTATACGTCGGTGCCGCGCCGCTTGGGGAGCTGAACTTCGCGATCCTGGCACCGATGCCCGACGGCATGGTTGGCGTGCTCACCCCCGGTGTTCCGGTGCTTGGTAAACCATGCAACTCGAGCCGTCCCTCCGAAACCGTGCGCCTGCCGTGATGTTCGGCGTACTGCCTGAGATACTCCCCCAGATCAGCCCACCCGCCACCGACGCGCACCATGAGCCTCTCGCCGTTCTCGCCGACGCGCCGGATGAAGAGCTTGATGGGCTTGTCCTTGCCGGCCTGCGTGAGGTGGTACAGTCGGATCTCCGAGTCCGGGTCGCCGCGTCTGCGGACGCCGCGCGGGTCTTCGTTCTTGACGGGGGAGAGCGTCAGCGACGGTTGCTTGCTTGGCCGCGCGGCGCTGGGGGGTGAGGAGGGGCGGCTGTAGGATGCCGCGCGTGGCGAGCTTTCTTCAAGCGGCTCTGCCTCGGCCCCGGACATGAGGCGAATTGGTGCACGGATCAGGGTTATGATTCTGTGGATTTGTTGCTCGAGGTCGAGGACTGGTTCGGCCTTGCTTGCTGGGGACGACTGGGCTTGCTCGTCGGCGTGAAGCTCGTCTGCATCCAGACAAGCTTGGGAAGACCTCTGCGGCGGCCACTGTGGCCTCAAGTCTTCCTTCCGCCGGCGCTTCGCCATGGCGGAGTTCAGGGGAGGATGGGGCATTCGGGCAACCTGACGATTAGTTACCTGCCGGATAGTTGGTGAATCTTCGACACGACGGGAGGGCGTTGCTGGTGGTGAGGCAGTCGCGGACGAGGTTGCAGAGAAGGCAGGGCTTGACGGGATGCTCTCAGGGGTCTGTGGTCGTGGCGACTGGGCTTGAGCGGCAGGCGATGGAGACAACTCGTCTTCGATCGTCCCAATTGTTCCGGAGGATGCCGAGTCTTCGTACTCGTCGTCATACACTGAGAACTCCTGGACCGGCGAAGGAAAAGATGGCTCATCCCTCATCATCCCCGAACGCTGGGACGACGTAGACGAACGGCGCATCAAATAGCTTTCTAGCCGTTCAGCAGAAGCTTGAGACGCTTGGTGATACTGGCTTGCGCTCGAGCGCCGTCGTTCTAAGCCATCCTCAGACGTATCAATCCCGTACTCAGGACTCTGAGTTTCGCGGTCTCGGACCGACTGATGCTGAGGAAGCGAACATGCAGACGATGTACTACTGGTCCTTCGAATGGTGACGCTTTTGACCTGATATCAAGTTTAGTCTAATAAAAGAACCTATTGGGGTAAAGAACAGCATACCTGTGAACGAGGAATGGACTCGATCGAGGTTATGGAAGCTCTCTTCATCATCGTCTCGACAGGTCGATGAAGCGATGGAAGCCATGATGACGTCCCACTTGTATTCTCCCCGAAACTACTCATGGTCGATGGCTGTGTGGCGGAGTTAGGCGTGAGCTTCAATCGAGTGGTTGGACTTGCGGGCAGAACGATGGAATCGCTACCAACGATGTTTTCGGATAATGGACTGCCTGGTTTCCCCGGCTGGCTCGGCGTCGTATTTGGGAGTTCTCTTCTGTCTCCTACATGGGAGTTCATCAGAGAGCCAATAGTGTGCCCTTCAGCGCTTGCGTCGAGTTGGGCAGCATTCTCGAAGAAGCCACCGTTAAGCATCCCAATGGGCGATGGGTGGACAAGCTCGATAGATGGAACCCGCGCAAACAGCTCTGTTGGAGGCAACGAGGGCCGATCCGTACCCTGCAACGAAGCTACAGTGGGCTTCTTTCGCTGTTCGGAGGCCACTTTCATCTCAACCTCGAGAACGCGTCGCTGAGACACGACGGTCCATTTCGCGTAGTCGGCTTCAAGGCCCTCGAAGTTGTCAATCCAAGCATCCGGTATCGTGTCTTCACGACCTTCGAGCTGGTCCAGCATCCTGTCTAGCCGCTCCCCAAGACCGCCGACTTTGTCTTGCAAGACTGTTCGAATGGACTGGAGTGCTTCTGCCCAGCGAGTCGAGGAGTCGCCTGTATCATTGGCATCAGCTGGCATACGCATAGCGTCCCAGGCTAGCTGCAAAGCGGTCCTCGAAGTTTTGAGTTCCTTCAAATATCCCGGGACCTCACGAAGTACCGCCAGACGTAAAGTCCATGCATCCACCGATTGATTGAGCTGTGAGAGGTGCGGCAGGGCTTGGAGTAGCGTCTTTGTAATCAGTAGCGACACATCATCGAGTAACGTCAGAGCGGGGTGTTTCTCGCTGTAGCTTGAGGATGGCCTAGATCTGTTTTGACCGTGCATCTGAAGTACAAGGTCCTTAAGCTCGTCCAGCTCAAGGTCTTCCAGCTGAATTGCGATATCCCGAAGTCGTTCCTCGTACGCCTCGACCTGCGTGGATGGCAGGGAACCCCAGTATCTCAGTCCGCCGGCTGTATTGGCTGCTCCATTGCGCGCCTGCATGCCATTGGCATGGTTCTCCGTGCTCTTCTGGGAGTTCCCATGCTCCTCATCTTCCGGAGGCTCGAATGTACCCGCCCAACCCCATTGTTCTATCTCGGCGCACCACGCCCTGAGCTCAGCTGCCGCTTCTGCAACTCTGACACCGAGGGCCTTTTCTGCGGCGGTAGCGGCGTTGATATTCGAACATAGGCTGGCTTCCTCCTCATCGTCTGCTAAATCTGACGAAGCGTTGTCGGTGAAGATACACAAGGCTGTCGAGGGAGATGTGTCGCGGAGGAACTCAAGGCCTAGTAGTAGTGTCAGCTGCAAGCAATGAGATAGGACAAGTTTGATCGTTAGTTCGGTGCAGTGCTGTTTGCGCCGCCGGTACAGAAGCAGAAGCATTACAATGAAACTTTCCGCAAAGGTAATCCAGGAGAGCCGTATCCTACTCACTTGTGCCGTTGGCTGATCCGTCGTCGTGGGATTGTTTCCGAGCGGGTTTGGTGGGTGATACAGCCTCCTGTAAGCCGATCCGGCTCCCGAAGAATGCGGCGTCGGATGTACGTGCCATTAAGCTCTCTCTCTCACACCAAAGTGGACAGGCGAATATGTACAAAGAAGACGCAAGACGACAAGAAGGGTGCACGCTGCCGCCGATGCTGGTGTTGTTTGTTTGACTGCGCGGCGGTTGGTGTCGGGTATCAATATCAAAGCTGCAACATGGATGACATCGTGGGGAACTTCGCTGGGAGCTTCTGATGCCGATCCACCGACCCTAGTCAGGCACCAAGGCCATAGGTCCTTGGTGACAGCCCAGTGCTCTTGACTCCTAACATAATCCAAAGTCTTTCTTGCAGCATGGCTGCTCTACGCTTAAACAGTCGAAAGGCACGACAGTACACTTGCAATACTTGTACTGTTACTGAAGTGCCCGAAGTCTAAAATCCGCCTTACCGCCCAATACTTAGCATCTACTCATGTATGCACTATCCAAAGAGTACGCAGCGCTGAATTTGGCCCTCAAAAATGGCATTCCCGCCGTCATGTGTGGCTTGAATCTACTTAGTATCGTGAACGAGGCCACAGAGTCTATGGAGCCTCGCTCTTGCTCTATCTTCATCATCCTCGGGTCCATCCCCTTAAGCGTGAACCGTAGCCTCATCATCCCCGATAGCAGGCCAAGCTGTGGCGCTTCGTCGAAGAGCAAGGAACCGCTAGAGGGTCCCTCGCCCAGCCCTTTGTGGACGCAACCTCAATGCTTCTGCTTCGCCTTCTCCCGTACCAGTGCATCAAACCTGCAAAACGCCGTCAATCCAACAATTCTTCAACACTTCATGAGGGAGACTCCACCTCTGCAACGACCCATAGCCCTCAATGAAACACGACCCCATCCACATCCACCAAAGCCTGCTTAGCAGCGGCACAGAATGCCTCCCCAACCTCCTCACCATGACCACCACCTCGGCCGCATGAATCCCGACCATCAGCCACAGCACCGCCGGCTGGATGCCCGCAAAGTAGCTCGAGCCCGGAACGTGCTTCAGCAGGTAGTCATACACCACCGAGCCGGGGAGGACGTTGCCACGCCGGGAAAACACGACATAGGTGAACAGACAGAGCCCGAAAACGACAGCGTGAAACCCCTTGGGAGAGCGATACTCCTTGACCGTGACCTCGCTCCTCCCGAGCCCGGCGATGGCCTCCCTGTCCATCTGGACGACGCGCTCGCGGGCTTCCTTTAGGGACGAGAGCGGCGGGTCGAGGGGGATGGTGTACAGCGCGCCGCCGCATCTTACGTGCAGGCTGTTGAGGTCCATTTTTTCTAAGCGAGCGTTGCGGGCGGAGAAGGAGGAGAGGCCTTTGTAGTGCTCCAGATAGCGGATTACCTCACGCGCGGGTTAGGATGTCGTGGTAAGGAGGGACATGATGATATTGGGTACCGAGTCTCTGTGGTCGGCGTTCATGTGTGTGACGATGCGCTGCTGCATCGCTCGCTCTTTCTCATCGGCGGGGGTCGATGGATCCATCTTGATTGAGATCTATAGCGTCTCTATATGTCTGGGTTGATTTCGGAGTGTGCAAATGATGAGTCTAACTGGGAAGATATCGGAACGGTGACGGATTGGTAAAATAACAGGAAAGATGACTGACGGGAACCGAATTTAGATAATACAACAGTTCTATCTTTACCCGAACACTGCAATCTAGATAATGAGGCTCGTTGGCAAAGAACGGTGTATCTACAGTCTTGATTACAGATCTGAAAGAGTTGACGGCCCTTCGTCGTGGGTTGTCACGTGCATGCATCAACCACCACGAAGTCACTGATCGCCCATCCGGACTACAGCCAACTGTGTTCAGGGATTCTTCACCTGCAAAGCGACTGTTACAGGTAGATCTCGATAAAAGGTTGACTCAAAAGTCACATTAACGAGAATATATATTACATGGTCAATGGAGATGATTGCGGTTGCAGCCAGTTTGTCCAGCAGTTATTGCAGTATGTTCGACGTTCAGTAAAGTGAGGTAAGATACACTCTACACGAGGGGCGTTATTCCCGGGACCTCCAAAACGCCAAACAAATGCGGCCAGCCAGTCCTGGCACCAGAAGCCCCAGCAGATCTATGAACCCAATATGCAGGCCCGTTTGCAATCATGTCGTATCCCATGCCCTCATAAACGTACCCATGCCCCGCTTCCCACATAATCCTGCCCCCCAAGCGAGACACCGCCACACCTACGCCGCCTCCTGATGTTTCGCACTGCTCCCCTTCTCCCTGAACGTGCTGACCGCCGGAATATCCGCCCTCAGCCGTTCCTCCTGGGTGCTATACGCCTTGGGCGTCAACTTAATAAGCGTATGCAGCGGCACCTCCATCCACGGACTCCTCTCCTGCGGCACGTTCATAAAGTAGGCATAGATACACCGCAGAATCGCCTGATGCGTCACAATGAGGATGTTCTCGCTCCGCTCCAACTCCATGATGATCGGCTCGAGCCGGATGACGACGTCCCGGTACGACTCCCCGCCCAGGTAGCGGTAGTTGTACTTGTCCTCGTCGCGCTGCTTGAAGTCGTCGGGGTAGCGCTCTTCGATCTCGGCGTAGGTGAGCCCGTCGCAGACGCCGGAGTCGAGCTCGTCGAGGGCTTTCCATTCCAGCTTTTCGAACTCGAGGAAGCGCGCCGTGGCGATGGTGCGGCGGAGTGTGGAGGTCCAGACGGTCAGTTTGCGCGCGTCGCCCACGGATTGCTTCACCAGGCCCGGGAGCGCGCGAGCGTACATCTCGCCCCGCTCGGAGAGCTCGGCGTCGCCGCCGATTTTGCCGTTGAGGTTGTATTGGGATTCGCCGTGCTGGTGTCTGTTAGTTGAGGGAACGGGAGGGAGTCGGAACTGCATAAACGCACCCGCGATAGCCAGATGGACCGAGGCCTTATGTGCAGGTTCATGAGGTAGTAGACAACCCGGCTCTGGAGGTAGTCTTGGATCTGGTTGATGATGACATGCTTCCCCACATCTATGAGCTTGACGTATGTCAGGTCGAACTCGTCCTCGTCTATCGTCTGGTAGACCCGCTCGTAGTTGCGTATCCGGTTGCGGAAGTCCTGCGCCGCAGACTCTGGATCTTGTCCAACGTAGTCCGGCGATGTGGTCTTCACCTCCAGAATGTTGCTCATGATGGTGTCCTCATCGTCGCACTTGGACTCTACGAACAGCGTTTCGATTCCTTCGGCGTCGCAGCGCTCTTGTATCCAACGCCGCCGCTTCTTCGTTGAGTTCGTGGCGTCTAGTATCGCGATCAGGCCTTGGCCTTCGGCAAACCACTTGCACATGTCGTTGACTGCCGCTTCGGCCGCTGCTTTTCGTAGTCGCTCGCCCTCTGTGTTTGATGTGTCGAAGAAGTCGGCAGACGGAGCGGGTGTGTTTGTGCGGCGGTATTGGCCAACGTTGAAGGTCTTTGCTTTTATGGAGAGCCAGTGGAGGTAGCGGACGACTGCTCGCAGGGTGCATAATCAGCGGTGCTATAGTGAGCGGGTGAAGATCTCCAGGCACGCACCTTTTTGCGCAATGAGGCTCTTCCCTCTGGCCGGCAGCCCAACCATGACGACACATATCTTTGTATCCTCTGCCTGGACGCCGACGCCGTTAGTCTTCCTGGATGGAGTCATGAATTCGCCCGTAGGCACGCGCCGCATGTCGTGGTTGAACTCCCCGTTGACCGTCATGGTTGGAAAGAGTGCGGATGCAACAAAATGATAGACACTGAAAGCGAAAGACGCGGAGACAGCTCCAGCAGCAAAGAGCGGGGTTGATTCAGGAAGTCAAAGAGAGGAAGCAAGCCAGTGAAGCAAGCAAGCAATGACGGCGCAGTCAAACGGAGAGGTTCCTGGAGTTTGAGTGACAGTCGTCCAGCAGGTTTGACAAGCTAGGGTTGACAACGTTGGACCGTTCCTGGGGGAAGCAAAAGGCGGAGGGGATGATGATGGTTTGGCAGGTGTTCGATTTTAGCCCGGCTTCAAGCGAGGCCGATCTTGCAACCATGCCCCGCATAAACATGGCGCAGGTGCGAGAGCGAGAGCCCCCTTCGGCGTCCCAGAAACGCCTTCCCGGCCGCTTTGCCAGATCCACGTTGCAGAGATGAATGCCGGGACGTTTGCGCGCGAGAGCCGAGGTGCCTTTTTTCCTTTGAAGATGTGCTCTGCGCACGGTGAGGCCCGTTGTTAATCAAAGATCGGCGGCAGCTATGGTTTCATGCAAAGGGTCTCTCTGGGTATCCATCAGGAGACAGCATCGGGCTACTCAGTTACTTGATCCTCTCTTTGCTTTCGCAGTCGTTGAAGCATGTCGTGTGCCCTGGAAAGCGTGACACCGAGGGTAGGTGGGAGCTAAGCCGGGTTTATCCACTGGCGTGATGCTTGTCCGCAGCCACTCGGCGAGGCCCGGGAGGACGACCGGAGCATTCCTCCAGCGTTGTTGAGAATGGAAGGAAGATGCGCCGCCCATCTTCAACAGTGCTACAGCACGGAAAAGAAAAGCTGATGAGGAAGAGAATGCAATAGAGAGAGCTAGCCACTCACCCAGCTAATGGAGTAATTTCTCGCGCCCGAGTCTCCCATGTCTGCTCAGTGCCTGCCCGGTCGGCCGGTATCAACGAGGAGTTAGTGCCGGCAGATGCTGCAGCTCAGATGGTTGAATAAATTAAGCTGTTACTTGTGCAAGAGTTCTTCCCTCTAGTTCGCGCCTGGTTGTTTGCAGTCGGTTTCGGACGTGGTTGAGGAATGCCTCAACCTTTCACAGATGTTGATTGCCTAGCTTATTTCTTTTCATGCGAGATAAAGCCTTATCATCAGGGGGAACACTGCGCGTCATATCAACAAGCACGCTCTTGACATTCTTCTGTGAGCTGCTATATAGTGGTATTACAGTAGTACACTTGATGGCACGTTGAATGGAAATGTGTTCAGACGCTTTCGTGGTCATCTGATGGCGCATGTTGAGAAAGGCCCACACCGCTCGTAACAACCTCTCATGCTAGACAGCATATGGTATCAGGGGTACTGGAGCCCTCCCTCCCGTGCAGACATAGAACGCCAGTGGTGTGGTCCGACAAGACCTGGTAACGCCAATCCATACCTCGCTCCGCATGCGATAGACAGGCGCGGAAAATCAAGCGTTTGCAGGACCTCCGAACAAGCTGAGCGAAGGCTCTCCTTCAGCCTCCGCGGGTGTTGCAACTCGGACAACATCACTTAGAGCTGGCACCCGCTTACCTTTCTTAGTAGCGGGTTTAGCTTTCTTAGGCGTCGGCTTCACGGTTCGTTGGCGCTTCGCCGGGCTCTCCAAAGTCTTATCACCGTTGCTTTGGGTGTCAACGCTGTCGATGCGTGCCTGACCGCGACCAGGTCTGCCAAAGACCTGCAGCGGAGTCTGCAGCCTAGCCATCTGCCTCTCACCGAACGCCTCCGCCGGATCGACAGGAATGGCCGGGGCCTCCATCACGATGTCCTTGATCTTCTGGTCGTCCTCAAGCGTCTTCGTTTCTTGGTGCTCAGTCCTTGTCATGGCCTTTGCTCGCTCGAAGATTGCTTCTTCGACGGTTCCCTTGGCCACCAGCGTCTCCACATACACTGGCCTCGTTTGACCGATCCTGTGTGCACGCTTGATGGCTTGCGCCTCGATGTTCGGCCGGTTGCACGGGTTGATGAAGTAGATCCGACTTGCGCTGTTGATGTCGAGACCCAGGGCACCGCATCTGATGTCTAGGAGCATGACCCTTATAGTTGGGTCTTCGCGGAACGCTACGACGTACTGCGAGCGAAGCTTGTTCTTGAGTGACTTTGCGTAGATGCGGTGCTTGATGTGGAGTAACTCGAGGCATTGGGCGATGTAGTAGGCATTGTTATCACTGTCGTAGAAGATGAGGATCTTCTCCTGCTCATGGTGGAGTCTGATCTGCTCGAGGAGATAGCTGAGCTTCGAGGAGGTCGTGCCGATGACGCTGGTTTGTTTCAGCGGCGAGTCTTCGCTCAACTCGTGGTCGGTCTCATCTTGGGCGATGCGCTTCTTCGGCGATGCGGTTCGTAGCGCTATACTAGCTCCGTCGCCGGCACCAGGCGCACAGGCCATTGAGGCCCCCTTTTTTGGGCTTGTCTTTCCTGGCGTAGAGACAGGGTGCCGCTTCGAAGCCGCAACTTCCTCCAGAACACATGATGATGGAACGCTCTTGGATGTCATAATTTCGTTGTTTTTCTTCTTCTTGACCTCGGCGGTTCGTTCCTCAACCTCATTTATTTCTGCCTTGGCGGCGTTGCCAGCTGCCTGAAGACCGTGAGTAGGATCTGTAGCGGACAGCTGGCTGTCGACAAGCGCTTGCGCCTTGAGCAGCTGAGTTATTCCGACCAGCAATGGCGGCGCCGATCCTGATCCCCCAAGCGACCACGAAGCAGCTGAATCCCTTGGCCAGTCTTCAACGAACATGCCGACCTCATGCGCCCAGCTGAGGGCCTTCCAGCCCGGCGATTCAGCCGCGACCTTGGTAAGCGCGATGCTCTCTTCAAGGAGCCGGCGATCCGTGTCTGTACAGGAAGTATCCTCCTTCAGTAAGTACTCTTCGCTAACCTTGAGCGTTTTCTGAACGTCTTCCTCGCTGAAGCCAGTCCACGTGAAGTTACTCTGTCGGAGGTTGGTGATTAGCTGGTAGCGTGCTTTCCGACTGTTTGGGTGGAAGAGATAGTCAGTGTCGGTCCTCTCGCTCGTGACGGCGTTCGCTCGGAGGACCTGGATGAACAGATTTGCCGTGAGCTTGTCGTAGAATGAAGGCTCCAGCAGAACGACGCGATGGTGTAAGGGAGGCAGCGCGATGTCCTTCTCAACATCTGCAAACCGTGACTTCACCACCAGCTGCTCCAGAGCTCTTCGCAGACAAAGTGAGAAGCCTGAGTATGTCCGACGCGTGAGATGTTCATGTCTGTATACGTAATCGTCCCAGTAGATCCTCTCTTCGCGATCTGACGTGGCCCATGGCTGAACCTTCAAAAAGTTGGTCGCGAGTGATCCCAGGCTGCTGATGGCATCTGATGCGTCTTCAAGTATGCTGAAGTCCTTGCGTTGCTCCAGCATCATCTCGCGGCTTTGGCGGACCTCAACATCGGCACCATCATCGTGGACCGCAAGATCGACTTCAACTCCCAGCAGTTGATCTTTAGCAGGCGTGCCGCTTACGACCCACCGCCGATCTGCGATGACCAGCTTGTCTGCCACAGTAACCGCGTGGGAGCTTGCAGAGGAGAAGTTGTGGCCTTCGTCTATGATGATCCGAAGCCAGTGAAGTTTCTTCAGAGGCGAATCGTACACGTTCTTTTCCCGGAAGCAGTAACAGTCAACAGTACGTGAGCTGCCGATGTAGGAACAGTTGCAGCCAAGCTGGCGACCTTTATGTGTTCGCCTCCCTTGCTTGTCTGAGCCATCGCTAATTTCTCGTTCGAACCGAGGTCGGCTGAAAATGACAAGGTCGTACGTGGAGAGCTCGGCGACAGATGGTAACTTCGTCGTCGGCTGCACTGCGAAGAAGACGCGGAGATAACCGTCCACAACGTGCTTTTGTATTTCGGCCTGCCACTGGTGTACTAGATTTGGCGGCACTACCAGGATGGTGCCACTGCACATCGTGATCTCACGAGGGCTGGGCAGACTTCTCCTCTGCGGTCTGGGCGGCTTCGCAGGTATGATATAGCGGGCTGAGGCAGCCTCAAGCTCATTCACGCATCGCGTCATAGCTTCACCTGTCTCATCCTCAAGCCGTCGGAAGAACGCTTTCCACGGAATGGAATGGCGGTTCGCAGTGGCGACGGCCATATCTACAAGACTTCCCACTTTCTCGCGGGTTGTCGTACTCTGCTGATACTGTGGAGGGATGTGAGGGAGGTGATCTCTCGTGGCCAGTATGACTGCAAGGCAGATGAGAGTTTTGCCCAGACCCTAAAAAGTCAGCGGCGCCTAGTCTGCCTACGGGTCAGGATAGATCTACCATAGTTTCTGCTAAAATGCCTCCCTTGTTTGCTTCGTAGTACCGTGGGTTCTTCAGAAATATTCCAGCCTGCGCCCAGTAGTAGAACGGCTGTCCATCTGGTGCGTGCCTAAGCTCGAGTCTGGGGTCCAGTTGCAGCTCAGGCGCCGATTCTCGCTGGACCATCAAGGCGGCTGATCGTGCTTGGTACGGATACAGTGCCGTCTTGAGGCCAGACACCCACGAAGCAGAATCTAACAGCTCCTCGACGGCGAGTCTTGAGTACTTGTCTTGTATTCGTTCCGGCTGTGGGGACGGAGACGGCAGTGTGTTGAACATGTAGAACAACGACTGCTTATCTGCTGTAGCCCAACGGTCGAAGTGCTGCTGCTCATGCGCGGAATCCGGGTCGGACCAAGCTTGGGGAGATACATTGATAGATGCCATGAGCGTGTCCAGTGCCGAGTTGCGGGAATTGCTGCTGCGTTCGATGCGACTTCTGCCGACGTCGTGAGGCAGTAGATATATCCGAAAGGCTGTTACCCGATCGGCGCATATCTCCTTGATGTACACTTTTATCCGTTTCTCAAGCACCAGCTTCTGAATCGAATGCCATACTTGATCAAAGAAATCCGATTTGCGCATTGAGATAGGCATCGCCCACTCGGTCCACCGCTGGCTCGCGTCATCCTGCTCGCTCGCCGTATGTAAGACGTAGCCGCGTCTAAAGAGGACGCCCAGTGGAAGATAGTCTCTTGCAAGATCGAGCGACTTGGCCTTTGGTTGAGTTGGTTGAGTTGGTGGAGGCCACGTCAGGTCACGCGGAAAGTCGAGAGATGGCAAGGTAGAGGGTGAAGATGCCTTATAGCAAGCGAGAGCATCATCATCAGAAGCACCGGAACTGTGAGAGAGATTGCTGGATGATTGAGGTAGCTGAGTCCAAGACCAAGACGAAGACGGAGGACATGCGGGTGGTGTAGCTGACTCCAGCTCCATACCTACTCGAGCGCCCAGGAACAGCGACGGTCATGTGCGTGTTGGCCGGCTGCAGACCATTGCCAGCGGCAACAACTGGCTGTCGGTCAGATCTCTAGATATCCAGTGGCAGTGGCACCTTGTAGCACGCTTGTAGCACGGATATGGATGCCTTGAGCATGAATATAACTGAGTAGAATCGAGATCTCTGCCTCTGCCTCTGCTGGAGACTCGAAGACTGAGCAAGCCACCAAGGGAAGACTAAAACAATCGCGGCTCCGCCTAGAGGTATGCACGAAATTGAAGATTGAAGTGAGGATGTCTGGCCGTGACTTTTTCAGCCTTCCCCTTTGCACCCAGATTCCGCAAGGGAAGACTCGGAACTTCTTCGGGCTTTACCTCAGCTTCTCCAGACTTCACTTCCACATTCCCACACTCCCACCGTTGTTTGTCATGAAGACTCGAACATGATGTGGTTTTACAGTTGCCCACTCCAGTCGGAAAGTGATAGCCCATCAGCAGCATGACGAACGCCTTGCGCTTGTGAGATACTCTGCCCGTCAACTTCGAGTCTCTCATATCCCGTCTCCTTGCTGTATAACTGGCAGCTCCGATGGGATGCTGATGATGGCGTCTCTTTCTGTCGGAACGCTTGAATCACCCTCACCTTCCACGGATCTAGCAGCCTACCGCACAGATCCGGCATGAAGCCAGCTCCCAAAATTGCTTCGGCGCAGGTACTGACACTGCTCAAACAGAGGTAATTGCCCTGGCCGCATCGTTCCTTGCAGCAAAGAGAACCGAAGGCCGAAGACCTGCGATTCACCTCCGCACGGCACCTCATGCGTTGCGGTGATGCAGAAGCGACACTTTTGGCTCTTCCCTCTGCGGAGTACGATGTCCTTCGATCCAGGCTCTACCTTCAGGCCGAGGTCTTCCACCGCGAGCTGATGTTCGAACTTTGCATACCGCTAGAGTGACTCCTCTGCTACCTCCGAGGAGCAGGAGCGATAATTCGTGGCCACGCAGACCCAAAAAGCTGTGTGTAGGGGGGGCCACAAAGTCTTGCCCCTGCCTTCACTCTATCGGCCGTAGGCAAGAGCAAAGGGTATCGACGCAGCCAGTGCATAGTATCCATCTTTTGCGGGGGTCCCAGCATGCTGGGGTTGCAGTCTGAGTGGAACGAGACATGTGGCTTGGAATATCTAGGCCAACAAGCTTCCTACAACATGGATCTGGCCCATCAAAAAGTCACCATCAGACCACTGCACACTACTCATTGGCCGTGTCAACACACTATGACCACTATAACGCCCGACTCAGGAGATGACCAAGGATCGAGGACTCTAGAGGGTACGAGAAGGAGTGCTGGAAGGAGTATAGAGTATATACTTGATGGTAATAAGCATCAGATTTGCAGAACGAGATTGCTAAAGCGTGTATGCTTCCATTGATAACTATCTATAGTACACTGCGCCGACACTCGAGTATCTCGAGAGTTCATCAGTTTTCGAACACCTTGCCAGCAAGGACTGTAACTGTCGCTTATCTCCGAGCCTTGTGACGTGGTCAAGACCGGAACTTGGGAGAGATAATGACAGATGGCCTCGAAATGTGGCTGAGGGAAACGTGGATGCTGATGACTTCGGGGGCTCTGCCTCTCACGAGTTTGCGACGATCTCCGCTGGCCATCACTATAGTGCTCTTATGCTCGAAGCTCCATCGATCCGCTCAATGGTACAGACTGCCACGAATATCTTTTGTCAGAGTTACGCCTATGTCATTCCATCACGGCGCCCTTGAGCGTCTCTTTTCCGTTGTTGCATCTCTTCGAACTGCAATAGAGCAAGTCCCTGTCAAAAGTCATCGTTTTCCATCTCTTCCTGATCCTTGCAACTGCCTGTGGAGTAAGCCCGCTTGGAGTACGTTACTGCTAGCTAAAAGTCCAAGCACCGCTCTCGGTTCATGCACAGGGGTGCCAGTAGCTAGAGGGTGTAGTTACCTCCTTACCGCCGCCTGAGGGACGGGCTTGGCCAACGCTTAACAGCACCGGCTTCCTCCAGTGCGAGCCGATAGTATCTTGGACTGCCCTGTCGTACCCTTGTCAGGTAGCTGCTGCCTGAGGAGCCCGCCTCTGGCCCTACCATCGGGACATTGCCGTTCCAAAGGCGCCTAAAACCCGCTTGGGATCTGGCTCCGGCCCGTTCGAATGAAAGGCTGTTGATTGCTGGCCGTGGGCCATCGCTTTTGCAGGACAAGTGGGGGTAAGCCTATGCTGATAGCCGCCCTCGGGCGTGATCGGCGGATGGTATCCTCCTCCTGAGAGGCGTATCCTGTTCCTTATCTTCAATGTTCAATATGTCTGACTTGTGCGTCGCCACCTTCGTCTGAGGGAGCTGCGTCTCTGTAAAGTGTCAAGTAGCGCGCCGAAAGAGCTACCTCTCGGCCGCGTGATGATATGGAGCGCTGGATCGTCACTCAGTGACTCAGGCCAGTTAACGGATAGGATTGACGCAGCCAATGTGTTCCAAACCGTCAGTGATGTCTCTGCAATCGTCTTGGTAGTCGAGCACGAGCCTAGGATCGCATGTCTTTCGTCGCAGTTTTGACCCTGCTGCCGCTTCGAGGGCGAGTGGGATACTGTAAAAGATAAGAGTAATCCTGATGAGTTGCCCTTACTCGACAAGCTTGAGTTCGCGCTTCTTGGTTTGATTATTATCATTGTTCTTGTCGTCTCGTCCCTCTCTTTCTTAGGTTTCTCTGGAAATGTTCCTGGTGTAGTCAAGCGGTATCAGCAAGACTAGTCTGCGACGATATTCCCAAGTGTTGCTACTGTAGGAAGGCTGTGCAAACCTGCTTCTGAACGTATTAGCATCTCCTTAAACGGCAACGGGAGCGTGCCAGATATGTTTGCAGTCAGCCCCTGTTCTCGTTCAGTCTGTGCAGCCTGTCGTTGCAGAGAAGGCTACTATACTTTGAAAGTAGCCAAAGTCCATACTGGTTTGGAATCTGACAGACTAAGAACGTCAGAAAGTGGCTCGTGCAGTCTGTGTGGTGGCATGCCAGATGGATATGTTTCCGGAGCCTTCGGGAAAACCCACACGTTTCACCCTTCACTTTTTTTTATCCACCCGATCTTCCGCAAACCCCTAGAACAAGATCATGCAAGTACCCTCTTCCATCACGCAGACAGCAGTTCCCTTCTAAGATATACAGGCGAACCATCGGAACCATCGACCAGCCAATCATCATGCCGCAATACGATTGGGACCAGTTCCTGGCGTTGCTTACCGAAGCCGAAAAGCGTCGCATCCTTGCGATGTTCTGCTTCGCCACAGCACCTCTCAGCGTACGTTCTGCAAAACCTCTCCACTTGTCCCAAAGAGCAGGTGAAATGAAGTATGATCTATTGACGTCTTTCCAGTGCGATTGGGAGAAAGTCGCCACAGCGACTAGATCCGCTTCAGCCGCATCCGCTCACAACCTTCACACCAACATGATACGTAAGCTCAGAGGCGCTGTACTCAAGGCCACTAAAGGCAACGGCGAAACTTCTGCTGCCGTGGCGAACGAAACCCCAGATACCACGCCCATCGCGCCAAAGATACCAAAAACGCCCAAGAAGTCATTCAAGCGCAAGACTGAGGACGAGACTGAGGACGAGACTGAGGATCCGAAGCCAAATAAATTTCGCAAGCTGGACTCTACCCGTGAGTTCGAAACCTCCATGAAAGGAGGCAGATCTAACCTGACAATACAGTGCTCACGCGGTTCGACAGGGATTTGATGAGCTCGATGCGCAAGGAGGAGTAGTCGTTTGGAGTCCAACGTGTCTCGGCTAACACGTCTTTGGCGATCGTTTCTGGGGACTGGTCACGTTGGACGATACGATGGATTGGGGAGAACATGCTTCTGTACTTATATCACGTCTACTCGCTGGCCCAGCTGTGGCTTCAGCATCTGCCTTCTAGCAGCACAACAAAGACCGGCTCAGCCGTCTCATTTCCGTCAACCTGAGTCCCCTCATAAACAAACCGCAGTGAGCAACCATGCAGAGACGAGAACAACAAAGTACCACCAAATAGACTGTACAAGCCTTTCATCGGAACGTCCCCACAAAGGACGAACAACATCGACAGCCTGCTCCGCCACACACAGCTCCGGCCTGACCGTCTTGTCAGCCATCCGAACAGCCCTCTGAGCGACCTTCGAAGCTTTCCTTCGTGCATCTTCAGCCGCTCGAGCTCCTCGCACCGGCTCTTCCTCAGCTGTCCGAATCGTTCGCGTCGTCTCTCCCTATAGCCACACAGCTCCCTCCCGCTGCCCTCGAACCTTGCTTTCCCTCCGCCACCTCTCCTCCTCCAGCACCTCCCTCACCATCCGCATCCTCTCAGACTCCGCCCTCACATCCCTTCGTATCCTCTCACTTACCTCCTCCTTCCTCCAAGATGACCGATGCCACTCAGCCCCCTACCTACACAGCCTTCCACCCTTCTCACCCTCCTCGGCCCACCGCCTCAACTGCACAAGATCGACCTTCGTCCCCCTTCTTCTTCTTCTCCTTCTTCGTCGTGGGCGCGGTACGTCATCGTCTGAGCTGGAGCTGAAAAGGCTCCCCACGCAGCCACGCGAGACAGCACCGGTCACAGGCTTCTTCTTCGCGGCGGAACTTGGCTTGGAGGCGCTGAAGGCGCCCAGTTTTGCAGTTGCAGCGGTATTCGTGCTGGGGGAGGAGCGTGCAAAAGGAAGAGGGCGAGGGGATTGATACTAAGGGTGGTGTGAGGGGAGGGGTAGGGGTAGGGGGAGGCGTAGGTGGCCTGTGGAGTGGGGGAGCTGGGGGAGCTGGAGGAGCCCAGTTTATGGGGTGGAAGTAGAACATCGTAGCGGTGATGGCGGGTTCAGGTTATGATAGTGGAGGTGGTAGACAGACTTAAGGATAGTGATACGATAGGAGAGTAGGCTGGTATGTTGTGCGGCATGGAGTCTTGGAAGATTGTTTGGAACAAAGCAGTTGTGCGGGATGAATGAAGGCGCGGTAGCGAGATGGAAAGGGCACTTATATGGTACAACTGATGTTTGCGAAGTTGTAGGGCGGCTCCGAAGCTCAACGGATACTACAACTGGGATTGGAAATCTGGTGGAGAGGCAACCAATGTCCTGTCGCCCATGATGCATGGAAAAGTCCAAACCTTCATAGTATCACCTCATCTTTCCGCAATCCCTTAATCCTCCCACAAATGTCCTCCGCCAGCGAACCTGTGTGACTTCCCGCCGCACCTCATGTTCTAGTCTCTTCAGAGTAGTTCGCGTATGCCGACCGTTCCAATAAAGACACGTTGAAAGCCTCCAAGGTACTCGCATGCAAACTTCAGGAAGTGTATAGTCAGACTGTCATTGAGGCTCGTGACAAATTTGAGCTCCTGCTCGGTGAGTTCTATCTCTCCTTCTCCCAGCGGCAATCCCGTGTCATAATTGTGGTGGTGATTTCGACTTGATATGGCTGCCGGTCCGGTCACTTCGTACTGTGATGCTTCAAACAAGATGGGTGAGTCTGTCGCATCGTCCCTGACGGGCTTTTGGTGTTGTGGGAACGTCGTTGAGCGTTTCTTGCCTCGAACAAGCGGCTGGAAATCGCGCGTCGCCTGGCCGTTTCGTCGAGCGTCGTTGCGAATGTCGGGACGAAGAGAAGGCGGCAAGAATGATAGGTCGTGATTTGCTGTAGTGAGGACACGCAGGTCCAAGACAGAAGGTTCACCTTGCCTTGCGTGTCGTGAGATTTTTGGGGGAGGTGTCTTTTGAGCGCTGATGGGGTTGAATGTTTGAGAGTGTAGTGGATGGGTTTCAGAGCCGCTATCCGGTGATGATCGTAGGGGCGGCATGGTTGCGAGCAGAGCTTGATGCCTGAAGGTATTGATTCTGATAGTGAACGCTTGATAGATGTGTGACCCCGTGAGGTACTACAGGACCGTCTGGAGAAAATCGCGGAAGGCGATCGAGCAAGTCAAGGATATCTTCCTGTTTCAGCAGCAGATCCTCCCCTTCGGGAATCCGAGTTTGTAAGGAGAATGTTGCAAGTTGAGCTCGCACGATAAACCGCACGCTAGAGCATACGTCCACAATGCCAGTCACGCAAGCACAGAAAACACGACACGGCGGAACAACTGGGTAAAGTGAGAGTTGGCGGTGAACGCGAAAAGACTAAATGATCTGCCGATGGTTCATACGTGTTGACACCAATTGTTGGGGTTTCAAGATGCAAACGTCCGTGGAGAACCTCAGGAGGATGCAGATTCAGAGCCAAATGTGAAGAAGTTCGCCGAGTAGCAGCAGTAGCTCGTCCCCCAACAATCCAAGCCTGTAGAACACACTGAGTAGGTGGAACTCGTCTAATAAGACCAACATAAAAACTGCAAGGCAGGAGAGTACGGAAAACATCATGCAGAGTGAAAGTTAATTGAAACGAGAGTTGATCAGCAATGTAGTAGCATAAGATGCCGCTCTCCAAGTCGCGACTGCTGCATCTGGCGCATGTGCTGTAAGATGGCAGGCAAGAGCGGCATCCACGCCTCGCTGGGCCAGCTGCAAAATCTGTCAAGGCCACGACGCAGCAACATAAATTGTGCGAGGGCATCCAGAGCATATTGAATTGTCGGCGATACATCACTACGAAACGCGCTGAGTAAGTGAGTTTTGTTCAAACAAACCGACCTGGGTGCAGTGAGCAAGAGCGAGAAGCCCATGACGGCGTTAGAAACACGACAAGGTGGAAGAGTTTACTGATATGGAGATGCGAGGCAAGTTTTCAGATTACAGAAACCATAGTCAGCGTACATTTTACTTTATGGGAGAAGCGCGGAAAGATACAGTGCGCAACTTTGGAACTGTAGTTACCAACAGGGGAAGAGATTTCCCGGGGATCCTTGGAAGCTCCAGTTCTTTCGGAATGTTCCACGGTTTCCTCCACACAACACAGAGGGCTCCAGTGTATCGACAATGAATGTCAGACAAGGTAGCATGCACACCACCAGGACCACAACCAAAAGAGTTCGGTCGTCCTGCCATCTTCATCAGTAATACTGGAATGATGTGCTGCACGCGACTCCGCCACGCCGAATCCTCCTTAAGAGATGGGACTTTTAGTCCGTGTTGCAGGCACGAGGGATGATAGTGGAACCATGATGCCGAATCTTGATACAAACCAAACACATGGATGTGTAATAAGTATGTCTTCTCTAAATATCCAGGTGTACCAAAGAAGAACAAGTACTCCCAAACGCTCTCGGACGTCCCGATCAACTGTCCGTACCCAGGTCATGAACCGTCAAACCCAACACAGGAGTGATTCAAACTTATTCACTGCGTACAAAACCCGTCGTCAGCCGGCATCGATCATGCACTAATCGCCCGTTATTCTCTGCCCCAAGGAAGTAAATCCACAAAGGAAAGACTGGACTCACTATAGCGACAGCGTCAAATCGCCCCTAATGCTCGCCTTGAGCTCAATCTCGACCTCCAGATTCGCCTCCAGCGTTAACTTGAGCCCATCCTGGTTCGCCAACGACCCCTTGTCCTCCTTCTTCTCCACCCGGTACGGCTGATTCGGATCCGTGCCGCGCATGGGGATCTCTCCTCTGAGCGCCCTGGCCATCGTGACAGGCCCATCCATGCTCGTGCTGTCCGGCCCGATGCGCTCGAAGAACTGCATCTGGTTCAGCTCGCCGTTGGCGTCGGCTTCCTCGAGCGCTTCCAAGCTGTTCGTCTTCATGTATTTGCCGTTCTCGATGCCTTCTTTGATGCGTTGGCGGCGGGCGCGCCGGGAGGAGGAACGAGATCGGTTGGATTGTAGGCCTTGTTCTCGCTTGAGTTGTTTGACGGAGTTGTCTTGCTTCTCTTGCTGCATCACCGTGCGGGCTTTGTAGGGCGAGCCGCCGTCGCTTTCGTCGCCGGAGCCGGCCATTGGGGCGGTGTGGGAGGGTATGTGCTGCTGTGTGGATATTTACGAAATGTATCGGACTTGGAGAAGAGAGACAGAGAAGACAGAGATTCGGTGGGAAGACAGACGCGGGCTAACACGATGCAAAGTTCAAGCGGCACGGATAGAACGAGAGGAGGTCAAGCTGGCGGGGCCCAGAGAGAGGGACGTCGGCAGCACGGTCAGGAACAGCCCACCGGCCGGTCGAAAACAAGGTTAATGGACATGCAGCATCGCGCTGATACGCTTCCCTCTTTCGGTCTGGGATGACTTGCGGCGTGCCAGATCGGGCGGCGCGAAACCAACATGATCAAGGGGATGCGAGCTGACGTTGCGGCTAGCAGGGGCCTGGAGGCACATGTTTGGTGGGGCGTTCTGGCGGAAGGCTGGCCAATGCTCGCTGAAAGTTGGCAGCAACGTCGACCGCGGGTGCAATATGCATTACAGAGGGGTTGCCGTGGGAGAGGGTTTGGTCTAACGTGAGAGAAATATTACGCGTCGAGTTTGTAGTTCATGTGACAGAGGCAAGGAACAGTGGACCGAGGTCATCCAATGTCATACTGGGTCATCAATTCGTGAAAGGGCAGCAACGACCGATCCCCAGATGTGCAATCGATCAAACAACGGAATTTTTTGGGCATGCGCATAACATCTGAAATAATTACACCAGATCCATTAGCCCATGAGCGTACTATCCAAACTATCGAACACATCTAGAGGCACAACCCAACAATGCGCGCATACGCCGTCTTGATAGCCAGAATCGCCATAAGTAATGTCTACACTGCGCTGGTGTGGTGTTTAGTTCCTAAGGATTGTTAGCATTGGGTTTGCGAAACTTGGGAGTGACAGCTGCACTTACAGCAGGCCTAGTGTAAGGTCACCGTGAATCTTTGCCTTGAGCTGGATCTCAATATCCAAGTTGAGCTCCAACCTAAGCCGGAGCTGCTCGCCCTTGCTATCCCCTTCCTCCTCACCGCCCCCGCCGCCAGTCAGACCGCCCAGGGCCTTGCCGGCCGTGTCGCCAACTTGGCCAACGGCTTTGCCGGCAGTGTTCTGGACCATATCGCCGGCCCCGTTGACCATGTCGCCGCCGGGCAGGTCCTCGGTGATGCCATCAAGCTGTCCACCACCACCGCCCTGCTGCTTGCCGCCCTTCTTCTGACGCTGGCGTTGGCGGCGGCCTCCTGAAGCAGACACGTCTGAGCGCGCGACCGACTCGGTGTCGCTGGTTTCCGGAGCGCCCTTTCGGCCACGGCCGCGAGACTGCCGCCTCCTCGAGCGCGAGGGCTCCGGCTTCTTCTCCTGCTCCGGTTCCGGCTCGTCGTTCTGCTCTGCCCCAGCGTCAGCTTCTGCTGCTTGACCATCGGCATCGGCGTCGCCAGCAGCTTCAGCTTCAGCTTCGCCAGCGCCCTCGGCTTGCGCTTCTCCGCCTTGCTCAGAGGGGGCGGGCGTCGGCTCTTGCTGCGGCTCTTGCTGCGGCTCTTGCTGCGGCTTCTTCTTGTTGCCGAGCTTCTTTGGAGTTTTCTTCTCACTTGTCTTTTTGCTCGAGCTTTCTGCGCCCGCTCCTCCGCCGACTGAAGCGCTGCCGGAGGCCTGCCCCTCGGCGCCAGCGGACGCCTGTTGCTCCTCGGTCTCTTTGGATGACATGGTGGAGTTTGCTCGGGCTTAGAGGTGTATAGCGATACTGTGCGGTACGATGGACTTCGGTGAATGTAGTAAGAGCAATGCGACTGCAGATGAGAGAAGAAGCGCAGAAAGAAGAGGCGGGCAGCAGGAACCGGTTTGACCGTGAGGGTCTCCGTTATCCTTGGCCCCTCAAGCCACCAGCCCCCTGCAACCTGACGCAATAAACCTGCCTCAACATGCGACGAGCCGAGCCAAAACCTGGCGTGAACCCCGTCCACTCATTTCAGGCAGCCATTTCAGGCAAGGTCAAATTGCCTCTTCGAGCTGAGCTGCGGGACGCGCGTGCAGCCAACCCAGTTTCCGGCTTTGACGCTTCCCCAATACGGACGCGTCGGCCAACTTTTCCGACCGTTTTTCTGCGCCATCCAGGGCTGATCACCTTGTCTGTGACCTTTCATCGGCCAGTCCAGCAGTAGAAGGTGGGACGCAATGACAACCATGGGAGCTGAAAGAGCGGCGAGCTGATGGCTAGCTCACGACGTCGACGCAAGCCTGCGTTGTTGCGCGAATTGTGTCCCTGGGCCTCTGTGCTGCCAGTGGCTGCCAATGGCTGGCGTTCCCAGAGCTGCTGCGCCTTCGCAGAACCAACTGACCACATGCAGTTGCGAACACTCTTGCCACGAACTTGCGCACAGGGTTTTCAGACGTCAACCTTTCATGTGAACGGGATCGCTCAACAACGAAATGGAGGGTGGCAGATGTTCCAGGTTGTTGCTTGGATCGGAGAACTCCGAGAAGTCAAGATGGATCGCGGGGATGTTCCAGGGCTTTGGACGTGGGGAGATCCCGGCTGCCGGCCCGCCAAACAGGGAATCGTTCACGTGCTGTTGCCAAGCCCAACCTACCACGCGTAGATAGCTGTTTAATCACGACAACGATTCGGCCTGCCCGATCTTCTCGAACAACTCAGGAACGAGGTCTTCCAAAGCAACAGGAGCGGTAATTCACCAATCGAGATCCTGACTGCTGGTCGAATGCTTCCAGGTTTCTATGTAAATACTAGTCAAAGCACCAAGCTCTAGATGTACTGCAATTGGAGCACTGAATCCGGTCCGAGCGAGCATCGCTACGCCATCGGCATGACCGAGACTGTCATTGAAAGGCCGTGATGTCAGATGTTATCCGACGAGATACTTGGAGAAGTGTCATCATAACAACCTCCACGATCTTTGAGTGGCAAGACACCCCACTGGTTCATTGAAACATAATACTCCTATTACCATGTCGCAGGGCGGGACTTCTGACAACCTAGTCATTCCGTTTATTCCACTGCCACCGGCTTTTTAACGTCAAAAAGGAACCGCTGAGCATCACTCAGCCTCTCCCAGAGCGCAGGTGTGATATGATCTTGCTGCTTGAACTGCTGCTTCAGATCGCGCCGTGCGTAGGTAAGATGCAGCATCCGCCGATGTCTTCCACTCACGTTGGCCGTCCCTCCGTGCCACAGCGATGCGTTGCACACAACTACGGCTCCCTTCGGGGCATTGAATAATATCTGTCCCGGAAAGGGCGCCAGAGGGTCTTTGGGAAAGCGACTCGTATCGCCGTAATCACCATTGCGGCGCGCATCCTGCTCCCACTCTTCAAGATTAGGTTCAGGCACATTGAGGTGCGGCCATCGATGAGACCCTGGAACCATGCGGGTTGGTCCGTTCGAGTCATCCATGTCGTCGATGCAAATCAGTGCGTTGACCAGTCGCCAGTCGTCAACACTGCTCTTGAGCACGTCACTGTGGAGCGGTTGGTGTCCGTGGCCTGCGTGTGGCTCACGCATGTTTGCTCCATGGAGCTTGAACTCTCCTAGTAGGTAATGAGATGCGCCGAGGACGGGCTGGATGGACAGCACAGGATCGAAGACATTGGACTTGTTGAAAAGGTCTGAGAGACGGGTTGCTCCTTCTTCTGCGTCAATGACTAAGCCGGGATTGGACGCTTCCGCGGCGGTCAACTGATCGAAAGTATCCGAGATGGCTTGACATTGAGAGGCAGTGAAGACGTCGTAGATTACAAAATACCCGTTCTCGTCGAGAGAATGAGTTTGCTCCGCGGTAAGAAGGGGAATACGGTTGCAAATATCTCTCAGGGCTGCTTTGGTATCCATCTTCTACCCAGTCAGAGAGACGGAAAAGAAACCACTGAAATGGAGATCAAGCAGGCACGTCCCTTTGCCATTCGTTGTTTTAAATCAATGAACACAGGTTTCTCACAGGCGACCAACGTGGGCGGGGTAAGGCGAGCTGCGGGCCCTCGGCTTCGACAGTAGAGTTCACAAACTGCATCGATTATCATAGCATCTGCAAAACTTATCGTTTCGACTTATCTCAATAATTAGTTGCAGTCTCTAAAATATTAAGTATTGGAAAATGAGGCCCAGTGCCCGCGGAGCGGCCCGGTCAGGTACCCACCTCACGAAGGATGGGGTTCTGAGTGAGGAAGCGCTGCCTGTAAGGAAGCATCGACAATATTACGACTTCCTCTTTGTGTCATCAGTTTCAAAGTTCTACAGCTTTAATGGGTGAGAAAGCATGCGATTCAGCTATGTATCACGATATAGACGAGTATACATCATGTGTTGTGGCTGTTCGACGATGTGGTGACCGGCACCGCTCCCTCACTAAAAACCCCCATCCTTCGTATTTACCGTCTATACCAAGCCTGACTGCATGGCGCTTGAGAAAGCGTGAATCCGCTTTGTTAAACAAGTTGTCTGAATTCCCTAAGTCCTTGCTCCGTCTTTCTTGGAAAATCAGTTGGTTAATATTGGCCATTGTGGCAGCACTTTAGGCGTACCATTGCACGTGACTCCACTGCACCCTGCTACTGACTTTTCATGGTCAGTAGGGGTAAAGTACTTAAGAACCTGTATATTTTGCACATCATCCTTCATTCTTCTAAACCAGCGAGTCCATATGTCACTACGTTCTGACGATTGCTTCGTCGGTTTTCTCAGTTTGCTAGAGCGGCAACCCTTTTTTTGTACCACTCTTGCATAGCCAAGATGACCTTTGTGCCAACTCCAGAGAGAGCGCTGCAAGACCCCCATCTCCAAGGTTTAGTACTACGGTCACGAGCCGCTGTTAGTGCGACGCTGAAGTCAGCAGCCAAATTCTCAGAGACCAGCGCGTTGCAATCATCGAAACAGGATCCCATAGGACGAAGTCTTCTTCTCGACCTAACCCGGGAGCTCCGCAATGCCATCTACACTGCGCTCTTGCAAGCACCCGGTGTCGTCCTTCTCCGCGAGACACCATCCGGATGCTTTAGCACCATGCCTCTCTGGTATCGTCACCACGGCTATTATCGTATCCCGGCCTTGAGTCCAAACCGCCCTCTGTATCCTGACGCAAGATACAAGAAGAAATCATGGTGCGTGGGGAACCATCATGCAGTTCAGAAGAAGCTCGCCGTCGAAGATCCAGCGTCGTTCGCCTAAGCGCTCTTCCCTATTTCGACATCACGGCCCTACAACTCTGCCGTTCAAACCCACCTAGAGGGGCGCCAGATGTTGTACAGCAACACCTTCCGGATTGGTGCGCGCTTCAGCAGTTTCTGGTACATAGCTAGGGACGCCTCCCTCGCGTTCGCACCCTTGGTGTACCTCTTTGTCCGCTGCCTGGAGCTCGAGCTCCCGTGGCCAGGTAGTGACCGTATGTGACAGGACTTTCCCACGTTCTGCACACGTTGGGTCAAGCTTCTTGGGGCTACGTTCCCGAACTTGATGAAAGTCACGGTGGTCTTCACTCTACAATTTGCGCACTGTAATCGATGGGCCACGGATGCGGAACGGGAGCGTGTTCTTGAGATTATCCGTGCGGGCCCGATCATTATACTGCCGGACCAAACGGCTTCATGCGGGCCCAAATAGCTCGCGATGCGGAAGCGGAGCCGGAGGGCCGCGAAAACCTGGTTGCTCAAGTCCATAGCTGGATGGAAACAGTTTTCAGACACGATTCATGTGTTGTTCCGAAATGGTTGAAGATTCGATTTGAGGGTAGAAAGGTTGATGAGCAAGCTGTTGTAAAGGCTTGGAAGAGATTCCAGAGATCATCAGAGTGACGAAAGGAGCGAAGGACGTAGGATCCGTTCTGATGGATTCACTTCACGAATCTGGAGAAGAATCCCAGCAACATGCAAAGGCTGTGGAAGATGTCAGACAAGATGGCTAGTGAATGAGGTAGCTGGACTCGTGTATTTACAGAGCCCTCGCCCACCATCATAGGTAACCAATCATGTCGCTTATCCTAGAATCTTGATAAGAATCAACTATATTCGTGTCATACGCTCTCGAACTTTCTCTAGCGTTCTGGGAGCTCCGTAAAAATGCAGAGCCAAAACGCGCTCGGTTGCGATATCGACGCCGGCTGTCCGCCGTCAATGTCACCCCTATATAGACGTATGATGCCCGTTTAGAAATAGTCGTTCTCTGATCCTGTCCGGCAAAACCCATCTATCAACGCCGCCAATGCATGCATAGTCATACCTCATCATCTTCCCCCCCCTACACCGGCTCCACAACCCCCACCTGCGTCTCCGTCGTCCTCCCCAACCCCTCCTTCCCATAGAAGTCCATCGGATACACCCCCCCCCCCCCCCCCCCCCCCCCCCCCCCCGCCTCTCTGACGCCCAATGCCACAAGCGCCTCATACGGACTCAGAAGCGGCCGCGGGAATGCATACCCCCAATCAATGCTTAACCGCGGACACGCAATCTGCACCCAACACTCGACCTCATCCATCATAGCCAGCTTCCCCGGAAATATCTCCGACAGCAGCAGATTCACCCACGGTATCCCTTTCGCGCGCAGCTGGTTCTCGATTAGCGTCATCGTGTGCGGGTTTCCCTGCCGTCCCAGCGAACCGAGGATAAGGCCCCACTTTTTCGCGCTGCGCGCGGTCGTGATGGCTTTGTTACGCAAATCATATAGCTCGGAGTGCGCGTAGGTTTCATGTGTTAGCCGCCGCGAGTACGGGTCGTAGCGGTAGGCGGGCAGGTGCGGGTTGTGTATCATAGCGGACTCGAGATGGAAGCGGCCGTCGCCGAGATAGAGGAGCAGGTCCGCGGCTCCGGCTTCTGTCGTCCCGGCGCTGTCTTTGAGCCCCGGGATTCGGGGGGAGGTGCAGCCGAGGATCTCGCCCTTGGATAAAGGCGCGATTTGCGGCACGATGGGAGTGAAGCCTAGCGTGCGCAGGGCGGGCAGGATGGCGTGGATAGTCGCGTTGAATTGGATCGTGCCGACTAGGGCGATTGTTTTGCCGGAGGGGAAGTTGCGGCTCAGCGTTGCGAGCAGGTGGGAGGTGTCGATGCCGATGCTGACGAAGACGTAGAGGGTCGGCATCTTGGTTACTGCGACAGGGATTAGACACGAGTGTGCGTAGTGCACGAGCAGATCGCAGCCGAGGGCCCGCGCGGTGAAATCGTCGATGCAGCAGGCGCCGTAGGTGACGTCGCCCATGATGAGCGTAGAGGTGTTGGGGCAGAAGCGGGTCAGGATGTCGGATATCGTGGTCGCGAAGAGGAGGAGGCCTTCGGGAAACTGGAGTGCGATGTTCTTGGAGCCTGAGGATCGGATCCGGTGGATGGTCTTGTGCATCTCGAAGTTGTAGTTCGAGGGTAGCAGAGCGATTGCTGCGTTGATTTCTTCATCTTCTAGGATCTCAGGCGGGATGTTGTTCAGGGTGCGGGCAGACCTTCGCGGTGCGGCGACTGCGACCACAGTGAGTATCCAGCTAGGTGTTTTTTCTGAACGCTAGGCTTCTCACACCTTGTATCGCCCCGCTATCCTCGATGGTCGCATTTGGGTCGGCATTACTTGCAGCTCTTTCTGCGGCAGCTCTTCTGCCGACAAATCTCTTTTTCGGCTGCTTTGAAGCTACAGCTGCTTCGCCACTCATATTGTCTCCTACAGCAGGCCCCAAGTTTGCGGCTGCGCGGTCTTCCTCCATATTAGAAATTATTCCTGATGTTTCGTGGAAAGATGGATGCGACAGAAAACTTCTAGAGTTGCCCCTCACAGGGCTGAAGAACCGTCCTCTCAGCACGTGCACCCCGCAAAAAGCGGCTGGTCTACTATAAACGTCTGAACTCTATCCCCACATCAACCCACCAGCACACAAAAACACACGGCGGTGATGTAGGATACGCTAAACCGGATATCACGTAATATCCTTCAACATGTCTACTCGTCAGTCTGCCCTGAGCATAGCACGCCTCGCAGCTCGCTACCCCTGCCGCCGGACGCTCGCAACAGCAGCACGATCGGCGGAGCAGGTCCGCATTGTCGAGGTTGGGCCAAGAGATGGATTGCAGAATGAGAAGAAGGCGATTGAGCTGGAGACTAAGATTGAGTTCATCAAGCGGTTGGCACAGACTGGACTCCGGACGATAGAGGCTGGTTCTTTCGTCTCGCCGAAGTGGGTTCCTCAGGTGCGACGACCTGCAACCAACGGATAGCCAGTGTATGGGAAGATATACGACAGACTCGACGGCTGACTGTTGGCATACTTTAAGATGGCGAACTCCTCCGATATCCTCGAACACATCCTCCAGCAACCGCCTCAAGCTCCGGAACCGATAAACTACCAGTTCCTGTTACCGAACAGCTACGGGCTTGGTAACTTCCTCAAAGTGTACAAACACTACGGAGATTCCGCACAGCCAGCAGCAGACACCGGCTACCCAACTCCGCCGCCCTCGCCCTCGCCCTCGGACAACGGCCCAGCCCTGAACACCTCGTCCCAAGACGCCAACGCCATGCCCTCGGCCACCGACCCCACCGCTGCAATGTCACAGCCCGTGAACTCATCCCCATCATCATCGTCCTCTTCCAGCTCCACACTCCCCGAAATTGAGCTCTCAATCTTCACCGCCGCCACCGAGACTTTCACCCAGAAGAACATAAACTGCAGCATCGCAGAGTCCCTCGAGCGCTTCAAGCCCATCTTCGGCGCCGGCAAAGAATACCGTCTGCGCGTGCGTGCCTACATCTCCGTCGCGCTCGGATGTCCATTCGAGGGGCCCGACGTCGACCCGCACCAAGTGGCCGATCTCGCCGTCTCTCTGCTCGAGATGGGCGCGCACGAGATCAGCGTCGCGGATACGACAGGTATGGGGACCGCGCCTAAGACGCAGGAGCTGCTGAAGACGCTGAAAGCGGCGGGCGTGGATGCGGGGGATTTGGCGCTGCATTTTCATGACACCTATGGCATGGCGCTGGTGAATACGGTGGTCGGCTTGGATCATGGGGTCAGGACCTTCGATGCGAGTGTGGCGGGGTTGGGGGGTTGTCCGTATAGCCCGGGCGCGACGGGGAATGTGGGGAGCGAGGATATGGTGCATCTGTGTCATAGCTTGGGCTTGAAGACGGGGGTGGATATTGAGAAGTTGAGTCGGGTCGGGGACTGGATTGCGGGGGAGGTGGGGAAGGCGAATGAGAGTCGAGCGGGTAAAGCGACAATTGCGAGGCTGAAGAGGGACTCGTAAGAAGTCAAAAGTCTTATCAAATCGTGAGGAGTGCGAAGCTCTGTTTCATGTTCGAGTACGCGTGCGATGAGTGGAATTGACGCAGGCATCTCTCTCAATACCAAACTCTGCGTGTAGGCCATGGCTCAGAGTGTGTCTCTGAAAACGGAGATTGATATTCCATATCATAACAGCGTGATGCTAATTTTGGGCGGTTGATGTTGAACACGTGACCCAACCCCTGCCCAAATATATTAAAAGGACAAGCCGAACCTCGCACGCCAGGACTTTGACATACACAGATGCTGGATAAAGTAAACTGTTTACAAAGGGCTTCACGCGCATTGAGTTATTCCACACGCTGTGCAGCAGCGACATCTGGGACGCCAACGCCCTCGACAACTTTCGCAGCGACCACCTCATACACCGGCAGCTCCGCCAACCGCTCAATAACATGATGGAGCGTAGGCAGCGCCTCCCAATCCAGTTTGTCGATCTTGAAGCTTGCCTTGTCCGCCTCGAATACCCTCAACGGCTTCGGTTGCGGCACCTCATCTTTAAATGGCACGTACACTGGATACGCCGCTTCCGCGGTGCCCTTGGTACTGCGGCCAACGGCGGGCATGTACCGGTATGTCAGGATGCCGGCGTCGTTATCACCGCTGATGGAGCCGCCATCTCCTGCTGCTTCGACTTCTTTCAGATTTTCCAGGGTGAATCTGCCCCACATGGCGCCTTGCCATCCCGTGTTTATGCGGTAAGAGGTTGCTCGGCGGTATACGTCGATTGACGAGTACAATTTTGGCATGCCCAGTTCTTCACGGCCAGAGACGATGGGATCAGTCAGGTTTTCGAAAAGAATTGGCATATACGCGCCGCTGACGACATCTCCGTTCTGCTTCTCGTACTCGACGCCGTGGATATACAGGCCGAGGTGGTTGTACCCCGATCCTCCGAGCCATTCCATCTTATTCAGGGTCGTTTGCGAGAAGGACGCGTACGCCACAGTGCCGGGAGACTTGAACCGCCAGCCTGGCACGCCCCGTGGGAAAAGATTCTGGAGTAGGGTGCGTGACGTCTTGAATTTGATGGAAGCAGTCGTGAATGTGGATTCAGTGGCTTGTCTTGCGACACCGAAATGTGTCTGTCGCGGACCTGGCATAGGGCCAAAGGCGATTGGCATTCGCCAGTAGACGTTGGGCGTCCGGTCCCATGTCCACTCCCGTAGCTTTTGCGAGGAGTTGTCCCATTCGTCGTGGCCGAAGTTGAAGTTGGTAAACGCGAACACTGTATCTCGTTAACGAAAAAACTCCGATCGCAGCACTAGCGGTTCTGCTATGGTAAAGGATGACTTACTGTCCAATTTAACCTTCTTATCTAGGTCTGCTCCCATGAGCCTCGAGAAATCCTGAATTCGGTTTGCACGGTCATATCTTATCCTCTCGTACAGTTTCAACCGATCGGGGATCTCTTCTCGCGGTGTTCCTGCGCCTAGAACGACAGCCAGAGACGCTGCATCTTCGATGGCGACCGCCCCGCCTTGGCCTTGATGCGGTAAGAACGGATGCGCTGCATCACCGAGGAGAGCCAGTCGTTCGTTTGTCCATGTCGGCAGGACCTCCATATCGAGCAGCTTCCATACTTTCAAGGTTGCGGGATCAGCTTTGCTGAGCAACGCCAGCAACGCCGGATCGAAGCCCTGATATACCTGCAACATCCTGTCAAGATTGCCGCCCTTGTTCCAGTCATCGCCAGCTTCCGACTCCGCTTCTGGATGGACGCAGACGAAGTTGAGCATCTCGTTGTTCGACGTGGGGTACATGATGACTCTTCTGTCCGTGCCATACCACATTGACAGCTCTCCTGACTCCTGGACGAAGCGGCTGGTCTTCTCGTCCTCTTGGGCTGCTTTCCTGGGTATCAGGAACCGGAACGCGCTCTTCCCGCAACAGAATGGTTTGAACTCGCTCCCGGCAACCCGTGACCGCGCCCTGGAATGGACTCCATCCGCCCCGAGAACAATATCGCCCTCAAATTCGCTGCCGTCTGCCAGAGTAACACGTGCGGCCCTCGGATCGACATCAACGACTTTACTGGACGTGTGCAGTTTCACCGGTCCTCCCTTCCCCTGTGCGGATGTCGCCGCTTTTTTGAGAGCATCATGGAGATAAATACGATGAGCAAGAAGCCATGGCTACCAAATGGTCAGCCACTGCTCGGCCACACAACAGAATCTTATAAACGCACATGTTGCCACATCTTATTAGCCTCTTCCAGCCCCATCGACCGCATCTTCTCACCCATAGAGTTGTATTCGGTCAACTGTGATGCTAGCCGTCAGCCTCGTCAGTCCAGCCCGTGCCCCGGAGACGACATCTCCTTCCCTCTACTCACTTTCTGCATCCGATTCGCCCCGAAATTCTCCGCCCATATTCCGAGGCGCCGCAGTATGCCATTGGCGTTCGGTGCAAGGTGGATTGCTGCTCCGGCTTCACTTGCAAACCGGGACTGCTCAAAGACCTAGGATATTGATTAATGCAAGCTTCACTATGGTTCTCGCGCTTTCTGATTTACCAGAACTTCATGCCCTTGCTGACGTAACGCTAGCCCTGCTGTCAGGCCGCCAATGCCGGCACCCACGACTAGAATTTTTAGGCGATCGCTGCGATGTTCGGTAGTTCCGTTCATCTTTGTCGCTTGGCGGCCGGTCGTGGTTTGCGTGCTGCTGGTAGATGGGGATTGCGAGACCAGGTTGAGTTTACTTGAGGCCGGCACTGTTGGGCGCTCTGGGGATAGATTTACTTCAGCTCCGCAGCTTGGGCAGGTAATGCTTGCGATAAATGAAACGAGCTGTTGCGTCCATTCCGAGCATGTACATCCGCTGCTCGGCCCCACATAGTCGCCTTGCGAAATGGGGTACATGCTATCGAGCTTCCCCACACGGGCGGACTCAGGTAGCAGTTCACATTGCGGAGCTCCGCGACTGTATGGTCACGCCGAAGCTCACTGCACTGAATCTGATATGCACCTATCAACCTTTGTTAGTCCGCTAAACCATGCTATGCAGTCAAAAGAGCTTACCGCCATAGCGGTACGGTTATCTCAATCTTCGGCTCCACCAGCTTTCAATGCTTGGTGAACTCATAAATGTCACTGGAGATGTCAGACAATCAAAAAAGCCATATAGATCCTTAGAAAATTGCAAGACGTACCAGGCATACCCGCAGATCGTGTCTACAGCGCAGGGAGCAAGCAGCGCTTGAGGAATACGGACGAGGTGCAGACTTCACGTAAAATCAGGTATCAGAATTCGGAACCTTTGAATGCCGGACCGATTACTAATCGCCTTTACAGTAAATTACAACTACCTCTCCTCTGATCCACAACATGGAAGACAACGGACTGCGGCAACCAAACCGCTACATCACGGGCCACAACGACGAGGGCAAGGCCATTTTCTCACAAGAGCTGCCTGAACCTGCGTCATGGCAACAGCTTGAGAGCGGTGTTGCTCGGTTTTCTCTCGGCTATGCGACCAAAGGATTTCCTGTCAAGCTGAACGATGGAGCCGATATCGCGGTCTACAAGCGCTACACGGAGAACCTGCCTGGAATCACCATTCCAGGGGGGAGCGTCCTACGGTTTGTAGACATGCGGCCGGGCGAGACCTCGCCGATGCACCGGACCGTGAGCTTGGATTATGGCGTGGTTCTGGAGGGCGAGATTGAGCTGATTTTGGATTCTGGAGAGACGCGGTTGATGAAGCGTGGAGATGTGTCAATCCAGCGCGGGACGAATCACGCGTGGAGGAACACGAGCAGTACCGAGTGGTCGAGGATGCTTTATGTGCTTCTGGAAGCGGAACCGCTCGAGATAGGGGGAAAGCGGTTGACGGAAGACTATGGTGAAGGCATGGATGATGTTAGGCCGTCGAGCTGATTGTGCCCATTTGCATTATGAGCCAAAGTGCGGTCATCATCCCTTCACTATATTCTCATACCCTCTCCAGCTGGAATCTCAATTTCAACTGAAGATGAACCAAACTCATTACATTCATCTAAAACAAGCTCGATCATTGCCCATATCAGCGACTTCCCCTTTCTCTACTCAGTCAGCTACTCGGCGATCACTGACTCACCAGTCGGGAGGTGAAACTTTCTCTGCCTACTTCTATTACCTTCTATTACCCGTGTATTGTGCGCTTTCGCTAGTCTGGCTGTATCTTCTTCTGACAGCTTGCCCGTACAAGCGTACGTGCGGGCAATGCTCTAATCTATTCGACACGCGCTGGAAAGAAGCCCTATTGCTGAGAGAGGAGCAATATATAACGCTTGCAATGAACTCCAGTATGGTGCACTTGAGCACCAGCCATGAATCATTTTGCTGGTGTATCACACAAGCATTAAAATTTGTCGTTACAGCATACAGAAGAAACAACAGTCTGCGCCCGCTATGAATATACAAGACAAAAAAGACTTCGTCCTAGAACGCAGAGATCGGGAATCACGCGGAGGCACCAACTGCCTTGTTACTAGACCATACTCCGCTTGTAAACTGCGAATTGCACATGTTGGTAAGCTCCCAAGTTTCGGCTTTTAGCGCTCCGTATGTTCCAGTATCATCCTCACCGCCCGCTGCACCAGCAAAGAACATCGCGCTCATGAAATGGTCGTCTGTCGCATGCGCATCTCTGAACTGAGGATGCTTCATCAGTCTTGTCATGGCGCGCCTGAGATTCGGTCCACTGTTATTCGTGATGACATCTTCAACCGATTGCCGGAACTCCATCGCCCAGTCCTCCGGCGGCAACTCCTGCGCGAAGTTGTCGCAGTACTTCAGCATCGGCCCCCAGCGGTTGCGGTAGAGGTTGTGCACAGCGCCGCCTGTACCGATAAGAAGGTAGCCCTCACTACGCAGGCGCCGTAAAGAAGCTCCTACTTTCATATGGAAGTGCGGATCGAAGCGAGAGTTCATAGAGATGATGGTCGTCGGTGGGCAGCCCCCTGGAAACATCCGAATGAGGATGAGATACGTGTCATGGATCCAATCGAACTTGTCATTACCGCTGACGTCGAAGCCGTCTGCGGATAAGATTTCCATGCATCGCTGCGCGCCTTTCGGGTCCGGAACGAGTTTATAGTTGACGTACTTGGAAGGGTGGACGTAAGCCACTGGTGACTTTTCTGGCTTCGGATTCGTTGAAACCTCAACCTTAGAAGGGCCTGCACAGTCCCAGTGGGCGCCCTAAGAATCTTCAGTCAGCTGCTGAAGTCTACGAACACCAAACAACCGCTGCTGGTTGTCTCACCATCATGACCACCCCTTTGATGCCATTTGCCAGAGCCTCGTCGCCGCACTTTTTCCAGTAATCGGCAGATTCGGACTCTTCACCAAGCATCATGGTCGAACCATGCGAGAAGAAATGAACCGGTGTGAGGTCTGCATTCCACTGTTAGCAAAGGCCGCAGCGGCAAAGAGGAAGTTGTATACGTACCCATGATAATCCAAAGTTTGAGGGTTCTGCTGTATGCGTATTCAAGTTCCAGTGGTGCTCGACTAGCCTCAGACCTATAGGGCGTTGCAACCGTAGCCGGCTATGGCAAACAGTGGATTATCTACATAACGGGCTTATGGTTACACTACCGGGCTGGGGGCATCTCACATCCCCAAGCAGAGCGTCGGGTGCTTCAGTCGGCCCCACCTCTTCTCGGCTTCTCGGTTAACTTTGGCCCCGTCCGCTGGCGCTCCTGGAGGTGCGGGGACCCCACATTACGACAACTCCCAACCCGCAACAACCTCCACACCCAGACATCCTCACTACAGCAGCAGGGAGCCGACATGGCAGAGGGCTCTGACGAACGTGCACCACAGGAAGCCCTGCAGTCTCAGCCGGCCCACTCGGCCGAAGAGCACTCAGGCCGTGGGCTGTTCCAGTGCGGTGACTGTTTTCGAAAATACACTCGGCTCGATCATCTAGCTCGCCATGTTCGCTCACGTGTGCAATCTCCAACTACCTGAGTATGGGCGCTGGCGCTGAGTCTTGGCTGCAGACACGCGTGAAAAGCCATACCACTGCGAATCTTGTCCCAAGCGGTTTAGTAGAGTGTATGTGGTGGTGATAACAACTGGCTGGTCATTGCTGACTTGACCAGTGACCTACTGAGGCGCCACGCTGCGGCGCACGAAGCGGGCTCAGACACCAACAAGCGTCGCAGGATAGACGACAATGCCTCGCCCAGGTCGGACAGAGTCCAGCAAGCTTGCATGGCCTGTGCCGAAGACCACCTAAAGTGTGAAGACAAAAAACCATGCAGGAGATGCCAGAGAAAAAACATTACCTGTCAGATGCCGACGAGTACGACAAGCATGGGTTCTGATCAAGGCTTCCGCGGCGTGGCCGAACAGCACCATGAAGCAGCGCCAGGCGCTGACGCCCGGGCGCCACCGACTGTAGATGCTATGGCTGGACAGCTTCAGCACCAGGAGCTTCTGTCGACGCCGCCAACAAATCAGTCCGCCTCCGTTCGAGCACCGAATGAAGCGATGGAGACCTTCAGCTACCAAGAATCTGCAATTGATCTTGTTGGACTCCAGACGCGACCCAGTTCAGCCGGATCCATGCGGCCAACAACATTTGATGCCTCCACGGTCTATCCAGCTGATATACTACAAGGCCAAATGCCTACGATAGACATGTTTTCTAGCACCAATTTTCTAGGAATGCGCAGTGGGACACGTACTCCACGTGGTCTAATGGACTTCGGCATTGAGACCAACCTTGAACTGGATGATCTGGACTTCAGCTTTCTCGAAACGTACAACAACCAGATCCCCTTTCACTTCTCGAGTATCGGTGATAGCTTGCCTAAGCACGTCGAGGATGTTGAGTACGTGCACAGTCCAGTCAATGGTATTATGCCGGCAGCGAAAACCCTTCAGAAATCCATCTGGCGATTTGTTCCGGCTCCACAGGATCATGGCGCAGCGGAGCAGCACAACCTCTCGCTCCCGGCGACTGAAAACGATCATGACAGTCCTGAGTCTCGTGTCAATCTGGATCGGCGAACCACTACAGAAAAATTGGATCAGATGTCTCGGGACAGAATTTTTGGCATCGTCCTGAGCATGTGCAAGCCTTCGGGATCCCGCACATTCTCTTCCTTTCCTTCGACTGAATTGCTGGACAGCCTGATACAGTACTTCTTGACCTCGCCTCTCTCTGAAGCCGACACCTGGATACATGTTCCCAGTTTCCGCCCAAGAACCAAACGGCCGGAACTACTAACTGCGCTAGCAGCGGCGGGAGCTGTGCTGACTCCAGATCCATCGTTGCGTAAACTTGGCTTTGCTATCCAAGAAATCGTTCGCTTGCACATTCCCACCTTATGGGAGGGCGACAACACCGAGATTCGAAATCTGGAGCTTGCGCAGGGATTCATGCTTCAGCTGGAGATCGGCCTTTGGAGCGGTAATAGCCGTAAAATTGAGATTGCGGAAAGTTTTCAACAGCCCTTGCTCACTATGCTTCGGCGCGGCGGCAGCCTTCGACGTTCGAGTTACCCTTTAATCAATGTGCAACCCGATGACGATGGCCCCGAGCTAGAGAAGAAGTGGGCTGCTTGGGTTGAGCAGGAGTCTTATAAACGGCTGATTTTTCATCTCTTCCAACACGATGCACAGTCCTCCATGGCACTCCTTGTTAGTCCTCTGTTCTCGTATGCAGAGGTCTCCTTACCCTTACCTGAGTCTCGAAATCTATGGATGGCAGCGAATGCGAAAGAATGGAAATCTCTTTACCTAGCCAGCACGAACAACAGCTCAGGCCGGATTCCGTCCGTTGTCGACTGCATCCATGACCTGGAGTTTCTGGAGAGGTTCAGCCAATCCATCGATGAGAAGGCATCAAACACAGCTTTTCTGCACGCAGCATGGGGCCTTGTATGGGAATATCGACAGCTCAGTTCCATTTTACATGGAGAGTCGCGCCAGTGGGACAGTACGCTGGTGATGACGTCTCGTTATCGGGAATTGATGAAGCTGCTGCAGTGCTTCCGCATGGAGTCTCCGGGCTGTAATTCTCTCCTTCTGGAACTAATTTTAATGCATCTGCACATGTCGCTCGAGGACGTACAGCTGCTAGCCGGACTGGAGGGCCAGGAGGAAGCTTCGCGGGTTTACCCGTCACTGTGCGAGTGGGTCAAGACCACTGCTTCACATCAGGCTGTCTGGCATGCCGGCCAGGTCCTCCGTGCTGCTAAATCACTGCCCTTCCACCAGTTGCGGGATTTCTCCGCCATCGCTGTTTACCATGCGAGCTTGGCATTCTGGGCATACAGCCATGCGCTTGACAAGGAACCTCAGCCACCGTCTCTGACAGTCACCCCTACGATGCAAGGCAGTATGCAAGGACAGCTCGTTTGGCTGGATGAGGGTGAGACCACGGAGGTGCAGAGATTCATCGCGTTGAAGCGTGGCTTCCCGTGCTTGCGAGACCTGCAGCCGTCTTCACCGCCTGTTCCGCTCAAGGATGCTAGTGCTGTTATAGCTCTCGTTCTGGGGGTCCTTCACCAGAATCATGCCGAAGCTGACAGGCCGATGCCGCCCTTGGTGGAGAATCTTATTAGGATGATGGAAGGATTGCGGGATACGGTGAGGATCAATGATGGTTGAGCCTGGCTTCCCACAGATTTGGATACACTTATGTTGCTGCGTGAAGCCGATGTTGCGTTGATTGGATACAAAGATTGCACCTTTCTTCATTCGTTGGTCCTATCGGGTTTGTATCTGCTGTAAAGAAACCAGTTCAAGCACGACAGAGAAAGTACGTCAACTCTGTGAACGTGCTCGCATAAACAGAACTGGCAAACTCCCGCTCTGCCTTGCTAATAAGTCGAGGTTGGTACACAAACCATTCTTGGACGCTTGAACCCTGCCCGAATGCCGTGAAACACGATAATACACCTACCGTGATGCTTGACCACCGACACACGCCCACACAAGCCAGTGGAAAAATACAAAAGGTGCGCTCTAAATTTCCAGCCCGTCGAGACAACGCCTCATCAAAACGCAGGTCTCCATTAATTCAGAGGAAGCGCGTCCTCACCATTCTGGTGCCGAAATAGCCCAGCGTACCCAAGCCCGCCAGCGTCGATACAAGGACAAACGACAGTCCCGTGATGATGCCTTGCTCGAAGAAGCCGACTGCGACGCGTTCAGGCCGCTTCTTGTCAATGGAAAGATCGGCTCTCGCTTCTTCTAGAAGCTGTGTCAAGACGACTGAGCTGGCGGTTGGCAAAGTCTGCTTGATGAGACTTGATCGAGGTGAGAGAGTAACATATTGTGGTCGGGGGACGGTAAAGAGTGAGGCTGGATAGCGGATTGATGAAGATACTGGGTGGTTAAGCGGAGCGGCGGGGCCGACTGGTTGTATATTAGCGGGAATTCACCTGAGTACAAGACCGCCGCCCGTGAATGGCAATGCCGTTGCAATAAGGTGTACGCACCTAACATCTCCATGGGTACGTGGTTTACAAAGGAAACGTATGAGTGCAAAAACTGGCTGAGATACTTGGCGGTAGCGGGAGTAGCGAATGTGTACGATGCAAGCAGATCATCGTTTCTAGAGCACATGTGAGTGGTTTGTCAAGGTAAGAAGGTCTATTTAGGTTGCCGAAGTATGCGTAGCTTACCTGTTTGCGAAGTCTATAGCATCGTCTAAGCTCTTGACGCTATGGACAGCCAGACAGCACTCATTGATCTTCCTGTGCAGGATATCTGAACCCCTTCACCGGAAGGTCAGCGGCATGAAAATTTAAGTTAGCTGGATCTCGCGTACCTTTTCTCAACATCCAATATCGCCCCGTTCGCCCCTGTCGTCACAATCCGTGCGAGATCACTGTCCCGAACCTCATCGAGCAGTTTCCTGCCTTCTTGTTTTCTCCTTGAGTCCCCCTTTCCGACAGAACCGTTCTCCGTAGTCAATAAATCAATTGATTCCTTCACGACGGCCGTCATGAATGCCTTCTTCGAAAACTCATTGACAAGCACCACATCCGGCGCATACGGTGACTTGCCGCCGAAGCTGAATCTTGCGGTTACAATTGCCTTCGCGGCTTCTTCCAGATTTGCTGTGCGGTCAACTACAGCAACAACGCGCGCTTGCGATGGCGAGACTAGCTGTGTAGACTTGGGCACGTCTTGCGAACCTTCTTGAAGAACCTCGAGGCATTGCGCGCGGAATTCCGCGTCTGCTGTTCGGCTCGAGGTAATATCAAATGTGTCGACGTCGAGTGCCGCAGCCAAAAGCCTGCGGAGCAGGCTAGGGACTTCACGGGTTGTTTGCTCGAGCTTTTGGATGCAAGAGTCAGAGAAAAGAGGTCAAGCATGCTAGAGGAGTATCTGAGAGCGCATACCTCGACTATCACACAGTTCCCTGCAGCAATTGCGGCGCAGAGGGGTGCAATTATTGAGTAAAGCAGTGTGTGCGCTGTCGGGACAATATAGACAATTCCTGCTCCTTCTGTCCTCTGCGGCGCATCTTTGCCGTGTGTTATTGCGTATTCTTCCTCGAGCGCTGCGGCCGGATTGAGTGAAGCATATTGATCTTTCAGAGCGAGTAATGCCAGGCCATATTCTATCTTTGCTTCGGTCACGCTATTGCCGGAATCATTAACAATGGCTTGCTGCAGCGCTTCCTCATTCTGAACAAGCACATTTCGCAAGCGCTCGAGTTGGCTTTGTCGGTAATAGACATTCTGGGTGCGGCCGTCTATGGCGGCCTCACGAATCCGCTGGAAGGGTTTCGGCATCTTGAGTTGATGTTGCTTGGAGCGGTGTAGTAAAGTGACAGAGTGACGTTACGTCTCATAATCATCCTGCAAGCCCTGCCTTGATATCATGAGAGCGCATCCCACGTCAGCTCCACATAGGTGGTACAAATGAAGTGGTGCATCCATAAAGGCAGTTTCCCCACATCGCCGTCCGCAATCTGGGTTGCCCCCACATCCCGATAGTATCACGGCTCCCCGCCATGAACGACGTAGGACAGTTTACGGTGCTCAAGTGGTAGTTAGAGCTCCTGTAGGTGAGCAGCACTGTACTCATCTGCCAACCTCACCGCTGCCCAACTCAACATCACGCACTCATCTGAGCCACCATGTCCGTCACCACCACCACAGACTCGGCGCGCTATCAAATCCACTCTCACCTGGTCGACTATGAATTGCACCACTCAGGCACGTCTGGCCCAGCGCCGCCGCCAGAAGCGCATCCTGTTCCCTCGACAGTAGATCAGCAAGGGCTGAACGCGCGAAACCCTGAAAGCTGGCCGACGGATCACCGCCGCATCCCCCCGTACCGCCCGATTAACAGGGAGCTGGATATGTCGCAAAGACGAGTATATACGAGTGTACCGGAGCGGATCTTTATTGAGGTGATGTTCACGGGGGTGGCGACGAATGCGGTGGGTGCTCCTTTCTCGTATATGTAGATTCGCTGCGTCGGTGGGAGCTCGGATTTGACAAGCATGGCTGACAAGAACGCGACGTGTAGAGCGTGAGTCAGATATGGGCTGCGACAGGCGGCAAGCTGGTGCCAAGTTGGTTTAGGTACAAGATCGGAGGAGAGTGGTGAGATTGATTCAGTTGGCGTTGCGCTTATTGGGAGTTGAGATTGAAGCTCGGGCTGTATGCATTAATTACCTGAGAGACGACGTCTCGATCAACGTCAATCATTGTGCTACAATTTTTCAGGATGCCTGAGACATAACGCGAGAACAGTGTGACCGTTTCGTGATGGAATTTTCGTTAGAATGTATAAAGCTGAATTTCCAACGTCTTGACGAACACCTGCGCTTTGCCCCCTTATCTCACCGATGCATTAACATTCACATTGCAAAGTCAAAATCGTTCAGCGTAGCATGATCGCAGAAAGGGCAGTAGACGATGCGCACTTAAGAGCAGAAACTAGGAACCAATCTCTATATCCTGTATGTACATAAAGAGTTTTGAGGCAATAAGGGTTCAGGGGCAGCCTCATCTACTAATTGGTAATACGAGAGGTACTCTCTATGACCAAGCAATCATGATAGACCATGCCAGACCAACCCTTATTTGGGAGGCACAATTGGCAAGACGACGTAGTTCAAGCATTTCGGTCCGATGAGTATGTGGTTGAAGCCTCTTAGCTTCTCCTCAGACCTAGATCGCGTAGTCAGTATGATTTCAGTTTTCGATCAAATATTGAAATACCCACCTGTCAGCTGGATCGTTGTGCTGGAAGATACCGCTCCCCTGCGTATCGCCAGAGGCGACCTCGAAGACAATTCTTCCTCCCTTCTCGACAATGACATTCGTTGGCCAGATCTCCACGTCAACCGAGTACACTTCACCAGGTATAACTGGCTGCACATCCGTGCTGCAGTAGTCTCGGTGTGGAAGCCAGGGTCGATGCTTAGGATGGTCGGTGTTCGTTTTGCGTAGACTAACTCGTAGCCAGCCTTTCGTCAGTGGTACCGGATCGCCGGCAGTGCCTGTGTAGTGCACCTCTTTACCCTGAGGAGAGATGTGGCGCAATGTGACGAACAAGTCGATGTCTGTCGGAGTTGGTCCTGAAGGTTCTGGGCTCATAGAGACGTTCAAGTGAGCTAAGACATGCCCAGTGATCTCCGTCTCGGCTTCGAAAGGTGCAGTGCTGAACTGTAGATACTGAGGGTCTTCCAGTGTGCCAAGAGCTTTGTAAGACAGCTTCTTCCGCACGTCCTGGGGCGGCTCTTCTGGGGTGAGCTCACGGTTCTGAGTGAGGAAGAACTTGGTATAGCGGGTACGTGCGATAGGCCACTCCTGCTCGGTCCGACGAGTGTACTGCTTCTCGTTTTCTGGGTCGTCGAAGCCTACGTCGCCTTTCCGAAGCACAAGGTCAACTGGAGGTAGTTTGCCCTTTACAGACCAGCCCACCCGGTCGTCATCCTTGAGAAAAGCGTCGAGGAAACTGCGCTGGACCTCGATCTCCTCTTTATAGTAGAAAGGCAGATCATGGCGTCCGGTGACGAAGCGAAGGTATTTCAGATCGGAGCCAGCATGGCAGTAGCCCTCAACATTGCCTCGCAAATGCAGAAGGATACCTCCCCAATTCGCGACTGTCAACAGGGGTACTTGTATGTCCCCCATGTCGTACTCTTTCGAAGCGTAGTACGGCTCGTCCCTGAACCTGTACACAGCGTTGTCCTTCGTTTGATCTTGCCGATTCTTCTCCAGCTCTTCCTCACTTAGGTCACCTTCGAGTGTGTCCGGCCCCCAGTTCCGAGCGCTACGACCTGGCCTGCCGTACTGGTTGGTGATGACTTGACGATTCCACCAAAATTTGATAAAGGCATTGGATAAGATCCCGCCGTGCCGGCAGCGGTCTCGGTAATAATCGGACATACCCTCCCAGGGGATTATTGCAGACAGACCCTTTGGTTGGCGAGCTGCGACTCGCCATTGGCTCCCTGCGTAGTAACTTATGCCGAGCAGGCCCACTTTCCCGGATGACCAAGGTTGTTCTGCAGCCCATTCTATCACCTCAAAGAAAGCCTCGCTGGTGCCCCTGGACATGGTATCGAGGAGTCCTGGAGATTGTCCGAGGCCTCGCTCGTCTGCTCTGACCACTGCATAGCCATTCTTGGTCCAGAACCCGGGATCTGGGGTCTCCCATGCGGAATGGTCAGAGTGGTGCTCAGGATTGACTTCGGAGAAGGACTTTGCGTGGAAGCTACTTGCATCATCAGTGTCCGTTATCCATGTGCACGAGTAAGACTCTTGTAGATCAATTGCTGTACCTACTCCTTGTAGTGTATGTCTTTGCCATATGGACCGTATGTGACCAGCACAGGAACTCTTGATTGCTCCCCTGAGTCTTTGGGCCGGTATACGTTGCATCGGACTAAGCCCTCGCTCGACTTCAGCGTGACCGCCGCGTTTTGCTCGAAGATGTAAGGATACGATGAATCGTCAATGGTGTGAAGGTCCTTAATCTGGTTCGGCATGGTGGAAGAGGTGTTGTGCGGCTGATGAGTTGACGCAGATAGACCCGTAGACTGACATCGGAGCCGAGGCCATGGTTGCAGCTCTTTAATCCAGACCGGGACTGCTCGTTCCCTGTGCGCGGTGAGATTGTGAGGACGGTGCTTGTTCAGAGGTGACTCGCTTGAACTGTGTTGCGTGGAGCCGAGATGCCCTTGCCCGAACGCCGATCAGTGGCCGGCGAGTTTACCACTTGCAGTTTCCATACCACCCACCGTTGTAACACAACCTTGAGGATATGAACGGGAGAGAACACCACCACACTCAAGTGCCGGAATCAAGGTTGTTGACTCGGGACCATCAATCCAGAATCATGGCGTCCCTGCGTCGACTGCTATGCATGCAAGTTGTTACCTACCCCAGCTTTCAGACGCTGCGGGGATCCACCGGACCATTGCAATACTTTATCTAAGAACCTAACATTCCAGCTGAATTGTATTCCATTTGCTGCCATCGGGTAAACTTCCTCTGGCTAGTAACACCTAAAGCTACTTACTGTAGTCGATCGCAAGTGTCGATATGTTATTTCCATTTCTAGATTCTTTGCCAGAGTCACGGACCACGATCTTAGCCTTGGGGGCTCTGATATGTTTCTTGGTTCTCAGAGCGATCCCTGTAAGAGACATGGTGCTCATGCTCAGCTCTCCCATCTAAATCAAAACAGATCGTCAGAAGGGCCTTCTTCTCAGGGCTACGCGCCGTTCCAGGACCATTCTATGCGCCCTGGACAAACCTGTGGCTCAAGCTTCAGGTTCTTCAAGGACGACGGGCCCATTACATACATTCCTTGCATCAAAGATATGGTACGCAAGCTTCTCTCGCTAAACATCCATGTGATGCCCCAAGACGGGCTGATAACTCCGCTCATATAGGCCAATTCGTCCGGATTTCCCCAACTGAGGTTTCCGTCTCGAACCTGGATGCGTTCCGAGCTATTCATCGCATCGGCAGCGGTTTCAACAAGTCAGAGTGGTACCAACGCTTCAACGAAAGTCCGTATCCAGGAATCTTTGCCATGACGGATCCGAAGCAGCACGCTACGAGACGACGGCTATTTGCGCAGCCATTCTCGAATTCGTGTATAACCACATTTGAACCTCCTATCAGACGGAAGGTTGACCTAGCAGTTTCCAAGATCAGGCGGGATGCCGAACAAGGCTCTGCAGATATCCTGAAATGGTTCACTTTTATGGCAACGGACGTGGCAGGAGAGTTGAGTTTCGGAACGTCATTCGATATGCTACAGCATGAACAGGTGAGCGCAACACTAGCAAGCGCGTTGTGAACCGACGCTGTGCTGACGTCTTCTGCAGAAATCTCCATACATTCGAGACCTGGAGACTGCCATGATGATATCAGGGATACGCTCCGAGCTCCAACCGCTGCTTAAGCTAGCGAGCTATCTTCCCCTCAGATCACTGCGTCATGCACTTGCAATCAACGAGAGGCTGAACTCGTATGGCCACGAGGCCATTCAGAATCATAAGGCACACGTCGCTGCAAAGCAAGGACCAGTTGCAACCAGTCTCTTCTCCAAGTTCCTGGACCCAAAGAAGAACCAAGAACTGTCTGATGCTGAGATTGAGCAGGAGGCGTCAAACCTGATTGTCGCAGGAAGTGACACGACTGCTGTATCCCTGACGTACCTCATCTGGGCCGTATTGCGGCCAGATAACAGCCACATCCGGGAGAGGCTGATGAACGAAATCAGCACACTACCTCTTGACGCCAGGGGAAGTGATCTGGGCTCCTTGCAATATCTGAAAGCCGTTGTTGACGAGGCACTGAGACTATATGGCGCTGCGCCGGGAAGCCTTCCCAGGGTTGTGCCTATTGCCGGCACTATATTGGGCCCGTACCACATACCCGGAGACGTGACCGTGAGCACACAAGCATTCACAATACACCGAGATCCCAACATCTTCAGAAACCCTGAAAGGTATACCCAACCTCAAGGTACACACGTACGATCAGACTGTCGAAATGCTGACGTGGTCGCGCCTAATTCAGATTTGATCCAAGTCGATGGGAGAATCCTACTCAGGAGATGAAGGATGCGTTTTCTCCATTCGGAGCTGGCTCACGTAGTAAGTTTCCCATCCGTGTACTCTACAAATGCTGACGAAGTAGCGTGCATCGGAATACACCTGGCTATGCTCGAACTGTTGCTGGGGACTTTCCTTTTCTTCAAGCGGTGTCCCACAGCGGTCTTATCACCCACGACGACGAATGAGTCCATGGAGTTCGAGAATTATTTCTTGATTGTGCCGAAGAGTCATCGCTGCGAGATACAGTTGCGACAAGCGTGATGCAGTGCAACAGCATCTCAGTCTTAAATTTTACGTTTAGCAAAGGCGCTTGAGAGACCAGTGATCGTAAACTTCAGCAGTAGCAGAATATACACGGCCAGTTGCATGCCGCGACATCCAACCTCAAAGCATGGTGGGACTGCGTTAAAGCACGTGACAGGCTACGGGAGATCGTCCGGGGGAGTTCTTCCGCATCCAGAATCCTCCTTATCTCATATCAAGGTACTCTTGCTTGTAACCGGCACAGTGAACGCACAACATACATATCCAACACGGAGCCCGTACCGTTTCCCCCGTGCAAATAGGGCGGGATGTACCTGATAACAGTGGACAACAGTGGTCTTTTGTCTCTGGCCTGCGGTGTCAAATGGAGAACCCAGCATCAATAACTATGTTCTGCCCTGTGGTCGACTTGCTAAGTACCAGTACTTTGACTTGCTGTGCGACGTCCTGTATGTCCGACGTCAACCATTAGCAAAATAGTCAGAGAAAAGGTCTTCTGTTGAAGGTATTCGTACCTCTACATCAGCAAACCTTCCGAGCTTGTTCCGTTCTTTTACCGCCTTGAGCTTTTTTTCGGGAAACTTGCGACCCCATTCCTGCACAGGAGCAGCAGTCAGAGGAGGATCGAGATGAGCGATATGCTGCTCGTATCTAAGTATAATGGCAGACGTACAGTGAGCAACACGCCAGGCGATATACAATTGACACGGATTCGAGGAGCTGCGATCAAGGCAAGTGATTTGATCAGATGGATTTGCGCGGCTTTGGACACCGCGTACGACTAGAACAATATGTTAGATCGTCGAATCAGGCTTGATGACCCATTTCTTGTGTTCCTTTCCAAGAGATGGCTGCTACAGTAGCGGATAAGTACGTCTACGTACCAACGAACTTCCGCTTGGCTTCACTCCCGCCACACTAGCCGTCGAGACGAACGAGCCTTCACTTATATCTAGGTGTTCTCGAGCAGCGTGGAACAAGAAGAGATGGCTCTTGACATTTGTATTCAGGCAGCGATCCCAATCTTCGTCGAGAACGCCTTCGTCGAGGTTCATGAAGTCCGTCATGCGTGTCCATCCAACATTAGAAACGACAACATCGAGCCGGCCCATAAGTGCAACACTTTCTCCTACCAGTCGGACGATCTCGCTGCGTGATGCCATGTCCGCTTTGATGGCAACAAATTCTTGCTGGCCAGTCGCAGGGCGCTCCAAGATTTCCTGAGGATGTTTGGGCTCTGTGACACGCCTCAACTCTGAGACAAGCGTCTCCGCTCGCTCAGCGTTCGAGGAGTAGTTGATGACAACGCTCATCCGTGCTTCTGTGGCTAGGACACGAGCAATTGCAGCGCCGAGACCCGCAGAGCCTGCGGTCACAAGCGCTACTTGGTGAGATGCCATGAACTCGGAAGAGGCTGACAGTGCGGGAATTTCGACACGGCGTAGTACAAGACGTTGATTCTGGTCAATGACAAGATATCGCTGCGGGATAGCATATACTAAACACTCAGGCAGTCAAGCTAGACGTGTTCCTTGTGGTCGATTCGCTAACGTCTCGCCAAGATGTAGCTGTGCTCCAGGATGGACTGGTGTTGATCCCACAGTGCACTCGGCTCCGCGGTTCTAGTTCGATTGCGATATCTGCAAGTATCATGTACACCGAGGGGACTGAGAGTGAGCCTATGGTCTTGTGGGGAAATGTCAGCAATTTCATTCGAGCTCACGAGTTCCTGAATTCGCTCACAAGTTACCAGGCCGTATCGCATTTCGGTGGAGGCTAGCCCGAGTCTAGGGACCCGCTTCCCCAGATCTCCGCGTTTTCCCCACATCCCGATTCCCGCTTATCATTACCGGCCAAGGAGGATTTCCTACCATGCAACGACAGGAGACAGGGTGAACTCGACGATGCAAGTTTCTTTAATACCATGAGTCTGTGCTACCCATTCCAGTCCTATCACTGTGCATCCAAGGCTGACTAGGCTGCTGAAAACCATCATTCTCATACTTCGACTCGAAGTATCGAAGGGTTTTCCACCAAGTAACTGATAGATACATTATGGCTGGCTTCAAATACGCCTTTTCGTTGTCCGAAGGAGAGGTCGAGAGTGCTAGGCCGCCCGGGACGGTCGTCTTAATTGGTACATCCTCTCATCTCTTCTTTGAGGCCGTTCAGTCCATAGAACTCGGAAGTAACTGTCTTCAGATCACCATCTCCAGCGCACAACAAGTGGTCGTGAAGTCCAGGAAGACACCGTCGTTCTAAATCCGCAGCCGTCATTAGATCCCGCGGATCCACTCAACTGGGCGCCATGGCGTAAGACTGCTATGCTTGTGTGCGTGTCTGCAGTTCCGCTCGTTGCAAACTTCACGTCGTCGTCCATTGCGAGCGCGTTCCCGGTTCTGGCGACACCACTAGCTTTCAATCCGCCGGTGCCAATTACTAGGCTTACGCAGCTGATTTCAGTGAGTTGCTGTGCGAAACTATCCAGCCATGTGTAGCTTTGCTGACTTGTTGCAAGGTCAATGTCCTAATGCAGGGTGCTTCTAACTTCCTATGGGTTCCGCTGGCCAATACGTTTGGACGTCGCCCGATCATGTTGATCAGCCTCCTTATGCTCGTATTTTTCTCCATGTGGGCCGGCCTGGCAAAAGATTTCAGCAGCTTGTTGGCGGCGCGCTTTTTCATGGGTTTTAGCAACGGACCCGCTGATACAATCGCGCCCGACATTATTGGGGAGATATACTTCGTCCACCAACGCGGTCGTGCCATGGTAAGTACAATCACGTCTTTCATCTGCAGAACTACGGCTGACGAAACGGCAAAAGGCCATCTATACCGTCTGCCTAGCATGTGGACCCCTCCTAGGCGGGATAGCAGGCGGCTACATCGTAGGCGGCTTGGGAATCGCCTGGATCCACTGGGTCAACGTGATCCTCGCAGCCATAACGCTGATCCTCTGCTTTCTGTTCCAGCCCGAGACGCTATTCGACCGTACCGCAACTATGGGGATTGCAGGCAACAGCTCGATTGATCACTCTTCTGAGACCAAGCCGAAAGTAACAGAACTCGAGGAAGTCGCATTCACGACCGATTATAGACCATACACCTTCGCCCGATCTCTGAAAATGAACACGTATCGCGGCGGCGTTCTGCAGAAATTTATTGCTCCGTTCCTTACACTCCGGCTACCGGGCGTGTGGCTGATAATGTTTTGGTATGCTGGACTGGTTGGCGGTGTGGTCACAATCTCAGCCATCGGGCCTACCATTGTCGCGTCACCACCATATGTAAGACCAACTAAATGATGAGCGTATAAATGATTAGCTGACGTTGTATAGCTATGGGGACACGACGCCGGGCTGATCAATGTGGGAGCCCTGATTGGCGCCCTCGTTGGTTTGGTATTCACATATATCACCGTCGACAGATCTATCAAGCAGCAGGCTAAGCATGAGAGTCATGGGTAAGGAAATCCTCTGTCAATCCTCTAATTATTTGGTAACGTGCTCACCTCGTTGTGACAGCCTCGGTGAACCAGAAACACGTCTCAAGACTGCACTTCCAGGTCTATTTCTCGCAACAGCAGGATTACTGGTATTCGGGTTCTGTGCCGCCAATCCCTCGCCCAAAGGCTGGGTCGGACTGCAGGTCGGATACGGTATGGTTTCTTTTGGACTGATGCAGGTTAGTCTAGCTCTCGTTCTGCAACTCATGAAACTGGGAGACGAGTATCTACAGTGCTAACGCGATCACTTCAGTGCCCATCCGTCGGCTTCAACTACCTGATCGAAGCGTACAACGCCATCTCCGGCGATTGCTTCGTTGCAGTCACGTCTTGCCGTGCGATCATCGCGTTCGCCTGGACGTTCTTCGTCGGCACTTGGGTCCACGATCGTGGGGCCGCAGAGCCTTTTGGTATCTTTGGCATGCTGATGGGACTGTTTGCACTGTTCACGTTCCCAATACTCATTTGGGGGAAGCGGCTGCGTATTGCAACCGCCAAGTGGCTCCCGGCGCACGCTGATCATTGAGGGCGTGCGGTTGGAGAGTGGTGATTCTGTACATAACTCAGATTGAAATCACCGGATGAATAGCTCGAACTCAGTTTTATCATGAAAGCCACGAAGGGCATTGTTCGCTAGCTACAAAGGAACTTCGTATCGTGCAATCATAACGTCATCCCATGGGTATCAGCAAAACCAAAAACAAAACCTCCAGCTCCAAAGCAACATGGGTATCTCAAAGCCAGAAACGCTCACAAACTCCGCCAGTACTCAAGCTCCATAGCCCGATAAGACGCGAGCCCAAACACATCCACACTCTCGAAGGAGGCATCGGCGTCCTCCGCGTCGTCAAGCGCCACTTCCTCCTCCACGTCATCTTCATTCTCCTCCGCCTCATCCTCGTATGCCGGCACCTCAATTACCACTTCACCAGACGGCCGAAGTCCCTCAAGCGCCGCCATCTCCGCTCTTCTCCTGATCTCCTCAAACTCATACTGATCTATCGGTTCGAAAAGCTCGCACAGCTCGATCATCGAGAACTCCTCGAGGTTCTGGAGCTCCTGCTCCTCCACCCGCTCCTGAAATGTGAGAGTGTGCTGAGGCATGTCCTTCATCGGCGTCGACTTTGGCTCTGTCGGTACGGCGACCGGCTCCATGAACGATGGTAGTGTTGCGACTTGCTCAACTTGAGTCTCGTGTTCTCTCGTCTGTTGTTCTTCTGCCTGTTCTTCCATCTGATGTTCTTCTGTGTGATATTCTTCCGTCTGTTGTTTTTCCGCCTGCAGTTTCGCCTGGCGTTTCGCTTCTTTCACCTGGAGTTTTGCCTGGATTTTGGCTGCGCGTACAGCCCCTGATTTTGCCGACCGGGCTGCCGCCAGATTGCGCTGGAATTCGGCGATCTTCTCCGCCTGTGCCCTTCGCTTCCTCTCCTTTCGCTTGCGGTTTTCGTCTCGGACATAGCGTACAGCATGTTCGAGTGCTTTGACATCAGATCTTAGGCCATTCAATTCCTTTGCAGTCGCGAGTGATGCTTGTGGTTGGCCCTGTGGATCCGCCCGGCCTTTGTCGTTGCTCTTCTCCAACGCAACGGCGGCGAGATCCTGCCATTTCGCCTTCTCGCACTCCAGCTTGACCATCGCGAGGTCCTGCTCCCGGAGGGTCTCGATCGCCTCATTCTCGCCAGCTTGCGCGGCAACGACGAGCGTTTCGAGCTCCTGGATGCGGGTAGCCTGCTTCATGGCATCCCGGTTGCGCGACTCCAGTACTTCAATCTTGACTCTCGCTTCCTCCAGTCTATCGTCGTAGTGATTCAATGCGGCGATTGCCTTGTTACAACTCTCGGTAAGTCGTGCGATTTCTTCATCCTTGTCGGCGGAATTGATCTTGCTTTGTGCGATCTCTTTCGAGTGTAGAACCCATGGTGGTGACGGCCGCTCGAACTCGGTGGTCTGAGTGAGGTCGGATGATGTGCTGTAGATTTCGTTGAGGCGGTCACTGAGATTGCGGAGCTTGATGGTGAGAGTCATGAGAGGAGTTGTTTCTTCTGTATCGAAAACGGTCGAGGTCGTGCTAGCTATGGCAGGCAGTATCGTGTCGACGGTAGGAAAGTCGACGTCGCTTTCATCGCGCAGGATATTAGAGATGTTTGATCCGAGCATGCGAGTGTAGGTTGCCAAATCTGCGGTGCTGTGCTGGCATTCTACGAACGTAGGAAGTGCGTCAGCTGTCAAGACCAGGGAGCGTGCTTTGAGCTCTTGTAGAATGTGCACAGTCTTCCCGACCATGATCTTTGCGCTGCGCGACTGAGTGATGAGTTGGTTCATTTTCTGAATGAAGCGAGGAAGGTCGGTGTGATATTCATTGGTAATGGGTAGGTTTGTCTCCACCTCAGCCTTGACCAGAGTAAGCGCAGCGGTTGTGTTTTCCATCTGACTCTGCATGAGCAGTGTCTTCATGATAAATGTGTCCGCGTAGCTGTCCAGCCCGGCGCGTAGGTGAACCTCCGCCAGATGTATCATCAGCGAAATCGATCGCTGCAGCTCTTCCGTCATATCCTCTTCTCTCAATTCGTCTTTTCTCACTGTATCAATGTAGCTGTTCAGCGCCCGTTCAACCGGCTCAAGCTCATACAAGGCGCCCTCAAATCTGGTGAACTGCTCGAGGGAGGAAGCGGTGATTGTGTTGCCAAATCGTTCGGACATTGCTGAAATCCAGGTGAGTTGGTCTAGGACGCCGCAGGCCGTGAACACGTGCTCGCCTCGAGCATCGAGCTTGTCTTCGGAGACGTTGTCTTTGACGAGGCCGTGAAGGAGGTTTGCTTTGAATGTGATGCGCCTGAAGCGGAGAAGGGCCAGCACAGAATCTCTCTCGGTGTGGAAAGATTCAGGCAGGTACAACTGCACGATGGCTAGGTGTTCGATTGCCTCTTGGGCGTCAAGCTTTCTAAGTTCCATGTCGATTGTTCTGGATTTTGTGCTTGTTGCTGACATCTGAAGCTGCTTGTTGAGATCTAGCATGGCTCGGGAGCGGGTGCTGAGCTCCTCCGCCTGTGTGTCGGTGATTTCCTTAGACGTACGCATGTCCGCGAGAGCAGATTGTAAGCTGCTGACCAGCCCTTGGAAGCGTTGGATAGTGGACTCCTGATCAGCGAGCAGTTCCTCTTGTTGAGTAAGACGTCGGTTGTGGTCAATGATGATGGTATCTTTGTGGCTGATGACGTCTTGAAGCTGCTTTGCGTTCTCGAGATGATTAGCTTCGAGCTCGTCCTCGAGCTCCTTGAGAGCCTTGAGGTCATCGATTGTGTTTTGTAGCTGTGTGACCTGCTCATTGAGCGAGGTGTTTCGCTCTGTGAGCTCTTCGATGATGTCTTCGGCGCTCAAGGCGTTGTCAAGCTGCTGGCGCACGTCCAAGATGTCGGCTTCCCGTTCGAGTAGTTTTGCTCTTGTGTTGCTTAGCTCTTGTTTGACGGTTGTGAGTTTCTGCACGTCTTCCTCCAAGCTCTTGATGTGACTCTTCAGCGTCGCTTCCTGGTCTTGGGAAACGTCCCGCAGGCGTAGTAGGGCTTCTTTCAGCCGCTCGTTCTCGCGCTCCTTCTGTATCCATCCCTGGCCCGAGCGCTCCTCATCCGTCATCTCGTGACTCAAATCTAGGTTCCCCTCCTTGAGGAGCTCATTCTCCACCTCCAACTCCTCGAGTCTCAGCTTGAGATCATCCAGTTCCGCCTCGTATGTCTCCGCCTTTTGCTCTGCCATTTCTCGGTCCATTGTTGCGGATTCGACGGCAGTCTCGTAGCCTGCCTGGTGCGCTTCGATCTCCTCCAAACTGGCCTGAGCTTCTTTCAGCTGTCGCCTCAGCTCTGCGAGTTCTTGTGCCTGTGGTTGCATCTTGGCTTGCAGCTTGTGAATTACTTGCTCGAACTTGTTGCGTTCTTGTTGGGTTTGTTCCAGCAGCTTGAGGCTCTCCTTGTCTTCGGTGCGTTGTTTCTCCATCACACGCAGCGTTGCTTGTAGTTCTTCGAGTTTGTTGCTGGCGGTGGTGGGAGGGGGAGGGGAGGTTGAAGCTGGCTTCGTCGCACGTGTGAGGAGCGACTGGCGGGCTGATGGGACCGCAAGGCTGTGACGAGGGCGGCCTTGCCCGGTCGCCAGCGGTCGTGGAGCTAGAGCCTAGAGAATGTCAGGCACTTGGTACAGACAGTGCGTAAGAGGCATGAATGACTTACGTTTGGCTCCACGACCCTGGCGACGGCGGAGCGCCGCAGGAACATGCCGTGGTTAGGTTGGCACGAGAAGTAGCGCTGGCCCTGTACAGAGCCGTCGTTCTTGCCTAGAGGCTCGGTGAACTCGACGCCTATCCATTCTCCGGCCGCAAAGGCCGTGACGCCGACGAAGCGAACTGCTGCTGAGCGGCCGTCGCTCAGCTCGACGACCTGACCAGCCCGTAAAGCTTGCATGATGATTGTAATTGATTGAGGATTGTGAATTGAAAGTGCTTTGTGCTGTTTGCGGAAAATCTTCGAGCGTGAAGTTCTAGAGCTTGAAAATTTGTGGGATTTGTGGGATGTAGGTGGGAGAAAGGAACGTGGGCGGTTCGGGTTCAAGACGCGCCGCGAAAAACACGCTAGTGCACTTCGGGCCGGCCCGCACGCTGCATGCCTTGCGCGATGAGGCGCGATGAGGCACGCTGCAGCCTCAGGCCTCCCTGCATCAAGTACTTCAAATCCGATGCTGTAAAGATGGAAATCATGTCTTGATTTTCATCTTCATTGATATCACATCACAAATCACGGCCGTCAACCGCCTTCTTAGAAATCCTTCATGTAGGATATGCAGCGCAACACAAGCCGTCTCTGCAGCTTTGGAATTCTTTTCGCTAACAGCCTGCAGTCTCCTGGGCCTGGAAGCACGTTCTGGGAAAATCTTCATATAAGACACTCAGTGCATTACACACCCGCTTTGCGCCTTTATAGTTTTCTGCACCAGCTGTCCTGGAGTCTCCTGCGCGCGGAATTATTCCCTAGGAAGTTCATCACGGAGAGTATACGGTACGTTATGCGCTGCCTTGCTACGTTGTGAATTTCTACGCCAACCGCCTGAAGTCTCATGACTCTGAAACCGCGCTCCAGATATTCAGCGCCAACGCTCTGGAGACCTTGTACACTTTGTGGTGGGGACGACAAAATTGCAATCCCAGGTGATAGATTACAATATGCTATTCAGCCGCTTCGCGGTTCTCTGCATCGACCGCTCAAGGTCTCCTAAGCGCATAATCATCACGCTAGAAAATCATCACTAATATTCTATTGCAACTCGTGCTATTTGTAATAGTAAGATATTATGCTAACCCTAGGCAATATAGTATAATAGGATACCTAGTAGCTTTTCGCTTTTATGAATCGACCGCCTAGAGTCTTCTGAAGCTAGAATCGCATCATGATTGCCTTCTTCATCAATAGCATACCAAACTCATAAAATTGACGGTGGCAGGACACCGCACTGATTTCAGAACATAGGGTATCATATATCACCCACCAGCTTCACGCCTTTCTGCACCAGACATACAAGGTCTCCTGAGCTCAGAACCTAGTTTCGGATGATGCAGCTTCAAGTTTCTACTCCATACCACGACCTGACTGCACCTCCCGCGCCGTCGCTGTGTAGAACCACCCACAAACGCCATGCTTCCATTACATGCTAGAATTCGCACCAGCCAAAACGGACGAAAGTCAACTCCGTCACTGCGTCATCAGTTCAGCAATCCGCCGTTCTATATCCGGCACAGCCCGCAGCCGTAGATCAAGCTCTTCCTTTTCACTGCATCATTGTCAGCAATCCATCCGTTAACCCATCTCGCAGGTGGGTTACTCACTCTTCCAACTGCAGCCTCCTCTCCGCATCCAATCTCGTAAACACATAGTTCCCCTGTCCATCAAACTGCAAAATCCTACTATGATACTTCCACAAACTCCTCCGATGACTGACCGTCATAAGTGTAATCCCCAACCTCTTCGCCTCATCGTACATCACCCTCTCAATCTCCAGCGTCACGCTACTAGTGCACTCATCCAAGATCGCATACTTCGGCGCGTGGTAGAACAGCCGCGCCATCGCGACCCGCTGCTGCAAGCCACCGGACAGCACGTCCGTCCACTCTTGCTCCGCGTCCCAGCCGCCCGGGCGATCGACGATGCTCTCGATCTCCACGACCGAGAGTATGCGGTGCAGATCCGCGTCCGTAATGCCCTTATCCCGCATCTCGCGCACGCCGTCCGGGTAGATGATCTGCTGGCGCAATGTCCCACGCGACAGGTACGGCCGCTGCGGGATGTAGAAGATGTCCTCGAACGGCGGCTTTCTGACCGTGCCGCCGTAAACGGGCCACAGCCCGCCCAAGATCCTGAAAAGGCTCGACTTCCCGCACCCATTCGGCCCAACGATGAGGAGGTGCTCCCCAGGCCGCACCGAGAAGCTGAGTTTGCGCACCAGGATATCCCCGTTCGGCGACACGATCGGCACGTCGACGAACTCGATGTCAGAGCCCTCGGAGACCTGGCCGCGGCCCCGCAGCACGGCGGCGTTCTCGTCAGTGGAGGCGGACGAGACGAGCCGCTTTTCGAAGTGCCCGGCGCGGATGTCGTCCATGACGTCGAGGAGGGTGGAAACGCGCGCGGTGTAGCCGGCCAGCTCGGTGACCTCTTTGTAGGAGAACATGACGCGGCCGAAAGCGTCGGAGGACATGAGGAGCATGCGCCTGTTTGTGACGAAGCCTGGGACTGTTGTCAGCTTCTGAGCGTCTGATTGGCTTGGAGAAATTCCCACTTTCTGTCCGGTCGCCCATGCTTGCCCCAGTGGCGCCAGGTACCTTGAAGAAGACCGGCACGCTGCACAGCATCAACCCCAATGCCCCCCAGAAATACTTAATAACAAAATCCTCCATAATCCCATGATAGAAACGCCGCCTCAGTATGCGATTAACATGCTTGATCAAAGTAAAGTACCCCTTATCCAATGTATCCTTCTCCGCCTCATGTCCCGCATACAGCGCAACCTCCTCGCTATAATCAATGAGCCTCGAATGCTGGAACCGGAACTCCCCTTCCAGGCGCGCCTCATCCGCGACGTACTTCCCGAACGGGGGCGTCAGCGCGCGCATGACGCTCGCGGACAGCTGCACAACCAGACTCATCATGAAGAGGCCCTCTCCGCCGACGCTGCGAGACAATGACCAGTTATAGATCACCATGTCGAGGATCGGCTTCGCAATGTTGGAGTAGAGCTCTGCGAGGCTGTTGGAGAATTTCGCGACGTCGACTGTGATGAGTTGGTCGGCATTCTTTATACGGTCGTCGAGCGCGGAGAGCGTGTAGAAGGTCATATGGTTGAGGTATTTGTTGTGGATGTAGTTTGTGATGCGTGTGCGGTACTGTAGGGAGAGTTTGCACTGATGGTAGGAGAGCTATTCCTGGTGGTCAGTCCAGCTGTCACTACAAGACCCAAGAGTGTCTGGGATACGCACCATAGAGTTGGTAAACGTCGCCGGCACAGCAACAACCATCCACCACACCAGCCCCGTGAGGAACTCCCTCCCCTTGCCCCTCACAAGGTTGCTCACAAGCCGCCCATCCAGCTCCGCAACATACAAACTAATCAGCGTCCTGAGCACCAGGAAGATGCTATGGCTAATCAGCAACCTCAACTCCTTGCTCCGCCACCCCGGTATCACGATCCGCAGCAGTCTCAGCAGATTCTTGAAGAACTCCCGGTTCAGCTCCACCTTCTTCCTGCCCGTCGCTTCGCCCTCTGTAGCCCCCGTACCAGGCCGCTTGCGCGCCTCGGCTTGCCGCAGCGAGGCGGCTTTCTGCTCAGCGATGGCATTGCGGATGCGGCTGACGAGCGCGACGAAGAGGGTCAGGTATATGGCGCGCGAGATGCGCGTACGGTGCTGGAGGTAGCGGGATGTGAGCTCGTTGATGATGCTTTTGAGGGACTGGCTGGAGAGATGGCGGGTTGGGGAGAGCTTCGACTGGGCGGCCATGGTGAGGAGCAGCTCAGCGAAGCTGGAGAAGTGTCGATTCAGTCGTTTGGTGCGCTGGGCATCGCTGGGGCTTGGAAGCTGCGATGATGGCGACGGATATCAAAGTGGCATGTGAAGGGGACCGAGGCTTGAGGCGCACGGGTCAAGGCACAGGGCTGAAGCATATCATGTCGATGCGCTTCCACGTGACATCCACGCTGCCTCGGACTTTTCCATGATCCTCCGTAAGGCCATGTCCAAACTCTTACAAAGACCGTTGTCGTCGTCCTGTCACCTGCATACTCAAAACAAATGGTATCTACGCTATGCATCACAAGACAACGTGCCCCAGACAACAGAAAGAGCCAGGATATCTCCCTAACGCACACCCAAACGACGCCAAATTCTTACACCAGAGGGACTGAGACTGCTCACGCTCATGCCTGAGCCTCCTTCGGCGGACGCTCTCCACGTTCCACTTCATAGTTTGTTTCTTCCGGGATCGACGGCACCGCGGTGGCAGGTGGAGCCGCGGCAGTGTGAGGCCTATTCGCTGCGGCATGCAACCTCTGATCCAGTGCCTTGAGCGCCAGCGCTCTCCGCCGCTCAGCTTCCTCTCTCCTGCCACCTCCTCTGCCGGCGCGACCGCCAACGTTCATCAGGCTGGGCAGACCTCCCTCGGCCCTTGCCGACGCCTGCTCATTCCCCGCATCGATGTCCTCGTCTGAGAACGGGCTGCATATCCTCAGCGTAACCAGCGTATCATACACCTTATCCGCCACAGGCGCAAGAACCGTCTGAACCGGATCCGGGAAGAAGTGCGCAAAGCTGAACGTATCCGATGCGTCGCCCTTCACGGTCCCCGACTCCCCGGTCGCCGTAGACGACAAAGATGGGCTGGTGCGGTAGAAGCGGAGGTAGATCCACGACGTGAAGAAGCCGAACCAGGCGAGGAAGAGCGCGGTCTCGGTGCCGAAGACTAGGCCGGAGACGGTGTTGCCGAGGAGGAAGATGGCAGGGAAATGCTTCACGCGCATGCGGATGAAGCCTTTGGCGATGGCGACGGTGTGTTCGGGGACGAGCTGCTTGAAGGCGACGAGGAAGGCGGCTTGGAGTTGGATGCCACCGGATATTGTGGTGTTGCTGCGCTAGTGTTAGCCTTGGAGCAGATCATGGGGGGGGCTTGGATGGCATGGATGGCACTAACAGAGCCCTGTCGCTGCCAGATAGAGCAAAGAACAAATAGTACAGCACCCAGCTCAGGATGTTGGGTATCATAGCAACGAAGAGTATGAACTTCGCAAACTCTGACGAGCCCCACGCGCGCTCGAGGTAGCGTCCGCCATAGAAGACTGTCGCACCGGTGATCAACAGGCCAAAGATGTTCTGCTCCACCAGTGCCGCGGTCAGGCACACCCAGGGGTAGACGATGGACTGCCGGGGCACGATGGCTAAATAGGGCGCGCCATCTCCCTTGCTGATGCCGGCTTTTTCGGCGCCTTCTACCCAGCTGCTGTATGGTCGTAGTATGGCGTTGAGGAGTGTGAAGATAAACAGGGTAGCGAGGAGGTATTTCGTTAATGGAGGGAGGTTGAATCGGGGCGCCATGGTCTTGGGCTAGGGCTGGGCCCTTTGTGAAGCTAGTTGTCTGTCGACAGCCAGTGGGTCGTCTGCGGTGGTGTTTGTTGAGGGATGGGGTTCTGCGATGAAGTGGGCGCGTGACGGGAATTGTGGTTGGCAATGACGGGGTAAGGAGCGGGTTTAGCAGGCTAAAGAAGTGATGGCAAGGACCGCGCAAGATTCTTGTTGCTGGTAGACAGCAGAGCACTTAAGATGACTGAGGTAAGTTCGGTGGTCTGGTGCCTGGTGGCCTGGTGGCCTGGTGGCCGTTGCACGCAAGGCGGCTGTACATTGGGTACCTAACTGGCGTCGGAGCCGCAAATCGGCCGAGGGCGTTCCCCAAGGCGCGCTTCTGGGGCACAGGCAAAGGCGCGAATGGGCGTCCAGCCGCCAATTCGACCCCCGGTCTACACATCGACACATCGACACATCGACACATCGACACATCGACACATCGACACATCGATACAGCGACACAGCGACACAGCGACACCTCGACAAACTGCCAGACCGCCTCACCACCACAAAAGCAACCTGTCGCGCTTGCTGCCAACCGTGCCGTATATCTCCGACCCCTTCCACAAGGCCATTGCGACGCGTCTTGAACCCTTGGCTGGAGCCTGTGCGCCAGAACAGCCATGCGCCATGAGCGCCGAGACTCTGTCCTCCAATGTTGTCAACTACCTGATCTGGCGCTACCTTCAGGAAGCCGGTATGCCCCTCGACTACCGACAGTGCAAGGCTGTTTACTGATACTGAGACACCCCAGGCTTTGCTAGTACTGCGCAAAGTCTCATGAATGACTGGAACCGTGATCCCCAAAGCCTACCCTTCGTGAACAATGTACATCAACACGCGCTAGTCCACATCATCCAGGACGGGCTGCTGTACGATCGCCTGCAGGCAGAGGTCAGCCAGGTACGGTGACTCCTGTCGAGGTCGCAACCGAACACCTCTAACCCCGCTTGACAGGACGGCCGCAACTACGACTATGGAACGAGCCACGGTACCCCCTACGTCGTCAACAACAACAAACGACGAAGACTATCAGATCAACGAACAAGCTTGAGGCCAGAGACGAACGGCGACATCGAGGTTAATGATGCCGCGCTCGCACGGGGCGCGCCGAAGCGTACGAGGAAGAGCAATGGTGCGGAAAGTACGCGTGAGCGCAGCAATGAGGATGCAATGGATATCGATATGAATGGCATGGTCCAAACGCCCAATGGTGATGCTGACCTCGCCGTGTCAGAGGCGGACTCCCCCATGCCAGAAGATGTGCCGATCGAGACGACCCTGGACAACGGCGTAAGCGTGGGCTTGCAAAGCGAGAAGATTGCAGAGTTGGCCCCGGAGACAACCTTCATCCAGCTCGACGAGCCTGAAGTCGTATTACGTCACACTGTCTGGAGTCCGACCGAGGCGCCGATCTTCTGCGCAGCGGGCGACTCACTACTCACTGTGTATTGCATGGTCAAGGATACGCGCTACTTCAGGGAATCACAGGATTACATCCCTCGAAAGATTGATCTTCCATTCTCAAAGTACACAATCACAGCTTTCTGCTGGATCTCACCAACTGAGGCCTTCGCCGCGGCCTTGGAGGACCACACGAATGAGAAGGGAGAGACGAGGAGTACGGGGAGGTTGCTTGCGTTGCGCGAGGGCGGCATGGAAGTCCAAATCCTATCCTCCTTGGTCGGAACAGTTTTTGCCTTGCGGTGGCGAGCCTCGGCCCAATGTTTACTGAGCATTTCGAGCTCCGATCGAGGCGGAAGCATCAGAACATGGAGTCCCAACAACCCGGACCCCCTGCATACGTTCTACACCGACCGAGTCATACTGGATGCCGCATGGTGCTCAGACGATAGGTTTCTTGTTGGTGGTCACGGCTTTCTCACGTCATACACACTGCACCACCCACCGTCCTCGAGCTCTTTGACCGAAGCAATTCCAGGTGATAGGGCCCAGGAATTCCACTGGGAAAAGGTCCGATACGACCCCATCTGCGACATCGTAGCATGCGCATCGCTGGAGCAGAACAAGATCGGCCTGTACTCCAAGGGCTCAATCGACTTCACAACGCAATCTGTCGCAGACAACCCGATCACCGCCCTGGAGTTCCAACCCATCATCAACCCCCTCTCGCATTCCGATGACTCTCCCCGCCTACTCGCCACCGCCCACGAGGCCGGACTGGTCCAGATCTGGGACGCCAAGCGGCCGTGGCAACTGCTGCACAGACTTTCAATGGGCGGCGACCCTGCAATGACGTTGTCGTTCTCACCAGATGGGTTTCTGCTGGCTGCAGCAGGTCTGGCCACGGTGCTCATCTGGAACCCGGAGGTTGGCGGGCTTCCGAAGGCGTTTTGGAAGGCGGATCTCGACAAAGACCCCTGGGATACGTCGGTTGCTGCGGATAGGGAGGAGGAGTTGGATCATAGCTTGGGCTGGGACGCTGATGGCAAGAAGCTGGCGTTTTCGCTGGCGAACCAGGTTAGTTTGCATATTATGCGGGGTTGAAGCGGGGCGCAACTGACAGTATGCAGATTGCTATCATTAGCTTCAAGAGATGAGGCACGCCCGGGCTCTTAGCCTTTCTATCCCGGCACAATGCTCCAGCATGCGTGTGCTCGGATGCCGTGTCATAGCGCGGAAGGCGTTGTCGATCTGGGGGCGATGTCGGTCGGAGTGGCCCTAGGTGATAAAGACTACGGTATTCGGGCCAACGAATCTAGGCAGGGACGGCTTGATGGGAGCAGCCGGACTCCTCGGCCTCTCCAAGACGTTGGGAACGTCGCGATATGCCATTCCGAACGGAATCGTAGGAAGCGCCCCGAGACGCTGCCGTTCCGACAACTCCGGCAGCAGACGTACTCATCACGCTACCCCTCACCGGGACAGTACGTCTGGTGGTGCGGGTCGAGTCGTATGGTACCTGCAAGACTCGTGGTCAGATCGGCGCCCGAGCCAAGCTATTCTTTGCGTGTGAGGTTCTCACGTGTGGCGGAGTAGGCTTGATCCACCATTCACCTCCACGAACTCGTCAGAAAGTCTGGCATCTACACGCATAGACAGAACGACCAAGGGCCATGGAGCCACATCCTCGCGGAAAGCCGCGCAGGTAAGAGCGGAGAGAGCCGAGAACATGTGGCAGTATTGGCAAGTGGGAACTTGTACTGGTAGTGTCTGACAGGTCTCTATGCAATGTTCATCTTGGACACTATGAGCATCACCAAATTGTGGCGAAACGAAGCCGGCCAGTCAGGTTTTGTAAGAATTCCACGTGCTCCGCTGGATACGCCACTGTGTTCGTGGTCCTGATTCTAATGTATCGAGCGAAATGTTCTTTCACGACCAGGATCCTTCCATCTTGTCTAGCATTCACTTCTCTCCGAGCCTGTCCATTTTCATGCATGAATGTCAAACCCACAGAAGGTCCTAAAAATCAGTGTAAACAGATTCGCTGCCAGTAATGGATCTCTCAACTGTTTTTGCGCGGGGCGTGACTGCAAGATCCAAACTCAATCAGTAGACAACTTTCGATCAACTGAAGTCATTATCACCGGCGCAGACCGCTTTGGCCTGACTTACGGCAGACAGGCACCAGAGCGCATGCACAAAAGCAAGAGAACATGACTATTCATGGCCGCCAGCGGACAGCTGAACAGCCTGAAGCCTGGCTTTCTTATCGCCCGTCCCTCATTTCCAAACGCGGCTCAGACAACCCGTTCCAATGGTCATCTGAGACAGGAATACACCTGCTCTTCGGCGACCAAACACACCACAGCGCCCTCTAATACGCTATTAAAGACATTTACAGCACCCGCACCGTCAGAATGAAAATACACACCAGCGGCTTCCCGGTTGGCACTTTCGCACCATTCACACGACAGCACGCCTCGCCTCCCACCCTCGCTTCGCCTGCCTCGCCCGGACTGCCGCCGCCTCAACACCCTCTCCGCATTCCTCGAAGTCGCCGCGCGGCCAAACGTCTCCTTCACCATCGCACCCACCACCAAGATCGAATTGCCCAGTATCCGCACACTCAGCGACGCTCCCCACGCCACCGCTGCCTTGGTCCACCCGACCGCTTTCCCGGCCCTGAGCCCACCGTGTCGGTCCCTCGTAGGCCATGCGGGTCTGACAGTCGAGGAGGAATAAGCGGAAGCGCGACAGTCGTAACCCGCTTGCCCGGTCAAGGGATGTTGGGATGATTCATCCGGCGGAGTCTGAGCTCAGGGATCGGGACGGGACCGTGGCGATGTCAGCGAGGCCGTGCGACCCGTTATCGGATGCATGTGGAGGGCACGGAGAGAAGGGCTGGGCGCAAGACGTACGATGCCGCGGCGCTGGATACTTGGATAAGCCTGGGAAGCGGTGTCTAGCGGATAACGTCAGGCTGTGGTGGTGCATGCAGGATGGAAGGGCATTCACGATGGCCTATGGGTAGCGCGGTACCGAAACGTCCACGGGTTCGTGGTGGCAGGGATTGGAGTCAGATTCGTTCGTACTGGCTGGTGCACGGGTGGATTGTCACCAAAAGAGGGTAGGCACTATGTGTGGTGTTATGTCTCACATTCGTGGAGAAGCGAATTGTGCTACCCCGGTAAAAGAACGAGCGGTTCAGCTTGAGGCCTTGGCCGTATACAAGAAGCTGTGTTTTGGAGGACTGGAATCAACGAGATGATGGGCACTGATTGTTTTGAGTTCAATATGTAGAGTGGCGACTGGAGTTCCCATGTCGCCACTCTGAACATTACCCCTTTCCGAGCAGCAGTACAATCTGCCGTGTATGAAGTGCTGAAGCCCTTGTCGCAACCCAAAGAGGGCTCTCGATCCAATTCAGTTATCCAATTTACCCCAAGATCCATCAAACGAGTGTTGATCAAAAACTGATATTGAAGCTCGGCACTCCCACCGCGACTCGATCGTGGCTCATTAAGTGAACGTCGGCAAACAACAAAGAAAGTGCCACGCAAGCGCTTGTCCTCCACTTTCAACCTGGTCTGTGAAGAACCCGGTCCGCAGCGCAGCTCTAGTGGTTTCCGCCATGAACGCGTGAAGGAACATCCACTCGGTAGCCAGTTGGCACACTCTCGTTCTGAAGATGCGGTACCAACATCCCATAGAGCGGTCCGGGAGCCGCAAGCATGGGAGCTGGCGGCGCGTGTCCATACATCGCGACTGGCTGCATGGCTGAGGGATTACTCGCCTGAGCGGACATCATGGCCGGCGGCGCGCGGTATCCTGGGGATAGGGCCATGATCTGTGCATTATTGGCTTGACCAACGGATGGAGTGCTCGAAGCGCTACTTGGCGGCGAATATGCAGCAAGAGGGGCCTGGTGTAGATGTGGGGTGTCGATGGGGACTTGCGCCTTGTTGACGCCAACGACAGGCGGAGTGCCTGAAGTATGGTCTGCTGTCAATTTTGTAAGGAGGGAAGCTGGCTGTGGCTGTTGGGAGTAGACTCCGATCTGTTTGAGGCCAGAAGCAGGGAGCGGTGTCAGCCCAGGACGGCGAAAAACAACGCGCGAAATAGGCAGGCGAGATGCGGTGGGTTGCATATCAGGTCTGAAGATGGGCGGTGGAGGCATTGCTGCTGGCGACGGTTTGTTGATGAGTAGATCCATCGGGTTGACTGTCGGGCTTTCCATGCTGCACATCCAGACTCCGTTCCTTGCTTGCCTGCCCCATAATTCGGCAGGCGTGCGCCTGAAGGCTCGCACCACATCGCTACGGTGCTTGAGATGGCGCACATGTTTGCCGTTGAACTTGTAGGGGTCTTCCTCCATGTAGACCTGGTCTTGGGCGGGAGGATCGACGGGCCACAACTTCTCAGAGTGGTCGTGCGTCCCCGTTTGGAGGTTGAAGCGCGGCCAGTTGGCGAAGCCATACGGATACGGCGCCGATCGATGGCTAGAGGCCGACCGGGACTTTCTAGCCACAACACTCCGACAACCACCTCCACCTCGGCAAGCTGGTGTCTGAGGTTGGACGTGTTGTTGCTCAACCACTCGATCATGGCTGTCGGAAGCGCGTATGGACGTAGGTGTCCTGGATCTTGCTGGCGCCATTGTGGTGCTTGTCGGATCCTGCGGCGGAGGGGGCGCTGATTGTTGATGCTTGGTAGAGGAATCCACGGGAGGTTTCTTAAGAAGAGTCGATGCGATGCTGTGTACTGCAGCTGGTGTACGGCTCGGACGACATGGCAGCGCCTCTTAGAAGGCCGGCGCGGTGAGAAGGGAGACCATGTCGGAGAGTCCCGCGCAGGCCTTAAGAATGAAAAGGTGTCCGAAGTTATCTTAGTGATACCTGTTTGAGCGAAGAGCGTGTCACGGTGGTTGAGGGCGACGAAAGTGATTCCAGTCTCCCTCTCAACCATGGTCGTCCTGAAGCGCAGCTACAAGAGGAAACTGCGGCTGGGACGGATAGCGCGGTGCAAGCCCAAGACATGGAAGACCAAGGGAAAGGTGGCATCCACATGAATCAATCAGACGGCGGCGAGTGCCTGTTCAAAGATACCTGTTCAAAGGACTTCCTTCACCTGCTCCCCCATTGCTGACTTACTCAACACGGCCAACCCAACTTACCAACACCACTACACAGCCGGCAAGTCTAGATCTACCAGCCATGGCCCATTCACCGGTCTGTAATCAGCGTCCATGATGCTCGCGTTCACCATGAGCGTCTCCTCGCCACGGCGAAGCGGTTCAGCCCCATCACTACTAACATCGACATACGCGCACCTGTCTGCGATCATCTTGTCCTCATCGACTGGGAAGCGGTTCGCAACCTTAACATCAGTGCTTCCGCTGACCAAGCTTTGCGCTGACGACCTTTTACTCCAGTCAACCCTCTCTGCGCCCCAGCCCTCATGGATATGACCAAAGCAGTGCAGCCGTGGTTTCGCGCGACGCATGGCGCTGAGCAGATGTGAGCAGCCAACATGCTCGCCCGAGATGGTCGCATCAAGGCGTCCAAAGGGCGGGCCGTGCGTCACAACGATGTCCACGTTGGGGAAGTCGGGGATCGGATTCCGGGCGACTGCTCGGGCTTCCCATGCGACGCTGTTTGACGAGTTTGACGGGTTATACCGGTCCTCGTGGCGCTCGTAGGGGAAAGCCCAGTTGCAGAACTCCGGCTGGTAAGGCGAAGCGTAGATCTTGGGCTTCGTCAGCAAAGACAGACACAAGAACATCATGCTGCCACAGTGGAGATTGCATAGCAAGCATCAAGGCCATGAGAACATACCGAGAACTTTGCGCCGTTCGAAAGCTTGAACTCATAGGTTCCTTCCTCCAAGTACGTGATGCCTGCACTGTTAGCATGATCCCCCTTCCACATCTCCAGCGCCTTCTTCGAGCAACTACGATCCCACTTCTGCCTATGCATGCGCATCCCTTCCCTCTCGAAGTAATCGCTGTCTAACGAGATATCGTGGTTGCCAGCAATTACCAACTTGAGCTCCGCATCGATGTTTCTCATCATCTCGATCGCCTTCTTGTACTCTTCGAGGTGCCCTATCATTGTCAAATCGCCGCAATGGAGTAAGACATCTGCTTTGGGGAGCGGCTTGCGGAAAGGGCGTTTGGCTTCTTCGGGATTGTAATCCGTCGAATGGGTGTCGGAAATCATCAGAATCCGCGTTTTCGTGACTTTGGGTGCAGCCATGGTTGTGAGTAAGGTCGTGAAGCTTCGGTTGTTGTGAAGAAATGTTTGTTTCCAAGGAATGTTCGAGAGTGGATGTAGCATGCGGGCCCGGGAGATACTCTAATTAATACACAAAGCTGTATCGAACTATACTAAGCGAACCATGGGTGGTTGGCGTTGTGACCCACGCACGTCTAAGCAGGCGCACACAATATAGGTTGTACGTTACGACAGACAAGGTTACTAGGAGGTCGCTCCGGCAGCGGATACCAAGGGCAAGGCTGAGCCTATCAGCGGTATGCGTGACGCATTCCGCGAGCTGCATGCAACCGAAGCCACCAGGAGCTGACCGGCCAGCTTCAGGCTAGGGCTATGACTACAAATATTTGGGCGGCACGATGAGGACAGGACGTCGTGAGCAATGTGCGGCTCTGCGGACGGCTCCGCGGACGGCTCCGCGGAATGACGCAGATGTAACGGGCTGACCCGGCCCTGATCTGGTTCTTGTCAGCCTCAACCTCCAAATTCATCTTTCCTTGAAGTAGAGAGGCATGAAGGCCAACAGACTTCGCGTTCAATCGTTGGAGCGAGAGCTGTGTGTAAACTCCCGACCCGCAGGATAGATGTGCCGCATTGCCTCCAATTCTATTTTTCAGGGACTCCTTGCGCAAGCACTTCCTCTCCCTTGTTCTTCAGCCCCTTCGCAAGAAGCCCGGTATATCTACGAGGCGAAAATCGAAATACACTACAAGGTTATACGAGACCGCGGGCACTCCTCTCCCATCCTTTCCAAGTGGAAACTTTTTCCAACCCACAATCCCGGCAGAAAATCAAGGCTAGATAGCAAATCAAACGCCAATATGCGATGTGACGATGAGGATATCTCATGAAACCAAGCGGGCCCGACCAGGACAGAAACCTACTCCTCAGCCACGCTCCTCGGCGATCTTGTCTCTTTCACACTGTTCTTACTTGCCTTTTTCCCAATACTCAAAAGGCTCAGCCTCTTCTTAACGCTACCAACTTTCTCCCCGAACGATTGATCGCTTCTCGTTGTCTCATGCCGCTCACCGCTCATACTGCGCTGGCTCGGCGTTAGTGCATCCAAATCCTGCCCGTTGTGGTCAGCCGTCGCATTGTCCTCCAGCGAGCTCAGCTGACGACTGCTCGACCCCTTGCTACGTGTGGGTATGAACTCGTCGCGAGTCTCATCAATCGACCTCGTCGCACCGGCTTGACTCTGGGCGTGCTGATCTGCCATCGCTGAAGACCGCTTGCGGAATGTGAGGCTAAGCCGGGACTTGTCATGGCGCGTATGCCGTGAGTCAGATGAAGCCACTCGTGAGTGATGTATGTCATCCATGGAAGACCGAGATGGTACAGAGGCAGCTGCGAGGGACGGCGAAGCGTGAGCCAGCCAAGATCCGGTGGGCGAGCGCATAAAGGAACCCGGAACTCCCGCGGCGAGGAATTCTAGCTCTGGTGCATATGTAGTTTCGAAGCCTGCAAGTGGAGTAATGAGCACAAGACCAATTAAGCACCGCAAGAAGGAGGTGATACGTACGTTCCGTCAGATGTGCTTTGGTAGCCTGCTGAGCTGGTCGGGAGAACAGGCCTAGACAACGCTTGATCGCGACCGCATGATCTACCATGGCTGTCCTAAGCGCGTTTTGCAACGGATCCATCGAGGGCTCCTGCTCGATGTCTTCATCAAGATCGCCGTCTTCGCGCTGTGGCAGAAGCCGACGGTGGTTCGCAACGCTCGATTCGGACGCGGACACCACCGACAACATTAGCGCGTCAGTCAGTTGATTGAAAGCGCCGTCTTCCCCCTCCGTGATGCGTTTCTCGATCGCCAACAGCTCCGATGTCTTCCGTGTGGTTCGCTCTACCGCGGTCTGCAAAGCGCTCAAAGTTACGGTGGCCACCTCGACTATCTCACTTCTCTTTAGTATGGTTGGAAAGTGCTCAGCAGTCGTGTACACCGTCTTTTGCACAGTTGCTCCATAGGCGTTACCGTCGCTACGCTGCCTCCGTGAAGTCGTCGCGAATTGCCCTGGCCTGGATAGCAAACAGTAATCGCGAATATGTTGCGGCACCCTTGCACGCTGGCAAATTGGGTGAAGCAGGTCTCTTTGCGGGCTGACGGCAGAAATTTGGAGATACTGCCCTTCGAGGTCTTCTTCGCCGGCATGTGTCAGTATCTGTGCCGCGGGGTGCAGCTTCTGTAAATGATCTGTGAATGTCGCCACCCGATCGTTCGGCCGGCCCTCAAAAATGAACTGCTTATCTCTGAGTCCACTAGGGAAACCCAAGCCCTTGTACACCACGCGGAAGTACCGGGGGTTCTCTATTTCGCCTTTGCTGATACTCTCATAGATGGTTGCCATGGCTCTCTGCGCCCTTGCAAGCTTCGAGAAGTCGAAGATGCTGTGTTCGTACTGGTCCAAGAGCTCCGAATAGGCGTCAAGAGCGTTATCCCAGGATAGACCTTCCTCAAACTGCTTGATCATCCTGAAGTAGAGTTGCTCTTTGCGCTCAAACTCAGTTTGCGCAGGAAAGAGCGGATCGACCAGCGCCTCTACAGCTACGGTAGGATCCCATTGATAAAGGTCCGCATGTAGACGCAGCGCAAGGCCAGCTTCTGTGTGGTTTCCGGATTCACTTTGTAGCTGTGCTAGATCGTGCACGTACTTGATGTATATATCTTCTTTCCGTAAATCCTTGAGAAACTCCATCAGGTGGAGGGTATCCATAAGATGGAAGCCACTCTCGGTAGACCCAGTACTGTGCACAGCCACCAACAAATCAAGCAGCTCGTCAATTGTCGAGATCAGACCCTTCACTGCAGAGTACAACGGTTCGTCTGGGATCTGCGCCAAGGGCTCGAACAATTCCGTAAGCTCTTTGACGAAGAGCTGCTGATCGAGGCTCTCCGTAAGACGCTTGGTTTTGAATAGGCAGTCTAAGCATTCGACGATCTCAGCTTGTACGATTTCCAGATCTTGGCTTAACGTCCACTCGCTGACAATCATGCTCTGTAGGACCTCGATGGCCACGCCCCGCAAACCGTCATGGACGCTCAGACAGAGCTCCACGATCGGCCCTACGAGGCTGGGGACGTACTGAACCTGGAACCCTCCCATCTTCTCTATGCCGTAACTTCTGCGTTCTTCAGCATCCGTCTCCCATCCTATCGCATCCCAGCTGAGGCGTAGCAATTCCGCACCAAGCTCGCGAACATCGCCTGCGATCTTCCACACAGCCCTTCGCTTCTGTTCGGGAAAGACCTCCAGCGCAAGTGCGTCGCTGCCCACAACTTTCAGCAGCGCATCGAAGAACGCCCGCCAGAGCTCGGTATTGAACTGATCAATCTCATCCGGGTCAGGGACGAAGTGTTCGATAAGTATGCTGGAAAGCTTCCCCAGTGACTTGATGGTGGATTTGTGGTGGAAGCTGTACACACTCAACCACGACTTCGGAAATGCCTCGCCGTTTAGTATAGAGATGTACACTTGTAGTGTTTTGAGAAGGAAATCGGCAAGGTCATCTCTTGGGAGATCAAGGTGAATGTTCATTGGCAGATTAGTTATCGCAGCGAGCACGGCGGAGATTTCGACTAGGGCCTCGTCGAACCTCGCGCTGCCGGCAGTGGATCGGGTCGGGAACGGATATGACGACGGGAACAGCAATGACAATTGCTCTTTTGATGATTGCGGCGTGGACCGGATTGAACGGTAAGAATCGACCAGCTTCGGGATGTATTCACAAGCCTCTTGTCCAAGCTCGCTCAGCTGAGATGCAACCACAGAGCAGCACAAACGGACTTGGTCTTTCCACTGCTCAGTGACGGCTTCGGTCACTCCCCAGTGGGGTGCGATCCAGCGAATCGTGCTATGGATGAGGCGGCGCCGGAGGTCCGGTGTCTTGAGAACATTGAGGTGAGAGAGATGAATTAAAAGAACCAGCTTGTAGAGGATCAGCCTCCCCTGGACGTTGGCACAAGACTCGACAAAGCCGGTGGCTACTTTTAAGACCTCCTGGGCATTTAGCAAAGGCATGAGTTCCGGCAGCCATGTGTGGAAGGCCTGGACCAGCAGCGTCTTGGTCCCAACCAGTACTGGAGCGGAGTTTAACATGAGGGCCTGCATTGATGTAAAAACGGTTTGTAAATCTCTGGCGAAGTTGGACTGTCTGCTGATGCCAACACCCGCTTGCTGAATAGACTGCTGCTGTCGAGCGGTTACGATGAACTTGAAGACGTGCCCTCCAACTTTGAACGCAGCGCGTAGCTTCCGAGATGCATCCGAGTCCAGAGGATTGGCCAGGAGGCGATTGAAACTCCGAAGCAAGCAAGGAGCTGCAGACAGGTACTGAAAATGGGTCTTCGCGTACTGATCAACAAGAGGGCTCAGCCTGAAGCGCCGGTCGTGGACGATTCCCAGCACCGCCACCAGAGCATTGAAGATGAGGTCCTCGTACTCTTCGCTTCCTGCGTACTCATTCAAAATTTCGAACAAGGCATCGAAGACTTCATTCAGTAACTTAACGATCTCGATCTCTGGGACAAAAGGGAACTTCTTGAGCACAGCAATCACTTCCCCCGCACCTTGCTCTCTCCACTTAAGGAGGCCCAGGAGATTCGGATCCTGAGAGTATTTCGTACTACAGAGGTATGTGCGGAGCCGCAACGCAGCCATCGAAGGCACGAAAAATGCCTCGTCCTTCTTTCTAGTGCTCCACGGAAGCGCAAGATAGGCCCCTCGTCCTGAAATCATGCTTGAAGTATATTCATCGTACTTGTACAAAGCAAGGGAATGGTCCCCATCGCGTATGAAGGCTTCGCGACTCCAGAGAGGTATCCAGCAGAGGGCGAATGGAAAGCCTGGGGCATCAGCGATGCTCATGACCACATGCGACCCAGGCACATCCTCAGAGCTGATGGCGAGGCGGACGGTGAGATTCCAGGATTCGCCTCTCTCTATAGCAGGGGTCCGCCAAGCAGTGTGTCCAGCGCTGTTGCATGACGGATAGATGCAGTTTTCGATACGCTCGCCGGTCGACCTGCGAACCTCAAGCGTGAGTTGAAGATTAGCCATGCCTGTCTGCGCCGCCAGCGGCGCACTTCCAGATTTTGGATGGGACAGACTCGCATTACGTGGCAGGAACGGCTCAATCAAGGTGAGGTATATGTCACTTCGCGGCTTTGTGGGCGCTCCGGAGAAGCCAATTTTGCGCGTCTGGAAGATACTGTGGAGCAGGGTTGGTGTTTTCTCGACAAGGGTTTCTGCGTCCGCATGCTCGAATGATTTCAAATGCATTCGGAAGTGATTGATGGTCGCGTACTGCCTGTATTGCCCGGTCGGACTAGAAATAAGCTCAGGAATGAGATTGTCCCATCGACCCTGCTCTTCGGTCTCCTCGAACCCGGGAGCTGGAGCCCAGACGGTCATGTCCCGCTCGGCTTCCCCGTGATCCTTCAGCAGCTGGTCAACGCGTAGGACACCAATGGCAACTGTACGCTTTGCTGTCTTCGCGTCTCTTGATGACGTTGCTCTTGTAGCAGGAATGTTTCGTGGCTCTATTGCGTTGGCACGGTTGGACGATCCGCTCGTTGGTCGTGTTTCAGAAACTTTGATCGAATGTTCCGAGTCCTTTCGTCCCTTTTGGTTCTTCTGACTCCACATAAGACTTCTCCTGCCGGGTTTGACGTTGTTTGCATTTGACTGGTAGATGTCCGGCGAAGACTGGCTAGAAGTGCTCTCACGAGGCGGATTTGGTATCCAAGGGAGGGTAGTTGAAGTCCGGAAAGGTGCATTTGTCAGGACTTTCAGAACTAAGAAAAGATTTGATCCGGAACCTGCTCCTTCCCCGATGTCTGCAGCGCTCAGATCGGTGAAAAGAGTCCTTAGTGTGTCTTCAGAGCCGGCTGCTGACAATGCATCTTTGGCACGGATGTCGATGGCGAACATCTCGGATAGTGGCCTTGGCGCATCCCCGGGGCTCTTCGAGCATAGGTACAGATTGATGGTAGTCGGTTCTTCTGCTTGCCCAGAGAAGGTCTTCAGTTCAACAGCGAGGTGATGAAGCCTGTGCTCGTCAACACTAGGCACGGGCCGCTCGTCTAACAGACTCATCATGGATTGCAGTGCAGTAAGCTCGACAGCCGAATCATCTGCAGTCAGGATTCGACCTCTCTGCTCAGCGCTCCGTACAATGACCTCCCCGTTGAACATCTTGTTGCCGTTCACCAAGTCCCATATGATCGTCTCCCGCAGGCTGTGAAGCTCTTGCGCAGTCAGAACCTTGTGGAGCAGCTGCCGCCGCGCAGTATCCAACTTCTGCACTAGAGTGGACATCTTGTCTAAGCCGCTGTACCGCCTAGCGAGGAGAAACTCATGAAGCTTGAGGGAGTGCCATTCCCTGAGACACGATGCAATTTCATCCACAAGCGGCTCTTCAGCGGAAGTGATGGTCTCGTCACCAACCTTCAACATTGGCACTGGCGCTTTTGGTCTTGGAGAGTTCGGATCGCGGTGGTCGAAAGATGTTGGAAGCTGAGCAAGGCTCTGCATACCCCCTGTCCCGGTTGCCTGTTCGGTCGCTTGGGTTTTTGCTCGCTTTCCACCATGCCACCCATGTCTAATACTCGAGTGGCCTGGAACGACGGAATCAAGCCCTGACGGTGTGCTCGACTTTGAGGTTCTGTTTTTGAGTCCGCTGTCTGCTCTGCACAGAGGATCGCCTGCATGTATGCTGTCCGGTGGTGTGATGATTCCGTTTGAGCGGTGCTCGCCCTGATCGCCTTGCCCGTACGAGTTCGCTATTCGTTCACCGTGCCCCCCACTGCGCCGGCGCACCCTTCCCTCCGCCAGCAGTTCCCGCACTTCAACGCAACATCGCGGAAATATGCCGGTGAATACGCGCGCTTCTAACGTCTTTCCCTTGACGCTGGTTAGGCCCGACAGCAGTGATGGCGGCGCAACCAGATAGCCGCGGTACCAGGCGCCATCGACTCCTCCTTGTTCTATGATGTAAAGCTCGTCGCCGATCTCGAGAGGTAGGTCCGCGGGTGATGAGGCTTGGAAGGGGTATATGGCGACGGCGAAGGCTATGCGAGGGAGCGGTTTCCAAACCATTGCGCTGTGGTGGCTAAAGGCGTATGCGCACTGCTCGGTACATTAGGAGGAGCTGGAAAAGCTATATCTTAGCAACGATGTTTGAGAGCAATAAGTGCGCCGCGATATGCAGTCTGTAGATGTCGCGAATGAGTGAAGCGGAGAGGAAGCGAAGACGTGGTGGCTGGCTACGGGCAGCTTTCGTGCGAGAAGGGGATACTCGAAGGTCGTTGAAGCTCTAGAGTACAAGTGCAAAAGCGAGGGAATATTATGTACAGCCAAATGGGCGGGCAATAAGCAAAGTAAGCAATGCAGCAATAATGGGATGTAACTCTGATGTTCCCAATGTTTGCTCGACTTGTCGATCGCCTGCAGGGTCCAGTGTTTCCCGTCGGCGCGCGGAGCGACGGGAGACCGGAGAGCTGAACTCCCTAACCCCTAAGTACTCTAGATACCAAGGAACAGTCTTTACCTCCTAAGTCAACATTATGAAAAAGGATATTGTGGTTGACCTTGCAGAGGGGAGTCTGATCCTTGACTTGCTGACTTCGCGCGGTCCAGACGATCAAGATTGAGCGAAAGATTACAAAGTCACATAGTCGTTGAGCTTCGGCACTTGCGGTCTCTTTCGCAATCACTATAACATCCCGCATAGGCTATAACTTCGCGTTGATTGAACACCCAGCCTTTGCTGCGATGTTATGTCAATCTCGTTCTATTTTTCGTACTTGAGTTATGCGAACATGACCTTTTGGCTCACGCTTATGCCCAGACGCTGAAAGAAACACCAATGGATTGAGCGCCTTGGATTTGCCTCTCTATTAGAATTCAATCAATGTTATCAATCCCTCGTAGTCGGTAGCTCAGCAACCGGAGGCCGATACGCCTGGTATGGTACCTCACGACCATACAACTCCGAAATTCGTTGCGACGCCTCCGATGACCGTCCCTCCAGTTCGGGATGGTAGGTTGGCGCTGCATATGTTGGCAGCTCTGCCGGGCTATGGTGTCCTGACTTCTTTTCATCGGTCAAAGCCGCTTTTGTGGAGCTGGCACGTCTGCGCCTGCGACGGATGATAAACCATGCGAGAAGGGCTGCTAGTATGGCGAGTATGGCGCCCCCGGCAGCGGCACCGCCGGCTATGGCACCGACATTCGGCCCGGAGCTGTTCGGATCTTGGTTCGTTGCTGCTGTTGCCGCTGCCGCTCCAGGGCCCGAGGAAGCCTGGTTGCTCGAGCCGGTAGTCCCAGTTGCTGAAGGAGCCGAGCCCCCATTCGTAGAGGCTGACGATCCGGAGTTGGAGGTAGCTGAACCTGCACCGGTGGATGCGGAAGCTGCTCCCACCGTTGTGCCGGATGATTCTGGCGAAAGTGCTGGCGAAGGATTAGACGAAGGATCAGACAATGGCTCCGAGGATGGGGCAGAAGATGGAGCAGGTGATGGAGCAGGTATTGAACTAGATGAGGCAGGGCTTGGGCTAATTGAAGTGGTTGGACTCTCACTTGACTCGTCTGGCTCGTCATTAGGCTCGTCAGGTGCGGGGATATAGTTTGAGCCCTTCGTTGTAGCCACGATCGCCATGTCTGGCGCGCCGTCCGTCAACACGGTGGTTGCCCAGCTTCTATAACCACATCCTACTTGCGTCCACCCGTCCGGGTAAGAATTTGTATAGCACTCGGGGTTATTTGGGCCCCTTGTTGCACTGTGATCCGATAGCAGGTCAGTTAGAGCCCACGATGGAAGGTGCACACGTACCAAGTCATAGTGAACGTGTCGTTGGCATTCGGAGTCCCCGTCGGTGATCCTGAATCGAGGCAGGCGGTGGGGAAAGTGCAGGAACTGCCCGAGGTCGTGCAGCACCCGACCGCATTCAGGTCGTTGAACCATACACAGGACTCGCCTGAAGAGCACGTAGCGGGGATCGCTAGATGGTCAGCATAGAGTTGAAGGTTGAAGGATAAGAAGAGCGCTCTCACCGAGGTTACCACCGATGAACCCACAGACAGTCAAGGGATACTGTCCGGCTCTTCTGAACAATTCTAGTGGGCTCCGAAATGCAGCTGTGGGCGCAGGACTCCAATCCGCGCCCAACTGATCGATCCCAGTAGCTCGCGGTCCATCCCAAGGAATCGCATTGACAATGCTGAGTGCGGATACAAGGACAAAAAATAGAATGTTTGCCGACATGATGATCTCAACTGCAAAGCCGACGGGCTTTGACGTCTTTCATTTCATGGTACCCCTTCAGAAGATGCGAAGAAGTGTTTACCGCAGTCGTGACAGAGATTGTAGTTGAGCATATTGAATTGAGGCGAGAAAGACTACAGGAAGATGGTGACGACAGAGGGGAGGCGGGCTCACACGTTACGTCAAACACCAAGTCCAGAAACTTGATAGAGCAAACAGACATGGTTTGTCCCTGGGAAACTGAAACGGCGGGGAGGCAACGTGCCTCAAGCAGGGTGTCCTGGCGACGATCAACGTGGTGCCGCGTGCCGACCCGACTTCTGCGCCACTCATGCTCATGCATGGATGCGCTGAGACTGATTTCGGCGGGGGATTGGCAACTTGGGGGCAACATGTATGGATTAATCCCGACTCGCGTAAGCAATGCTGAACAATAATTATCATGGATGAGGAATGTCAGGAACTGCTGCTAGTGCATCATGTGTTGCTTGCTAACTTTCCTCTCTTATCTCGCTTTCGTAAACGCTGTGCAAAGCCTCGCTAGCTGCGCATGATTACCTACTCTTAACCTCCTTCTAAACTTCCTCTACAGGATCTTCCGGCCCAATTTGCTCCGCGGTTTTCATATGTCTCGTTACGATACAAACGGGGCAAGGTGGCATAAGACCGGACCTGCAGCCTGCTCACGTGATACGCTTGTACACCCCGCAGTATCAAGATGCAGGGCTGCTACGAGCAGCTGACTAACAACGCAGTAGAGGTTCAGGATAGCAATAACCCTACAGACCAGTCGCGAGACACATCTCGGTCATGGCTCGTTGTGAGCATCATTTTCTATGGATAGTTGCCGACATCTCTAGTACCGTCGACTAGCTCCTGTTGCGACATGTACGACCATGGCTGAAGGAAATCAGCAAGATTACGGCTCAGATCCCGCCGCGACGCGCTCAGACGACCTCGATCGCGAAAATGGCCCAGCGCTAACCTCCTCAGGGAGGACCATACAAGCCTGTGACCGATGTCGTCTGAAGAAGGTGCGTCTGATTCATTGTGAAAGTATAGAGAGCCTGCTTTAGGCGCACGCCTTGTTCAAACGCTGCCTGACTGACGCCAACCTCCTTCTCTCTAGGTGCGGTGCGATGGCGTTGTGCCTACGGTATGGAAGTTCCTCTGAACCCGTCTCCGAGTCGGGTCCACTGACGACGGCACGATTTTGTAGTGTGGACGTTGCAAAGCCGCCAATCTAGGGTGTTTTGTCACGGTCAAGTTAACTCGCAAATCTTACCCAAAGAGGTATAAAAATGCTGACTCGCAAGAGGTGTATGTAGCTGACTGGTCAATAGCTATACTGAGTCCATTGAAGAGCGCCTCCGAGAAGTTGAGGCTGAAGGCCGCGCCAAAGATGATCGAATTAAGGAATTGGAATCAGCGCTTGCTGCTACTACCACAATACAGCAAACCACTCCCTGGAATCCGTCTTTGCCCCCCAATTCGGCACAGCCCCCTTCCAATCCGTTGACTGGTTTCGGAGTCCGTCCTAAATCCGGCTCTCGGGTAGCTCTGACTGATGAACCTATCTCTCGCGAAGTTGGTCGCATGAATGCGGACCGCAGGGGCGTTGGCCGCTTCATGGGTTCCTCTTCGGGTATCTTCTTCATTGGAACTGCGGAGCAGCGTTTCGCAGCCATCGTGAAAAGCCCAGGAAAGGTCGAAGATGAGCTCCTTCGGGTAGACGCAGATGAAGAAAACACCAGTTACTCGTTACATGCTATCTGCGACAATACCACGCCGCCGGCTTCACTGCCACCAATGGAGACGGCCTTGAACCTCGTTCACCGATGGTTCGATTGCTGGTGCTATGTCTTTCCTATTCTCCATCGACCATCCTTCATGAAATCATTGGAAACCTTGTATGCTACCCCGGCCGAGACACACGATAGACCCTTCCTGGCGCAATTTTATCTCGTCCTCGCATTGGGATGCCGCCATCTACTTCTAACCAAAGACATGTCCAGTGGTGGCCTATCTACTGCTAGCATCGACCGCGAAGATCTTCAGTATTACCACAACTCGTTGCTCTATCGGAATGAAATTTTGAACGCAAATAACCTTCAAACCCTGCAGTTCCAAGAGCTCTTGACATTGTGGTTCTCATACACTGGAAAGAAGAGCTTAGCCTTCCAGATGACTGGCAGCATGGTGAAGCTGTCATTGGAGCTTGGACTACATCGCCACTCTCGGCGTTTCACTTTCGACCCTTTAACGACTGAACTCAGGAAGAGGGCCTTCTGGGTGTGTTATATCATGGACAAGTGAGCAGGCAATCGTCCTTCAACATGAACATGCATTGACTTATGATCATTCATTTAGTTTTCTATCGGCTGTTGAAGGCCTTCCAAAATCCTTCAGGGACCAAGATGTTGACGTCGAGCTCCCTTCAGACGTGGATGATGAATTTGTTACTGCAACCGGATATCTGCTGTCCCTACCAGGCGAGCCCACGGGAATGACGGCTTTTGTATCTCTCGTGAAGGTTGTCCGAGTGTTGTCCAACACGCTGGAGATGCTATATACCACCACCGACAGGAGGCGATGTGTCACAAAAATTGCTAGCATCAACCGTCAACTCGACCAATGGGTTCATACACTGCCAGATCATCTTCAAATCTACCAACCCGCTACCGCAACGGAGCCGGAAGACGTGTTCGAGGGCCTTGGCTCCCTTGAGCCGGCTGTTCTGTTCTTGCACATGACGTATTTCTACGTAAGCATTGCAGTACATCGAGTCGCTCTATCATTCCCGCCCTCCGTTCCTCAGTATAAGGTATCGCTTGTGCAGTGTATGAAAGCTGCGAAAGAGCTGATATACCTGGCGTCTCGATTCCGGGCCTACCTGCTTGTTTTCGAAATAAATCCCGGAGGGTATGTTTACACCTTATGGTCCTGTGGCCTTCTGTTGGCATTCGGATTGTGGGGTGTACAGAAAGATGGAGGAAGCCTTTCTCATGTCCAAGATGCGGAAAGGGATGCGAAGAGCTTAGCCATGGAGTGCGTGGAGGTTCTACGGTATCTAGCGGCTTGCGGTTGCGCGAGTGCGAGAGCGCGGGCTGATAACCTTGGGGGAATCATCGCCAGCGCCGACCCGATGTTCCCGACCTCGGATGATGGCCGCCTTGTCAGTGGTCGTAGCACTGGGGGAGCAAGCATCCCAGGCGGGACAGCTGTGCGTGTGAATACAACCCAGAGCAGATCTTCTGCAACTCCGAGCTCTCAAGCTTGCTATCAACTACCCGACGCACCATCTCCTTTTACTAACACGCTACAAGAGCTCTCCGCCAGCTTGGTGGCTTCCCATGACTCGCAAATTCATCCCTCTCAGTCTCCAGCAGACATCCATGGCGGAGTTCCAGCTCAAGCCCCGGTCGGACCATCATCATCGACAGTCATGGAAGGTTTTAATGGCGATTTCAGCCTCCTTCTGCCTTCTTCCTTCGACCGCTTCGACAATTTCACGTACGGTCCCCCACCCACAGACGTTGTCGGGCTCCAGTCGATAGGGGGACTCTGGGACGATCCGATTTTCCAACTACCCTCCGATACGGGTATCCTGTCTCCCACTTTCGCAGCATTTCAGGCAGGTGACGTCACCAGCTCAGTGGGCAGTGTAGGCCTCGACGGAGAAAGCTCAAGGAAGAGGCAAAGGTTGAACACTAGAAGTGATGGGTAGCAACTGACTGTGCTTTGATTCCTGCTGTACAAACACTACTCTTCTATTGGCTAAGGGATGGGCTCTAGACTCTGCGCTTTCATCCAGTGTACAACAACGAGCAGTATATCAACGGACGACGCAGGGCCCATACGTAAGAGCGGGCATCAGCAGGTGTTTGCATAGCTGGCAGGAGAAATGGCCTTAGCGAATTCAATCATACGTCCGCCACTCCATCCATTCGTAGCCTTTTGTCCGACACTCCAACTACACATATTTACAAGTTGGTTCCTTTGTACGTCTTAGATGTATTGACGAAATCGGTCGAGTCCATGACATCGGAAGGAAAATCCTGTCAAGCAGCTGCCATCCGCATGGCTAATTGACTGCCTGACTACAAACCCGGGACATCTTACTAGCATCTTTGCCCTGTCAACTGCAAGACTACCGCTAGTAACCATAACAGTTTACCGGCCCCGACGTAGCAGAAGCCATAATCTTCCGGTTCTCTCTCTTCAGCAGCACCCGCATCCACCATGCACACAGTATGGAACATAGCGCGAAGCCAGCAGATGCACTAAAGCCGATTGTGTACCGTGGCGAATCGGACTTTGGCCAGAGATACGCTCCATAGATGTAGCCAACCTGGCCTCCCACATTTGTGATCGCAAGGACCACCTGTTTCGCAGCGGTATTAGCATCGCGCCTAGTGCTTCGCTGTACACAGCCACGACTTACCGCTTTCTTTTCTTTGGTCTGGGACAGCGTTGAAGAAGCCCAGCCGATGATGACGGAATTAACGGCGTACGCGCCGACTGGGAAAATGAAGCAGGCGACGTAGCGTCCCGCAGTATTCAAGGTCGACGCGGCAATAGCAAAGCCGAGGATAGCGGTTGAAAGTCCGACGGTGATATGCCATGTGCGCTCGTGGTATCTTCCGGAGCTCCAGCCGAACAATATTCCAGCGGCCCCCGCGAGGAGGAATGGCGGGCATGTCATGACGAGCGTTATCGTCGTGTTGAATCCCAAAGTCTTTACCACCCTGTTTCAAAGTCAATTGGGCTGATGTTCCATCTACTCTAAGGCACAAGGTAAGCGGATGCACTCACGTTGGAAAGAAGGAGTTGAACGAGCACGCAGAGAGATGGAAGTTCTGCATGAGGCAGAAAACCCATGTCCTCGGATCTGCGCACGCTTGCTTCAACCCCCGCATGGCTGAAGCCTCGCCTTGGGTGTCTGAAACCTGGTCACGCTCCATCCGGCTGTGTGCAAGTTCTCTTTCTTCGGGCAGAAGCCAGCGAGTGGTGCTGGGAGTGTCTGGCAGCATCCAGAACCCAACAATGGCAACGAGGGCAGTTATTGCACCTTCAACAATGAAGAGCCTTGAGCTTCTTGTCAGTGACCGCTCTCGCTTGTTTCAACTGCTGGTCCTCACCATCTCCAGCCTGCAATACCTCTCAACCCGTCCATACCAGCAAAGACACCTGCTGCAATCAGCCCAGAGAAGCCCGTGGCCAATATTTGGGCGCAATATAAGAGCGCGATGCGGGCGGCGACCTCTGTGAGAGCGTAAGTCTCATAAGCAGCTCCTGTCCACGCGTACATTACTAACCTTTGCGGGTATAGAAAATCGACAGTACGTAAGTAGCACCTGGGTAGAACTACAGATCCCTCATCAGTGGATCTTCTCGTTGCATTTAGCGCCAGAACTTAGCATACTGGTGCCTCGGTCACTCCCAAGAGGAATCTGCAAGCCGCCAGACCAGCAAAGCTTTGGACGAGAGCAGTGCATGCTGCAGAGGTCAGTCTTTCCTTCATTTACAGCTGATACTGAACAGACTGACCGGAGACAGCAGCCCAAACCAGCATCCACGCGCTCATGTACAGACTTGGTCGGAGTTTCGTGATCATCATATTGCTTGGGACCTGCATCAATACGTAACCTACGAAGAGGACCGAGACGGCAGTGTTGAACTGGGTTCCGGTCATGTTGAGATCCTCCTCGAGGTTGTTGAGACGAGCTTGTGCAATAGCGTTCCTGTCCACATAGTTCAGGAAGTACATGACGCATAAAGTGGGCTATGGATGGCATTTATCAGCACGGTCACCAACCATTACTTGCGTTCTGCCATACCATGATCCGCAAGTCGAGTTTTCGGACAAGCTTGATCTCAACAGGGTCGGTCTTTGCAGCCGCGCCGGCATAGTCTTTGCCTGCTAATGCTTTCGACATCTGCTTCTCGTCTACTTCTTCGACACATCCCGTGGTCGCCTTCAGCTCTGCACCGCCGTGCGAGGCTTCTACTGAAGCTTGCTTCATGTTGGCCTGTTTGTTGGCAAGTCGGAGGCTAGCGCTCGAGACAGAGGAGCTGGGAAATTCGGTGAGCACGCAAGGAAAGAGAACGTGCGAGTAGTCCGTCTTGCAGCAGCCAGGGAGTGAGTGGGATGGTCTCTTTTATGAAGGATCTGCCGGTACGGCGCAGGAGAGAGAAAGCGGGGAAGAACGAGCGGCCGGAGACTCGAGAGACGATGCCAAGTGGCATTGGGGATCTGAGGGCAGCCATCATGCGGTAGCACATCTCAGGCGCTGTCGTGTCCCCAGGTCAGGGCACCGTAGCTGGCAGTGCTCCCCTGCGCGTGGTGTTCCAGGTGCTTGCAGGGTGCAGCGCGCCGGCCACCGCTCCGCCGAACACACCGTTCCGCCGGCGCTGGGGTCTTCTCGCAACGCCAGCTGCACCCGGGCATCAGATCTTGCGCCGAAGTTTGAGGGAGACAGCGGCCGAGAGCACCATGCAGTCCACCATGCAGTCCGCCATGAAGTCCGAAGGCTTTGCTCCGAGGCGCAGCTTTGACAGCCCGGATGGCACATCAGACCATCCGTATAAAGTCTTAGTATCAACTGAGCAGCTTTCCCCTAAACTACATACCTCATAACTGCGACAAACAGAGTAACAATGGCAAGTCTACTGCCGTTCATCCCAACCCAGTTCCGCTGGGTGCCGTCATATTTGACGAGTGCCGTACTGTCGCTGCCGATATTCGGACCAAGGTCACGTCCTGTGGTGGATCCAATCTCGTTGCCCTCACTACCCCTTTTTCTCGCAGCGAAATCCCACGCAACAAGAGATCCAAGTAAGATTGCGGTCATCGACAGAACAAAGAACGGAAACTTCACCTACACTCAGCTTCTGGCAGATGTCTCCGCGCTGAAGAAGCAGATCGTGGACTACCTCAATATTGAGTCAGATGCCGGTCTGGACGAGCAGAGAGTCGCATTTCTAGCGCCGGCAGGGTACGATTACGTTGTTATACAATGGGCAATTTGGGCTGCAGGAGGAGTCTGCGTACCTCTGTGTAAGCCCGGCGCGCTAATGACGTCCATCATTGTCTATACAAGCTTACACTGCTGCAGGCACCACTCACCCGTCCAAGGAACTGTTGTACAGCATATCCGACTCCGACCCATCTTTAATTATCCTCCATCCTTCATTTCAGAAGCTGCAAGTGCCTCTGCGTGAAGGAGTGACTAAAGTCCCCTTCATGACCGTATCTCCTTGCACCGAATCCCATATCACCCCACGAATCCCACCCTTCAGCGCAACCCCCTTGCCGCTGTCGAAGCGAGCATTGATAATCTATACGTCTGGAACCACTTCCAAACCCAAAGGCTGCATCACTACTCACGAGAACATCACGTTCCAAGCTCGCAGCCTTGTAGACGCATGGAAATACTCGCCCTCCGACCACCTCATCCACATCCTCCCTTTGCACCACATCCACGGAATAATCAACGGTCTCACAGCCACTCTTCTCGCAGGAGGGACCGTTGAGATGCACCCGAAGTTTGACCCCAAAGCTGTCTGGGACCGCTGGTCTGACAAGGGCTCTTCCACTCTCTTCATGGCCGTACCAACCGTCTACAGCCGCCTGATAGACTACTTCGACGTGAAAATCAGGTCCACAGACGCGGAAGCAGCAGCACGTGCCGGATCGAACGCGCTGAGGCTAGTCGTAAGCGGGTCAGCTGCCCTGCCGACTCCGATCAAGCAGAAATTTGCCGAGATCACAGGCCAGACCCTCCTCGAGCGGTACGGGATGACGGAGATAGGCATGGCTTTGAGCTGCGGCCTGGAGACCGACAAGCGCATTGACGGCAGTGTCGGCTGGCCGCTGCCAGGCGTCCAAGTCCGGCTCACTGAAAAGGGATCAGGACGCGTGGTCGAGGGCGTGGATGAAGAAGGCATGATTGAGGTGAGGGGCGACAATGTATTCAAAGAGTACTGGCGCCTTCCGGAGGTTACTGCGAAGGAATTTACCCAGGACGGGTGGTTCAAGACGGGAGATGTGGCCAAGCGGGATCAGACGGACGCGTATTTCATCCAGGGACGCGAGTCGGTGGATTTGATCAAGTCTGGAGGGTACAAGATCTCGGCTCTTGAAGTCGAGAGGAAAATGCTAGTCTTGGAGGACATCTCGGAGGTGGTAGTCGTTGGTGTTGTCGACCAGGAGTGGGGTCAGAGGGTTGCGGCTATCGTAAAACAGAAACCTGGGGTAAGTGCAAAATACTCTCCGATTACCCGAATCCTGTTCTCACGAAATACAGACTGCTCCTTTGGAATTAAAGCAGCTGAGAACGCAGCTCAAAGAGGAGATGGCACCTTATAAGATTCCCAGTGTGTTGAGGATCGTTGAGAGTATTGAACGGAACGCTATGGGGAAGGTAAATAAGAAGGACATAGTGAAGAAGTACTTTGCATAGGGCAGCTGAAGCACGTTAGCCTAGTTGGTTCAATGCATATACAAATCAAGTGTTTTCAACGCACAATCCTGAGCTTTAATATCCACGAAGCGGTATGTGAAAGTTGGCTGTATTACGAATTTACGACCTTTTACAGTCCCAGTTGCTATGCAGAAGACCGAGCATACCGTTCGTATACAAGCATTTCCGCCTGCTGCACCATGCCTCGCATCATCGCTCTAACGGCGCCTTTAATTCTGGTGAACTTCGCCACCAGCGATGAAATTCTGTTGATTGAGGCCTCAACGATCCGGCCTATGTAACTAGCTCAATTCTGGAAAGCAGTGGCGTGCTTTCAGCCTGTAGCAGCCTAAGCGGTTCTTCTATCACACAAAGCTTAATTGGCCTCATGCTGATTCGAAACGCGAGGGCAACGTATGTCAGGACTGCGGCCCGAGTCTTATTTGCCCGCATCCCTTCCCGATCGTCCGCAACCTTCTTGAGGGCTTCCTTCTCTTCCGCTGCCGTTGCGTATATCGTTGTCTCCGCTCCTTAGTTGTTTTCCTGCGACAATCCGTAAGCCCACAAGAGGTGCTTGCAATTTTGCGAGCTCTCTCTTTAAAATTCATCCAGTAGATTTACAGAATCAATAGCGTGTTATATAAGAGTGCATTATACGACAGTCAAGCGAGCGTCGATCGAGCTTAATAAACTGCTTGAAAGCATCCATCTGTTACCACGCGGCAACCTTCTCCAGAAAGGCAAAGTTCTCATTCTTCCAAGAAAACCCAACACCCAACTGCCTAGAAATGTCATCGACCAAAACGATGGTTGCTCTCATCGTATCCCCACTTGCACCAAGATTTCGCGACCCGAAGAAGTGCCTGTAAAGCATTTCAGCCTGATGTTGCCACTGCAGCCAACGGATAACTGGACAAGCTATCAGTGCTTACCCTTTCGCCTGCGGTGCCAGTCCGTCCGCCAGACAACACACAAATTCCAAAAGCCCTGTTTCAACGGCAGTAAGGATGCTCATCTCACTGAGCAGCTCCCCGTAGACGCTCGAAATGGCGAAGTGGCTCAGGTCTCCACCAGAGGTGGTTGCCATAGAGCTGAGGACACGGTCGGTGTGCTGGTTGTAGATGAGTGTAAAGAAGGCCTTGCCACGTTCGTACTTCTCTGCTCCAGAGAGAGGAGCGCGGAGGGAAGTGTCCGCGGCGAGAACTGCGGTGAGATGCGGCGTTGTACTGTCGATGGAGGACTTGAGAGATATCAAGCCGTTAATGGCCTGCTACCGGTCAGAAATCGAAGTTGGTGGAAGAGGGAAGAGCACGGTGGTAAATCGCCTACCCTAGGAAATCCAACCAGAACACTAGACTTTAGACATGCTTCCCGAAGCCTCCTCGCCAGTGCCAGCTGGGTCCTCTCGCACGAACACTGGGCGCTCAGATACCGCCATAGCTCACCTATCAGAGCCTCCTTGTGGAATGCTAAGAGAGCCGCGGCTGTGAGAACATACCACAGAGCGCAGGGATCGTCCACGCGCTGAGTGGTGAACAAACGTGCAAGCGGCAAAAACTCAATGGAAGTGCGATGAGGTTTGACAGATTCAGGCCTTGGAGCGCCAGTTCTCTCTGAGACTTCGGCATAGGACGATGTTTTGGAGACGTCGATGGATGAATCTAAAAAGAGCGCTCGCGCCAACTGCTCTCGAGCAATGGGGCGCCATGCGCGTTGGATGATAGCAAAAGTCATGCGGACGTCTTGTAAAGCAGATAGTGTGAGGCTTTGGTTAGTGTAGGGGGCGAAATATGCTGAGACTTGTTAAAAACACATTTGCATACAGAGATCTATGAACTTGCTCCACGGGAGATTGCCCTCAAATATTCCTGGCCCAAGACGCCCATTGTCTCGACATAAGACATCGCATAGCACGGACGAAGGCCAAAGGTTTCGGAGCTTGCGACAGCACCGGGACTGGCAACGAACGATCAGCAGGGTAGTGCTTGGAGTCAAGGTCGGGCGGCTCAAGCATGAGCGGCAGCGGAGGAGAGGACGGAGATTGACAAGGGTCAAACACGTGATCTCGGCGGACCGGCCCCGAGCTTCGGCAGAGCGGTCTCATCGTGGCACAATTCAAAGTATAGGGGGTCTACAGACTTAATTCACGTTGAGGGTCCTGCTGATTGAAGCAAGCCGAACAACACCTGGCGTGTCCGCGGTCGACGATGCTTGGCTTGGTGTTCTAAGCCGTGGCTGTAAAGCTCCTAAGCAGCTTCGCTTGAGACGACGCCTTTCAGCTGAAAACACATCAGGGAGCCCGCGGCGGACCGGCTTATACAAGGTCGTGCTAGACTTACCAACGGGCACTCTGGTAGATTTAGTCCAGTGTCTGCAGCTAGATGGATGGACATTGACAGCCCCGGTTCTACTGGGAAGATGCCCTTGGTCCGGATTCAGGCCTCAAGCCGGAACAATGAAGAAACTGTGAATGTTGTTTTCTAATGCCGCGCCTAGCTAAATCTCAAAGATCGAGATCTTCCGTCTTATACTACGCAGCATGGGCTGGCTCCTAGCTTTGCGCCAGGAGCCTGTCGACCGCTGGTGCTTTGGAACTCCTATAAGATTTCGACAGAGCTGAAGCAACTCCACTTCGGATCACATGACTGGGCCTTGGCACGCGAAACACAATGACCGCATTATCCAGGCTTAAGCTCTCTGAGGTGTCCAGACCTCAGCTCACTAAGTCCTTATGGAGCAGCAGACTATGCACATGCTCCCTAGCGCGAAGTCAGAAGATGCAGCTTGGAAGCAATGGTGCAGTAACCTTCGTCCAACCTCAGTTGTGCCTACCTCTGTCTCCGCAATAAGTCTCCCTCTCTGGGTGATCTGTTGTGAGGCATTAGACGAGGGATATGGGTTGAAGGCCGTCAAGCCCACAGACTGAAACTTTGCCGCCATTTCATATCGCTGGCTCGACAACGAGCCATGGGAAGCCTTCCACTCTCGACCGTACCCAGCCGCAGGGAAAGTCATAATAACGGCGGTTGCGAAGAGGCCATTGTCGACCCTTGCTAGACTGCATCTCAGTCTCGGTATCAAGTACTTCTGGCTCGGCTGCTTGTGCATCGATCAAGAGTCCCGGCTTGAGCAAGCCCGCGAAATCCTCAATATGGGCCTCTACTACGCCAACGCCAAGACGACGCTTATCCTCGCATATGGGTTGAACCTCGTCGGCCCTCCATTGACGCCTGACAGTGGACCACCGCCGATCTGGCATAGCTGTGCGTGGACCCTGCAAGAAGAAGCCATGGCTGGTGATAAGGCATAATTCATGCTTTGTTACTCGAAAGACCTCAACCCGGATTATGCACACCAGGTCGTATTCTTAACTCTACCTGGGAATGACGAACACACTCAGAAGCTGCAAACTTGTTCGAAGGACGACCCAAACTCACCGTGGGGAGAATACCGCCCTTGTCTGCCTATAGTTCCTAGATCGAGAATGGTCTCCCGCCGTACGGTATACGCGGTGAACTCTCCTACATACGATGGCACGGCTCGTGAGGAAGCCCTCCGGATTATTTAATATATGGAGTCTCAACGTCAATGGACACTGTGGCCGGCCCTGCGTGAGATGTATAGACGTGATGCGTCCAAGGAGGAAGATCTCGTGTACAGCGTGTTGGGCTTGCTGAGAGTCACTATAACCCCAAATGCAGTTCGCTACGGCGTCACTCTCGCGGTGCGATGCGCATTCTTGCCGACGCCGTTCACTTAGATCAACGCCTTCTTCCCACGGTGGTCGAGTCCTTCCACGGCAACTTCATCGACGGCTTCAGTGCGCTTCCGGCATTCCGGGACATCACCGCCGTGCCCGCTCCAAGACTCGACCACCTCCGCACCCTTGGTGTGGCTGAGTTTCCTGGCTATGATGGCATGCGAATCACTGCACCAGCAGTGGTTGTTGATGTAGAAACGATCATAGATGAGAGCAACGCTATCAACGAGGCCTTGGAAATGCCCGTCCAAGAGCTCGTAGATGTGCTTGAAGAGAAGGGTTCATTGGACAGCTAACGATCTTCTCAAATGACTGCGACGGGGCGACAGACCACTGAAGGGCTGGCGAATATTGCTCCGGGCACTCCATCGCTCGGAGTCACCCTGATAGCGGCCACGCAGGTTGAGACGCCTGACTCGGATAAATTTCGTAAAAGAGGCGAACCCCTAGTCACTTTCTGCTGTCTTGTATGTACGGACGGGGGTCAGTGAAGTGTAAAGTCGGGATCGCGCTTGTGGTGGCCTCAAAGTACATTTGGAGGGAGCAGCGTCATCTTGTAGCGTAGAGACCAGATCTAGGTATATAACTCTATATATGCATAAAAGCAGGTCGAGTCTCGAAAAAGCTTAGTACTAGCAACATGCTCAGCTCAATCTGGGCGGTCTTCGCTACGGGGAGCACAACCCTTCCGTGACGAGGTTGTTTGATCGACTGCGACACGCATCGAAGGACCAATAACATCGCCACTTCAGCCAAGTCACGCAAGGCGACCACAGCTTGATCTATCATGTCCATATTCGAGTGTACGTTCGCTTCCATGTAGTCATGTTTGTACTAGCAGGTCTTGGCGGTCCCCCTCACGGAGTTCCCTTGGTCCGAACGACCATCTCAGCTTGAGATGCATAAGGTATCCAGCCAGCGCCCCATAACTGGGAATGAGTTTGCACTCAGTGTTACGTATACGCGGTCTATAAGCTGCGAACCCATTTCCCGTCTTCACCGACACCGGCACTGATCACAAAGAAAGAACACTGCCGTTTCGCTTTCTCTTTGGTTATCAGCTTCTGACCCCGCTATGATCGATCTCGACAGTCTTGCCGCACACGGCGCTGCTTTCTTTGCTGGAGTCGCACTACACATCTTCCTCTTCCGAGTTGGTGAATGGGATCTCGCCGCAACCAAGCTGCTAGTCTCTTTCGTGACGTTGTGTTTCGCATCAGTGGCCGGCCTCGTGTACTGGCTGCCTGCTCGTTATCCTACATACAATGTAGCTTTCGGAACGGCGTCGGGCCTTGCACTGTACTTCATTCTGGGCCTACTACTTAGCATGTTGGTATACCGTGGGTTCTTCCACCATCTCAACAGATTTCCGGGTCCGTTTGTGGCTCGTCTTTCGAATCTGTATCCAACAATGTTGTCGGCTAAGAAGTTTCATCTTTACGAGGAAGTCCAGAGGCTTCACCAGCAGTACGGAGACTTCGTAAGACTTGGTAAGGTGCTTGGAGTTTCAGACATCTTTGAGGATACGTGCTAACAGCCGTAGGCCCGTCAGAACTGTCCGTGATCCACCCAGGAGCCGTTTCCGCAATTCACTCGCCCAAATCGACATGCAGCAAGGGTCCGTGGTACAACGTGCTGCATCCCATGGTTTCTCTGCAAACGATCCGCAGTAAACCCGAGCACGTTCGGCGCCGGAAGGTGTGGGATCGTGGGTTTAGCGCAAACGGTTAAGTGTTGTGATTGCATGTTCGAGCCTCTGGCTAACTTCTCAGCTCTGCGCGATTACGAGCCCCGTGTTACGAGGTATACCACTCAGCTACTCGCCCGCATCGAAGAGCGCAAAGGTAAGCCGATGAATGTGACCGACTGGTTCAACTTTTACAGTTTCGATGTCATGGGCGATCTAGCATTCGGCAAATCCTTTGGCATGCTGGAGCAGGGCGTGAAGCACTATTTTATGATCTCTCTGCACGAGTTCATGAAGAATATCGGGTTATTTAGCCATATGCTCTGGCTTCTGCCCATATTCAAGGCAACACCCATTCTAAATAGTGAGTCCAACAAGTTCTGGCGATGGGTCAATGCGCAGGTAGACGAGCGGAGGAAGGTAGGTCAATCTAGTATACGGTAGTATCTTACATGCTGAATCACCTTTTTTGTAGATGAAGCCAGATCGCCCGGATGTATTTTCATGGCTCCTCGAGGATCACGAGGCGTGCGAGCGGCCTTCCGCCCAAGATGAACTGAATTTGATTGGTGACGCCTACACGATAGCGGTTGCTGGGAGGCTAGTGTTCACTTTCAACACGTTCAATTCCACGTTCTAACGGATTGGTAGTGACACTACTGCTGGAGTCCTCACTTGTTTGTTCTTCCAGCTGGCAGTGGAACACCAGTGCCTCCGAGCGCTGCAAGAAGAGATAGACGCTTATTTTAAAACATCAGAAACCGTGGAAGCAGTCGCACTATCAAAGTTGCAGTACCTTGACGCTGTTATCAGTGAGACAATGCGTCTCCACCCGCCAGTACCTTCCGGAGTCCAGCGCATGACTCCACCGGAGGGTCTCCGCGTTGGGGACACTTTCATTCCCGGCAACGCAATCGTCCAGATTCCCTACCACACTATATTCGGAGGTAGGCGTTCTCGAGGGACTTTTTAATTGGGTGGTGCTTCCATATGCTTACGGATCGATAGATGAGCGCAATTTCGAGCAACCGGACGCATACATTCCGGAGCGCTGGACAACACGTAAAGAGCTAGTCCATAACGCCTTTGTCTTTGTTCCGTTCTCTGTCGGTACGTCTCTGAGGCTACAGTTGCATAGTCGCAATATTGTGCATTAGTTCACTAGCTGATTATACTCTAATCGCAGGCCGGTACTCCTGCATCGGCAAGCAGCTTGGACTTATGGAAATCCGATATGTTGTGGCGCAGGTTGTTCGACGATACAATATGGAGCTTGCACTAGAGCAGACTCCGAAGATGTTCTTAGATAGTAAAAAGGACACGTTCACATTGGCGCTAGGACCGTTGTATCTAGTTTTCACGCCGAGGAAATAGCTCTTGCAATTCTATAGGTTTTTCCTTACAAATAGTAAATCTACAAAACTAGAATGTAATATACTAAGTATTCGTTTTAGTATTATTAGGAAAAGTGCTAAGTTACTTGATTATCTATCTAGTAGAAAGAAGTTCTTCTACATACTATTTAGTTATTACATGCTGATTGATATTAGCTAATTATTTATCCGCTCGGCTAGAGCTATTTTTTCTAAGCGTTTAGAATACTTGCAAGCGCTTAAAGCGCTTTAGATATTAGAATATCTATAAAGAAAAAGGTTAAGCTTTTTTAAAAAGCACTTAGTAGGCTACTAGGTAAGCTACTTAGTAAGTAAGTCTTTAGTATTTCTAATCTTACTTAATTTTTATCCTCTAGTCGTTACTATCTAAATGTCTACATTTTAAAAAATCAAGTAGCTAATAATTTTTAGAAAGTTTATTCTAATAAGCTAGTATCTAGCGTCTTTATATTATGATATTATACTATAATATTATATTATAGTAACTAATTTTCTCTTATTATAGTTTTACTATAGTTTACTATAGTTTTTTCTACTAATATTAGTAGGCTTATAGTTATAGATAGTGCTTCTAATATATTATAATCTCTCTTAAGCCTTTAAAATGCTCTTAACCTTATTATAAAGATTATAAAGTAGTCTAAATATTAGTATAACTTTTCTTATTAACCTTTGAACGCGTATAATAAGAGATATATACTATAGTATAATTAGTATAATTTTTAAAAAGCTTATATAATAGTATAGTGTTACAGTTACACTATATACTAAAGTAACTTAGTATATTATCTATTTTACTATCTAGATTACGCGCCTATATAATACTATATCTAAGAAATCTATTACAATAAGTATTATTGTAAGAATAAGAAAGCTATTATAAGAATAGTAAAGTTATTATAAAGATTAGAATTCTAGTTTAAAAGAAAGAGAATAGTACTAAACATAGTTAGTAAAATATAGATAAATATTATATAGTAAGATTAGACTATAATATAGAGATTACTAGATTCTTATTCAAATTAAGTATACTACATTAATAGATAAAAATAGTGTAATCTATATACTAGTATTTTTTACACTATCATTTCGGTAATTAGAATAATTAGTATAATTAGCTCTAAGTATACTAATTTAATTAGTTACTATCTTAGTAGTCTAAGAGCAACTAGTTACTATATAATACTTAGTACTACTTAACTTTCTTTTCTATTCCTATAATCTAAGCTTATAATACTATTCTTCTTCTCCTAGAGCTTTTCTCTTAAAAGATAGATTAGCCTTTTATTTATAGTATTCAAAAGGTTTCTCAATCAAAAATTACTGAGAATACTACTAAGAGACTTTTCTCTACTATTTATTAGTCTAATTATATCGCTTATCTTTATTCTGAGAATTTTATTAAACTAATACTATAAGTTTATTATATAATCCAGTCTCTAGCCTATAAGATAAAATTATACTCTAGTTATTATAGAGAATATATTTATTCTAATGCTAAATACAATTTAGTAGTTACTTATAAGAAGCAGAAAGAAATAGTTATCTAATAATAGAAGCTTTATTATTATTATATATTAGCTAAAAGAGCAATATTAGATACTACTAGATATACCTATTTTATACTAAAAGAGTTTAGAGTCTTAGTAAAGAGAATCTAGTATATTTAGCTATTTTAATAGTCTATAAGGAATATAATTCTTCTTTAAGTCCCGATATCTTTCTTACTTCTATATAAAAAGATTATTTAGCTTATTATCTAGCTTATCTTCTAGTTCACTTATTAGTTTACTTTTTAGCTTATATTTTAGTTTGTATCTTAGTATGTCTCTTAGTTTATTAGTTAGTTAATGGCTTAGTTTATCTCTTCTTTTATCTCTTCTTTTATCTCTTAGTTTATCTCTTAGTTTATCTCTTAGTATATATATTAGTTAATCTTTTATGACTTCTAAATTTACTATTTAGCTAACTTTCTAGTTTCGAATCTAATTTAATATCTAGAGTACTATTTTACTAATATTTAGCTTTATTTCTAGTTTAACCTATATTCAGTTTACTTTTTAGCTTGGTTTTTAGCTAAGTTTAGAGTATAGTTATTAGTTTAGTTTTTAGCTTAGCTTAAGGTCTAGTTCTAGTTTATTTTCTAACCTAGTTTATAGAATAGTTTATAGAATAGTTTATAGTATACTATCTAGTTTAGGTTCCAGTTTATTTAGTATTAAGAATCTCTTTTAGATAAGTAGGAAATAGTTATTTTACTTTCTAAGGGGGGTTCTTCCCCTTAAATCCCCTTTTCTTTCTTTTAAGATAAGAAGCGTTCTGTCTCTTAAACTCCCTCTAGTTCTCTTTATAATATATATAAGAGTTATTCTCTTTTTCTATCTATATTTTAGTTTATCTTTATATTCTTATAATCTATTCAGAAAATTCTTTAAAGTATATTTCTTAGTATACTCCTTAGCATATCTCTTAATTTGTTTCTTAGTATATTTCTAAATAAATCTTTTAGTTTACTACTTAGTTTACTACCTAGTTTACTACTTAGTTTACTACTTAGTTTGCTATTTAGCTCACTATTTAGTTCTAGTTTTATTTAATTCCTAGATTACTATTCAATTTAAGATTAGGCTAGTCTTTTATTTAGCTTTATTTAAGTTTACTTTGTAGCTTTATCTTTATATTAGCTTCTAGTTTTAAATGTAGCTAAGATTCTAGCTTCGTTTAGAGTCTGTTTAGAATCTAGTATATTATTTAGTATTAAGATTAATTTCCACTATAGTGTCTATATTATCTTTCTATTTTATAGGCTTTATTAAGAAAGTTAATCATTTTGTACTTAGATAGAAAATATATATTTACTTTCTACGAGAGATTCTCTCTTAAACTTTCTATTTTTTCTTTTAATATAAGAGATATTCTCTCTCTTAAACCCCTTCTAGTCTTTTTTGTTCTATATATAAAAGGTATATCCTTTTTTTTAGTTTATATCTAGTCTCTTTCCATTTTAGTATTTAGTTTACTACTTAGTATCCTTCTTTACTTAGTTTTTATTTAACTTTTAGCTTGCTTTTAAGTTTACATTTCTAGTTTATTCTCTAGTTTATATCTTGATTTGTTTCTTTATCTACTTTTTAGTATATTACTAAGTTTACTTCTAAATTTATTACTTGGCTTACTATATAGTTCTTATTTTAGGCTCTAGTATAATCTAATTCTTAGCTTACTTTTTAAATTACTTTTAAGTTTAGTTTTTGATAAAATTTCTTTTTAGTTTACTCTTTATTCTAGTTTTTAGCTTAGTTTCTAGCTAAGCTTCTAGTTTAGTCTCTAGCCTAGTCTCTAGTATAGTTTCTACTTTACTTTCTACTCTACTATCTATTTAACCTTATAGTTTGTTTTCTATAATACTCTTTACTCTAGTCGTTTTATAGAATTATAAGAGGTAGTTATAATTAACTTATATCTAGATTACAGTTGTAGTTATAGTTTAAACTATAGTTTAGCTCTTAGTATAACCTTTAGTCTAGTCTATAGCTTAGTTGTTCTAGCTCTTAGTTTAGTTTATTATATAATTTATATTCTATTACTATTTAGTTTTAATAATTATATAATATAAGCTACTTTATATTTCTGGGCTACAAAATACTCTTCACTCTTAGTAGACTAAATATTTACCTTATTACTATATAAAAAACGTATAGGCTTACTATTATATTAATTAAATTATAGATTTTCTAGATCTTCTATTAAGATTCTAAGCTTTTAGGGGGGTTCTTAGCTATATAGATGCTTTTATATCTTAATAAGCCTTTATAGGCTATAGAATACCTCTAAGAGTCTATATCTACCTTATAGCTAAAAAGAAAAAGTATAGTCCCGCTAGAGGCTAAACTAGTAATCTAAAGTATATATATATAGTCGGCGCGGTTGGCGCGATTAGTATAGTTAGTAGTTAGTATTTTCGCAGCTAAGCTATAGCACTAGCTATAGCTGCAGCGTACTAGCTGTAACTACTAGCTCTTATAGCTTTATAGTCGCAATTGTAGTTGTAATTAAGCCTTAGCTAAAGCTTTTATAGTAGCGGTTATAGGATACTATAAAGTAGATGCATTAAAAGCGCGAGGTAAAACTTAGAAACTATAGAACTACTCTTTATAATTTTAACCTATAGCATTTATCATAGCGCTACAAGCGTTTTTACTATAGAAATCTTAGAGGGAGTTGTAGTTTTCACTAAGGTAGCGCACGGTAGAAGAATCTATTTTATTAAGTATATCAATTATCCGGTATCTATAGTTATAAAATAAGAATAGTTAGTACTAGAAGATTAATAGTCTAATATAATAGCATGTAAGCTCAATTTTATTGAAAGAATAGAATATCTAGAGTAAGAGTAGGCTAGTCTCTCTACTAATATATTAATAGAGTTTTCTAATTTAATATTATCTATCTTTTTGAACATCTTAATAATATTTTGCTTATTCTAGAGTATTATAGATAGTTTTTCTTATAATACCTTTTCTATTTCTACTTCTAGTAAGGCTTTAACTTCTTAAAATACTTCTTTATAGCTTATTTATATCTATTCAAATCACGTTCGGATTCAGCTAAATAAACACAATTTAATAGAAGATAATGAATTGATTAATAGCAAAACCTAACTAGCTGTACACTTATATTCTCGCTAGTTAGTTAGCTTTTACTAACTAGCTAAGAGCTAATTAGATAGTATACTCCTAGTAGTATTACCTATAATAATATCTCTTAAAAAGCTATCTAAGCTTAGAAAATATATAGAAGCTACTTATTACTCTTAACTTTATAAAATATTTTCTTATACTATCTTTAAACTTAGCACTATTATCTAGAATTCTCTATACTTTATATTACTCTTTCTATTCAATTAAGCAGTTATCTAGTATTTTTCCTAACACTAGTACTTTATTCGAAGCTAGTTCTAATAATAAAGTACAGAATACT